GGCGCTTGTCAACTAGCCTTGCCACATAAAATGTTCAATGTTGCTGGCGGTTCATTACACATTTTGCAACTGCAACAGCAACACCAACAACAACAATGATGACAGCAAGTTTGTATAATGTAATTAATTAATTATAGTGGAACAACGCAGTGGTCACATACCAATACATGCACACTCGACACACACATACCCATAGACACATAGACACATAGACACAGATACCAGAAACTAAGGGACGACCCCTTGGACAGCAACTCCAGCAACAACAGCTCCAGTTCTCGGTTTCGTTTTATGAGCTTGAAATTTGCTCACGAATCCACCCAACCCCAATCGCCGCACTCACCCCCCCTCTGCTTACACGGCGAACATTGTTCGTGTTTTGTGCTCGGTAACTTAATTACAAATTATAGTGCAATTAATTTTGCGGCTGGGGCATTATTAGGCATATCAGGCGAAACACAAAACCGCCAGTGAAGGAAAGGCAAAAAAAAAAAAGAACTAAAACCCAGCAGTTAACCAGCTAACCAGGCGGAACTAGAGCTGAGAGCAGGAGCAACGACTCCGGACACGGGTAAGTAGATGAAAATTAAATAAAAACACGTAAAACAAAGTGGCGGAAAAGTGACCGCCAGTGGAATGTGAATACCGTTGAAGAGATTAAGTTCCGATGCTGGTGCATCTGCTAAGTGATTTTATTTATGAAGCAGAGGAGATTGGAAAATTAAAATCTGAAATGGCCACGTGTATGCTCGTAGCTATAACCTGAACAATCAAATGTTATTGCTTGAGAATACACGTAGTTAACAAGATTGCCTCAACGACTCCAATAACTCAACGAATACTGCTGCCTGAATAGAAAACTCAATCGAAAGATCAATTATTTACTTTGGATTGCCATGGCGATTCATCAATTAAGATTGAACTTCACTTTAAGCCAACAATTTATTCGAAGACTTGTTCAAAAAATGTGCGTCAAGATTGATTGCGGCGAAAGTGGTTACTGAAGAAGGATGGCATATTTAAGCATTATTATTCAAGTGAAAAACTTTCTTTTCTTACGCGTAAGTATTGCAACTAAGCTAACTAAGTTGATAAGTATTTTAATGGATATTTCAAAATCAACTAACTTCATAAATCGTTTCCCATTCCAAGCCATTCCCACCTGCAGCTAATTACTTGGCATACATCAAGGAGCTAATAATGCTTTTGAATTTGGTTTTGGTTTCGGTTTTGGTCTCCCACATCACAGCGTTTCGCCTTTTGATTATTAGTGTTAGGGTATTAGAATTAAGACATGAGACTTGTAAATTTGCTTCAGGCCCATTTCAATGTTAGGTATATGAAATTTGATAGCAGCTAAGCAATTTTCAAAGGGTAAACTATTCGTGGAAAGATATTTAATCTTTTCACAAAAGCTGGTTAAAAGTTGTCTGCTAAGATAATTTTAACCTGACAGTTATTTTCTTAGGAGCTTAGAACATAAGATATAGGTAATAAATAATTACAAGAAAAAAAGTCCACAGATTCCTGAGTTCTAAAATGTTACTTTTCGAACAAGTTTCTTTTGTGTTAACAAAATAAATTCCAAGGGAAGGAGTTTTTCTCCTCAAATATGTATATTTGATTTATCATAGGAAGGAGAAGGCTACCATTTGGGTTTTTGTTTCAGCTTTATAAAAACAGACTAAAAAACCCTTAGAATAATTACGATAAACAATATACAACAAATTACGCCCCCCATTTATTCAAAATCGGTTCGTTGTTGGGTAGGAAGTGCTTGTGGCCGTTTTCTCCAGCTATGCCAGGTTGCATAAGAGTCATGATTTTGAGATAAGAAATTAGTATTTGTGGCCATTTTCTCCAGCGATGCCAGGCTATAGTAGAGTCCTTTAGCATTGGCAGCCATTAGCCTGTAATCGTTCTCCTTGGAGTTGCAGCAATTAGAGTTTTTGCTATGTGATTTGAATATAATTTTCGAGTTGCTCACAGACGCTGTAGAAGTAGACAGATATACCCTATATTCACCATTCTGTAATTTGTTAATCTCTATGTGGCATATCATAAGGATGATTTAATTCCTGCTAGGGTATGCGTTCATCGGCAAAAAGATTGGCGCACACCTTGAACTTGCTAACTTTTTGTTGTTAAGGCAATTTGGCTTTAATAGAATGTGTATCACTTAAGTTTCTGTCATATGCAGACCGGCACAAAATCATGGGTTGGAGCTATATGAGCTGTATATTAATGTAAGTGTGCGTGTGGGTGTTGTGTGTGTGTATGTGTGTGTGTGTGTGTGTGTGTGCGGAGATGTTTTTGTGTGTGAGCCTGCGGCTTTGTGTGAAACAAAAGACCTAATTAAGATTCATTTGAACATATGCCTATGGCATACGCCCACACACACACACACACACACACACACTCGCACATAAATACATATAATTAGTTGGATCAGCCCGAGAGTATGCAGCATTTTGTTTGCCTTGTGATTAACAGCCACATTTAAACGCCGGAAGTTGGCTGCGGCGGATGTGCGAAATGTGGGGAAACGCAATTTTTTGGACAAGCAAGTTGTATGACAAGCCTTTTAATGACTACATCACAAACATTACACACACACACACACACACATATATAGCTAGAGCGAATAGGGGGTGTGTGTGTTTGATTTGCATTAATGATATGCAAATGAGTTGTTTATCTTTTTATGTTGCGACAACATTCGCATCTTTTATTGAAAAGTTTCTCATGCCGAAACAAATGAGCAAATAAGTAGCTCAAGCGCACATACAAATATATTGATAAGAAATGAAGTAACAGGTCTTGTTTTACTTTCCTTCTTTAAATAGACCCTTTCCAGAAGGTATTATTATTTTGTCGTGAGATATGTAACGCATTTCTTCATCTGATTTCTCAACTATTTTCATAGTTCCCATACAAGTAATTATTGTGTATTTTCGATCAATAATTCAAGTTCAATGTGAGGGTATTTAATATTCGGCTTCTCTTAGATTGCTGTATATTCCTGTTTTTTTTTTCTCTCTCTCTCTTTTGATTTAGCACCGTAAGATGTTAATCAAAGCCGCATGCTGCTCATATCCCGGCCGTGCCGAGTACTTTGTCTCGCCTTTTGATATAATAAATATGTACGACTGCCAATTTTATTTATGTTTTTTCGTTTCTTTTTTGTTTTTTTTTTGTTTGGAATACTCCTACCCTATTCTGGCATTCTGGCTGCCATTTAAAACCCACATGACTGTCAAGGCTGTCGCTGAGACGCCCCCATCCTGAAGCGCGCAAAAGGACCAAACGGTACACGCACAACTGACGTCTGAAGTCGCACAGGACGCGCTTGTTTATTATTGTAGGATGTTTGGCTTGGCTCACATCAGCGAACTGGAAGGAATGCGCATTGACAGCGACAGTTGCTTCAGCTACCTCGCTTGGCACAGGGACACATGGCCAAGGATACGCAATCTCTGGTGTTGGCTCTGGCTCTAGCTCAAGCTCGATTGTGACGTGCCGTTCCAGACATTAGCATTGTTTTATTTACATACTTTGGCAAAGTTTGGCCGCGAATCCCAGTGTATCGATGATGATGATGATGATGCTGCTGTTGCTGCCGATAAGGATGGGAATGGGAATGGAAATGGGTACGAGCTTCATCTTGGCATTGGCATGCATAATATCTATCAGCAGCTAAAGCTAAGCAGCAACTTGAGCATTTAAGACTGACATGAGCGAGACTCTCGTTGCCTTCAACGTGGCTGTCTGCTGTTTTCATAATCATTATTATTATTATTACATTGTATTCCTTTAACTTAATTCGAAAACCGAAATATGCAAAACAAATTCAGCTTTTGATGGCGCATAATTTGTTTGTCTTTAATTTAAAATGAGTTCGCACCATTTTTTGCTGACATTCCATTATATTTCACAGCTAATTTTAAATATTTTCAGTTCTGTTGAAAGAACTTTTAATTGAGAATCCACTATAAAGTATCCCAATAAAGCATCTTGCATTTTGGAAAGAGATTTGCTTTCAAAATCAAATGGCCGAAAAGAGTTCTACCACAGTTCAAGGACTATTCTAGATTTCTCTTTGAACGCTTTTGATAATCAATTATATTTCAACTTGGTTCGGCATGCAATTGCTGATACTGGTTAGACATTTTTCAAATATTCTCATCTCGATTCTTGCTTTGTCAAATTACTATTTTCGCGAGTTTTAATTGCTTGGCAAGAGTGCAAGTTCATTTTAAATGCACCTCCAAAACTTTAAAACCTCAAAACTTTGTTCAAACTCAACTAACTTTCTGGCGAAATGTCTTCTTAGTTTTGGTTTGCCATCTCGATTAATGCCCTATCCACATTTGATTGATATCGATTTTCTTGAAATGATTGGGATGCATGCTTAATTATTTAGACTTGAAAAGTTAAGGTAGTAAGTAATAAATTGAGTTTTCCTCCCACATAAAACATTGATATTATTTTGAATATTGTATATTTTTCACACATTTAGAAATACCGTTTGAGAATAGTTCAAGGATACTATTCTCAGTAGGCATATTATTAATAGTAAATAGTAATATGTATTACATGTAAGAAATGTTCTTTTCGCATTATTTCTGTAAAGTGTGAAGAAGAACATGTAGTCAATGCTAAATTGCTTAATATTCAGTTAATATTCCCAGAAATTTGTCTCATGCTGGCTTTACACAGACGTCTATAAACTCGCACACACATATTAAATAGAAATATGTTGATAATTGAGTTTCTAAATTAAATTAAACTACTAAGGAACGAAATGCTTTTATTACTTCCTGATAAAATAAAACAAAAAATATTGCGAATATTTAAACTATATTTATGAATTTTCACAGAGTGTGGATTTAAATATCTGTATTTATTAATTTACATACATATATATATATATATTTATATATATGAATGTTTTTTTTTTTGGCCAGGTGTAGGAGGGAATAAGATGCACTATACAAAAATCGAAATCAAAAATCCATTTTAATTGTAAATAAGGCATATATTAAACAAGCGATAATCGATTTATAATCAAATGTGTATCGTCGTCCTTGGCCTATCCGGAAGGCTGACGGATTGTCCCGGAGCAAAGTAAAAATAGATAATAATAATAATATGCAATTAAAAGTATAAAGCCAAGCGCACAAAAGTTTGTTGTGTAGTTTCATATATTTATAAATATGCTTTCATTTTGCGGGTTTCTTTATTTATGCGACTAGCTGTATAATATGTATTATGTTGCATATGTAGTTTTTTTTGTGGCATAACGAAAAGATCGAAACAAATAACAGAACTGATGCTGCTCACATTTTTGGCAGCTCATCAAAAGGGAGCAGCGCGCCACGAGTTGTTGCCATGGCTAACACACACATTAATTTGCAGTTTAAAATCACTAATTAACACTAAGTTTCTCATGCGTAACCAAAAAATGAAAATTTGTCTAGCCACACACACACACACACACATACACACATGTATCACTCTCTCACACATACACATACACACACACACACACTCATGCAGAGTGTTGCATGCTCTAGACATAAGTACACCAGGCAAATTATCTAAAATTTACTAGCTGTTTTAAACGCTTGCCTAACATCTTGTTATATTTGTTATATTTTTCGGCGGGGCGCACGCATTCCCCCCAAAAAAAAACCCCTCCACATTCAATCACAAAAGCAACACACGCCCTCCACGCCTCCCGCCCAGCAAGCTACGCACTCACACACCCCGCCACCGCATCGACCAGTGGGATTTTGTCTTCTTATTCAGTTGTTGGCTGTTGCGGCTTCTGCTGCTGTTGTCACTTGGCTTGATGTATGCGGTTGAGTTTTCATTAGCTTGGGCAACAACTTCTGGTCTTCCTCCTTATCACCCTGTTCGTGTTGTTGTTGTTGCCACTTCTGCTGTTGCTGTTGCCGTTCCTGTGCCATGTGGTTTGTTGTGGCGTTGGCATCGTTGTAATTTGCTGTTGACGTGAAGCTGTCGCCTTCTATAAAATCAACTGTTTGCCTGCCATCCATCATTGTGCTAGGATTGGCCACAGTTGCTCCAGTTGCTGCTCCAGCAGCGCCAGGCTCAGCCTGACTTTCGTCTGCTCTCGATTGTTTTGACATGAAGGCGGCTGCAGATGTTGGTGTTGCTGCTGCCTTATTTTCCCACTGCTGGTCAGCAGTTCGAATATTTTTAGCTTGCAGTGGACTGTTTTGCTTTTCACCTGATGACGATGATGGCGTCTGTTGCTCTTGCTGCTCCGGCTGCTGTTGCGTCCTTTGAGCTGGCAAATTATTTGCTAATTGCTTTGCCAATGACTGGAGCGGGGGCTCGGTAGTTGTTGCTGCCGATGTTAAAGTAGCTTCAATCGTATCCGGTGTATTTATAATATCCGCCGCGATGGAATTTATATTTTTCAACATCTTAGGCTTGCCTGCTTGTCCTAGATCCAAATCCAGCTTCGGCTCCTGCTCCTGCTCCTGCTTCTGGTCCTCCGCCCACTGCTTGTCCGGAGCTGTTTCCGCTGCTGCTCCAACCCCTGGTTCAGTTGCCGTTCCCATCTCCTGCTCGGTTGCTCCTGCATCATTGATGCTGTTCATCGTTGTTGTTGCTGGCACTTGGCATCGTCCTTGTCCATGATTTGATTCGACATCTAAAATATGCAAAGAATGGCAAAGTTAGCAATGAAATAAAGTGAAAATAAAACAGGAAATGACAGGCGCGTTACAATTTACAAAACATTCGTGCTGAATATTCTTTTATTTTTCATTTTATTCATTCTTTTGCTTCTATTTTTTCGCCATCGAATTGAGAAATAATTTTATATTACTGTTAGCATATCAAAAAAAGAAAAAAAAGACACGAGTGAAGATTGGGGAGTGGGAAGAGCAGTGCAAGGGTGCAAGAGGAGTAAGCTCTGGTTCAGTTCAGCTGAGTTGGGTTGGGTTGGGGTTATGGTAATGCACATACGTAACGTATTTATATATTTTATATCGTTAATATTAACTGTTTTCATGTTCGAGTGCGTCGCCTCTTTGACATTTATTGCCACTGCTCTTATACCCTGCAGCCATTAAAAATTGCCAAAAAAAAGAAAGGGTATCCGCAAGTTCTGCACATGTATGTAACGGGCTGAAAGCGAAAATTGCTCTTGGTCAGGGGGAGAAACTGAAGTGATATGGACACGTTCGTCTAGAATATATTTAAGGCCCAATTAGCCTCTTTCTCTCTCTATTTTTCAGGCCCCATCTCTTCTGATAACTCTGCGAATAATTGTAACATTCAGCTCCAAATTTCGATCGGATAAGTTGCCAGTTAAGGAATATTCATTTATTGACAATTTCTAAATAAAACTACAGCTTATTGACTACGCAAAGGGTATTCAAGCATCGTGCAGTCAAAACAAACAGATTTTTTATGCTTGTTTATACATGCGAGACTATCAGAGATTTGTATACATTCATTTTTGGATATTTTTTTGGTTTTTTTTTTTTTTTTTTCGGGTTTGCCTCGTTTTCCAATTGGTTTCTTTTGCTGACTGCGTTTTCGAGTGCAGCTTAAACGTATATTCAAATTTATCTTCCGGCTGATTGCACATGATGGGGCAGCAAGTGGGTGCATTGTCGGGGGTTACAGCTTTTTTTGTGGCATTAGGGTTTATATTTTGGCCAAAAGTGTTGCACATGGCTTAAGGTTAAAGCCACCAATATAGCGGAATGAAGTGTGCGAAAGGTTTATTTGGATATTGGGCAATAATTTACTTACCTTCAGTTTCTGCCGCTGCTGCTGCTGATGCTGTTGTTGTTGCTGTTGTTGAAACTGCTGCTGCTGTTGCTGCTGCTGCGGCTGCAGTTGCGGCAGCTGTTGCTGCCGCCTGTGCTGCTGCTGTTGCCGCTGCTGTTGCAGCTGCCACTTGTGTCTGCAGGCCGGGTATATCGGCCACATTGATGCGCTGCAGCCGCACATGCATCATCTGGCCAGGCTCCTGTCCCTGGCCCAAGAAGACGCGTCGCACTGTCGGAAACTGTTCGCGACGCTGCTGCAACCACTGACCCACCAGCGGGATTCGCCTCAAATTACCCAGTGCAACGGCTACCGCATTGGCATTGTTTCCTGCCTGCCCTCCAGCTCCAGCAGCTGCTTCTCCTCCAGCTGCTGCCCCACCTCCACCTCCACCTGGACCCGCCTGTCTCCGTTCCTGGTGCTCAGTTGCCAACTGTTGAAATAGTCGCGTTACGAGCAGACGAGCACGTTGCACGGCTGCCTGCTGACCAACAGCAGCTACAACAGGACCAGCAGCAGCTGGACCAGGACCAGCACCAGGACCAGGACGAGCCGCAGCAGCAGCAGCAGCAGCAGCAGCTGGGCCGGCAGCAGCGGGTGCGGCAGCTGCCGCATTGGGTTGATTACGCGATATGATGAAGACATGACGCTGCGCCATTATGGCAGGCAGCTCATATCGATGAAAGAAGAATACCATCGAGTGCTGCAAGGGATAGAGAGAAAAGAGAGAGAGAGAGAGAGAGAGAGAGAGAGAGAGAGAGAGATAGAGAGAGAGAGAGAGAGAGAGAGTGAGATTGAGTAAAAGCATTGGTTGAGTGACGCTTCTGCAATTATGCAACCACATTCATAAAGTCCACGAGTCGCTCGGATCGACATATGAGTGTCGGAGTAATTCCGAGTCACGAAATTATTCAAATATTGCTCAGAGTGTATCAGGTAACAAAATCAATCTACTCAGATGGATAATTAACTGTCTGAGTTGAAGAATTATTTAAGCGCCAGAAACTACCAAGATTTCTGAGAGGTTTTTCACACACGAACTTTTTTGTCAGAAGGTAGACTGCCGGACGGATGCAAATATATTGGATTGGTTTGTGATGCAGATCAAGAATATATATATATATATAGACTTCTCTACACTTGTATTCTCCGTAAGTGTTGTTTCGCATAAATGTAGTTGTATTAAAATTCATATATTGCTTTAAATGCATGACATTTTCGAATGGAACTCATGATGTGAATGCTGCAAATTGTGGCAAGCACAAGCGCAGCATGAGTTATGCAATGAAGCCAGGACAGTTGTTGGCAGGCACGTGAGCTGCCTGCACTGTCTACACGTGAGCAGCTCACTCACACACACACTCACACACACACACACACACAGTCAGCAAATAATGCGCTGGGTAATTTGTCATGCAGTTGACAACCAGAAACGGACTCCTGTTGCGCAACAACAATAACAATAACAATAACAACAACAATAATAACAACAAGCAACAAGAATGGGTAGACAACAGTTATAACTGTCGGCTTTCATAATGAACCATAGTTACCTGGATGAACAGATAGGAGGAGAGCAGCGCCAAAGTACGATATTGTCCACTGAAGCGATAATGATACGCATAGAATGCGAAATGATATAGGTAGAAGAATCTGTAAGCAAAAACAAACTAATTTAATTCGGTTCGATTAATATGCAAACACACACAAACACACACGGGTCTTAAAAGGTAACTGTTATTGCTGTTGCTGTTGTTTAGGATGAATTGTAATCCCCAGTTCTCAGACCCTCATCAAAATAGATTCTAGGCATGTTCGCCCTTCGACATGGTTACCATTCAATAATATTGTATTTAACATTGCTCAAATAAAAAGCAACAACTTATTGTTTTTTCCATTTTTATGGATGTTTACTCGACTACTCCCCCTTCCCCCCCAGTTCACCCCTCACCGCATGTTTTCGATTCTGTCGCTGTGCAAATGCCAACTAAGCTGTGAAGAAATGGGTCAGACAGCCAGACAGACAGCTGGAGAGCGGCGGGACAGCGGGACGGCGGGACTGAGGCACTGTCGTGACATAAGTAACGCCTTGAACTGACAACAAGAACAACAATAACACTTACAACAAATTATATAAATTGCAACTTGCTAAAACCGCTGCTTGACCATTGCATACCCTGTCTTAACTTATGTGTCTAAATATTACACTTTGTTTAACTGAAATAATACCCTGTGCAAAAGGGTTTTGCTTCTCTATTTTTTCTTACTTCATTTGTTTCATTTTGAATGGTTATCGATTATCTTAGCAGTAGTAAACTTCTCTCAGTGCATGTCTAATTATCTTTTATCCCCATCAATTATAGTTCCAACCTGCTTCTCGCGAGACCATCTTACCTGGAAGAGATCTACATCAGCTGTTTCCGATATGGTTTCTCTCTTCTTCTACAATGCTTCTCGCTTCAGCTTGATGTCCATCTTTACTAATTACTTCTATTTGATATTGAGTAAGTATTTTTACTACTAAATCTCGTCTCGGATCGCACCTCATCGTTCTCATTGCTTACTTTGATATGTAGGAACAGAGAAATCTATAAAGCCGCAACTTCTCTAATCACTTTTCAAGTTCTCGCTGCAATCCTAACAAATATTTGTTATGTTCTTTTCACTCACTCGGTTATCGTTTAGTATATAATTAATCTATCTATCTATATCTTATCTTATATACTGTATTCCCTTGCCTTATACTAATTCTACTAAGGATTCAGTAAGCTCAAGCGAAGAGCTGTAGACCGGCGCAAATGGCTCAATTTGCCGAAAGGACAACACACTTGCCGCTCTAATCGGATACTGGGTATGCATAACAACAATAGCAAGGACACTCAAGAGGCTTTAATAATATAAATAATTGCTGGCGCTGTGTTAGTTAGAATTGTTGTGCGAGCCAAAGACAACAAATAATAAACACAATGAACGACACGCGGCGACGATGGCGTTGCCGGACATATTGATAAGCAGCAGGAACTGCTGGGGAACGGGAACGGGAACAGGAACTGGAACACCAGCAGTAGCTGAACAAAGCCATAACCATAAATGTTAGAGGAGAGTCGAGATGGAGACAGAGAGACAGAGAGAGAGAGAGAGAGAGAGAGAGAGTTGTCAAGAGAGTGTCCAACGGAATTCAAGTTTAATTTATTTTTACAATGCCGCTGGACATTAGGTGTGTGTAGGCGGGGGGAGGGGAAAGGGAAGCGGGGTCATGATTGAGTTATGTTATTGAATTTAATTTGAGTTGATTGTGCACACACACACACACACACAGACACACACAGAGCCACACCCACAGACAAACAAACACTCGATGGAAAAAGGAACATTACAATCGACAGCGACAAATGAAGACACACGACACTTATTTGGTACGTAAGCCCTTCGAGCGAGCGGCATGCGGCATGTGACATGTGGCAGGCATTATGGACACATAGTGCCAAACGCTTGGCAGCAATTTCCGCACCAGACCCCCTTTGCAACCCTTCTCCCATCTCCCATCTCCCCTTACCCGTTCCCCATTCCCCATTCCCCGTTCCCCGCCTTCTGCTTCTGCTGCTGCCTCTCAACACGCACGCAGAAAACGAACGACACGTAGACAACACTTATCGCTTGTTCGTTTCCGTTTCATTCGTTTCCCTAATGTAGCGTAGCGTTGACAAGCGCCAAGCGGGCGGAACAACATCCCAACTCTTGCTCCTGCTCCTGCTCTGGTTCCTGCTCCTGCTGCTGCTCCTGTTACATCTAGTTGGTGTAGCTGGCGGCGTGTCGCAACGGATGTGCGCCAAGGAAGTGCTATTGGCATTCATATCCTTCGACCGAACGGAAATGAGGGCAAATGATGTTGCAAGCAGCGCTGGGGAGAGAGGCAGCAACAGCAGCAAGAGTTTGGGGCAACAGTTGGTAGACACTGTCAACACACAACTGTTGCATGTCTGTGTGTGTGTGTGCGTGTGTGTGTGTTTGTGTGTGGCTGCTATCAACGGCAACGCGTTGCATGCTTAAATAACCACCAACACCCCAAATCAAACAACACGCAGACGACAGGTGCGTCTCGTCACGTGGAAGGTGGCAGGTGGGGAAGGGTGTGGAGGAGGGAAAGTGGCAGAAGGCAGAAGGCAGAAGACAGAAGGCAACAGTGATCCGATCAGCTTCGTCACAAGTGTTTATTTGTTGAAAGCAAACAGACGCAGACACAAACGAAGATGGAGATAAAGTTGCAGCTGTGTTGCATCGGATAGATAATGGGTAAACTGTTCAATGAGCTTGCAAGCAATTGAGCCACACACCAACTACACCTACACACACACACACACCCATCCATATTCATAAGCATACAGATGCATTTGCATATTGGTTAAACCGATTGAGTGGCTTGCTCAGGCTATGAATATTACGATGCCGTGCAAAGTGTTTGCCAAAGTGCAGCGATAAATATGTGAACCTGTCTATATACATATAAATATATATATATATATTTTTTAATTTTATGTATATATCTGTATGTATAGATGTAGAAATGTTTATTCATGTTTAGATATGCTTAGCAGCTTGGATTATATCCAATTTATGGGGATTATAGCAATTATGTTGCCTACTTTTCTGATTTCTGTGATTTGAGTTCTTCTTATTACTATTCTGTCAATCCTCACCCACTCTCTCTCTCTCTCTATTTTCCCTCTCTCTCTGTTATTGCTCACTTAACGGACTTTGAGTTTAATTGAGTGCGCTGTTTGCTTGAGAGCAGCTGTTTAAATTAAGTTAAGCTCCCAAGCAGATCGTCAGATGAAGTCAATTATGCTGTCTACATTCAGCTGGTTCTGTGTAAATACAGTTAGGGTTTTCTAGTCTAGTCTAGTAATGTTGTTTAAGATATTTTAACAAGGCTTAGACTGTGAAATGCTTAGTCAATTATTAATTAACCCATTGCAGACCAAATATAGCCAAATATATTTATATTATATATATATTATGTATTATCACTATTAATTCGTAGAAATAGCATTTTTCTCCTTTCAAAAAAATAAAATAAATAAAAGCTTCAGAAAAGTGCTTGATTTACGAATTATTATTATTATAAATATAAAATAGGGAAAATAGTTTTGTTTCTAAACGAAATTTAACAAGCAATTATATTGGCAAATAATAAAGTTCCTCACGCACTGAATAACTCCAGCATAGGTATAACTATCAAATGTTATGCATGTACATTTTCGCTAATTGATTGAAATCCGTAAAGCTCAAACTAAATATCAATTAACACACACACACACACACACACAAGCGCACACTCGCACATATGACAATTGTTGTAAAACGTGACAAATGTTGAAGGATTTTTATGAAAATGTGATTCGCTTAATTGAAATACAACAAAGCTGAAGTAGAACGGCATACAAATGTGTGTGCGTGTGTGTGTGTGCGTGTGTGTGTGTGAGAGTGTGTGTGTGTGAGTGTGTGCATTCATTGATAAATGCGGGTAAGCGAACCAATTTGATGCATATATTTAAGCAGCAGTTGCGTTGCGATATGTTACATGGAAGGGCACGTTGCGCATACGCCAAGTTGGCAAACAAACAAATAAATAAACAAACAGACAAACATAGAAGCAAAAAAAAGAAGAAAAATAAGCAAACAAGAAGCAAATAGAGAGAGAGAGAGAGAGTGAGAAGGAAAGAAAAGAAAAAGCAAACAAGCTGAAACTATAACGCGTATAACAATGAAGCGATTTTGCCTCGTTACGAGCACTCATCAACTGCACCTTTGGACAACAAGTGAGAGCGAGAGTGTATGTGTATGTGTATAAGTGTGTGTGAGTGTGTGTTGTGTGCATTTGTGTGTGGATGTGTGTGAAGCGGAAGGCCAAAGGGTATGCCACCCAAGAGGACCGGCCACTTCATGCGGGGCATTGGGTTCGAGGCGTTGGCTCGCGGACAAAAGTTATGGTAGGAAAACAAACTTGACGCAATTATACTTTACGTAACATGATCTCAATCAACACGAAAACAACCTGAGGGAGTGAACTGAATAGGCAGCAAGGGCAGGGTAGCGTAAGCAATGCGCTGCCAATGGTTGCCAATGCCTTCAGCATTGACGTCGACGCCAGGACTAAACGCGCCACCTTTTGAGTGCCAGCCTGAACGCTGGGGCAGCAACAATAACAAGCATACAAATCTCTATAAATATAGATATACATATATATATATATATATATATACTAGCCATAAATATACACATATATTTATAACAAAATTATACACTAAGAAAATGTATTTTTAATTTAATCAGCAATTGCATTTAAAAATGATTTTATGTAATTTGTTTAATTCCATTTAAGTTGCATAAATATTTAAAAAATAAGCACACAACAATTTTGTTTACATTTGGTTTAAGTTAACAATAAATGAAGCTCTGGCAAGGATCATTGTTTATAAAGCGCGTATTTTGAAGATATCGCTTAAAGTCGGGTTTGCCTTAGAGTAGGAAAAAAAAACAACAAGAAATGAAATCCCGGCTTCGTAGCAGTTTGATTTTCAGTGTCAGGCTGGTAATAAGTCACAGTTTTGTACAGTGTACTTATGGGACATATATATATATATATATATCTGTATCTATATATGTACTTACTTTCATACTTATTTGTAAGTAGGTACGCATAACAAGCGTGTAAACAACTGGCAACAGTAAAAGGCGCGCCTGGCAGCCAAGGCAGTCCCCGGAAAATGGAGGGGGCGAAGGGGGGAGGGGTTGAGCGAGGTTGGGTTTGGCAGCAGCTACTTGAAACTCGCGACTGTTACATTTTGCTTGAGAACTGAGAACTGAGAACTCGCAACTCGAGCCCGACCTCGAACCCAGTGGGGCAAGCAAAGCCAAAACTCAAACCCCTTTTACTTTTGGCCTGATAAAATTTGCTCTTTGAAGCCACCAATGCTAATGCCACGCAATTCCCTTTTGTCCGTCCGTTTGTCCGTCCATCCGTCTGTCTATTTGTCTGTCTGTCGCCCTGTCTCTCTGTCTGTGTGTTGGTGTCAGTCGAGTTCAATCTGCGCAAGACGTCGCCTGCTTATGCCTGGGCTTTTGTACACTTTTGCAGCTCATTTAATACGTGTCGTCTGTGTCCCGTGTGCCGTGGCAACCAGATTTAAGCACAAAAGAAGCATTACGCGCGGCACAGAAAGCCACAGGGCCAAAAGCCACGCAATTGGACCGGCCAAGGGCGGAGGGGGGCCGATGGGTTGATGGGCTGGGGGAGCAGTCGGTAAAAAGGGGTGCCAAATTATGCTCTCTACACATTTTGGCGCCTGCTCGTTAAACGGCGATTAACTGAATTATTTTTAAACGTGCCACAAACGAGTTGCTTTGATGCCACTTTAAAGTCGCTGACGGTAGTCAATTAGTGCGAAAAATACCTGAACCACCTGAGCCACTCCCCGCCCACCGCCCTCTTTTATCCCTAGCAAGGCGTTAAGCAGCTGTTTGTTGCAGTTACTGCAATAACCCGGATTCGCAAAGAAAAAGCCGTTCGCGTTTGGCTTTAAAGCAAACTTCAATCGCAGCTAACCGCAAACAGGCAACCAAAATGGCAACACAGACAGGAAGTTGCACGGGCCAAAAGCGTTTGTTTGCCCAGGCAACAGGAAGCTAACCCGATTCATGTATAACCCAGAACCGCAGCAGGAGCAGCAGCTGGAGATGAACCGCCGAAGAAATGGGAAAAGGGATGGAAGGGTCTGTTGCAACCCCCTTTCGATTTGCTTGGGGCAGTCAATAACAGCAAAATTAAACCGTACCAAAGTACACACATCTCACTCACCTCCCCCCCATACACACACACACACACACACACACTCGCACACACATTTTGTTTGCTAGTAGTATGCATGATGAACTCAGCCAATATGTTTTGACTTTTTGCAAAATTAATTTTTACTTATAGCTAGCCATTGGGGAGCGGAAACGACCAGGGAAGGGGAACGTGGCAGGACAAAATCTGCATATGCTTGGCGCTACTTCGTCCATATTTCTTTGCAGCTCGTTATATGCTTTATGAAAGCATTTCATTTGTGTGTGTGAATGTTGCGCATTCAGTCTTCTAAATGGGCATCGAAATTGAAAGAATTTCGCCCAAGAACAGCCAAAGTAACAAACAACAAAGAGCAGCTATTCTAAGCCAAACGAACATAGAATACTAAAATCGAGTCAGCTCTCAGAAAACCACACGGATATTGTACAATGATGATTCTGATTTACATACTAACTGCTTACAAATAAGTATATATTTATCAAGAACTGCAAAAACTGAGACTAGTTTGCAATAGTCAGACATTCTAGTTCATTCTGGTAGTAATGCTAATATCTCATTTATGGGGTCTGAGCGAAGTTCTTTTCCATTTTAATGGATATGCTACTATCTGACTTTGCACTCATATTTATATTGATGCTAAATATATATATTGAAATATCAAAAGTATCATTTTTAGTCAATTATACGTTTATCGCAAATGAATCATTCTTGAATCCTTCGCGCCTTTCAATGGTTTTCAATGCTAAGAAAGTTCTGAGACCGTCCAATTGAAGTGGCTATGCAATTGTAAATTTTCCACATCAATTTATGCATATTTAATATTATTTGACAGATCTGTTAAACCTTCATTATAATAAATATATTCAAATCTTACCTTATGCAAACAAAATCAAGAAATAAATTAAATATTTATCTTACAACAAAATCAATTGAATGTTTATCTTAAGCCAGAGATTACCGATTTCCATTAAGACCTATTTTTTGCTTAATGGATTCTAAGACGTCATCTTTAATGACTAAATTAGAATAGCCCTAGCAAGGAGGTATAAATAACTTTTGCTAGCACAAACCAAACACATATCTAATAGAAACCGCATTATAAATTGCTCGATTCGCAGAAATTGCCCATTGGGAAAACTGAGCGAATAACAGGGAAAAGGTCGATGCACTTTTCATTGAAATCTATGTTGAAATTATTTTTTTAGTGTTATCCACTTATAATGAGATTAAAAAATAATGTGACAGCTAAAATAAACACATTAAGAGTATTCAATACATGCTACGAAATTCGAGAAATAATTTGATTATAAAGAATATCGAATTAAAAGCCAAAACAATATTAACTACTAACTGGGAAAAAGTATGAAAATAATATGAGTAAGAAAAAAATATGAAAACATAAAGCGACTAGGGAAACATTCTATTATAATGTAAGCAAAAAACAAAAACTAAAAGGCAAAAAAACATTCAAAACTGAAAGCATTACTTGATTTTATGAGAATCGCATAGAAAAGCAATCCGCTTATTATTAGCTTAACAATATTGTTAGGCAAGCCAAAGATTAAACATTTTAAACTCTGTTCAAAGAGTCTGCCTTATGAATAGATTGATATATGTAACATAATTATAATCTATGCGATGTTTACTTAGAGATTTGCAACTTGAATATTTATTGTCGGCATGCTTAACGGAATCGATAAAACCTTTAAGGGCGACAAAAGGGCCGACAGTAAACAGCTCGTCGAAGAGTCTGTTGAGCCCGGGTATGGGAAGCATTTAAAATGATTTGCGGCAATGAATGTTTAATGAATATAAATACGTCAAGTGGTCTGTCCGTCAGCTGTTTGGGGCATGCCACACTGATAGCCTTTTAATTCAGGCGCAAATTACGCAAAATCAACAAATAAATGGAGTGAGAACACTGAATAGTGATCGTGGGTGGGAGGTGGGAGGTGTACACCCTCTATATACCCACTGAATGGTCGAATAAAGAGAATACTCAAGTGTCTTTTTGAATTATTGATGGGCGGCAATGTTTGAAAAATCTTTGGCTTGGGGGCCACAGACAGTTTCCCAAATAATTTCTAGCTGTGCGCGCTCCTCAATTATGCAAAGTGCGCGCAATAAACCGCAAAGTAGCCACGAGCCCCACCCCCGCCTTCTCTGCCCACCCAAACCAGCTTTTGGATGTTTCCTTCTTTTTAGATAAAACGAAAAAAGGGGTATAAATTGGCAGTCGGCCTGATTGAGTTTTGTATGACGTGCGTGGTCATTAATGTTTATAGACAGGATTTTGCAGCTGCCCAGTCTATCCTTTTGTATTTATTTATTTTTTGTTTTTTTTTTTTTCTTGTATGTTTTCACTTATTCCATTTTGTGTTCGCAGCTATTACAAACAAGTTTATTTAAATGTTTGCTAATGGCGCGGCTCAGTTCGGGGTTGGTGGGGGGGTGGAGGAGGGGAACCGCTTGGGTTACGCTTGTTGACTTAAGTGATGAAATTCTGTGTTCTCTCCATGCGGAGGGACTTTGGGTGTTGCGTTGGTCGATTTGCTTTGGCCCCGGGGGAGGCTTCCGCAAGCCAAGTTAATTTTCAAATAACAACCAAACGAGACACAACACAACAAAACGGAACAAAACGAATCCAAACGAAACGAAAGAGGTTGAAGAGTGTGAAACACACTCCGAAAAAAAGAAAAAAAAAAGAAAAGAACAGGAAATATGCGAAACTAAACGAAATGAACTGTTAAGTGCTGTGGGGCAGCTCAGCAGAGGACAAAGGATTGCGACTTAAGTTAATGTATTTTGTCATTTCTACTGGCCACAGACGATTGCACAACTAAATCCATTTTAAGAGCAGCAGCAGCAGCAGCAGCAGCCGCAGCAGCAGCAAATTGTGGATACGCACCTGAGCCAATGTCGCTTCGTGATGCTCGTGTGACAGCAGATGGCATCAAACTGATCCGCGATCCACACAATCAATATAATATAGAACGCTGTAGTTGTATCATTGAAGAACTCCGACATAATCGCCTCCATGCCTGCAAGCACAGTATTGTTTAATAAACTATGTCTCGAACTGGTACAATATTTAGTGGGGATGCGAACCTACTAGCGCCAATATGACCGTCAACAGCGGCGCAATGGGGAAACGCGCTGTAACATTATACTCCAGCATTTGCAGTAGATCCACTGCAAAATAGAAACAATATTGATTTTTACAAAACTGATATGCACTGCAAGCGCAATTGAATTACCTATGAACACAAAGATCTGATGATGCGAATAGCGCAGCAGCATTGACACCGAAAATGTCTGCAAGAAGTAAACAAAAATGTGCAATTTAACTTTTAAGATAATCCTTTTTGTGTTAGTTTGACGTACAAACAGCAGCATCACACAAAAGGCGGCTGGATAGCTGCTCCAAGCAGCCCACCACATCGAAACGAAGCGATAATGTTCTCCAGTGATCACATTGCGCAGATAACCCTTATTCTCCTCCTTCTCAGCCACTGTGCGCACTGAAGCCATCAGCAAGTCATCGTAACTGCAATTTATTAATCTCTCTTTAAAAACAATACCATTTAGATGTCATTTTTACGCACCCCAGTAAATTTTTGAGCAGATAACGCGTTAAATCGTCGCCAAAACACTCATTCGTATTCGGATCCAGCTGCACGGTCAGCACAGGAATATTTAGTCGCTTGCGTGTGGCAGGCGATAAGCGCAAGTGCCCATATTCCAGAGAGTACTCCACAATGTACTGTTCATCTGCAATGGAAAGAATTAATATATATATATATATATGCATATGAAGTAGTTCTTATTCCCAGCTGGCTGAGATGTACTTTCTACAGTCAGTATATTTTGTTATATGTATATATTTTATGTAGAGCTTTAACTATAATTGTAGAGCAAATTGGATCAGCCCCTTATGGATGTAATTATCTATTAACGTTTACATTATACAAAATTAATAATCTTTGCGCCAAATGTGATTCTAATTAACGAATATGCATCCAACTTATAAATCTTACTTTATACTTTATGTTTGAAGATATATTCTTCAAAGATTTTCCAACATTCCTTATTAGAAAGAGTTTTAATAAAGAGTCAAAACAAAGTATGTAGTATTTATACTTACCATCATCGTCGACGGCCTTTATCGGTATATCGCTTGGATGATCAACATTATCCAGTATATTGATGGCATCAAAGTAATGATACAAAGTCTCATTGCCATACGCGAAATTGGGACGCACAGGCATGCCCAGCTTGCGCAGTATTGTCTCGTAGCGCTTCAGCCTGTAGTGATTATCGACGGTTTGTGGTCCAATGCCATAGTAGCTGCAATTAAGTTCAAGTGCTCAGTATAGAAAAGGGGATACATCTGTTGGGTGTTTCTTACTAGGTGTGCTTGAGGGCCAGCACAATCTGCTGATCGGCCTTGATGCGTTCCCAAATCGCACGCTTCTCGGCCAGATACGGTATGATCTCCACTCGAATGACGCCGTCACGTGGCCAATTCTGCACATTCTGCAGGCAGGTGCACGGATTCTTAACAAATGCCGTGTGGACATAGACCAACGTAAAGAAGAATACCAAAGCCTTCAGCAGCAGCAGATACTCAATGGCTAGCTGCACATTGCTGCAAGTTATTTAAATATAAATATATATATAATATAATTGGATATGTAAAAATATATGTAATTACTACAAATACTAACCGTGGCACTAGCTCTGCATAGGTGGCCGCTACACGAAAGTAAATGGCATGAAATAGTCGATCCCTCATGTTCATCATGTTGTTCTGGAAAAATGAAAAAATAAACGATAAGCATTAATTTGATTGTGCATGTGTGTGTGTGTTCTTACTTGGGCAGCAGCACCCCCCGCTCCGGCGGCCAAGACCCGATTACGCCCGTTGATGTTATTGATTGCATTGGCAACGGCGATTTCGGCCGCGTTTTCAGGCATACCGCCAGCATCGGCCATTGCTTGATCAGCGACTCTCAGGTGGTAGTTGTTGTTGTTAGTGTATTTAATCAAGTTTCAATCACTTCCGTATCTTTTTCGAACACGACCGTCTTCCGCAACGTCGCAACTTCAGCCTTCAGCCTTCCCCCAAAAATTGAAGGTGTCTGGCAGCAAATTTACTGTTGTGTGCAGCAGCTCTTCTCTTTGTTTGTTGTTTCACTCGGTGTCCGTTTGTGGCTAGTGACACCTGCGCTGCAATTGGTACTGTTACTGGTGTCCTATTGCTGTGCCACATTGGCCAAATTAATTAAATATCATTAAATTGCACTGACAAAACGGCAGAGGGAACACTTACCATTATTGTGAGTTGTTGCTTGTTGTTGCTTTTGCAGCAAAGCTGCCAACTTATTGTGAATGCCTGACAAGTAACCGTTTCTAGTAACGAGTAACAAGGCACTGCTAGCATTAAAGTAACCATTACAGGGAACAGTGACAAATATTTAAATAAGTATTAAATTAAGCAAATAAAGTAACAAAAAAAAAAACAAACGTTGGCTTGCTTATTTGCCAAAAGCTTGTGCTTATCACAAAATACAATTGTTACCACTCACATTGCATTTGGGACGTCACAAAATGTGCTGCCAACTTTCTCTGTATAACTTACCATTTTACAGCACTGAAAACTTAGAGTGCGCCAACGTGACTTGCATTCGAATCGAACGGAAATAAATCAAGATGGTTTTTAAGAATCGTTTTTATTTGTATTTTCTGCAAACCAATGTACGAAATTAAATATTCTCAATGCTTCATCGTTTTCATATGTTTATAAATAAGCTACATTGAATGTCGTTTAATTTAGTTTTACATTGATTGGTGGTTGTGATTTCTTTATTCATTTTACGCTTGTTATTCTCTTTCTTTTTTCTTTTTACTTTTGTTTTATTTTGCTATAGTTTCTCACATATATATGTATACATACATATATATTTACGCATATGTATTTTATGTTTATATATATGTATATATATAGAGCTACGTACGTAGATGTTATCATTAAGCTACAAAATCATACTCATAAGATGAATACAAACATTGCGTTTTTGCTTTTTATTTTATTCTGTTTTTTATGCAATTATTTCAACAGGCTAATTTTGGTTTTTATGATTTTTGTTGTTGTTAGCATTTTAAAAATTTCGCTATGGGATTGTTTAATTTGCTTATGTTTTCTTCTTGTTGTTATTCTTTTTAGCTAGTTGTCTGTTGTATGTTGTATCGTAGTATATAAATTGTTAAAAATCGCTCACATGTTTCAATTCTGGTTCAGCGCGTGTTGTTTTTGTTGTGTGTGTGTGTGTTTGATTAGCTTACGTATGTTTTTTTCTTTGGTGTATTTAAGTTTATATAAAAGTTTACATAGGCAGGCATGTGTGTGTGAGTGTGTGTAAGTGTGTGTGTGCCAACTTACAAGCTAATACACGCTACACATTTATTAACTTACCATTTAATAAGTATGTTTAGATTTCATCTTCGCTTCAAGTATTTGTTTTTGTATTGGTTGTTTGTTTGTTTGTTTTTGTTAATACAGTTTATAGAACTTGCAAAAAGTGCTAATACAGTACAGAGAAATGTACAGTTATAGTTTGTTTCTTTTTGTTTTTAAGGTACAGCAATGCGAAAAACGAAAGTGTTGCCAATATGCATGTGTATATAGTTGTTTATAGTTGTGTGTGTGTGTGTGTGTGTGTGAGTGTTGTTTGTGTGTCTTACAAAAAGGTGGCAGCTCTGCACATAAAGCGTAACGTTCACTTAAAATCGAAGCGCTTATAAATGGACATAAAACATGTGCACACTTTTCATTTGACTTTCTTGTTACTCATTTTTTTTGTTTTCTTTTCTTTTCTCTTCTACATACAATATTCTTTTGTTTTGTTTTTATAGACGCTTAGTTGTTGTCGTTCATTTTATAAATCTTTGCTAAAGTTATATATAAACTATTCCATTCTGAAGTATTGACAGTCACAGGCTATATGAAGCATGCCTTTTTCCATTTGTTTTTTTTTTTTTTTTTGGTTTTTTTTTGGGTTTCGCTTTTGTTTCTTTAAATATATATATCTATGTATGCATTTGTATATAATCAATATGTTTTTTTGTATGCACTCTATCATATGTAGTATGGTTTACTATATTTACTTTAGTTTCTTTTTTTCATCTCTCTTGGCGTAAAAAAATTCCCCCAAATAGCTCTCGCTTCATCTCTCTCTCTCTCTTTATCCGTTTCTCGTTCTGTCTCAGTTGATTTTAAAAGCGTCTTTGTACAAACACAAACGAAAAGGTTTAAAAAGGTTTGTAAACATTTCGTTAATGAAATCATAACATTTAAACTATTTGATATATCAAAAGTCTTGAGGCTTATGTAAGTGCAGCGTTTCATAGTAGCCCCGTTTCCACATTGTGCGCTGTGCCCAATGTGTTCGGGTCAAAGTTCAATTTGTCACCGGCCAAAACGATCTCCGATATGCAGCCAACAATGCCGCTGAAATAGCGCTGATGCGTAAAATATGCCACATCCGGCATGCCACCTAAAATGTATGCAGATTTCATCATAAGTTGTTTTAAATATATATATACTCCATATACTTACCAACATAGAGTCCGGTATCGGTGTTCAACTGTCTCAGTTTTCCCGGCGCACGTAGCGTCAGCGTTTTACGGCCATCCACCTCCAGATAGCCCTCCTGTGAGTTCCTACAAAGAGTTCAAAGAGTATTAAACGACGCTATTGTTATCACTTTCTACAGTTGCCCACTTACCTTATAGCCCTGACGCGATGCCAGAGTCCATCACTGACCTTGGTGCCATTGAAGCGTATGTCCAGCTCGCCAGCGCCCAGATCATAGCGGAAATGCAAATAACTGTGAATATCAATAGAAATATTTATATATATATTAATTTAATCTCGCCTAATATCAGTGAATGTCGATTAGTGTAATGTGCTAAGATATTCATTTATTTAGTGGGTCTATAAAGTAAACAACAAATTAAATTGAATTTGAAATAAAACGAAATATTTGAAATTAAATAAAAATATATGAAATAATTATAAGGTTTCTGGGGGTATTTAAATGCGAAATGTGCCAACATTTGTTGCATGGATTGGGGAAAACCACGCATGCAAAACTCATGGATTTGTGAAGGTGTCCAAACACTACTGCTTGCGTAAATGTTATACAAGACGTTTAAAATTGAGTTGCCAATGATAGAAAGACTCTATTTTAATCAGTATAGAATCGAAAAGGAATAATGGGTAATACAGCTTAAGAAAAAGTGGGAAGAAGTAACGGGTAGATAAATAGGGAACTGAATAATTAATTTGGCTCAACATTTAGTAATTTCCCTACAAAAAATATAGTTCAACTAAAAATGACTTCCCAATCTCTTTTTAATATATATATATATATATATATATACATATATTTACATACATATATATTTAATAAATATTTTCTTATAGTTTATCAAATTCACTCTCTTATCAACTTATCGCATATTACTGCTTACCCCTGTTCGATGCCCAGTGACAAGTAGTCGTCGTGCAGCTCCGTTGTGCCCTGCCTGCCTGTCCAGAGGATGACACCGTTCTCCGAGTGCGTCTTGATGCGCAGATTGAGATCGATGTTGTAGCTGATGACCTGGCTCATAGTCTCCGCATCGTTGTAGTGAAAATAGCTATCGGTGCCAGCAAAGCAGGCGCCAAAATTCTTGCGCACACTCTGCACCTGCGATTGATGTTCCGCGGACAGATCGAACTTCTTCAGCAGGCTCCAGTCGGTGTGCGTTTGCGGCGTACTCGGTGCCACAAACGTCTCCGACTTGAGCACTGGCGTCAGCAGTTCATCATCATTGTAATCGTCGCTGTACAGCGTCTCAGTGGCCATTGGCTGCTGTTCCTGGTGCTCCTCCTGCTGATGTTGCTGCTCCTGCTCCTGCTCCTGCTGGTCCTGTTTATAGGTATGTGTGTGTGTATTGGACATGATGCGTTTCATATCCTGGGCGAGCTGCTTGCGCTGATAATCTTCAGTACCATCGGAGGCATCAAAGAGCGACTCATCGAAAACAAAACCACTCGCATCCGCATCCGCATCCGCATCTGCAACGCCTTCGGCAGAATTGAAGCTGGCTCTGGGTTGGTTGCCCACTTGACTCGTCGCCATGGCATCCGTATACTCCTGCTGCTGCAGACTGGCCACCCAATCGTTGTTGTCATCAAATGTGAGTATATCGCTGTCCGGATTCGTCTGGAAACTTTCATAGTGTGTGGGCAGACGGATGAGTTTGTGTGCAAAGGCATTCGGCTTCTGATGATGCTCATGCTTGCTCACATGCTGTTTGCCACTCAACGCCAACAGCTGCACCTGGTCCTTCTGCTTTTCCTTCTGCTGCTGCTGCTGCTGCTGCTTCTGCTTCATCTGCCTCTCCTGCACCGGATTGGGGGCTGCATCTGTGCTGTGCACAAAGCGAAAAATAATATCATCTTCGATTTCCTCATTGCTTGGCGCCACAGCTGCCAAGGGCAGAGCTGTTGTGGTTGTTGTTGTGGGTGTCGTTGTCGTTGTTGCCGCCTTTGTTGTCTTGCGCTTATGCAAATTCTTGCGTTTTGTGGCATGGTTCTTGTGTTTGCTCGCCGACTCGCCAACTCCTTTGTGTGGCTTGCCTTCAAGGGGTCTGGCATTGTGGAGCATCGTTAGCGCCGGCAGCTGTTCGGGCGGCACTTCAGCAGCCTTGTTGCAGCGCTCATTGTAGATGCTGCAACGGCACTCGTAGCTCTCCATTTGGGGCACACACTCGGCCAGCGGGCCGCACGGCCGGGCGACACACGCGTGCGGACAATTGCCAATGTTGCTGCCACCCAGCGCCTCGGCCACAATGCCCAGCGAGTGCCCATTGATGTCAATCTGAAAACCAAAAAATCAATTCCCAGGTTAGTCACAGTCACAACAACAGCAACAGCAGCAGCAGTAGCATCTCTCCACTCGAGACAGAAACTTACGCGTTGTATGCAACCGACGAAGAAGGACTTGTACTTCAGGTCCAGCGGCAGACGGTCGATGTGATTGACGCCGCCCACAAATAAGTTCTGGGCCAGCGACAGATGCCAAAAGCCATTCGAGGATATGGTCATGACCTCCTGATGCTGGTCGATCTGCGAGACACGATAACGAGACAAAAGGTGAGCAAAGACTTCTACACTCAGAAAAAAATTCGATGGCAATGAAAATCGCCCTAAAAATTAGCAAGTTTTTCTTGCTTTTTTTGAAATAAATTAATATAAAATAAAATGTTTCCATAAATTAGAAAGTCTTAAAAGTATTATCTATTATTAAGTAATGAATTTCTTAAAAGTGAGAAAGTTTTTCTTAGGAAATATTCTTTCTAAAATTAACAAAATAGTAATGCTCTCTAGGCTGATATATTACGGATTAGCTTAGATTATTATAAGTAACAATAAAACTAATTTAAGACTTCTTCAATGTACGCACATCTAAAACCACACCCTTGAAATTATACATTATTTTTTCGAAATATTAGAAAACATCTATTCCGAATTTTTAGATTTAGCTTCGGAATAATTTAGGGCGATTATTCTTTTTGATTTATTTTTGTGGTTGTAGTTCAAGTCTAGTTTATAGTTTACCTTGAGCACGGCCAGGCGAGCTGTTCTTGAGATCCTAATGGTGTGCCACTGTCCCAAACTGAGCGCATATTCGCTGCTGCTGGTTGCCAACAAGATGCAAAGCATGAGTCAAGCATTGTCTCAAAGGAACTGAGATTACTTACCGAACTAGCGCTGGACCGCTGCCCAAATCGAAAGCAAACTCCACAAAGCCATCATGCAAATACAAGGCAATAAAATCGCCACGCTGCTCCGGACCCGAGTAGAGTATCAAGCCATCCAACTGCTCTGGCTTCAATATGACCTTCAGCTCCAGCCAGATTAGTGCGCTGTCGCCGAGCGGCGCATAGCGTAGAAATGAGGACCCATTAAATGCGGGCACCTGTGGAGAAACAGTAAAGAATTGTATACAGAAAGAAGACTAGCTGTCTATCAAGTTACGTTTACCTGCAGATCCATGCGAATCTCGCAGAGATCACCCACAAAGCCAATGGGGCACAGGCAAACTGCGCCCTGATCAGAGGGCAAACACTTGCCACCATGCTGGCAAGGATAACGCACGCACTTGTCCGTCGAGCAGTCCTCTGAAAGAGCAGCAATTGTTATGGATTCATTTCTTTTATCTTGACTACCATATTCAAACCCAAAAGCTGAACCTTTGCTGGTAGATTTATTAAAATCCCTTATGTATTGATTAATTAAAAATGTAATAATTAAGAGTAAGCAATAAGAGCTTTCTTAGGCAGACCCGATCGACTGTTCCTAAGGAAGTAGTAGTAGTCTGATGCTGATAAGTTTTTGTTTAAGTAGCAAAACAGGAAGCTTAACTGACTATTTTGGTTATGTGTTTCATACAAGGACTCTTCTTTCGACCAATTGTTTCTATGCTAGCTATATAATAAGGTAGTCTGATGCCATTTGAATTTGGTTTACATTTGAGGAGCATAATAATACGCTTATTAGGAAAGTTTTGTTCTGGCATCGTTGTAAACAAAAAAGTTGCTTATACTAGAACTCATCTTCGACCGATAGAGCTATAGGATATGGTAGTGTGATCTCAATAAATTTTGATCGGATATCATAAAAATAGCTTCAAAACTGAGGCTCTAGTTTGCATAGAAACAGATGACACTCGGATATCGAGTCGGCTAGTGATGCGGATAAATAATATATATCTTTTATGGGGTCGGAGACGTTTGCTTCTTTGCGTCATCACAAATTAAAAACAGTTTTTCCCTCATTTTCCATCCATATACACTTGACTTACGTATGTCAAAACCATTGATGACATCGCCCAATGGATGCTCCGTGAATTTGTAATCATGCTCGTTGGCCACAAAGCGTCGAATGCAGCCGGAAAATCCCTCAGCCAAAGGCAATCGCTTGGCCAGGCCAGTAATGTTGCCAATGCCGCCCAAAAATACCGGTTCGCGGAACGTGATGCGCGAGAACAGACCCTGCAATGAATGAATGAGAGAAATATGTTAAAAATAGACTGCAACTGATGCAAACCCAAAACAAAACTCACATTTGATCTGCCTTGGACTTTGGTGCCGTGATTTAGCACCAGCCAGGCATCCCAACGGTGTCGATAGATAATCACCGAGTTCCACTCGTTTAGCATTATGGTCTCTCTAGAGCGAACGCTGCCCACGCCTGAGCCGCAATCGAACCAGAATTCGACAAAGCCCTTGTTCAGTAGCAGGGCCATAAAATCGCCGGTGAGATCATCACGTTCCCCGCTCAGCAATATGATGCCATCGAAGGACTCTGGACGGAATTCCAAGCGCAATTGCACATGCTTATAGGCGCCATGAAGGGCCGCAAATGCCAACCAGGAGCGTTTAGCAAAGCGTGGCACGTGCGCCCTAATATCTGTGCGGGAAGATTATCCATTAGCCAACTATAAATACGCTGGGTATGCAGGTACGCAGGTAATGCAAATAAATGACTACACACACACACACGCACATACCTTCCAGGCAAGCATCACCCGTTTTGCCAAAGGGGCACAAGCAGCGGGCAGTGGACGCCGTTGCCTCCAGGGCGCAGATACCCTCCGAGCCGCAATCCAGCTGGCAAAGTGTGCTGCAAGGGTTTAATGATTGGGGTTGGGGTTGGGGGTTGGTGTTTGGTTTGGATTGAGTTAAGTGTTGTATACGTATCAAGTATTTCATATCTGCGCAGCTAATTAGGCGCCTGAGTAAACTAATAACTGAAATTCCAGACTATCTTTGAAAACATTCACCTGAGTGATTAAATTCAGCACTCACTTGAGAGCCACATTCATGAGCTTAAGTGCAACTGATTAGCGATAGTAATGAGCGAATCGGGCTAAGTAGCAACAAAGCGATTTATGTTCCAATGAAACTATTTGCTTAAGGTTAAGTTTAAGTCTACCAACACAAGGAAGTAATCGGGTTAAGTAGCAACTAAGCGATAAACATTCAATTGAAACTATTTACGTTTCCGTTACAATTAAGCTGACAGCACAAAATATCAAACTATCTATATATCTATCAAACTATCAACATTATTTTGGATAGAGCTTTGACTAAGATAGTTAAACATCAGTGGCAACAAATTCGCATCTGCATTCCCAACTAAGTTTAACTACAGAAAGAACCACTTGGGTGGAAAAATCAAAGCTAAAAAAAAGAAATGCCATTTGTTTTAGTAAAATACTGAAAGCTTTGCAATCAGAATTCAAATCATGTCCAATCCACCCAATGCATGTTTTTATGGAGCGTAAATAAATGGAGTTGAAATATTGCATTTATGGCATACATAATTGAAATCTAGGCATGATATTTATTTAGACATCAAATTAAAAAGTACTTTGAATATTTATCAACGTTTATAAAACTCGAAATTAATTTTGTATGGATTTTAGAGCCAGTGGAATTTCAGTTCTATTCCTAATCTGTGTATTTAGGCTAAATGATTTATATATGTTATATAACTCACCTGCTGCTGGTGCTGGTTGAGCTCGTTGCTGGAGTTGTTGTTTTAACTGATATGTTGCTATTGGCAGCATTTTTATTGATATGCATTGCGACTTTGTTGTTGTCGTTATCATTTTTATCATTGTTATCGTTGTTATTGTTGTTGTTGTTGCTTATCATTTGATATGTATGCGAATTACTGTTGCTGTTGCGTCTTAAGTTTAATTGATTATTATTGACATCGTCATAGATGGACATGTCCGACTTGTAGCTATAATACTCATCCACATCCCCATCGCTTGGACCATCTGGATCTCCATAATCCAAGACATTTCGCTGAGCTGCTGCTGCTTTCCCACTATTTGTATGCTCAGTTGTTGTTGTTGTTGTTGTTGGTTTTGTTGCTTTTGTTGATGGTTTTGGATTGATGATGCTGATGCGACTTGGTCTTATGGTGGTTGTGGTGATGCTAGTTGTGCTGCTAGCTGTGGATGCCACTTTAAAATCAGCAGCATCCAGTTCTTGATTCTCGTTCTCCGAATTGAAGCTAATGCTCTCGGCTGATATGTAATAATCATTTGAATTGACTTTCTGTTCCTGCCCGCCACCCAAATTGTCATCGTTGTAATCATATTCGCTATCCGCATCTGTATCCGCATCCGCATCCGCATCCCTCGCATCTGGCTGCGAGTTTCGTTCAGCTTCAGCCGTTGAGGTTGACGCATAGCGCGATTTAGCCGTCCCCGGTTTATCGTTGGCCAACTTGGCACTAAACGAGGCGCCCTTCTGATAGAGCACATCCTCATCGGATTTGCCATGTCCATCAGCGCCGCTGCTTGTCGTATTTATGACTGCAAACAGATTTGAATATTGAATTTTTCTCTTGCTTTTATTCTTACGAATTTAATAATTTCTGTATGCGTAGTAAATAGACAAGTAAATTAAAATAAATTCAACAATTAATGAAAAGCAAACAAAATTATCAATTTATTTGAAAATTTATTCAATTTAATTCAAATTTAGAATTTATATTTTCAATATTAAAGATGTATTTCTATATGCAAAATAAGTTGAATCAATTATCAATTGAAATCCAAAAAAAAAGTAAGTTATTTAATTTGATAATGAATTTAGATTAATTCAAATTTAAATTGTATATTTACTAAAAATGAATTAGACTTAATTCAAATTTAAGGTTCATATATTGCGTTTTATTATGCTTAAAATGAATAACTAAGCTATAGTTTAAATTGTATAAATAAATTTGATAAGAGCTGCAGCAAACAATGTATGCAGAAGACATTACTCAAATGTTTAAAAGAAATATAAAAAAAGCTAAATGAAAATGCCAGTTGAATTTTGTGTAAGTTCCACCGTGTCAAAATGCCACATGAAAGTTTTTAATATAAACTATAAAAAGTTGTATTGTGTGGTAAATGGAATTCTTTTGGGGGGAGGGAGGAGGCACGTACCTTGACAGCTGTAACCGTTCTTGTTCAGCTCGTAACCCTCGATGCAATCGCACTCGTACATCCCATCGTGGATCTCATAGCATAGCTGCTCGCAGGGACTCGTGTGCCCGCAGTGACCTGTGGCAATGAATGAAAGCCGTTTTTGAGTGTGTTTAACTCTGTCTCTGTCTCTCTGTGGGTTCATTTAAATTTCTAGTTGAGTTCATCATTATTCGGTGCGTAGGTGAATGCCTGCTTATGTCAAATGATTTTTGTTTCTCTGTGTCTGTGTCTGTGTTTGTGTCGGTTTCCGTTTCGGTTTCAGTGCCTCTGTTTGCTGGGTGTGACCGACGTGTCCGCAATAAATTCTAATGAGCTTTACTTACTTAGAGGCAGAGTCATGTTGGTTATTTATTGCTCGCAATGGCCACATTTCGAGCCAACCAAAAACATACGCACACCAAATACACGCATACGCTCCATTTGGCAACAGGCCAAATTCAACAAGAACAACAACAACAACAAATTTGAGTTTCAGCTTCAACCACAACAACAATTGTTGAGTCTCAGCGCAACTGCACCTTATTTTATACAAAGCTGTCCCCATTTCAATGCAAATTTTCAACTGCGCTCGAAAGAATGCAATGGGATTTTACTCACCTCAAAAATTTATACTCCTCTGCCCCATCTACTCTAGCCACCCTATCGTGTAAGCGTCCCTCAAAAGCTACTTTTTTCCTCCTCTCCCATCTACTATCCTATCGTGCTAACGGCGATGAGGAGCCAATCAAAGAGAAGTTAAGTAAAGCAAATGCAAAGCACGACGTGAAGCTTTTCTCCCAAAGCACGACGTGAAGCTTTTCTCCCATGTTCTTCTTCTTTTTTGTGCTTTGATATTTTCGTATCAGCAGCTGCTGCTCACTTGACATCAAAAGCCAGCAGCTAAATTGTGCCAACTGTTAAGCAAGTCTAAGAGTTGCTTTAAGCTTTGCTCAAGCAGCCAGCCAATAAGAACTAGCTATTTGCTCAACATTCGTTTTATTCTTTAGATTTCGTGCCTCTCTATTCGATGCGAGTTCATTACAATATGACGTAAAGAGTAACGAGTAGCCATATTATATTATAGTATACCTGTTAACATGTAACGAGTACTTAACATGTATTTGTGGCGAGTAAAGTATATTGACCTCACCATAATGAGCAAGTAAGTACCTAAAATGACGCTTAGTGGAGAGCTGCATAAATTGAAGCGTGAAAAGTAGCGAGTAGATTACAGCGAGTACTGCTTAAGGTATAGCGAGAAAAACTAAAACTAGCCGTTTTTAATGCTTTCGCTGCTTTATATGCTTTATATTATATGAAGTCGAGTAAAGTATAACGAGTAACAAGAAGCGTAATTAAAGATAACTGGGCAGGAGCTACACTAGACGATTATTGCATTACGAGCTAGTGTAACGATTGATGAGTAAAGCATATCGAGTACATAAGTTAATTACATCGAGTATGCCAAGTAGCAATTATACGACGCTTACGTCATGCGGCCAGCAACTGCGTTTGGCTTTATACCGTTAAATAGAGCACGCAACAGCACTCTTAAAGAGCCATCAGCTACACATATAGGTGTGGGTGGATGGTTAAGTGTGTTGAGTGAGCATGTTGTGTGTGTGTGTGTGATTGCTAGTTGATTAAGCAACTGTGTGGTGGCGATTAAAGTGCACTGGACACTCAACACATTTGCATGTGGCGCACATGAAACAGGCACAAGCACAAGCACAAGCACACACACCCACACACATTCACACATACATTCACACTCAGCCATATAAACTCTTCAAATGTGAATAGTTTTCTGGCCCACACACCCACGCCCTGTCATCTGTCCGATTGTAGAGTAATTGATGGAGTAGCTGCAGTGTAGGACTCGTGTCCTATGCCATTGCGTATTCAAATTGAAATTGAAAAATCGCATATTGCATGCAATTGAAATCGAAGTGTCAGCAGCAGCGGCACATCAACACAACCTCAGTGACAAGAGACAAAAACGGGCGAGGGTTGGGGAAAGGGGAACAGAGCACAGCAGTTGCATTTCAAATTTTTGGACAAGAACACATTGCATAACAACATTGATTTCCATACACACTGTGTGTGTGAGTGTGTGTGTATGTGTGTGTGTGTGAAATGCATAATTAAGGCGCTCATTAATGTCAAATCCAAGCCAGACAGAATGACAGACAACGGACAGATGGAGAGGCAGCTACCACCCATAAAGGTTCCCTCACATAATTTATTGATATGTCAATTTTCTCATGGGTCGACTATTTTGCACAATTAGACAAGCTACAGTTGTGGCAAAGGGGGTGCGGGCTGTTCAATCTTACAATGGCAAGACAAGGGGACTGTTGTCGAGAAGATAGATAATAACGTGAACAGACCGTCACAAAAACTTCCGCGTTTTGTAGCTGCAAATGTTTACCTATATAATGTGATAATATAGGATACGAATAATTCTTCATAATTTTGAGATAATTTAAAATGTTTTAATAAAGTTACCAAAAAAAATTGTCATGTTCTATTACAGCTCTTGAAATCACCCTTTCTGCTGTACTTGCGCTCATTCTATTTCTGTTTGCTACTTCATATTCTGTTTGTAAATCATTCGAGGAGTTTGTACGCACCTTGAAATGCCGCCTCCTCGGGCTCCACAATGCTGCTGCTGCTGCTGCTGCCACTGTTGCCGCTGGCTTCACACTGCTGCTGCAGCAATGGCAACAGCAACAACAACAACCAGAAATGCGGCAACCTTTGATGTCCTTGCTGCTGTTGTTGTTGCTTTGAAGTTGACATTTTTACAGCGTTGTTCCAGCCACAGAGTAAATGATTCCTTTGTTGCTCGCTGGCTGTTGAAGTAGACACGTTGCACACGTTGTTGTTGTTATTGTTGCAGTTCACACAACGATCGTTGGTCGTTTTAGACGACTTCGGCCACCAGCCAGCGTTGAACATGGAGCGTACATGCGTCTCGGCGTTGCCGCTGCGACTGCTTGTTGTTCCTATAAGAAAACCCCCCAAAAAAAAGAGGAAAAACCAAGCACACACAGTTAAGCAATTAGTACACTCATAAAAAAATCGCCACACTTTTGGTGTCAATAAGTAGAAAATTTATAAATTTTATGATTTATAAAATCTACAGTTTACATTTTAGGGTGGATTTTTTTAAATTTTTGGAAAAAAAGTCTTATTTCAAGGGTATTCTTTTCTATTGTGTTTATTTTAAATTATCTTTTTTATTTGACAATTTTAAACTCTTATACTAAACTCTATTTACTATAAATTTATTTGAAAATACCTATAAAATACGACAAACCTGTCTCTGAATTTTAGAAAGGATTTTTTTTTCGAAAAATTAGTCTCTGCATTTATATTTTTTCTTAATAATAGAACATTAAAAAAAAAAATCGACTATCGATTTGGGGTAAATATTCCTAATTTTTAGAAAAATTTTTCTAATACTATAAACTATATCAAAAAACTAAAAAAAAAACTTTATATTTTTTCCTAGTGTAAGAGTGAGATGGAGAGAGCGAGCTGTGGGTTGGAGGTTGCAAGCAAATCAAGTGGTCATTATAATATATACCACAAATTGCTAAACACGCAACGCACACACACAACACACACACAAACATATATATATATATATATATATATATACGAACATGATTCATGGCTGTTGGCTTGATGGCACTTGCCGCTTTGGCTCTTGCCTGTTGGCAGTTGCCAGTTGGCAGTTGGCAGCAGTAAAATCAATAAACGGCGTCATGGCAACGCCACACCACAACAAAAATACCTAGCCAAAGTAGACAGAATGCCGCCCCATGCCCTAATCTGTTTCTATTTGGCTGACTGAGCCACTCCTCTATATACACACATACAGACACACACGTATAAATTTAGTGATCCACTGAAAGTGTCCTGGCCCTACCTTAAGCCAAGTGCTTTGAGGGCTAAATGCATGTAATTAGAAATCAATACGACAATTTGGCAATAATGTCTATAAGCAAAGGGCGCAATGAGTCAAATAAATTGCTCGCCTTTCCATTCTTTGTATATCCAATTTGGAATTTGTGTTGTTTTTTTCATTTTTTGTCAATTGAAATGGAAATGCTAAATGCCTAAGGTAACAGCAAAAAACAGCAAACAAATTGAAGGAAACTGCGTGGCAATGCTATTAAGTCGGGTCACAGACCCATATACATACGCACATGCTTACATATGTGTGTGTGTATGTGTGTGTGTGTGTATTTGGTACACAGACTCAAGCGTGGCACTTAACCCGTACTCAAAAATATGTAGCATACTTACTGGGGCAAAAATGCAGCCACAGCATAAAATCTTACTTGCTACAGAGCGAGTAGTTATTATTGTAGTTGTTTTTTTGATACCCTAGAATAAATTTGTATTGTGTTGCCTTACGAGTAGCGTACAGTTCGATGCATGCTTTTAATAATATGCATCTCTCTTTGAGATCACATCTGCACTCTATATGTATAAATAAATATTTTTTAATGAATTTGCTCAGTTGTTCACAGCAAAAACAGCAAATTATTAAACAACAATAGCGTCCTGTTTAATAAGCAGAATTATTTATTTCTTTATTTATTGTGGACTAAATCAAGTGATCCATAATTTAAAAAAAAGTTTCAATAAATCAGAATTTGAAATAAAAATAATAAAACGAAAAGGGAGCAATTAAATTAAAAATTTAAAATGAAGGAAAAGATAAAATAAAGTGTATAAATAATAAACATTAACAACAAATTGAACATTAACATTTATTTTCTCATTTATTAAATTGTCTCTTTACCAAAACAAGTCCACCCATAAATCGCTCTATGATCTGGTAATTTATGTCTAATGAAAAGCTTCATAGATATATTTTTAAAAGTTGATAATTTCAAGAAAATTTCACTCATTCCCATATCTCCGCCAAAATTGATTAGATTTTCCAGTTGTATTCAATTCTGTGCAGTGTTTTTTTTTTATTCAATATTTTGCATTCAAAAATTTTAAAATACATTTATATTATTTATTTTATTTGCATTAAACACTGAAAATACTTTATTTTGTTGCATTTCGAGAAAATGTAGGCTATTAACGTTCTTATCTCAATTTTCGACGTATTATTATTTAATAATTTCAATTTAAAAAATTTTAATTGAATTTCAAAATAAATTTTTCTTTTTTATATATTCATATTATTATAATATTTTTACCAATTTGCATTAAAAGCTGATAATACTTGATTTTGTTACACTTCAAGAAAATCTACGCTTTAGCGTTTCTGCAATAGTTAAAGTTCCTATTCTCATATCTGCGCAAAAAAAAAAAAACAAATCAATATCCGAGCTATATTCAAATTTTTGCAAAATTTAACAACAGCATATATAATGAAAGGGTATTCGAGCTATTGAGTACACCCATTTGAAATTGTTGTGAGTTGTTTTTATTTGTGCTTTATTTTTATATCAACTTTTGTGTGCATGCGCTTAAAATCGCGGCGTCTGCCTCTGACTCGGGACGCAGGCCGTGAGTGTGTGTGTGTGTGTATGTTTGGCTGTGTATGGGTTATGGATGGGGGAATCGAGTGGGGTGCGTTTCTGTATGGTTGTTGTATTTTTTTTGCGACTGAGCCTGTGCGTGCGAAAGTTTCGCAAGTTGGATGCTTGTAGGCTGGTTTGCCTGGGTTGGGTAAAAACCATTCGGCATTTGTCCTGTCTCGAGTTTTTTTTTTGGGTGTTCCAGACCCAAGACCAAATGTTGCCGTATTCATTTATATCGATTTTTCCACCTTGGCTATTTGCACTGGAGCCTTAAAACACACGCACACACACACAGAGACACCCAAAGTAGTGACATACTATCTCACTACACGCCACACGCATGTACAGTAGTAACTAAGATGTGGCACTGTTTCAATGATTGCCCAAAACTTATATTATTGAAAAGTAAAATTTTTATTTGATAAATGAATTGATTGATATGAAAAGCTATTTCAAATGACGTTTGAATAAATCTTATAAATATTTATTATCTTTAATATTTAATTTTATTTTCAATTAAATTAAATACATTTTTATATTAGTTGACATTAAATAAATAAACACATAAATAAATAAATCAAGCAAAGATTTTTAGATTGCGCTACTTTTTTTCGAAAGTTCTCAATTGCGACCGTTTACTGTACTTCTTATATATAATTTTGCGCACTCTTTATTGTAGATTTTCATTTTGCTTTCATTTCAATTTCTTTTGGCTGGGATTTTGTTTTTGTTTTTAGCATTTTTATTGCGTTTTTAATGGCATTTCTTTCCGGTACAACGCCTCCGAATAGCCAGGCAAATGTTTAAGGCTGTCGCATGGTTTTTTCAGCCCGTGTTTCAGCCCGAATTGCATACACTTAACCCAACTGGGATTGCCAAAGTTGCTACGTTTCTTCATGTGTGGGTGAGTGTTGGTGTGTGTGTGTGTGTGTGAACCATGTGTCACATGAAAACTCATTATTCAGGTAAACGCAGAAGCAGCAACAAACAACAACATATAAAAAATAAATGTGCGCTCATTTGGTTGGAAAATTTTTTGGCTCTAGCCAAGCTGTTGGCGGTAAGTGGCAAAGTGGCAAGTGACCCACAAAACTAATTACAAGAACACATTGATATTGGCAGAATCAAAAATAATGGCACTTAGCCACTCTCTCTCGCCATCTCTCTCAATCGCGGACAATAGCCGAAAAGTTGATCAACCCAATTACACAGCTAATGGACCTAAATTGGCGCTGAGTGGCATTGATTTAATTACACAGTTATGTCTTAAATTTTACGAAATGGGCGAACAAAAACAAAACTTGAAATCAAGTTCTCATTTTCAGCTGAAAAGTATGCTTCACTTAAGTGACTATTAACTATTGGCCATCAAGATTCTGCTAAAATTTATGACACTTCTTGTCTTGAATGCATTTCCAAGATAAAATTTCAACTGAGTGCAAAACCAAGTTTGTAGGTGGAAAAAGCGTAGATTCATAATATTTGCCGGGGTTTTTTTATATTTGTAGTTGCGTAATGTGACAGTGATATAGATTATGTCAATGATATGCAATCAAAATGTCACTGTGCTCTGCTGTTAACTGGCAATCAGCCACATTAATTACGCTTCAATTGACTCTAAAATGGTAAATCAGTAATTTCTGCTTAAATTTTCTTTTACAGATACGATTTTCTTTTGCAGATATAACAATGCTTTGCCTATATGCTCTTAAGCTTAGGGATCAGCTGTTGACACACACACACACACACTCAGAGAGACTTATCATAATGCTCAGCATTGCATTAAGAACCACTGTGTATAAAAAACTAGAACTGCAACTTGATTAGCTGAAATCAGCAAAAAACACAAAAACCCTATATTAAATGAGGGCTTTTGTCTCTCTTATGTCTATGCAATGCTATAGTATAATTTATTGATTTATAACTATAACAAGGCCAACATGACTAACGTATCACAAATTATATCCTAGCCTTAACGAGTGGGGATATTTTTTTTATATTGTTGTTGTAGCTTTCCTTGCTATTGCTGATATATATATATTTTTTGTGTTGATGTCACGCAAAGCTTTATACACAAAGCCAATACAGAAGCGGACAGTAAATACACACACACACACATACATTTATAAATAAAACAAACAAGTAGCATCCAAAGTCAATGAGCGAGAAAATAAAGAGAATAGAAAATTGTAGCAGACAAAACTACAAGAGCAGCAGAAGAAGCAGCGATAGAAAAAACTGCGACAGCAACTGTAACAGAAATATCCGTAAAATCGAAAAAAAAATAAGAAAATCGTTAAGGCAGCAATAAATTGTGTTTTTATAAGGTAAATAGAGCAAATCCCGTTGAGAGCCAATTGGAGGCAGACCTCAAAATACAAACGTACAAGCGTACAAGTAGTACAGGAGCAAAAGAGAAGACTGCCTCTTGAGGGTCGAGCAACTCACGCATGACAGACTGACCCAAGCCACGGTACACTAACACCAACACACACACACACACACATATGCATACACACACAGGCATGTGTACATAAACAACACACAAGTTTGGCGCGCGTTTTTGCTGTTCGCTTTTGCTATTAAATTCTTAACGTTTGATATTGCGTATACTTTTATTTGTGTGCGTGTGTGTGTGCGTGTGTGCTTCTATGTGCTTATGTGTGCGTGTGTTTGTGTGCGTCTGCTGCGCCTAATTTATGGCAAATTCGCAGGTGCGCGTATTACTTGCGCGCTGTCAAAGACGTCAAGCGATGAAAGCAAACAGCAGCAAAAGCAATTTCAAGCCGTGGACTAAAACAAAAGAAATCACCACACAGACCCGCACACACACACGCACACGCACGCACACAAGCTGAGAGTAATTTTAAGAGACAGCAGTAGCAGCAGCAGAACGTGACGTGCCTGTGTATTTGTGTATATGTGTGTGTGTGATTCGCGGCTGCTGTATATATTTGTGTTTGAGTGTGTGTGTATGTAGAAACATTATTTCAAAGGCATTTGACTCACTGCAAAATGAGAAGATAGCTAAGAGAGAGTGAGATGGAGACAGAAATGTCAACAGAGTTCTTTTTAAATGCAGAAGCCAAAATAGCTAGCTTATAAAATACATGCATGCAAATATGCATACATAAATATATGCATGCATATGTATATATGTGTGTTGTTCTTATGTTACTCAAGTGGTACTTTAAAGTGCTCAGCTCTTTGCTTGCCCAACATAAATTTTCATTATTTCATTTCGCCCCGTTTCTGCAACAACAACAACAACAGCGATTGCTACTCACTTGTTTTGCGTTTGCTTTTTGGCGAGTGGCCGCCTCGTTGACGTCGACGTCGTCGTCGTTGTCGTTGTCGTCTTCGCCTTCGTTGATTTCTACTGCTGATGCTTTATTTCGGCGTTCAGCGATTTTCGTGGTATTTACATTAACTCACACACACAAACACAGGCACACGCACTTACAAACACAAGCATACACACACACACACAAAAGCTTTTAAGCTGTCTTTCACATTGCACATTTGCCTCTCTTGAAGGCGACTATTCCTCTTCTTGCTTTTATTATTACAGTTTACACACGACACCTCGTTACTTTTATAAATTTTCTTTTTATTTTGTTGTTGCTGCTGTAATTTTTAACTAGCTGTTGTTGTTGCCGTTGCGTGTGTGTATATGTAATATTTTGGTTGTATCCTGCGGAAAGGATGTCTCTGGCGGCGCCGTTCCGTTTGCCGTTTATATGGAGCGTAACGTATTTACACTCTAATTGACGGGAGACTACTGCGCGTATCAAATCAGCTACCAAATGGAACGAAGCGAAACTCGGTGAGAGCAAGTGCAGAGTGCCCAACTGTAGCACTCACCGGATACAAAGAGAGAGAGAGAGAGTGAAAAATACCATACCAAAGCTATAAAGTATCCGCTGACTTAGGCGCCAAATATGAACTGTTACAGGGTAGTTTAGGGCTGCCAACAATTAATAAATAAATCTAAAATAGGCATGATAAAAGATAATGAGTTTTAGGATCTTATGAATATTTAATTTTTTTAAATTAAATGTAGTTTTTAACTTTATTTTAAATTTAGTTGAGTCTGTTTTTTACTTGTACATATTTTCTATCGACTGACTTTAGTTGATATTAAATAAATAAACAAATTGATAAAATGCTAATATTTCGACTCAAATATTTATATTTATTTACTTCTGTAATGATATTGCTTGCATTTGCTTAACAGTAAACTAGAAAATAATTTGACTTCTATTTAGCTCAGTCGCACAGGATAACAACCTCTGCAGTCGCTCTGACAACCCTGCTTTTTGCTTTATTCTCACTCCCACTTTCCCTGAACTCAAGTGGCGACTTTACCGAGAGAGAGTAAGTGAGAGAGAGCGTACACTTGAACTGATGCAAGCAAGCGCAGGCGCAAAACGAAATGAAATGAAACATGCCAAACATTCTGGGCCCCAATTATAACAACAGCAACACCGTAAAGAACTGTCAACGGCAGAGATAGCAAACGGCTGCTCGACTGTTAGACAACAGTTTGTTGTTGCTGTTGCCAGTAACTTAACATCACAATAAACGCCTACAGAACCCAACCGACACTTGAAAGGACACCCACACATATACACACACCTACACATGCATATGGTTAAGCGCATAATGAACTCATCGACACGCATGAGCACAAAAAAAAAAACAACAGTCGGCGAGACGAGGGCAATGGGCAGTAAGTCAGCCAACGACAGCTGATCAGGTTGCAAGGGTTGTAATCGGCTTTGTTGTTGTTGTTGTCGCCCAGGGGTGCTGATGACCAAAACTGACACAAGTAATGAAAACAAAATAAAACACAATAGGGCAAGGTAGACAGCTCCTCCTACTGCTGTACCTCCTGCTCCTGTTCCTGTGGTACCATGTAACTGAGACTTGACCATGTGCATAAGTTAAAACTGCTGCTGTTGTTGTTGTTGTTGTGCGGGGCGGTTGGTTGTCCAGTCTGCGGCCGTTAAGCAATTGTTGGATATCGTTATTTTAGTTGTTGCTAGAAACGCTAGAGATGGGCGAGTGTTGAACTTTTGTTCGTTTCATTTCTTTTTAATATTGAATATTAATATTCCCTCTTTTCATTTAGGCAAATCCATTAATTAGGATTTTCGCTTAGTCATCTGATTGCTGAGTTTGCTTAACTGACAAAAAAAAAAGAAGAAAACTCTTTTGCTTTTAACGTTAATAAACTAAAACATACAAGTTAGAAATTTTTGTAAGCGAAATATAAAAACGTGGCAGTGGAAGCAAAAGCTATATATACCTACATATATGTACATACCTACGTACCTACATCTATGTATAATTACACTCCGAGACAATTGAATAGCACAGTTTCCAATTCGATTTTAAGCTTAAAAAGCTGCAAATGAAGAGTGTTAAGAAATAAATTTAATTTATTAACTTCTTAGGATAAGGATTACATTTTTCTTAGTAAAAAAAAGTGTAATAAACTTTTTAGATTTAATTAAATGGAATTTTGTAACTTCTTAGGATGAGAATTACATTTTTCTTAATAAAATACTATTCTTTTTATAAGCTTTTAAAATCAAAATACATCGAATTTTGTAACTTCTAATGATAATAATTATTATAATATGTATTTTCTTAAGATTTTTAAATTTAAGTGTAAATTAGCCTATGAATCCTATAGGTATTCATGCATATTAGATGCTATTTAGCCAAGCGTAATAATAGCATTAACAACATGCCGTGTCACGCGTGACACGTGCTAAACGCAAATACAACAACGATGACATTCTTTGCTGGCTCTGCTAATGACCGGAGCCTTTCATGCCTCATGCCCCATGGCCCATGCCCCATGACAATATGTTTGCTAAGTCCTTCGCTTTCCTTTGCTGTCGGCTTTGAAGGGACCAAAAAGGGGCAGCCTATCACCGTGTGTGTGTGTGTGAGGTGTGTGTGTATTGGTGTCTTTTGTGCAAGGCTTAGTGGGTTGCAGTCGAGACCCCAAGAGGAATAAAAACAACAACAACAACTGCCATTCGTCGCTTGCAGCTGCAAATAAGGCATTAATATCCAAGTTGAGGCTCAACTCCAGCTCCTGTTGCTGCTCCTACTGCTGTTCCTGTTCCTCTTCCTATTGCAGCCCTCCTTGCCAGGCTTCCCATGTTTTTTTGTCGAGTATGTCAGGGCAAATATTAGTATTCCACTTCAATGCTATAGCATTTTGTAATGGAAAGTGTTGTTGTTCTGCTTGCCTTACCTTCCCCTGCCTCCCTCTCCTTGCCTTTCCTTGCTGTCTCCTTGTCTGCCTGTTATCGCCTCATCCTCTTATTTTTCTGTGTCTTCTTCTTATTTTCCTCGTCGTCGTCGCATCCATCAAGCAGTCAGCGAAGCGCAGCTAATGTGTCACATTACAAATGGGCGTCTGCCGGCAGGGCACCTGACAACCCTTAACCCTTAACCCTCCAACACCCCAAGTCCCCAACACCCCATGCAAATATTCTCACGCAGTTCAATAACAAAAATATTAACACGGACGTAGCTGGAATCGCAGTTATAAGACAAATCCTGCAGATAATGCATCTGCATCCAAGCTGACAACTCATTTATCCACTCAGAAAAAATCTCCTTAATATGATAATCACTCTGAAAACTAGAAAGATGTTCTTTTTTTTAGAAATCATTTCTAAATATGCGAAAAAGTGTCTTAGAAAGGCTTGTCTTTCTTAATATTATTTCCTTCCTAAAAAGTTGAAATATAAATCTCCCTGCTTTGCTTTTTGATATGTGATGTGTGATTGGTTTTGTTGTATATTTTATCCAATTGGAACACAGAAATCTTCAAAAATTGATGTTCTTAGGGTTTGATTGCTTTTTAACAATCAAAGCAAATAATTGCTTTGGCATTTCAGTCTTATATAACTTTAACAACTCAAAATTGAAGTCTATAAGAATTTGGATATATGTGTATACCTCCCTTTGGTATATTCCCTTCGCCCATGGCTTTGGCTGACAACTGTTTGTCTTTTGCTCATCATTGCACAGCCAACAAAGCATTAAATCAGCACTTTATTCGGTTATATTATAGTTATTCTACTCTCAAAGCACAGTTAGCAGAAGCAACAGTTAGAAGTGAAACAAAGCGAGCATAAACATAAAAGTATCATCATCATCAGCATCATCATCATCTTCATCATCATCATCATCATAAGCATCAGCATCATCTTCCGGAATAGCATCAATATTACCCTGGACTTAATGCAGCAGCAGCAAGGCGTTAATATAGAAAACCAGAGCCAAGTCGTTAATGTGTTCGTTATTGGCATCATCAACAGCATACCAGCTGCCAATTTCCATTACATTGCGCCAGTTGAGAAACTCGTTATAGCCATAAAGTCCACAAATTGTAGCTACAGCAGTTTATCATTAACAGTGGAACAGTGCTACGGCAACTTCCTAGATGACCACTCACCTTGCTCGAGAAACAAATCCTGATATTTGCCCAATCCCATAGCCAAGCTGCGTATCGCATTTTGCTCATTGAGAATTTCGTTGCAGTGACTCTTGGCCAACTGCTCGTAGAGCTGAGGGGGACTCAGCCGGATGGCACACTTGTGATGCTCCAGCATATAAAGTAGAAGTACCCTGTAAAAAAAATATATATATAATAATTAAATAGTGCAATTAGAGTCGTTTGGAAAAGGTGGAACAGAAAAAAATCTCGATGAATATTAGAAATTCGCCATATTATTCAGAAAATAAAAACAGAGTTTTCCTTTTCTTAAATTCACGGTTAAAAATTCGAAAATTTATTAAAAAAATATATATGATTCGCAGGTATTCTTTTTGCAACTTTTACAATAACTTTTTATTACTTGTATTCTTAATATACATTCGAATTTTAAGCTTTCACATATACTACCATTTGAATTAGTTTATAAATTTAATTAGAAACAACTTACGATTTTAAGGCGATTCGAGCACGAGACCCTCCTACTCGGACTTTAAAGCAGACAACAGCTTAACTCTAGCATGACCGTTACGAGAGCAAATTTAATTTATATTTCCGAAATGAGTGTATTTTGTATTTCTAGTTTTCGGAAATGCATTTCTTAATAATAGGAAATATTCATTAAAAAAAAAATAGAAAAAGAGTACCATATTTTAAAAACTGTCGATTAAGGGCAGGTATAAAAAAAAAATTTTTTTTTCCTTACAAATGATTTCTTTAGAAAATTTGGTAATTCTAGGACGATTTTCAAATTTCAAGACGATTTCTAAATTTCCTGAGTGTATTATCGAAAGCCTAAGACTGTTTATCGGATACTTACTGATGAGTACGCTGATAACCGTAAGCAGGCGCTTCGCTCGTAAGGACCTCTAGGCAATCCCGGCTGAGTTTGCAGTTTCCGGTATTGAGGGTGACGATATCCCGCATGCAGCGATCCGATTGAGTGCTATTTGGTGCACCCCTATTAACCAGGCTTTCATAGTTCATGGCCAACAGCTCGTATTCAGCATTTGTATTTAGCGCACCATATCTAATTAAATGAAGTATCAAGTTAAGTAGCCAATTACACAGTTGAATAACTTTAGGTTGTGTCTTACTTTATAGATGGTGGCAACAGCAGCACATTGCGCTGAAAGGCATTCTCCAGAACTAAGACAATAAAATAGTATATATATGGAAATGAGGAAATGAGAGTTAAATCGCAACTTACTAATCTGCTCGAGGGCACTCAGATTGTTTAACGTTGCATGCCGCATTATGTTTTCCATTCTATGCAGCAGATGATAATATAACTGCCTGTCGAATCGTGTGGGCGCCACGTAGCGCATTTTCTCTGTTTGGGAATTGTGTATGTGGAATAAACAGGAGTGGTTAATGAATATTTATGATGGCTTGGGGGACGCAGGGCCCATCTATCACACAAATATGAACGCACACACACAGCTCATTAGGCTCACGTTTTATCAGAAATTCGGCCAACAACAATGAAAACTTGGCGCTCGCATTCAGTTTCCTGCCACACGATAATTTATCCAGCAAAGCATAAATACGTTGCGACAGTTGCTCAACGGATTTGGAATTGGATTCGGACTCCGAATAGACTGTCGAATCTGCCAATTGCAACAGCACAGTGAGGACAGCACAAATAGCGCTTAGTTGAAGTATTTTCAAACCGAAATTGACGCACTGCAACATGTTGGCTGAAGCGCTTGGTTGCTTCTATGCCTGACTTGGTTGCCGGCCACATTGAAATCACATCGCCTGATTTCATTTTTTATGAAGATTAATTGGATGACATTTCTTTTGCTGTGCGTTGGCGTCTGGTGGGGCGGGAGGGCTTGGGCATTGGCGACTGGCGCGCATGTTGGGGTATCGAGTGCGTTGGTAGGATGGTCTCACAGGTCCACAATATTAAGTTTCGCATATTAATCACAATTTAAAATTGAATACATTATATTGATTAAAGAAGGGTGAAGCGATGGTGGCGCGAAAAGGCAAAGTAAGGCGCATTCTATGTGACTATTTCCTGACTAAATGGTTAACGAAAAACTTAAATTACATACATTTTATACTTAAATGATACAAAAAAATCGAATTTCTGTCATGCAAACGCTGTCCGCTTTTCCTATTTTGAATTTAGCGCCAACCATCGTCAATGGTGTATCGCATACGAAGCAACAAAAATGTTATCGATTAGTCAGTTCCATCGCCAGATGGCTAATGAAAAGTATGCAGCTCGCACACATCGCTGCGTAAAGCAAACGCCACTGCATACAATTTTACAACTATAATTTCGCTTACTACTGACACTATCAAAAACTAACGCTCAAATTGTATCCTAAAGTTTAAAACGGCTTAATAAAAGTGACATTTTTTGAATTAATACAAGTAAACTGATGAGAAGCGCTACAAACGAATTTTCTCATTTTGCAATTGTTTTGCAAGCTGTTTGGTTTAACAGCATACCAGACAAATGTTAAGAGACTCATACTTGTACTAACATTGCGTTAACAGGCGAATGTTTTTTACATCAGACTGTCTTTTGTCTTTTCTTTGTGAAAATTAGTAGTACTAGTAGATTAATTCGAAATACTTATTAATTACACTAATGTCGGACAACCAAGACAAAGAAGAAACATTGGCCAGTTTCCAGGTAAGGAACGCATCATCGATATTGCCCAAGACGCTGCAAACTTCTGTTATTATTTGTGGGCCCAAAAACGAGAGTGCTGAGTGCGCACATTTTCAATGCGTATGTTTTTCTGTGTATGTATGTATGAGTGTTTGTCTCTCTCTATGAGTGTGTGTGTTTGCGAGTCACTGTGAGGGTGTGCGTGTGTGTGTGTCTGTGTGTGCATATGTTTTATGTGTTTGTGTAGGTGTCTACGTCTTGGGCTTGCAATCATTTCCAAATGCAAACAAAAAAAGAAACTCAATTGAATTTTCAATGTCACAGATCATAACTGGCATAGACGATGTCGGCGAGGCCTTCTCTCACCTGGAGGCATCCAACTGGGATCTGGTGGTAAGTGTCTCCATCGATGTCAATGTACGTCAAATTAATTGCGTTGTTGTTGTTTTCTGCATTCGCAGGAGGCAATCAGTCGTGTCATGCCACACGAAGATGCCCCACTGGCCATCCACACGCCTGAGCCACCGGCTCCAGATCCAGTGGCCGTTGCATCCGCACAACCAGATCCAAATAATACCAATGGCTTTGGGCCATTCAATTTTGATGAGTTACCCGGCCCCTCGCAGGGCGCCCGCATGTTTCCAAGTGAGTATTTCGAAGCCCAACTTGAATAAGTATTACTATATGTATATATATATCCGATTGTAGCATCACAATGGCTAGCTCAGCTGACGTCGAGCATTAACTTGGATCCCTCCAGGCAGAATAATAACCAAATCATTATATTCAACATACACTTTAATCAACGGAGCTATCCAATTCGCTTGCCACCAAATGCAACCATAGGTGAGTCTAGAATATATATAGATATAATTCTCCCGATGATTGCTATCAATTCCCATTTACTTTTAGAACAACTAAAACGAAAGATCTTTGATGTGACCAGTGTGCCACCGTGTCGCCAGGCCATCCGTGGCTGGCCGCCGACCCGAGTCAGCGATGCGAAAATTCCCGAAACGCAGCTCTGCAATTTGGAATTGGAGGCAGAGAACGAGCTCATACTCGTCGATCTAACCGATGATGGTTTCATGGACACAGAACAGTAAGCAACGCTTTAACATCTTCTCTGATGTATATATTTTAATCATTCGTCGTGCTTGGACAGGGACGAGGTTACACAGCGCTTGGACAAAACATTCAAGATCAATGTTGTGGAGGAGGGCGGTGCCGAGGCGAATCGTCTTACACTTAGTCTGCCCGGTCGCACAACAATCCAAGAACTGAAAACGAATGTCTACTACATTACCAACATACCAGTGAGGCATCAGGAGTGGTCTGGCTGGCCCAGCGGTTGTGATAACGACACCAATTTGGCTGTGAGTCACACACGAATTACGCATAGAACTTTAATCTTAATCTTTACATGCGATAGACACTTATTGGTTATGCTAATTTTTGAAAAGTACAATAGGTATTCAAATAACTTTTTGATTAACATCACTAAAAAAATATTTTTTTATTGAATTTTCACGCACAGCAATCGGGCATAGAACAAACCCACGATTTTGTGATGCGCAACATTGCGGATCGAGCGTCAAACAATTCCAATTTGCTGGCCAACACGTAAGTCTAGAATTAATTGTATAATTATGTTTAATACTCATTGTGTACATATGTCTCAAATTGTTTAGCGAAGTCGTGACCGTCGATAGCGAGAGCTCAGCGGATGAGTTTGAGGATGCCACAGATTTCAATAACTCGGAATACATATTCTCAGATTCTCCGCCCGTACAATCGCTCAATAGGCATCTGAGTAAGTAAAAGGGGATTCTTATGTTTGTAGACTATTGGTTAATCTCTATATGATATTCTGTACACGCAGTACCCAATAACACAAATGATGAGACGAGCGGCTCAACACAATTTGTGGATAACTATAAGCAACGATTCGGCGAGCCACATCCCGATTTTTTTGTGGGCAGCTTAGAGAGCGCCTTGAGGCTGGCCTGTCACAAGCCCGCCAAGGAGGTAAGGCATTTGAAAAGTAAATTTTTTTAAAACTATATTCTAAATTATTTGTTATGCTTTATTTAGCGTAAACTGTTGGCCGTTTATTTGCACCATGGCGAGAGCATACTCACAAATGTATTCTGTGATCATCTCATGAAGGACGAGGCCATCATTCAGACATTCAGGGAGAGTTTCGTACTCTATGGCTGGGACATGACGTACGAGAGCAACAAGGACATGTAAGCAGACAAAGATTCATCCTTTAGTTATCGCTATTTATAAGGGACATTATTTTGAGTGCAGGTTCCTCTCCTCGCTGACAGCATGCATTAACAGCAACGCCTCGTTAACGGCCAGAAATATAAAACTTGACAAACTACCCGCCCTTATGCTAGTTGGAAAGAGCCGTCTCATGGGCCGCCAAACATGCGAAGTCTTATCTGTGATTTATGGTAAGCTAACCACAATTAGCAGCTTCATTCTATTGGTAATTTTAACTTAAACTTAACCACTTTCCTGTTGCAGGCAACATTGGTCTGGCTGATTTACAATCGCGGCTGATTGAGACGACGGTGATGTATGAGGAGCAACTGCAGGTAGAGATACGGGAGGAGAACGAGCGTGCTGCGCGCGATCAGGTCAAGGCTGAGCAGGATATGGCTTACGAGGAGACGCTACAGGCGGACATGGCCAAAGAGGCAGCGAAACGTCAAAAGGAGGCCGCTCAGGCCGCCGAACGTAAACGCATTGAGTCCGAACGGGCCGAAGAAGATGCTAGACGCGAGTCCATTAGCTTAGTGGTAAGTAAACCTAATTAAAATAGATATATGGCTAATATATAGACTCACTAAAACCCACTTGTTTGCAGGCTAAACAATCGTTACCTCAGGAGCCTGCCGAGCATGAAGCAAACATTTCCAAAATACGCGTACGCAAGCCGACAGGCGATTTTTTGGAGCGTCGCTTTTACACACGCAACACACTGCAGGTGCGTATCCTAAATATAAATATATAAAGCTGTTGTAATCCATACTGATATCCTTTCAGGATTTGTTGAACTTTGTGGCCGCCAATGGTTATCTGATCGACGAGTACAAGGTGATTAGCAGTTGGCCGCGTCGTGATTTAACCGCCATCGATGCTGGCCAAACGCTCGAATCGCTCAAGCTGTATCCGCAGGAAACGGTCATTTTAGAGGAGCGATTTTGATTTTATATCGAAGTCGTCTCATCCTGATTCAGCTATTGATTATGATTATGATTTTAATTATGATTTGAGTTCGTTTACATTGGGTTTAAGTTCTGAATTAATAATTAAAAGAAATTAGTGTTGTATTCTTACGTTAAAATTTTATATAGAGGAAACAAAAAAAAAACAGCAACATAAACGAAAATAATTAATGAGCATACAGATCGTTTAGGAGCTGCAGTTAAGAGCAAAGGTTTTTTTACAATTACAATATAATAATAATAAATACAAAATGAAAAAAAAAAACAAACGACGGATCGAGAGCAGCAAATAGTAGTAATAAATATATACTTCAATATATATATATATTTATATATGTTGCCCCCCTCCCTAAGCACAACTCCCCCTTTTCCCCCCTCACTATATAAATAGCGTTAGCGTTAGAAAAGCATTGAAGAAACGCATTTAAGTTGGCTTGTTTTACTTTATCAATAATAAATTATATAACATGTACTGAAACGCTTCGCCACAGGTTACACTTTGCGCTTAATTTACACATTTTACACATAACAACATAAAACGGGAAAGGGGAACGGGTATTACACAAAAACAAAAACAATTGAGCACAAGATTGTTGCTGTTGATGCAGCCGAGGAGTATTGACTGTACAGTGTAGCTGTCGAGAGATTGTTAAAATAATTCTCCTTAAATCTAGGCGCCTATCCAAAAACCTTCTCAATGGGCGCCAGCACCACGAGCAGAATCAGCACCACAGCGAACAGCGCCAGGACAACGCTATAGACGCCCAACAGACCCTTGCGCAGTCCCCCATACTGTAATGGATTATATGGAATAGAAAACGATTAATTATAGTTTTGTGAGAGATACAGATTTGGAACTTACAGGTGCATCCATTTTGCGCTCCATGCTCATGCCGTTGCGCATGGCATGCTGATGATGATGGGTCATATCGCCCATTTGGAACGTATTGATGCGCTGGCTCTGCTGGCGATCCGAGGCGATGCCTGACACCTGCCAATGATTAATGCACAAATAGATCTACAAATTAATGGACGTAGCCACGAGTTCAATGCGGAGAGACATGCGATGAGTGAATTAGTATCAAATGGATGAGCACTTAAGGACAATCGTATCAACGCTTTACAGGCAGGCAAATGCGAAAGGGGTCGAAACACACTAAATATATACACTTGGGACAGATGATATAAGGGATGGCATCTGGCACATAACTTACGGAGAATATCAGGTGAACCAGCACATGAAAGACCACAAAGCCCACTAGGATCCAGTCCATCCATTCAGGCAGCTCTGCCTTGGGCAATTTCACCGAGAAGAAAATGGCCACAACTGCAAAATGGGAATGAAATCAAATGAGAAAACTTGAGAGTGGGTACGCTCTAGTCGAGAGTGGGTACGACTAGGAGATACACTGAAAAGTGTTAAAACTTACTGGCAAGTATGTGCGCCAGATTGCCGCCCAGCCAGTGGCCCCAGTTGAAATACGGACGCATCTTGTCATTGGGTCCTGGGCGGAAGAGTGCACCAATGGGCTGCAGGAAGCAGAGTATGACCGTGATCAGGCCCGTTATGGAGTGGGCATGCCACACGGCGCGCTTCAGCTCTACCCAGATGATAATGTAGGCGGCCACGGTTAGGGACCAAGTGGTGACCATAAACATGCGATGCCAGGCAAACCACTGATCCTTGCCGCACGTCTGACTGCCCACCCACGTCTGCTTGAAGTAGCGCGCAAAGATGATACCCAGCGAGGTGGTGCCGATCCAGGCGGCAATCATGAAGGCGCCATGCAGACGCACCAGCAGCTGAGTGGAACCGCTCAGATCCTGGACGACCGCCAGATTGATGGCATTAGCGGATGGCAGGCGACCAATGTCATGATAGCCAACGCTCGCCTCTTTCAAACTGCTGCCCGAGGCGACGAGCAGATGATAGACACCATTTCTCAAATCAAAACTGCGTCCACGGACCACAGTGAGCGGTTCCCGCTGCACCTTGCAATAGATGACGCCGTCCACCAGCGAGGCATTCAACAAACGCGCCGTATTCTGGGGCTGTAAAGCAGTAAACGAAAACTGGATGAGCAGCTGAATCTGTAAGCTATTTGGATAAGCACTTACCACATTGGCTCTGTTGGCGGAGTAGGGACTGGCGGAGGTGTACGACGTGTACACATTAACGCGTCCATTTTCGGGCACACACTCGGTGCTCAGATCCTCACCCATTTTGGCATCATCCGACAGACCAACAGCCACATAAGCGGCATTGGTGCCTGCAAAAACAAAGGTGTTTTATAATCTAGAAAGGATTAGGAGTCTTCCCAACTTACCCTTGCCTGAGCGTAGCTCGAACTCGTAGATATCTCCACGCACGGTCACCGCTGTGAGGGAGACGCAGGATTTGCTGGCAACGCAACCGTCGGGAAAACCAAAGCAGTTCTTGCTCTGACCACAGCCATCGTAGAAGGTATCCTCGCTGGCGGGCAGCACATTCGGCGCCACATAGTTGGGCGGCACGTATGGTGATCGAGTGCTCGCAAAGTTCACATTGAAATTGTTTGGCGGATTGGGTGTGGGCAGCGGCACTGCTGCAGAGACATCACGTCGCACCACCTGCACAGGATTCGAGGGTACGCCTACCCAGAACTGATTGTACGACTGAGCAATTGTCGTGCTGTGTGTGGGAAGCAAGCCAATTAATGATAATAAAGTAATGGTAATAATAATAATAATGGTAATCAATAATAATAATAATAATAATGATAATTATAATAATTGTAATAATACAGGTCTTTGGGAATAATCTCACAGGACTTTACACTAGATCAGCATTCATTTAAATAAGGAATTCTGATTTAAATCTGTTCCAAGAATGATTGCTTTGGTTGCTTCTAATCTCTGTGGTCTTTTGGGAATTAAGGATAATGAAATAATAGTAATAACAAAGTCTACAGGTCTTTAAGAATATTATAAATCTTGATCAGAACTTGAGAGATGCTTAGTTGAGTGCCTCATCTAAATAAGGAACACATCTTAAAATCTAATCCAAGAAAGATGGTTTTCGCTTCTTTTAATTTCTGTGGAGTCCAAAACATAAACTTATCAGATTCATTCCTCTTGATCATGGCTTGGATGAAAGCTAGATGAATGCTGCATTAAATAAGGACGTCTGGCTTAAATCTATCTATTCTTCTTTTAATCTCCGTACTAAGAAAGATGGATTAAACTCTGTTTCCAACACAATCATAGAAGTTTTAAATAATAGTAAATCATGCTCGATACTCACTTGAAGACCACTTGACCCAGAAAATCGACCGGTGATTGCCAGTCGATGCTGACTTGCGGCTTGGGACCCGCATTGCTGTGCGTCGCCGAATTGTTGACGGAGTTCTCACAGTTCATCAGCTTGACGGTGCCATCGCGCGACGGACTGAACTGGCCGACAATTTGGTAGGGGGGATTGCGATTGCGCGCTTGAATCATGAAGCCGCCAAAGTTGAGACCCGCCGGCACACCGGACACACTGACGCGCAATGTTTGGCCCTGACCGACCACCGAGCTGGATGTCTCAACGGTGAAGGGGGAGACACTGTTCTCGGGCAGCACCGTGCCGCCGGCATGGAACGGCAGCATTGTGTCGCATACCGTTTCCGGTGCACCTTGTGGCAAGCCACGCACGCAGCCAACAATGAGCAAAGCGGCCAGCGCAACGGGCAGGCAACGTTTCCACTCCACCACCATGGACAATGACATCTTCAAGCACCTGTCGCATGTACAAATAGAGAGAAGGAGAGACTAACTCATTAGCTCATCGCATAGCACACGAAGCGTGTCCCTGCCTGACAGACAGACAAACTGACTCACTGACTGGCTCTCAACTGTCTTATGTCATCTGTGTCATCTCCAGACTGTTTAATTACCATGCCAAATCATAATTGCAATCATCGATGCGTTGTAGCATGTACAAAAAACAAATAAAATATACATATGCCATATGCATATACATATATCGTTTGGTTACTATATCGCAAGCTGATAATGCAGATAGTTGCTACTGATAGAGGCTACAACCACAACTACAACTGATGACTGACGACTGACTATGTCTGTCTGCATTCAACATTACATTTAACATCGTTTTGCTTTCTGTTTTAGTTTAGTTATGCTCCGCTGCGTATACGTAATAATTGTGTGTTTATGAGCAAAAAGCAGACTGCGATAAGCGGCAACGTAATTAGCTATAAACTAACCAATTCATTATTTATTAGCTAATTATGTTTATCACAGTTGTCGCAAAACGTGTATTTCAGTTTACATTTAAGCCGCTTTCAGCTTTCATGACGCAGAACGTGCTGTTTCCCCAACTGACTAATGCGACACACGCACATACACACATATATATATATATATATAAATATATATATACAACAATCTGTTGCTCTCAATTGTGAGCCTAATGTTAAGCACTGGTTGCCCCTGAGCTCTGATTCATTCTATGAAATACTCAGGTGTTTATGCCTCATGTTGCTAGATCGTTCAAATATTAAAAAAAAATTAGCATTTGAGTTCCTACTCTGATTGGGTTTTTCCTAATGCATGCAACATATGGTGGACCGTTTTGCATTTAAGCATCCCACAAAATTTTTATAAATATTACTTATATTTTTAAAATATTACATTTTATATTTAATTGAATTTATTTTTTAATTTTTGTATTTTTCTGGATCGACTAATATTAGTCGGCATTAAATAATTAAATATACTATAGAGAATTTTACTAGAACATATATTTAAAAAGATCAACTGCTCAACTGTTCTAAATAATGTACAGATAAGTTGTAATCTGCACTTCTAAATATAATATTGGATTGCACATAATATTTTATCTCTGATCTCCAGACTTGAAACCCGAAGTATATTTATATTTTCGTAAAAGTTGATAACAATTTTAATTTGTTGTTTGTCAAATTTATTTTAATCTACGCTGCGTAATCAATCTTTTGTTTAACTATATGTTTAATGATTAAACCTTAATTCGTAATCAAATAGAATAGAATGGAAATCGAAATGAAATTTCACATGCTGTTAGCCGACATAAAAAAAGTAAAAGTAACTTCAAAGTCACATTCTAATGTTGTAAAACGCCAATTTCGTAGCACAAGCATAGTAAAAAAGTAGGAAAGCTGCAGGCGAGTGAGCTCAACTACGAGATACCCTGCAGCCAGGTATTAAATATAATATTCAAAAAATCACAGACAATGAAAATACGATTACGACTTCATTTAAAATTGGGCGTTTCTGATTCGTTTCTGATAATAATCAAATTTTTTAATATCATAATAAATTATCAATGTATTTTATATATCAACTTAAGGACACTGCCTTCAAATTTATTGCTTTTACCCCTATCGGAAATCGATAAGTATCGATATTAAATAAAAAAAACTTTATCTACATTATGCAAGAACCTGAATATTTGGGAATTTAAAGTCAAGCTCTTCTAGTCTCGGCTATTGAAACTGATCAAGAATGTATATAATTTTTGTGGTCGCAGCTGCTTCCTACTGCCTGTTACATACATTCACACAAAACAAATATACCTTTCTTAGGTTCAAGAGTGTCGGGTAGAGTAAAATGAACCACATGTGCAGACAGTATAAGTCAGCTGAATGAGTATGTGGTTTTTCCCCAAGTCAATGTTGATGTGTGTATCGGGTTTACGGAGCCATCATTACGAACTGAGGATGAGCATGAGCTAAGCATGCTAATTAAGCGCCTACTCATCGAGATGGTGATGATGATGATGACGTAGTCAGCTCTGTGGGGAAGGCGAAACTGGGCACAACAAAAACAACATTCTGTATCTGGAGAATGCGAATTGAACTTGAATTATAAACAAATCGCATGCGCATTAACCTTGAGTTGTACGAGCATGTATGCATATATATTCGGTATAAAATAAAATTTGATTGCTGTATATAACAGCTTTTCTTGAAAAGTAACTTTGCTTTCAAACTGTTAATTGAAATACACGTATTAAGACGTAAATCCCGACACACATACTCAATTGTTTAATGCCACTTAAGAGCCCAGACCCGAACCGAATCGACTTGATTCAAAAGTTAGTCGCACAATGGGTGTTCGCATTGAACTTCAGTTAAACCTTGAAAGTTGAGGCATTTTGTATGCTTTATGTGTTGTGATTTATCTAATATAAATTGTAATACGAATAAATCAAGATCGCAAAACCCCTCCCCTCACCTCACCTCATCGAGCACACATTCACTTTTGACTTTGTGACGATCCATGGGCAGTGCCCCTTTTGAGTGAGCGGGCAGGGAGGGGTTAATACTTTCCGATAGGGTAAAGAGAAAACTTTAAAATTTCACTTAACATACAAATAATAACTATTTGGCACACAATTCTTGCCACAACCAAGTTTGTGTGTGTCTGTGCGTGTGGTTGTGTGTGTGTGTATTCGTGCCTGGGCATTGGCCCCAAAGAGTCCATGGCGGAATTTAGCTTTTTGTTTTGAACGTGAGACCAAACTGATTAACCGTTTGCAACTTGCAACAAGAAAAAAACTCAAGTAACACAATGGCACATTATGTGGGCTTATTATACACTTGACTCTATACGTGTTTAGATATAACTACAATGATATAGGGGCCATATATACAGCTGCTACAAAATGACAGGCCCATGCCCTTGTTAAAGCCAATTTGAAGTTGCCACAAAATGCCAATCACCACTTTGTATTTGTCCACTAACCTGGGCACTTATATTTAAGCACATTTATATAAAGAAATAAACATATATACATATACATATATATATATATATATATATATATATATATATAAGGCTGTTTAATTGACAGCTCAGGTCTAATTAGTTTTGAAAGCATTCGCTTTACGTTGTCTCTTAAATGATTAAAGGAAAGGTTTTTATTTGAGGTTAAATACCTTAAAATATATTTTCATAATATGTGATTAAGTTTCTTTTGAAAGGAAATATTGCTTAGTTTAGCAGAACCAAAGCCGATTTAAATCTGTGCAAAAGAATCTCTTACGTTTCGCTCTTAGCCGCCATGCACCGATAGACTCCTCCTTATTGACCTTCCCGCCCAACCAGTCGTCGTGTTATGCTAGATGGTTTGTTTGTAGTTAATTTACCAAATGGTGAAATCGATTCAGTTTCGTTTTTTGAACCAAATTCATTTTTCTGTTCCCTCTATAAAAACCCGTTACTTCTTCGCACTTTCTGTTAAGCGTTGTACTAATAAATATTCCTTACATTATCCGTTTTGAGTACAATGTAATGATTACAAAAGGCTTTATTTATAAATAAGAACTCAAACGGTTTGTTTGTGGTTGGGCATCTTATCTAATTGAAGCTAACTTTTTCTTTAGTCTGATTGGGGTTTTTCTTGGTTTTCCAGAAATCTTGCAAACATTTCTTATTTTATTAATGTGAATCTAAACATTCAATTTAATTCTTAATTAAATTTAATTCATTGTTTATTTTGACAGTAAATAAATAAATGTAGAAAAAAATAAATAAAAAAACCTTTTCAGATTGTCTGGCGGTATTTAGGAAATACGTTCGTAAGCTTCGTCAATGTGTTAACACTTAAGTTATTTAAAATCAATCTATGTGTATGTGTGTGTGCCCGCACGCAAATGAATGTATTCTCTTGACCCTATTTTTAGTGGTGGTTGGTCCGTCCACCTAGGCAAATGTTTGTTGATTGACGCAATCTTTGCTGGACATCGCGTGCCACAACTTGCAATTGTGTTAAAGGAAAACATATATTCGCTTTTTTATAGTCGTGGTGAAATACATAAAAGGATCGGGAACTAGGTGAAGGAAAACAATGGGAATACCTAAATGATTAATCGAGCACACTTGCACCTAAATATATAGATATATAAATACAAATTGGTAAATGCTAGTTAGTTTCTTGTAATCATTTCATTACCCCAAATTGCTGAGTGGGCTGCACAAACGAAGATTAGGCTCAAAATGCGTGAAATACGAATCAAATTAGCGATAGCATTTACTAACTTTACTTGGAATGACTATCACAAACGATATGATTAATAAAAGTGTGGTGAACATATGCCCTTAAATGAGTTGTAAACTTAACAGGTGTACAGCATGATATCTATGACTGAGTTAAAACAGAATAAAATCTTCAATTTAATGTTGTTAAGAGCTCTTCTACTTTAACTGTTGATATAATGAATATACTGATACATAGATAATAGAATTCCATTCATATATATTTTACAGGTTAGCACATTCCATTCGTTGCTCGCTACTCACCGTTTACAATTAAAAAAAACTATCAGCTTAACGTGGTTTTGACATAAAAGACAAAAAGTGCGTCTCTGTAAACTGGTCTTTTGAGTTAACAGGTGTACAATTTTTAGACTGGAAACTGTGTCAGCACGTGCCCGCAAAACTGGAAATAGCTCTAACAATTATTGGAAATCAATGGAATTGCCAATTGATGACATCACACACATGAGTACATGTGAAGTCTACGCTTTCCAGTCTATCATGAGATACTTCAGAGACAGTAGCTTTAATAAGTAAGTGTGAAATGTTTTTACAAGCAGCCGCACAACTTGTTGTAAGGTTTGTAAATAGAAAGCTACTTTGATTTATCAGCAATTTAGGAATTGTGTAAAATAACTGCAGAAACAACAACAACAGCAACATTAGCGACAAGTGTTGTGAAGTACATAAGGGTATGTGTGTGCTAATTGCTAATGGAAAGCGTCACGTTCGTAGCCACGCCCCTCTTCCGTCTTTGAACCAAACAACTTTGAATTCTAGGCTTTTTACACACCCTCTCATTTAATTTTTTTTCTTTTACAATTGACTTGCATTTGTCTTTGTTTAAATATTTTTTATGCATTACACTGCAATTATATTGTTACGCCTTATGTTTACATCATCGACAACAATAACAATAACAATATTCGCTTTGCACTGCGCGCATGCGCGACTTTAACATCACATCACACACACACACATATGTATACACAAAAAAGTTGTTCCATTAATATTATTTGTCATTGTATTATAATGCATTGCGTTCGTTTTGATATTGCCATTGAAATCCAGCAGAGTAAAACCTATGCGACAGCTGCTGCTGCCGGCGCAAGAGCTTTTGCTGTTGCGTTGTTGAACACTCGCATATTGACTCACACACAATCATCACACACAGTCAAACATACATACACACACACACACATAGACCAGTGGACAGCATCATTGCTGTGGCGTTACTGGAAACCGGTTTCCAGTACACCTTTACCGTAGCCACCACAATAACAACCTGCGACATAGTTGTATTAACATAAAAACAACACTGCTTTGTTGTTGTTGTTTCCATATAGATTCATTGTTGTTGTTGTAGTTTATTTGTTTGTATTTTTTGCGCGAGTCTCTCACACTCTGAGCTAACTGAGACTTTGGAATTTTATTTTTTTAATGAACTGAACCGCAAGTTTGTCTTCTAAACTTGAAACAAGTTATCGGTTTATAGCACAAATTCCATAACCACTGCTTGGGTGCGGCTTGAAGTATTTTTTTTTTTGTAAATTTGTTGGTCTCAAGTTTAATTTCACTTTCAAATGCATTGCATATTTATGTAAAAAATAATTGAATTTCTTTTTGCATATTGCATGCTTTGCACCACACACAACCACATTGAACCAAATTCATCTTAGCTTAGGCTGTATGACATGTAGAACACGTGACATGCATAACTTAAAACTTGTTTGCCAAAGCAATTGCACTAACCTAAAATTGTTGTTAAAGCGTTTAAATAAAATTAAAACAGCTTTAGTATTTTTGTTCCGTTTTTGTCGCGAACAAAACTGCGCGCCTTGAATTCAAATCTACAACTGACAATTCATTACTCCAATTGGGCAGGCGCATGCTGTGCCTCACAGTGGTGGATAGCAAGTGTGGTGAATTACTGTCATATCATCTACCACACCACACCACCGATTAATATGTGTGTGTCAGTCAGTGTCTATCGATAGACGATGACGAAAAACATCTGATGTGTTTCTTTTCTTTCTGCAATAAAATTTTTTCAATTAACGCTGCTTAAAAATTTGCGAGCATAAGAATGTGCTATAAGTTGCTAATATTAGCAACGCTCATTGCGCTGACCAGTTGCGAGGTCGTTATTGGCCAAGAGGATCTCGTCGACGAGATATCTGGCCACTACACCATCGAGGGCAAAGTGTATGCCCCAGATTTGGGTCCAGGAGCGGCGCAAGGTCTTCCCGTGACGTTGCCAAGTGGTAACAAGTGGCAAACGGATCTGTCCATCAGCATCAACAATGGCGAGTTCAAGGGATTCGTGCGCGAAGATGGACAATTTATAATAAGTGGTGTGCCATCGGGCAGCTATGTCCTGGATATCTATCATCCGGATATATTTTATGAGCCGGTCCGTGTGGAAATCAATCCAAAAGGCAAGTTCCGGGCACGCAAAGTGAACTACATGCAGCCGGCGCAGGTCGTCCAAGTCCCATATCCACTCAGGATGAAACCGCTGATGCGATTCAAATATTTCCAGACACGAGAGCAGTGGAAGGTATGTGCAAGATTGGGATAATCCTCCAGTTACATGCCAGTCTATAAACTTTTCCCTCTCTCTCTCTTGACAGATTACTGACTTCCTGTTCAGCCCTATGGTGCTGATGATGGCTTTGCCTTTGTTACTTATGCTTGTCCTACCCAAAATGATCAACGATCCCGAGACCAAGAAGGAAATCGAGAACATGCAGTTCCCAAAGGTAACAAAAAAATAAATAAATAATATACCACAATGTATTCACATTTCGATTTCGCGCCAGATGACAAACGATATGCCCGAGATCAGTGAAATGCTGACCTCATTTCTGGCGGGCAAGCAGCCTGAGCCGAAGGAGAAGAAACCAATTGCGGCCAGCAAACAAACTAAGAAACGCAATTAGCAATTGGCTATTGCCATGGAAAGTAATTCAATAAAGCCCTAAGCAAATAGTTAATATACTCTCAATGTATAGTCAAATGTCAGTAAAAATAAAAATAAAACAAATAAATTTTCATATTAAATAAAAAGCGCTTTACTTAAGAAATCCAACAGTTTTTGGCCGTTTTGGCCCTACACGCTCCTGTTCCGCTTTAAGCATCTTAACGAGCAAACTGTTTAGCTGCTCACCTATCGAGACACCTAATTGGATGCTACTGAGCATGGTGTCCCTGTGCATGGAGCCGCCGCCGGTCAAGTGGGTGCCAGCGAGATATGCTAAATGGAGAAAAAGGAATTTTAATAACAATAATATAAATAACTACTCTGTAATAAAAACCTTCATTGTTACGCATGGAGACGGAGACAACCATGCTGACCGTGCTGCACACCTCCTCCTCGGCCGAGGGGTCGACCAGACAAAAGTCACCAATTTTACAAACGGTTACCAGCAGCGGCACCGCATCAATGCCAATGCGTGTGCAGTCATATGGATTATCGGAGATTATCAGATCCGTGATGCCAGCGTCCATCAGAGTTGCAGTTACGCGCGGCAACTTTGTGTTGAAGAGCGCCGCCTTGGCTGCTAGCGAGACAGCATCGTGCAGATTGCCACCACATTCCAGAATCTAAAAAAGTCGGCTTCTATATTAATAGTTTGCACATGGGATTGAGAGCACCTACTAAAATGTCTATATAAAGTTTCCAGCATTGCTGACCCGGTATTAGGCACAGGGTGCGATAGTCAAAGGCAAACGGCGATTCGTAGGCATTCTGAAGCGAAAGTATTAGTTCCTGTGCCAAATCAGAGCCGCCCCGTCCCTCAAATTCGGGTGTTGCATTTGCAGAACTATTTGGTAGAGAAGTTATCAATAAAAGTGGAATTTCGTTAAATGTTTCTTACCAATCGACAAAGAATTCCAATTTGCCAAACTCTGGCGTTAAAGGATTTGGTACATCAATTTCAGTCTTCACACCCACCAGGATATCTGTATTGGCCAAACGTAGACGCGCCGAGCCACTGGCATTGCTCACCAGCCCAGTTTCCAGCTCCATGGGCCGATAATCACGGCGCGAACGCCCGTCACAGCGAAAGTCCTCCTGGATTCAGACAATATAAGTACTTATTTTAGAAATCGGCCACATTTACAATAATCACCTCAACGCCATGTAAAATAAAGGTTTTCTCCGCTTCGCTAAGCGCAATGTACGCCATTTTTATGTATTCCAAATAAACATAAGAAACTATTCAAAGCCAAATAATACAAAATCAGCATGTGCAGAACCGATAACGATACAATATCGATATGCGTTTCAGGATTCATGCCTGTCATTAAATTATACAACACTGCCACCGGTGAGCTGCTAGTCAACACTTGCTAGAAACAAGCCAGTCATTTTGCTTTGCATTTCATTGTACGAATTACAAAAAGTTGTTTTTAAAAATCAGAAACAATATGGGTCCTGGTTTTGACTTTACCGACACTCCTGTCAGCACTGGCGTAAGTACCAAATTATCCAGATTATGCTTAATATGTAAATATGTATACGTTCTAACTGAATGCAGACCACCATTATGGCTGTGGAATTCGATGGCGGCGTTGTGATCGGTGCCGATTCTCGCACCAGCTCGGGCGCCTATGTTGCCAATCGTGTCACCGACAAGTTGACCCAAATTTCAGATAAGATCTACTGCTGCCGCAGTGGCTCTGCTGCCGATACCCAGGCAATTGCCGACATTGTAGCCTACTCGCTGAACTATCACCGGAACCAGACCAGCAAGGAGCCCCTCGTGTGGGAGGCCGCATCCGAGTTCCGTAACTTTTGCTACAACTATCGGGATTCGCTGTTAGCTGGCATCATTGTCGCCGGCTGGGATGAGGAGCGTGGCGGTCAGGTGTACAGTGTGCCACTGGGTGGCATGTTAACACGCGAATCTTGCACCATCGGCGGGTCGGGTTCGAGCTTCATCTACGGATTTGTTCGGGAGCATTATCGTCCCGGCATGCCCAAGGAAGAGTGCATTGAATTTGTCAAGAAAGGTTCGAAGTTCAATATATGCATGCTGCTGTTAGTAAAAATATATTTTTGCTAAACAATTCATATCCATTTTTAGCTGTGCAACACGCCATTTTCCACGATGGCAGCTCCGGCGGCGTCGTTCGCATTGGTATCATCGACAAGGATGGCATTGAGCGTCGTCTGTTCTATAACACGGAATCTGGGGAGTCGAAGATTGCGGGCTCACAAAGCTTTATAAACTAACTATAGAAATTAATATGGAATGGATTCTAAATTCAGATCAGCTTACACTCGTCAAGGAATAACAAAAATAATAATTTGGTTTTTATAACTGTAATTCTTATTGTGTATTTCATTTTGGTGGCTACAAGGTAGAAAAGACAAGTTCTTAATTACTATATGGAAATAAATAGTCGATATAGCTTAAGCCTAAGTGGAGTATACATAGATAAGATAAAAAAATAGCGCCCTTTTGTCACAACGCCTATTTATATCACATCTTCATTTTAAGTCCTTCAATACTTAAAACTAATTGGTTTACGAGCGGGAATGCAATGTTTCCGTCGCCTGTTCCGTTGGCATCGTATATGTAGTCTCTATGGATTTGGATGTGTTGCGGCTTTGCCTTCTGAAGCGATAATATATCTCTGGTGTCCACACCAGCACGACCAGGAGCAACACGACATTCTGGGCATACAAACAGATAACATACGAATTGGAATAATCACGTATCCAGCCGAGCATTTGCCCCACAAGGATCACAATGACGCCCTTCGCAATCATACTGAGACCCAAACCACCAGCCAGTTTCTCGGAACGACAATGCGCCGATATTGTCAGATTGTTGTTGATGACTGTCGCCGATTTGGTCATGCCAGTTAGCACAGACATGGCAATAATGATCGGCAAACTGGTGGTTTCGGCGAGGAAGAGACGCGACGTTAGCATGCCGGCTGTGCCCATTAGGAAGACAACACGATAGGGTATCCTCAACCGATCGGTTATGCAGGGCAACAGCAGCCGAAAGACGATATCAGCGCCAGCCACAACGGACATGCAGAAGGCGACCACGCTGCTGTCGAGGCCAGCCGTATGCTCCAGAAAGTGAGGGAAGACCATGGTGAAATTAATGGTTGATGTGTAGACCAGTGCCATGCCCACAATAATGCTCCAAAATACGATATCCTTGAGCAGTTCCAGGTCAAGAGCCTGCGCCAAACGATGACCCATTCGGCTGCACAGTGAGGCATCTTTTGATGGCTCCAACACTGTTTGCGGCATGGGATCCTTTTTTTGAGCAGGCTGAACAACAATTGCCTGCAATGCGCTGTTTTGATTCTTATCCTCCTTATCCATCAGCAGTCGCATATGCTTGCGATTATTGTGCGTCACTGGCGGATTCAACGGCTTCAGAAACATGGCACCAAACAGCTAAAAATATAAAATTGTATTGAGAAATTAGTTAAAGAGTTCAATAATAAATAGTGTATTATGTCTATACTAACCCCAGTCAAGGATAAAGCTGCCATGGCAAGCACAGCGCTGCGGAAGCCATAATTTTGTAGAAAATAGCGCACCACGTGCGGGATAATGACCTGGCCAACACCGGTACCGGCCAAGGAGACGCCCACTGCACATCCTCGCTTGCTACTGAAGTACGAATTGATGGCCATAAATGTCGATGGCGAAATCAAACCCAATCCGAAGCCAACGAAAAAACTATAGCCAACGATAAAGTGCCAAATCTCCGTGGCAAAGGAGCACACCGTCAACCCAAAGAACACCAACAAGCAGCCCGTGGCAGCCACATTACGTGGCTTAAAGCTTTTGATGGCCGGTCCAATGAATAAACCGGAGAAGTTCAAGGCCAAACTGTTTAGATTTGTGATCAGTGCGGCGGTGAATGTGTTTTCATGCATGCGCAGTTCTCCACCGAAAAGTAGGCCAAAGACCGATAATATGGACTGATTCGTCATCTGGAACAGAGAATAAATAAATAAATGGATATTTCAAAATACGTCGTTTAAAAAGCGATTGCCAAAGGGCAAATGTACAAAATTGTACCAAAGGTACAAATGTACCAAAATTTGTTGTTTTATCCAGGGGTAAAGATCAATTTTATAAGGCACTTTTTTCGAAAGAAAAACATTATTACAATGGATAATCAAAATACGTAATTACAAAAGCGATTGTCACAAACCAAAACGCAAATGTACTAAGAGATACAAATGAACCGAAGGTTAATTTTTTTCATTCATAAAATTTACTATAAAACAAATTATATATTTTAAAATAGGCAACTGTTTTTGTAGGAAATGGTAAAGGATTTATTCTATCTACTGGTAAAGGCAAACTTGATAAATATTGAGCAATTTTTTTATTTCGAAAAAGGAACACTTTAGCTTTAGACTTAGCAATGGATAATTCAAAATACTTCATTCCAAATGCGATTACCACGAACCAAAGGCAAATGTGTCAAATATATCAGGAGATACAAAGGTTGATTTTTTTAATTTATAAAACTTAAAATAAAAAAAAGGTGAGTTCTATAAAAATGTTACTTTTTTTTTTAAATTTGATAGATATGAATATATTTCTTATTTCGAACAAGGAACATGTTAAATACCAAAAAGGTTTTTCGTATAATTTAATTTTACAGAATCGTAGCTGGAAAACTTACATTTATAACGGCGACGGCGGCCACAATAACCCAGCCCCAGCCTCCGTCGGGCACAATGCGGCTCACTTGGACGACATCCATTGCGTAGTTTCAGTTGCGGTGCCAGCTAAATGCTGAGCAGCTGCTGAAACGTTAAGAAATGAATAGATAGCAGTTATAGTAACGTATTTACACAGTTGGATGAATTATATTTAATTTGGCTTATCAGTCGCTTGTACATTGTGCTATCAAATGTCTTTATCACGTAACAATAAATCTGGCAATTACGCGGCAAATACTAAAATAGTACTCAGGAAAAGGAATGAACCTCTTGGGGCCAGTGTGAAGATGCAACTCAAAAAATATTGTTACAGAACCGACAAAAAAGTACAAATGAAAATAAACAAAGAGCTGACAAGCCTACCCGCAGCAGGTATGTGCCCAATATGTAAACAAAGAGCTAATACATTTTGTGTTTATGGTGTGCGTGTCTGTTTTGAGTGCGACACATTTGAACCGATTAACCGATTAAGCCGAAAATAACTTAAATTGTTTAAATTAATTCGAAGGCAGGTCGCGAATCGCGACGCCAAAGCTCCAGTGCTGCTAACTGACTATCAATTAGCTCGCTAATGGCCACTGATGACGCTTCACATTTGCATCCAGTTGGCAGCGCCGTCTGCGTAATCAGCTGTTTGCGTGTGTTACCCGTTGTCGAATTTTGATCTTTAATTGCAATACTCGACACAATATTTGTTCTACGTGCGTAAGCCAAGCAATAAAATGTGTTTTCTGTGCACCCAGTGCACAGATGATGCCGTTGGCATTATCCAGTTCGGCACCCCCGAAGCTGAATTGCTCGACATAAATCAAATCATTGAGAAACATTTTTGGTTACGGGTAAGTTGCGGCATTGAAAATGGCCACTGTTGGCACTCAAATTGAATTGAATTTGCAGACCAAGGACGTCAGTGGACACATTTGTGGTACGTGCTGGGACCAATTGTATGCATTCCATAAGTTTTACACAAATGTAGAGCAGGCACACGAGCAACTTCTCCTGCAAAGCACCACAAAAGAAGCCGAAACCGAAGCGAATACAACGCTTAAAATGGAGCCAGCTGTGCAGGTACAGGTGAATCCGAATCCTGTGCAGCAGGAGACCGGATTTGCTGGTGACAGTGTGGCAGCTGCTGTGAAGCGTCGACGAGGACGTCCCCGCAAACAGTTGCCCGGCAAGGAGGCCATAGTTATCGATAGCAATGAATTTAAAGCAGTGCTGGAGCAGATCAATCTAAATGAGATAAAAATTGAGTTCCCCGAAGCGGATCTAAGCATTGCCGATGTGCTCGATGATCAGGAGGAGCAGAATATAACCGATTACCTGGAGCAAAGCGAGTGCGAAAGCGATGCTGCCGCGGCAATCACCAAGTCCAACAAACGAAAAAGAACGCAAAAGGTGAAAAAACATTGCAAAAAATTAAAAGTGGTCAGCAAGGTAAAATCTAGCGGCGTTCGCAATATAAAGAAATCGCAAGAGTTCAATGACTACATCCGGGAGCACTATAAGGTGCACTGTTCCATTTGCAATGTGCCCTTGGGTGACTTCTCCGAGATGCTGGTACACACGCGCAAAGAGCACAATCAACGGGGCTTTGCGCTGTGCTGCAATCGCAAGTTCTGGAAACGTGGCATTCTCGTCGATCATCTGCAACGCCATCAGAATCCGGAGTTCTTCAAGTGTCACATTTGCCAGCGCGTCATGGGCCATCGTCGCAGCCTCGAGATGCATATGCGCATGCACGAGGTCAAGCAACGTGGTCGACTCTATCAGTGCGAGCAATGCTCCAAGAGCTTCTACAGCTCCATCGTCTGTGAGCGCCACAAGCTGACCCACATTCCCAAGGAGCAGTGGCAGGTGCCCTGCACCAACTGCAGCAAGACGTAAGTGAAACGCAGATCCCATAGAAATAATATACCAATCTATATAATTATATATACATTTGATTTACAATACGATCAGTAGCAACTTGAAAAATTATGATCAATAATAGAGCAGTATGAGGAAAAGTCGACTAGCATCACGCGTCAACACTCTAAACTAACAGTTTCTTTATTTAGTTGAATATTAAAAGAAATTAAACTTTTTATTTAATGTAAATGTAAAATTGAAATTTACTTGCCTATATTATCAGTTAAAAGTTAGGACTTGTTTGTGTTCCCTTAAACTTTTTATGATTACTTGTTTTAAAACTGAAGGTTACTTTCCCCACACTTAAAATCAGTTTCAGTACCTTAATTTAAGTGATTTGAAATTTATTAGCGTGACGAGCAAAATCAGCACATAAAAAACTATAGCTTGAAATATAAACGTGATCAATCCATTATAAATTACAGATTGACGTATTGTGTTCACAAAGGGATCCAATCAATTCAATTGTGTAATAATTTTACAATTAATAATTTAATATAATTCCATTCCCTCTATCAAAGGACTGTATAATATACCCCAGATTTGAGTATAAAATTAGAAATGACCTCATGCATAGTATTTTTGTACTTTCTAGCTTCCCCAATGAGTATCTCATGCAGCAACACGTGAAACTGGTGCATCTGCGTAAGTTCGACAAGATTTGCGATGTGTGCGGCAAGGCGGTGCGAGGACGTGCGGGGCTGGCACGTCACATGGAGGAACACGCTGGTGTGCCCCAGAAGACGATCAAGTGTCATCTGTGCGAATCGACGCTGACAACCAAATACGGACTGGCGCGTCACATTAAAATGATGCATACGGCGGAGAATCTGCAGCCGATGCAATGCGAAATATGCCTGAAAATCTCACCCAGCCTGCAGGCCCATCAGCACCACATCAAATACACACACAATACGGAACGAACGCACCAGTGCCCCATGTGCACGAAGGCATTTAAACGGCCCAATGAATTACGCGTGAGTTTTGTGTATACACGAAAAAACGAAATAAACATAAATTATCGCTTTTTGTCTACGGCAGGAGCATCTGACAACGCATACGGGCGAGGTGTTGTATACATGTCCGCATTGCCCGAAGACCTTCAACTCGAATGCAAACATGCATGCGCATCGCAAGAAGATGCACTTCAAAGAGTGGCAAGAACACCATTTACGGCATCAGGCAAGACACCGTAAAACAACGGACAGCATAATTTCCGTAAGTGTGCGCAAAACAACGGAAAAATCGGCAGCAGCAACAGCTGCAGCAGTTGCAGCAGCAGCATCGGAGGAGGCAACGGCCGAGATTGGATTGGAGTGTTGATTAAGTGCCCTTTCAAGTGATTATGTATACATATATATATATATATATATATATATATATATATATATATATATATATATATTTATATATATTATATATATAAATAAATTCATCGTTCACCGATTTGCGAACATAATCAGTGTATAAAGCTTAAAAACAATTTGTTACTTATTTAATTGACCTGGCAAATCAAAGTCCTGAAACCGGTTAGCGCCGGTTCCCTGGCAGCACTGGGCATATATGAACTGGTATAGACAACGACGTATGGACTGCGCTATCAGCAGCGTTAAGGTCGCATCTGGTTACGACGCGCACTTACATTATTGTATATATTGATATATATATATATATATATGTAAATATGTATATTGTGGTGCAAAACGCATATATGACCGACAGAGCGGACTTGCACAATAGTTGTACATATAGATTTATATGTATGTCTATTTAAAACAGAGCCTAGACAACAGCATCTTTGTCGAACCGGTTTGAGTCGGTTCTAAAGTGGATTTAAAAGCCTTATCAGTGGTTCTGCATAATCAGTTCAAAGGTACAATCGCCGTGAGTTTGTTGTTTTTGCTCTAATTTAAACTTCTAGCTTCTTCAATCTGTGCCAAATCGTGACTGACCAAAAAATAACAAATCTGGTGTGTTTTTTTAATGGGATTTAAGTCTGGTAAAATCTTGTTTACAAATGGAATATTTTGTGAGATTCCACGCTTCACGAGGTCATTAGTGGATCACAATTTAATTATTTTTCATTTTTACTGTATTGCCTATTGTCGAAAAGAAATGAATTTGTCATTTTATATTTGCCTTTCATTTGTAAGTAAATATTGCATTTGCGAAACAAAGATTGTATCTAATATACACCTGTCAGGTACAAACCAACTTGTATTCAATTTTCTTACACTTACCCAAAAATTTATTTCAAGGAAGAGGCTCACTAAATATTTATGTAAGCAAAGTTTTTATATTTTTCTTACAACTTGTTTATTTACTTAATTCACGTATTTCGGTTGGAATTTCTGCCGTTTTTTATTTGTTTTCTTGTTCAATGAACCTTATCGTTCGACGAGCGAAGATTGTTTTGGCTCGCTGGTTGTTGCGCTGTGCTATTTATTGATGGAACGGCTTCGACTCACCATTGTAGATTTGGAAGATTAAATATGCAATTTGATGTTAAATTTTGGCGCCAAATAATAATCGAAAATGATTTTCTGAGACAATCGATGGTAACACTCTTGTAGCAATGAGCTTTTGGCTGTCTGCTCAAATAAGCTGAGAAATATGGAAATATACATCGATAAGTGTGTATATCGATAAGTTGGCATCAGTACGTGTCACACTTGTTGTTTTTATTTGTATATTTAATTATTAAATTTGTTTGCTGTGCCAAATTATCGCAATGGTCGACGATAGTACGAGAAAAACACTGAGCAGTATTCCATTGCTGCAAATACGTGCTGGGCCACGTGAGAAAGACATTTGGGTGCAGAGACTGAAGGAGGAATATCAGGCACTTATAAAGGCATGCACAGTATATTCTAAATCAAATCAAAAAACTAGATCTAATTGTAATTAATTCATCGAACTCTTCGGCAGTATGTGGAAAACAATAAGCAATCTGGCAGCGATTGGTTTCGTCTCGAGTCGAACAAGGAGGGCACCAAATGGTTCGGCAAATGCTGGTACATGCACAATCTGCTCAAATACGAGTTCGACGTGGAATTCGACATTCCCGTAACATATCCGACAACAGCGCCAGAGATTGCCCTGCCGGAACTGGATGGCAAAACGGCGAAAATGTATCGGGGTGGCAAAATCTGTTTAACGGATCACTTTAAGCCACTGTGGGCACGCAATGTGCCCAAGTTTGGCATTGCGCATGCCATGGCATTGGGTCTGGCGCCCTGGCTGGCCGTGGAGGTACCTGATCTCATCGAGAAGGGCGTCATCGCGTACAAGGACAACTGCTGAGGCTGCGGATTTAGTTAATTTAGACAACGATTTGAACAAATGGCAACTGTTTCTCTGGTCTCCATACTAAGAACATTTCATTGTTCAGTATTTTTTTGTAATTGCTACTTCACAATTGTTTGATTTTTTATTCTTTTTTTAGTAAAATGCAAAACTTTCAAAACAATGAAGTCTGGGTTTTAAAAGTGAAGCTACGTAAACTAGCAGAACCCGATTGAAGCGAAAGATAATTAACATATTCTGGAATGTAAAAGTCTGTGTTGTTGAGAATCGAATAGAAGGGCGACATGTAAATGAGTGTAACAGTGAAGAATGAAATATTAAGGAAGAGCGAGCTTAAGAGAGTGAATGGAAAGTATTAAGGGACACATCTTATAAAAGATGAATTGTACGAGAGAGCTTTTTCTTAATATTGGTGGAATTTAGACATATGTATTGTATGTTTGTGTATAATGAAAGTCATTTATCTTTGCAGTTTATTTAGTCAAAAAGTCAAATTGGAAAAGATCTCATCATTTTTCTCTTAGCATAGCCTAAGTGTCTTATATAGAGTAAGAATTTCATTTGGTTGCTTAAATTTGATCAGTGAGCTTTGGATAAACGTTTCAGTTCATATGATTGTTGCGCTGCCGCCAATTGTCCGACCAGATTGAGCTTGGCGACGTAAATGGATCATATTGGGCATGGGTGGGCATCGCATTCGATGCCACCCGCTCTTGTGCGTCCTGCAATGCGGCCAATCCATCGATATGGTTATTGTTGCTGTTATTAACATTGCTGTTGTTGTTGTTGTTGCTGTTAAGCGGCGCTGTTGCTGTAGCTCCTCCTGAGGATGTTGCTACTCCTACTCCTGCAACTGCTGCTGTTAACTGGCAATTGTTGTTGTTGTGTTTGTTATTGTAATTGGATTCCAGGCCAGGTGGTGGACGTATTACGCCCACACCAGGCGTTATGGTATGCGCCGGTGATGTACGTGGTGTTGCTGCCCCATGCTGCGGCCAAGCGGCATAGCCCAGTGGCGTCCAAGTCGCACCTGTTCCACCAGCAGCAAGATTCAGTGCCCAATTGTTGCTCTCAATGCTGCTAGAGAGCAGTAGCAATTTCTCCTGCTGCTTACGCTGCTGTTCCAATTGATCCAGCAGCAACTGCTGCCACAATATCAGCTCACTGCGTTCCCACTGCGCCTGCGTCTGTTGTCGCGATAGATCTGCGAGTGGCCAAATGTTAAAATTTGAATTATGTTAACGGATAGTTTTGATTTTTAATTAAATTCGATTTTTATACAGTGCTCGATCGAAAGTAATTAATTAAAGAAGAAATTAATGACGATCGCAAAATAATTGCGCTGAAAACAACAGTTTTGCACTCATTTTTCACTTTGGAAGCGGGTTTTTCTAAGAATCCCACTTAGTCTATTTGAAATTTAATGAATTGTCGCTGGCCACTAATGTAATGTAGTTAACAGGCCACTAGTGATGTAGAACTAAGCATGTAATAACAGCTGTAACATAACATGTATCAATGTACATCACATAGCGATAGCAATCGATATCGATCGTTCGATCACCCGCGTGAATCAGATGAGTTCAAAGTGAAGTGAGGAGAGGTGTTTTTCGAAGAACTATTAAATTAAGCTTTGCCAGCTACAGATTTGAATGCACATTTACCATTTAGGGTCGGCAAGTCCATGTCCAACGGCGGTGGCTCCACAACATCAAAAACAGAACTCATTGGCGAATGATCGTCGACGGCTGAATCGGATATCATCGGCGGATCCCAGAGAGATGTCACAGTGGGACTCTTGCGACTGCCAATTGGGCCCAATTGACTGCTGGCTAAGTCGCTGGCAGCCGGATTCCAGTTAAGGCCATTGTCCAACGCTGGTAACGCTCTCGTTTGCAGCACATCCCGGAAAGAGACGCGACTACTGGTCTCCCATGGTGACGTGATCATTGTCTCTGAGGCATCCACATCCGGCGTGGTCAGCGTTAAGACACCGCCACCGCCAGCTATAATCGCATTACCATTGAAATTGAGTTGCTTGCTGCGTTGCTTGGCCCGTTCCCCGGATTTCTTGCCGTTGCCATTGCCGGCGCCATTGAGAGTGATCAGCTTTTGTTCCTTGCGTCGTTCGCGTCCAGGTGTTTTGCCCAGTTTCTTGGCGCTACCATTTTGCTCCTTGAGCACACGCTCCTTGGGCGTGTCCGGGTTCAGCTTGAGTGTGCGCGGCGAGACATTCTCCTGCAGTGACGGACTGGAATTTGGTTTCGCATTGGGACTGATGCGCTTCTCCGGCTCTGATTCGGCTTTGGGCGTCGGCTTGGGCGTTGCAATGGGCGTGGGCATTGGCGCGGACGTGGCAACGATGGGCGTCGCTTGTTTGGGTTTCCTGGATGCACGTGGAGCAGCTGCAGCGGGAGCGGGAGCAGCGGGTGGTGTTGGGGGTAGTGTTGGCACCTTCTTGCTGGGCTTGGGCGAACTGAGAGGCTTGACGGGAGCAGGAGCGGTTGCAGGAGCAACTGTTGCACTTGCTGCTGCAGTCATGTCCATGCTCCACACAGACCAGGATTTGGGTTTCCGCTGAGTGGCAGTTGTCAACTTGTCGGCAGTTGTACGCTTGCGCAGATCCTTCAACTGACCATTGCGCAACTTCTGCTGCTGCTGCTGTTGTTGTTGCTCCGCCTTGAGAGAAGCTGCCGCAGCAGCAGCTGCTGCTGCTGCCTCTTCTGCCACCTGCAACTTGACAATGTTGCGCAGATTGAATGTGGGCTGAATGGGACCCTTGAAGCGGGCCGCATCATAAGCACTCTGCTGTGCCATAATCGCACGTGCATCGAAAACCGCAGCAAGGAGCACCAAACAGAAGCTTACCAGGAGGATGACGAGTGCCGCATTACGCAATGCTGGTTCCCACTCCGGACGCGGCAGGCTGGTGGCGCAACGCTCCATACTCTCCGCCGGCAGCTGGGCCAACAACTGATAGTTGATGTCGTAGCTGAGATTCGTGACGAGCGTCAAGGTGCGCTGGACACGTGCCGCCGTAAAATCCGTGCTGAAACTGATCTCAATTTTGCGCGTCTCGTTCTCGTGTAGCCAGAAGGACTGGCAATCGATGACCCTGAAGCCGTAGCCCTCGCAAAACCGCTGCCCAATGAGGAAGCCCTGGATGAACATGGGCAATGCACCCGCATTCCTCGCCGTAAAACTGCGCGTCGCCATCACAATGTGATTCGGCTGTTCCAACTTGGAGTTGCTGCCATCGCAACGCTCAAATTGCTCCGCATTGAATTCGAAGAGCAGCGGCGTCGTGGAGCCAGGACGTCGATTCCCGAAACGAAACTGGGAATCAACGGCCCGTGCGGTTATCCAGACGGCCTCGTACAGCGTCAGATTGCTGCGCACATGGAGCAGAGTGCAATATTTGTCTGCCTGCTCGGCGCTAAACTGCACGGGTATAGTCAGTGTGGAGCCGGGCGGCAACAGCACTGGCCCGTGGAACGGTGCATCTGGGAGCGAGAAAACAGCCCGATCCGTTAGATAGCAACTGCTACTGCTCACATCGATCACCTCGTGCGGCAGCGAGAGTTGTGTGCGTCTTGCATACGCCGGATCCGAGAGGAAGTAGTCGAGTAGCAATGGCTGCATCGTCGGATTACTCATCGTTATCCATTGGCGCTGCACCTGACCCACCGCTATCGTTGGCGCTGGCGGCAACGGCTGATGCTGCACCAACTTGGGCCATTCTATGGCAATGCTAAAGTCCAGCTCCAATGGGGGCAGCTCCTCGGTGTGCAGCGTCAGCGACATGGAGTGCAGCTGGCGCTTAAACTGCCGATAGAGTTCTGTACGTTGACGCACCTCGACGCCATCGTAGAGCAGATTGTTATTCGTCTGCCCCACGCCCGCCGCCAGGCTGGGAAAGATGGCGTGGTCCTCGAGACTGCTGCGTATGTAGCAAGTGGTGCCGCACAGCGCTGCCGGCTCAAAGTAAATGCGACCCACTTTGGTCAGAGTTTGACCACCAATCGTCGTGCCCTTGGCATTGAAATCCTTGAAGCGCAGACCCCGCCGTGTAAAGGCCACCGACTTGACGTGCACCGGATTCACATAGGTGGAACGTATGCTCAGCACCGCCGAACAGATTTTGCCGGGAAAACATGACTTGAACTGCAGCTGCTCTTGCTCAATATCCAGCTGACCCACCGACGCCTTAAAGCGCACCGTGCTCCGTATCAGCTCGAATGGTGTCCACACCTTCAAAGTGCCGCTGCTCTCCTCGGCGACATGCGTCTGTATGGAGAGGATGAAGACGGCTCTGTCGCCCTCGCGCAACTGCACACAAAACTCAAATTGTGTGCCATTATTATCCGCCTTAAGCTCGCCAAGTGTTGTATTGGACACACGGGGGGCATCTCCAACCACAGCCGCATTTACATCGTGCCCATCCCGGGGCACACAGCCCATGAAGGCGGCCTGAAAGTAGACATCCTTGGGCGGTTTAAAGTTCCAGTTGGTTATCTTGATGGGCATGGGATTGTCGTTGCGCAATATGACATAGCCATCGCGTGACATCTCCGCAAACGGCACCGTGCCCAAATCCAGTTCCAGCCCGTAAGCAGCATCTGTCGCCGTCGCCGTTGCCAACTGCAATTGATATGGCTGTGTGGAGACATGTAACCGGCCGCTGCACGCAATCAGTGGCAGCTCAAATGTGGTTACATTGCTCGCGATGAGCAGCATCGACTTGAAAGTAGCCTGCTCGTTGAGCAAGTGCAGCTGCAACAGATCCACAGATTCACCCGGCTGCAGCAGTATCTCCTGTTCCAGCGATGACAGCTGCAACACGGCAGGATCAATGGGCGCCTCCACGCTCAGATTGTGCAGCAGCAGCGGAAACCCGAAATTATTTCGCACCAACAGTGTACGCTGCGTTTCCAGCGGGGATTCCTCCACGCCGCCGCCACTCGTAATGAACAGTGTGCAATTCCGATCGAAGCCTAGGCCACCCTTGAAGATCTCGGCACGGACGAGCACGGTGAATTGTGGCTGCTGTTGATTGTCGCCGCCAATCACTAGCAAATCATTGATGCTCGCATTCTCCTCGAACAACTTCGGATCCAGGACAATGCTGGCATTGTGCGCATCATAACTCAAGCCGGGTATGTGCCGTAAATAGTTACCAATGAGTTTGCTCACTGGCTGCATGTTTTGCATGTCCAATTTGAAGCGCAACGCGTCCGCATGCTGATCCGTCGCGAGGCGACCAAAGTCGGCCAGCGGATTGCGAGCATAGGCGCCGTGGCGCGGGAGTATTTCGAATTCGACAGGTATGACTAGCACATTCTCCAGCAGATGATCATCGTCTGCGGCATGCTCGGCTATTTTGATGCGTATGTAGGCGCTGTGATTGCCGGCGGTGCGACCATGGAACGAGATCCGTATGACGGGCTTGAGAGAATGCGGCGGTATCTCCCACAGATTCTGTGGTCCTTCCGAGCCACCGCTGGGCAGCTCCAGCTGAAACTCTCCGCCGCTGCTGTAAACCTGCCAACCAAATAGATATTGGAGTAAGTTAAAGTCCTTTTGCTCAATTTGATGACTCACCTCGAGTATCTGCAGCGGCCGCTCGTGCGGATTATACATGTGAATCTCGGGCGTAAGAGTTGCATTCATGGGCGCTTTGATGCCCACGAGGGGCTTCAAGCGATAGGGACACTCGCTGCCCTCGCCACGCACCTCGAACTCGGCGCGACCGAATGACGTTTGGATGAGCAGACCCGTTGATATGGCACCAAGCTGACGGGGCAAGAAGACAACACTGAATGTGGTGTTGCCTTGCGGCGGCACTTCGCGTGTGCCAAAGAAACTGCTGTAGAAGACCGGCTCGGGTCCGGCCACTGAATTTAGGTGAACGGTGCGATTTGTGTGGTGATTGAAGAGCGTCACAATTTGCGTTACCGTTTGACCCACCGACCATTTGCCAAAGTCGATGGTGGGTGGCACGAAATTCAAGTGGCGCAACAATTCAACTTGTTCCCGTGTATGTGGCTCTGGCAGCGCTTGTGACTCCTCCAAGCCGATGAAGTCCTCCTGCAGGGTGGACAGCAATTTTTCCCTGCTGCCCACCATTTGCTGGTCACCCCTCGCAGAGGCAAGCAACAAAAGCAGCAGCAACAGCAGCAGCAGCATCATTAGCAGCGAATGTGTTGTATACATCCTGATTGTGTGGGTATTTGTTGTTGGGCTGCTCCTTTTGTGCCGCAGACGTGTGTTCACATTAAGTACTAGTTTAATTATATTACTCAATATCGCTTATGTTATCGCTGATTCGATTCTGAGAGCATTAACTTCCAACAGCTGTTTAATAAAGTGTGAACAGCTGTCTCGTCCTTCAATTTCAGCTGGTATTTACAGACATACCGCATGTGGTCACACTGTCCCAACTAACAGTTATCTGTTAACGCAATTGTGAGCAATGTGTTAACGCGTGCATTCGTTGCTGGGTGAATCTTGTGTGTTTATCGATAACTGTCTGTGTGTTATAAATGCGTAAAAGGTGTATCTCAGATCGAAAAGAAAGTTTGCGGTGTAAAAGTTATTAACAAAAAGTTTAACTGCTGTACATATATCTAGTTAGAGTGAGTTAAATAGTGAGAGATAATAATAAGTTCATGCATGTGCAATTGTTTATTTCACTGGTAACATGCCTGTAATTGCCAATAAACATGAAATGAACAAACACACACACACTGAAATCCCTGCGAATCTGTGGCAGAGACAACGACGCATTTTGTAAAAAAAAAGAAAAAAACCGAAATTGCATCACTATTGATTTTGCCCACTTTCACTGGGCACGTTGCTTAATCCAACCATCAAGTTATAGCTCAGTATTAAGGAAAACTTGTACGTCGCCAATACACGTCAGAAATTTGCCCTGAACTTCGACAATTGCGCGCTCTCATGTTAATTAGCAGCTTGGACAACAACAGCAACAGCAACAACGCTATCCAAAGGGAGCTTTGAAACGCAAGCTTTAAATTTGCTAAGTCATTCAGCACACATATTCAACATGTTCTCCCATTGCCCAGTGACAGCGATAGCCTGAAATGTGTGCAAATTAGAATCAGAAATAGAATCAGAAACGAAACACTCGAAATGTTGCTGTAAGCTGGAAAAACTTTTCCGTGTGTGTGTCTTATGTTCGTACTTCCAGTGCTCAGCAACGTCACTTGCGGTGCTGTTGTCAACGTCGTCGTTGCCGAGTTCACAATTTACCTACATAATTCACAATTTTTGGGTGAAAGTTACGTATTTTACCTGCCCTTTGCCCATACTAATTTTCGGTTTTGGGATACCGTTGCTGTTGCTCAACAAGATAAACCGGTTCATTTTCGGATTGTTGTTGTTGTTGTGAGTGTTTTGTATTTAGTAAATGGCATAACAGTTTTTTTTTTAAATTTCTAAAAGGTCAGCTCTTTGCTCGATCTCATTTGCGGTACACATTTTTGTCTCATTCGGCAGTTGGCATTTAAAAATTAGGCATAATATTTTTAGCGTTATGCTAGGATTTAAACAATAAACACCTACATTTTGTGTGTTAAAACTCAACTCTATTTATTAGAATAGCTGAGATGTAAATGCAATTTACTTACGAGCAGCCTCATTATTTAACATAAGTTTAAAACTGTTTACCCAAAAAAATTGACAAATATAAATAATATATGCAAAATGTAGCAACGATAACGATTACATATAAATCACCAAACGAAGAGAAACGAATCAAAACGAAACGAGCGCGCCTCGTTGTTCGTTGCCGGATTTAGATTCGGCTTTGGCTTCGGCATCGGCTTTTTGGTGTCATGCTTGGGTTCGGGTCTTCATCGTTGGTGTTTTAGCATATTAGATTTCAGTTTACTTGAGAATCGCACAGCGCACAGGCAGCTTGTCGAGCAAAGACGAGAGCTGAACAAACTAGCAAATAAATAAAAAAAAAAAAACTCAGCCACACTTAAACAGACAACAATACACTAGGCAGGTGCTTGAAGACTTTGTTGCATTTTCTTACACACAAATATTCACACACACACACATGTACACTAAAATTCAAGGTTTAGAAGCACAGCGTTTTTTTTTATATAAGAATCATACATTTAAAATTTGCGTATTAACAATGTGAATTTGATTTTCCATTTGCAGCACACCCCAATTTTAATACAGCATGTCTGCGAAAGCGATCACGGAAGCCACTGGCAAAGACCTGCTCAACCGTCACCTAAATCAACATGGAGCCGGCGCCGCAACCTGCCGCTTTGCCACAGTCAACGCCGGCACCAATTGGTCCAAATTGAGCGTCGATCATTCCTGGTTGCTGACCACGGTAAGCAAGCTAATAATAGCCCTGCAATAATTCAGAGATAAGCATTCAGCAATAACAAACAACAAACAACTAGGCCACCCCAGCAGAGCGAGCAAACACAACAAAAACAATACAAATTTCGAGTTTCTCTCTCGCCTTGAACTTGACCCAAGCCGTCAAATAAGCCGGCTAAGGCCACATCGATTAGCCCACGAAGCAAGAGGCTGTTTCTGCTGCTTATGACTAATCTGGCAGGCAGGCAGTCAGTGTTTGGCATGATTTCCAAAATGTGACTGATAAGCATGGTTCGATTATTTGTATAAATGTGCTTAGGCTATACTCTGTAGCATATGAATGGTGTGAGATTTCATGCCGAGAACGAAGCATATATTTTTTATACTAGGAAAACAATCTTTTGATATACTTCGAAATAACCCATAGGGAAAATGTTTCAAAAACTCATATTATATTTTATACATAATATGTTAATATAAACATATATTGTATATTCACCAATTGAATTTCCTTAACATACAAATTCAAGCTAATTTTAATTAAAACCGCATTTCTAAACCCATTTTTATAGACAAAATATTTGCACCAAAACCCAATCAGTCATTGAACTCGTGAAGTGATTAATTTTATGGCCATCAAATAAACAGCACAATCTACACATGAATCAGGGTATTTAAGATTCGATCAGTCGCCACTTGCACATTTATGATTAACGATGAGAATACTGTTGTTCTATCTGATTGACATATTATTATTTGTGTACACACACGATAGTATTAGAGTATATGTAGGTGTGGTATTTCCAGCCTTAAAGGCTGTCTCCATAAAACAATCAAAAGATTTCCGCGAACAAATTGTTTCTGATAGCGCCAGTGTTTTTTTATCTCCCAAATGAGTGATATTTGAACGTGTGAGTGTGCGTGTTGATTGAGAGATTGAGCGGGTGGCGTGATTATCCGCAAAAAAGTGTCATAACAGCATAGTAAATACTACTTAGCATAATGCACTACAGTGGACACTCGGTAATGAGAACTTATATAAATAAAATGATCACTTTCAATGAAATGGGAGTTACTAGGTGTTAATAATTTTGTTTATATTAGATTATTAGTTTAGAAAATGATTTATAATATTTACTGTATTTAAAATATATTCAAATGCGGCACAATCGAAGTTATTAGAAGTAAATAATTTGTCTTTTATAAGTTATATAAAGTCTATAAATCTATTAGGTGTAAATATAGAGTCTATAAAGGGACTAGTGTTTTTTAAAGCCCATCACTGCCTTATATGCGATATTTGAACGGATTTATAAGCAGTTAATATTTTGCAATATACTCGATAGTATAAAGTCTATAGAAAGCAAACAATTTTTAGCAAATAGAATTACCTGTATACTTCTACACTATATATATAATCTGTTAGACTAAGGTTTGACTTTGTGAGACTTGATGGCATGCAATAATTTCACATTGAAAAGCGAACAGACGCAATCGCCTGAGGCGTTTGCCCTCTGGTGTTTTTCTTCTTCTTTTTGCTCAATTTACACTCGTACGATCTTCCAATGAGCATCACGCCTGTTGAGTGTGTAAGTGTATAAGTATATATAGTGTATATATATATGTGTGTGCATATTGTCATTGTCAATGACGCAGCCTCTCGACTGACCCCTTGGCGAGATTGTCATTTTGCTAAGCGCGCAACTTGATGCTTGATTATCGACAGAATCTTGCAGCTGGTCTAACCAGCTTAATAGGTTCATTGAATAATTTACAAAAGATAAATAATTAGCAGCACTGCTTCTCACTTATAATTGGTGCAAATTATTGTTTGTATTGCAGCCACTGGTGGTGAAGCCCGATCAACTGATTAAGCGACGTGGCAAATTGGGTCTCGTTGGCGTCAAGAAGAGTTTTGAGCAGGTGAAACAATGGATTGGCGAGCGTCTCAACCAGGATCAGAAGATTGGCAATGCCGTTGGCAAATTGCGCAATTTTATAATCGAACCTTTTGTGCCGCACACAGAGGTAAGCTCAAGGAACAAAATATATTTGCCATAAATAAGAATTGATTGTTAACCGATTGTTCTCTTAGGCCGAGGAAATGTATGTTTGCATCTATTCGCATCGATCGGCGGACACCATTCTGTTCTATCATCTGGGCGGCGTCGATATTGGCGATGTGGATGCAAAGGCTGTCAAGTTGGATGTGCCCGTGGACAGTGAATTATCGCTGGCGGATGTGAAGACAACGCTGCTGAAGGCCATTACGGATGAGTCGAAGAAGGAGCGCATTGCCAACTTTATATATGCGCTATATGCAACATTTGCCGAATTGTATTTCACGTATCTGGAGATAAATCCATTGGTCGTGACCGCCGATAATTTGTACATATTGGATTTGGCAGCCAAGCTGGACTCGACTGCCGATTTCATATGCCGTCCAAATTGGGGCGAAATTGATTATCCGCCGCCATTCGGACGCGATGCCTTTCCCGAGGAGGCCTATATTGCGGATCTCGATGCGAAGAGTGGTGCCTCGCTTAAGTTGACGATTTTGAATCGAAACGGACGCATTTGGACAATGGTCGCTGGCGGCGGTGCCAGTGTCATCTATTCGGATACGATTTGTGATCTCGGTGGCGCCACAGAGTTGGCCAACTATGGTGAATATAGCGGTGCTCCATCCGAACAGCAGACGTACGAATACGCCAAGACGATACTCAATCTGATGACGTCGTCGCCAAAACATCCCGATGGCAAAGTGCTGATTACGGGCGGAGGCATTGCTAATTTTACGAATGTTGCATCGACCTTCCAAGGTGAGCTCCCGTCCTTATCTGGCAATCTATCAGCGATTTAAATCACCTCACTTTGTTCGTCACAGGTATCATTACGGCCCTGCGCGAATTCCAGTCGAAGCTGGTCGAGCACAACGTGTCGATTTTTGTGCGCCGTGCCGGACCCAATTATCAGGAGGGATTGCGTCGCATGCGTGACTTTGGCAGCACCTTGGGCATACCGTTGCACGTCTTTGGCCCCGAGACGCACATGACCGCCATTTGTGGCATGGCGCTGGGCAAACGGCCCATTCCACAGGCGGCCAGCATGGAGTTTTCCACGGCGAATTTTTTGCTGCCCGGCGGACAGCAGGCGCAGGCGGATCTTAAGGCGGCAGCCGAGTCCAATGCTCTTGGCTCCGGTACGTGGAAATCTCAATGTGTATCTGAATGTGCTAAAATAACCCCAAGCAAGCAACCAATCCCCAACCCCCACTTCCCACTCCCATATTCCACCTCCCTCTCCTGCATTAATATTTCTTATTTTTGCTATGGACATGCATTTATATTTCTGTTTTTCTCTGTATCTCTCTTTTTGTATGTCTTTGCATTGATCGCCCTACGTCCAACCTACAACTACAAATCAAATCAACAAAAAAAAAAAAAAACCACCCTCAAAAAATCATAAACCAAAAAATGTTATTTTATGAACTGTTCTTCGTTATTTTGGCTAAATCTCGCACCTGTGAACTGAAACACCCCCCCAAAAAAAAACACATCGTTCGTTTGTATGCATTTCCTCGCACCACCTCGCCGCCCGCCCGTCCTCGTAATATACTTAATATAATTATTGTAATTGCAATTGTAATTTTAATTGTACTGAATGTTGTCTATATGTATTTGTATATGTATGTATCTATGTATGTGTATGTATGTATGTCAAACTTCTATACTCTCGACTATATTTGCTCGCTCGCTCTCGCTCTCATCATCATAACAATCTATCGATATCGATAACAACGGCATCGACATCGACTTGCCAAACTCATTTGGGAAAAAATCAAACAAAAAACGAAAACTCGAAAAAAAAAACACGAAAAAAATAGCATTGCGCTCGACAACAGTACAACCGATTAAACTACCACCTATCTCGGCAGATGAGAGCGATGGCCTCGCCGGCAATAATCACCAGCAGCTGCAGCTGGGCAAGAGCAACGGAGCGAACGCGAATTTGAATCGAAAATTCTTCTCCAATACAACCAAAGCGATTGTTTGGGGCATGCAGCAACGTGCGGTGCAATCGATGCTCGATTTTGACTTCATTTGCAGGCAAGTCTCCATTTACCGATTGTTATCGATTATCTCTATATATATATATTTAAATTTATGTATTTCATACATTAATTTCACTGCAGGCGTGATGAGCCTTCCGTAGTGGCCATGGTCTATCCGTTTACGGGCGATCACAAGCAAAAGTACTACTGGGGGCACAAGGAGATCCTGATTCCAGTGTACAAGAAGATGTCCGATGCCATACACAAGCACAAGGAGGTCGATGTTATGGTCAATTTTGCATCGCTGCGTTCCGCCTTCGATTCAACGCTGGAGGTGCTCGAATTCCCCCAGATACGCACAGTGGCTATCATTGCCGAGGGCATACCAGAGAACATGACCCGTAAGCTGATTATCGAGGCAGACAAGAAGGGTGTCGCTATTATTGGACCCGCTACAGTGGGTGGCGTTAAACCTGGTTGCTTCAAGATTGGCAACACTGGCGGCATGTTAGATAATATTCTGCACTCGAAGCTCTATCGTCCCGGCAGCGTGGCATATGTGTCCCGCTCCGGTGGCATGTCCAATGAGCTGAACAACATCATATCGAAGGCAACCGACGGCGTTATCGAGGGCATTGCCATTGGTGGCGATAGATATCCGGGCTCCACATTCATGGATCACATATTGCGCTACCAGGCTGATCCGGAAACGAAACTGATTGTTCTGCTGGGCGAGGTAGGTGGCACCGAGGAATATGATGTGTGCGCCGCTGTCAAGGATGGACGTATCACCAAGCCACTCGTGGCCTGGTGCATTGGCACCTGCGCCAGCATGTTCACCTCGGAAGTGCAATTCGGTCACGCTGGCTCCTGTGCCAATTCCGATCGTGAGACGGCCACGGCCAAAAACAAAGCGTTGCGCGACTCTGGCGCCTATGTGCCCGACTCCTTTGATACACTGGGCGAGCTCATCCATCATGTGTACAGCGAACTGGTGAAAACGGGACGCATTGTGCCCCGCGAGGAGGTGCCGCCACCTACGGTGCCCATGGACTATTCGTGGGCCCGTGAACTGGGCCTCATCCGCAAGCCGGCGTCGTTTATGACCTCGATCTGTGATGAGCGCGGCCAGGAGCTGATGTATGCGGGCATGCCGATCAGTGAGGTGCTCAACAAGGATGTGGGCATTGGTGGCGTCATCTCGCTGCTCTGGTTCCAGCGGTGTCTGCCCCCCTATGTGTGCAAGTTCTTCGAGATGTGCCTGATGGTCACGGCTGATCATGGACCCGCCGTCTCTGGCGCCCACAATACCATCGTGTGCGCCCGTGCCGGCAAGGATCTGGTCTCTTCCGTCGTCAGCGGTCTGCTGACCATCGTAAGTGCTTGAAACTCTATATCATTTTAAGAGTTGTGTCCGATTTTAACCTGTTTTTTCTTGGCAGGGCGATCGCTTTGGTGGCGCACTTGATGGCTCCGCCCGGCAATTTTCGGAGGCATACGACACCAATTTGCATCCCATGGAGTTTGTGAACCAAATGCGCAAGGAGGGTAAACTCATTCTGGGCATTGGACATCGTGTCAAGTCCATTAACAATCCCGATGTGCGTGTCAAGATCATCAAGGAGTTTGTCCTCGAGAATTTCCCTCAGTGTCCGCTGCTCAAGTATGCGCTGGAGGTGGAGAAAATTACCACCACAAAGAAACCAAATTTAATATTGAATGTGGATGGTGTTATTGCCACCGCCTTTGTGGATATGCTGCGCAACAGTGGCTCCTTCACCAGGTAAGTCCAGCTCCAGAGATCGCATAAGCTCAGAGTAATTTGGATTTTTTGTAATTGCAGTGAGGAGGCACAGGAGTACATCAATGTGGGTGCCATCAACTCGCTGTTTGTGCTGGGACGCAGCATAGGCTTCATCGGTCATTATATGGATCAGAAGCGTCTCAAGCAGGGATTGTACCGTCATCCGTGGGACGATATCTCCTATGTCATACCCGAGCAATACAACTAGAGAGCAAGGCATGCTTTGCTTGTTGGCTTGCTCATCCATTGATATTATAAATTGTTGGATGTTTTTGTAGTTAAGCACTGATGTTAATCAACTCTGCTAGCATGGCGAGCATGGAACACGGGGGCCGCATGTTCCACAGAATCACAGAACACTCCATTAGCTGTGTAGTTGAGTTTCAATTCAATTCTCTCTATCGATATATATATATATATATATATATTAAATTATATATATATTAAATTTATATATATATATATCTATAAATGCATATAGATATGTATATATATGCTCTGCTTTTGCTCGTTTGTCTCCCAGTCCCATTAGCCCCCTCCCCCTATCTATCTCTTAGTTAAATACATTATATATTTCATAACTAAGTCTGCATTTACATTCATACAACTTACCAGCATATAAAGTTATTTAGTTACGATCGTATATTGTTGACGCTCATCTGGGTTTTTGGAAAAAATCGAAGAAAAAAATATATAATAAAGAAAAAAATAAACTTAGTGAAATCTTGAGCACCAAACAGGGACACTTGTCATTATTATTTGATATTTTTTATATTCTTATTTTAGTTTGGATGCAAATTAGTTTAGTCAACAAATAATAAAATGTTTGCAAAATGCATTATTTTTGTTTACTTTCATTTTTCACGTTTTCATTTTGTTTTTAGTAGCCCATGCTCGCTGAATAATACTATGCAAAGTGGAAACTGCACTAATTAGATCTGCACCAAGTTCCTGCACTCAAATGCACATTTATCTATATTTATATATGTATACATATAGTATATTTATATATATGTATAAATACATATTTACAAGGCACAAGGCTCGGTGAACATTTGAAAATGTTTCGGTCGAATCGAAACTGTGATTCCCTTCACAAAGGTTTTTAGCATTAGATCGGATTACGCATTCCATATTCCCGATTATATAGACAGATATATTGTGAAGCGTTATAAAAGTATTATTGTTCATCACACGGCCACATAAATTAAAGCGCACCAAATTTCACAAAACCAAAAAACAAAAACGATTGCATTTTCATTGTCTCGATTTAATCTGGAAAACAACTAATTCGGATACCCGGCACACAAACATCTCTTTTTTCACTGTGGCCGACTAATGACCAAGCGTAACTAAGCGTAAAAATCTCATTTTAAAAATAGACGTAACCTATTCAAGCAGCCTCGTAAGATTATGAATTGTATGTTTAGCTTAAAACCAGAGGAGGAGGATAATTTGAATGCAGCAACCTGAATAACCCAATCCACGAATCACGTCCTCTTATCTCTTATCTCATGCGGCGCATTTTGCGATCCAATTTGCGTTGCTTCTTTTCGTCTACTTCGGGCTCCTCGGCGGCATTGCGTGACGATAGCCAGGGCTGGATAACAGCGCCCCAGAGCATCCAAGCAGCACGGATTGGTGCCAGCAGCAAAACCATCCAAAAGTAATTGGAAATCAGGGACAATAACAGCGTACCCGACGTAAGTATAATCAAATCCTTGACATGTCTGTGGAATAAGTATAGTGTTCAAAAGGTGAGCCTTATGGGAGTTATCATGCTACACTTACTCCGCAATGCCGCCCTCCATGTCTAAGTCATTGCCAGAGTCTAGCAAGGCGCCGCTTTCAGAGTACTTTGCACGGGACATGAATACCATGAATTGGTAGGCAGCACCCAAGATGAGTAGCGCTAGGGTCACCATGAACTGCAAAAAATTTGAATAAGATGCGCACTCCTCGCTTTTCTTTAAGTACTTACCACGGTGAGCTTTGTGAATTCGAACACCAAAAAACTCAATAAGACGGCGGGCGCTGCACAGCCAATGGCCATGTTTCGATAAAATGCTAAAGTTGACTTGTTCCCCTCGACGATTTGTTTAGCGCCCTTTGTGGCCTGTTTACCCTTCTGTGGTGGCTGCATTTTAAAACGGTATTTCATTTATAATATTAAGCAAATATTTGTCATATACTCACTGCCATTTTTTACAAATTTTTATTATAAAAACTGCCGTTTAGTCAAAAAAAAAATAAAAAGACGTGGCATCTACTTATCACTTTGCAGAATCGTTATCGATAACAGCATGACTGTTTTAAAAATATAAATGTAAACAAGAGAGTGACCAGCTCTGCCATTGAATTCTTTAACACATTGGCAAGGCTACAACGCACTTCATTGACACTTGCACCTTGGACTTCTTTTCTGCGGTTGGACTTTATTTTGGGCAAAGAATAGTAAGCATGGACAAGTGGGTGCAGTTAAATAACCAGGCAGCCGGCCGAGACAAAGTAGCAAGACTCATACAATATGCATCGCGTGCCATGTGGGACTCGATGGAGTCCTCAAATTGCCATCCGGCATTGGTTGACAATTTCAAGACAGTCGAGTACATTTTGAGCACATTCCGAAAATGTAAGTAGTTTTTTCTATTTGTTTAAGATAACGATTTCGATTGAGATGGCTTATTTGAACAGTACTTCGGTTTGGCAAGGGACTCGATGTATTCTATGCCAGCCTGCGATCCATACACTATCCAGATCTGACGATCCGCATCACGCTCACCATGAGCAAAGTGTCGCAAGCATTATTTCTGCTCGCCGATCATCTCTTGTGGCTGGCACGCACCGGGTTAACCGTGGTGGATGCCAAGAGATGGTCGAAAATCGCAAACAAATATTGGCTATTTTCCATCATCATGAATTTGTGTCGCGACCTGTACGAGATCATGCGCGTCGTCGATCTGCACAAGGCCAGCTGCAGTGGGGGAATCTCTCGTTGCAAGATTCCAACACGAATTAATTCACCAGCAGACATTAAACAACTTGCTCTACACTCCTACGGCCTGTTGTGGGCGCACAAGGCTATCGTTGTGGATACGGTGAAAAATGCGTGCGATTTCTTTATACCTCTGACGGCTTTGGGTTACACAAGCCTAACACCGAGAACGATTGGCATGCTGGGAGCGATTTCATCCATTGCAGGTCTTTGGGCGCTGATCGAGCCAAGTGCTAAGTTGACGCCCGCGTAATATTTTCAAACTGTTTGTGTATTTATATGTATGTATAAAGTTGTAATTGTTTGAAATGTTTTTTTGATATTTTAACTGTTTGTATGAGTATTAAGTTTGAAACGAACGATTTTATGAAACTGTACTGTAAGCCATCAAAAGTTCAATAAATAATGTGAAAATGTAATTTTCTAATGATATTTTCCTGTCACCTGTCATTTGGCGTATTTTTTTTCGTTGCACAACACTGGTAACTTATCGACTGTTTTGGGCTGCAACAGCTGTTTTTCTTGGCCGACTTTTACCAAGTTTGTTAGCAGCCTGTTTTGTTTATCGTACCTGCTGGTTGCGTTATCTTGAAAATAGGAATCGATGCGTCATTGCTGTGCGTGCGTTCTTGTGGGCTGATGAGAGCGTGTGTGTCCAAAATTCCGCCGGAATGCACTACTCATATTCATCGCTGTCCACTAACGGTGGCGTTGATCACCACAATCGTTGCCTCGGCAATCGAGCCTGGTGTGTTAAGGTCTGTGGATTAATGTTTAATGCTAAATCACTGAGGAGCACTCATATTGAGACACATCTTTTGCAGGATATTTGCGGCATTGTATGCGTAGTTATGACCTGGCTGCTTATTCTCTTTGCGGAGTTTGTGGTCTGTGGACTGATACTGTTGCCCAGCTACAACCATTACACAGCATTCAGTACGATAAATATGATTATATTCCAAGCACTTGCCTTTCTAGCATTTGTCTCCCACTTGCGCACCATGCTCTCGGATCCGGTAAGGCATCATCATCGAATTGGAAGTTTTTTGTGTAGATTTCACATCTCTTCCAGGGGGCTGTGCCGCGTGGAAATGCCACCAAGGAGATGATCGAACAAATGGGCTATCGTGAGGGTCAAATCTTCTACAAGTGCCCGAAATGCTGCAGCATTAAGCCAGAGCGTGCCCACCACTGTTCCGTGTGCCAGCGCTGCATACGCAAAATGGATCACCATTGTCCCTGGGTTAACAACTGTGTGGGCGAGAACAACCAAAAGTATTTTGTGCTCTTTACGGTGAGTTTAAGTTGAAATATACATATACATTTTCCCTTAACACACTTCAATTTGCAGTTTTATATTGCATCCATTTCGGTGCACACCCTCTTTCTGGTGATGACGCAGTTTGCCGAGTGCGTGCGGAATGATTGGCGAACATGCTCATCGTACTCACCACCGGCGACAATATTTCTGTTGCTCTTCCTCACATTCGAGGGTCTGATGTTTGGCATATTCACCATAATAATGCTGGCAACGCAGCTAAATGCCATATTTAACGATCAAACGGTGCGTCGTTGCGCCAAGCAATTAATGGCAGATATTTTTAAATTAAACTGACGCATTTTCTAAACATTTTGCAGGGCATCGAGCAACTGAAGAAGGAAGAGGCGCGTTGGGTAAAAAAGTCGCGACTCAAGAGCATACAGTCGGTATTTGGACGGTTCTCATTGGCCTGGTTCTCGCCGTTTACGGAGCCCTCATGTCGCACCAGATTCAACTCACATTTCTATTCGGTCTAAGCATCAAAAAATAATGGATGTTACTTCTTTAGTTGAAACGAACAAACGAACCACTTGTTGAATATTGCAGTGCAATATTCATATTCAATCAAAAATCAATCAGGAATCGTAGGTGTATGTGTCTGTGTGTATATTTACTTAAGCTTAACAATATTGGACATGCGTTGCCTGCAACATGCAATATATACTTACTTATTATTAATTATTGTATTTACCAGCGAGAAAGATTTTTACATTATGTACAAGATGAGAGAGAGAGAACAGAAGAGCATTCTATTTATTCTATAGAGAAATAAACTCTGCAATGAGAAAAACTAAAAACAAATACAAAAAAAAAAACATGCGCAAACTTTTTAGGTGGCCAAAAGATGTGTGCCGCTCATCTCCAAGGGTCTCTGGCTCTTACAATAATACATAATACATAAACATCGGAGAGAACGCATCTCAATTGAGATGGTCGGCGAACAGTTCTCCCGACATGTCGTTGTCGGCATGGACTCTGCCGATGCTGTCAGTACCCATGTTTAGTTTAGTCTGAGTAAAACGATCGGAGATCCAGGAGGTGTCTGCTGGACGTGGTGCGCGCGCCCTCAAACACAAAACGTCTTGTATATAGTATTTATATATATAGAAACACTTTTGTTCACCAAATGTGTCAATTATGTGAGAGTGTTTGTGTGCGTTTGTGGAAGTGCTATCATAGCATATTTTAGCTGCATTTGAAATTCATTTGCTACAATTTATACAAATACAAAATATTAATGAATATTTAGACGACCTTTGTCTTTGTCACAATAATCCCGATATAATTTGAATATATTTTTTTGTGAAATAAACGAAAAGTGAAAATATCTTTGACAACGTTCTCCGTCCTCCACGTCGTTCTAAATATATAACAAAAAAAAAAAAAGAAAAAACAAATTTGTTCTTTTCGTATAAAAATATTCCAACAAATTGCACAAATCCTAAAGAAAAAAGAAGAAGTGAAGAGTGTGCGAAAAGTCCTGAATCCCAGACGAAGTGTGTGTGTGTGCTGTCCATGCTAGGGTGGCCCGGTTTTTGGCTAATTATATAGCTAGTGTGTCTAGCTAGAGCTGAAACATGGAAGGAACACCGGGAACAGCAGCAACAGCAGCAGAAGCAGAAGCAGCCGTCGTAGTAGGTATGCAGACAAGAGAGACCCAGACAAGGGAAAACATCAGTGGCGGCTTTTCTTTCTTTCTTCTTTTTTTTTTTGTTGTACAGACAATAGATTCCAAGTGTGTGTATTTTTATGACCGCCGTCTAGCAGCCTCTGTGCGGTTACGTAATGTGGATTTGAACTGAACTGATCTGAGTTGAACTGAACTGAACGGACTGTGCACAAACTTTTCATAATTGTGCGCTAAATGAAAATTAACATATACATATGTGCATTATAATAATAATTAGTTAATTAGGTTCGAATCTTTCTTTGAATTTTGAAAAGACATTTGGACATATATATATTTATATATACATCGATACATATGTATATATACACATATAAATACATAAATACTTGTACGTGCGAATATTTTAGTATAGTATTTGTATGAATAATATTTTGAACTATTTTTAGTGCACATCTTTGTAGACAGTCGGCAGATAGCATGCCTGCTGCCGGTGAAAATTTGCGCATTTAGATTTGCCAAAAAAAAATAAAAGTATGTAATAGGATTAACTATGCAAAGTTTTTAAAGGAAAAGCCGACAGAATTACATAAAGTGTGAATTTGGTAGTAGATATTCTTGAATTGAAGAGCATATTTATAATTTTGATACATACAATATACTTATGCATATTAAAGTTATGTTTGAGTTTATCTTTTCATAAAGCCTGATTTATGATTTAAATATATTCGGCAAACTTAGAGCTATGAATGATAGACGATGATATTTTTGTGTTGAAGAAAATACTTATAACTTAAATAAGTGTAAATTTGGTAGATTAAATATTTTAGTTCCAGAAAATTTTATACTTTTGATGTATGCATATATATATATATATTAATGATTTAAGATTTTCGATAAAGATTGATTAGTGATTTTTATTTATTCGGTGATGTTAGGTTTATGTTAGATTTTAGTTAAAAATCTTTTTTTTTTTAGTAATATCTCTGCGCATGTCAATTAGTTAAAGTCAGATTAACGATTTAGGTTTTTATTTTCATGTTTAATAATTGAGAAAATATATCAGAAGGAATTCTAAACTAAATTAGAGTATCCATTATACCTATTAATAATAGTGGAAATATCTTGCTTTTAGAGAGCTTTTAATACAGATTGCGCAGTTAATATTCTCTACTACTGAAGCAGACCTCATTAAAATTCGAATTGTATTATGTTTTTAGAACCTCCTGGCCAGGACACTTCAATGCCACGTATTACATTTAGTGATAACTCCAGTTCACTTATACGCTGCATACCCAACGAACGTGCGACATTTTTTGTGAAAATCGATTGCGATGAGGAGGACGAATCGGAGCTGTTGCCCTTCAAATTCGAGTGGTAAGTCATTAGGTCTGCACAATTTATAATTTATTATTACATACGACCATGCTATATAGTGTAAGTGTGTGCTTGCTGCTATTGCCGTTGTGATTCACCGGTTTGTGTGTGCATAATGCCAAAAATTGTGCGCATTTACATCTTGCTGGTATTATGATTTGATTTCCCCTTCACGCTTGCTCAACAAGCACTGAGATACTAGATGCCCGGGCTAACGGCGACTGCGCTCAGAGTCAAAATATGAAAATTGCTGAGCGGATAGTCTTCGTGCTCTTCTTGGTCTTCGTGGTGGCATTCTCTGACCAAGTCGGCTGTTGGGCACACAGTTCGGCAGTTCCACTTTGACGATCGGCGCATTAACATATCCGTTGCCCAGCAGCATTTCTTTTTTGTCGTAGACGACGCAACCCATCTACGTATACATATGTAAAAGCATATAAATGTGTGTCTCTGTGTGTATACGCTTAAAATCATAGTGAACACACTGCGTATACTTGATAAATTTCGAATTTTTGCTCCGAAATCAATCAATTTTTTATGAGAATTCCCAGAAGGCAGTATGTGTATTTATGTGTGTGAAAAACTAGTGCATGCACGACAAAAAACTCCAATAGTTGTGCGTGTGTGGCACCCCCGAAAATATCTCGACCAGCTAAATTTAGCTGCATTAACAAATCCGCTTGCGACGCGTGAAAATATCTCGAGAATGCTGTAAAGTAAATGCTGATGGCGTCATAAGATGTTTCAATTTTTCTGCCCTAAAAGTGTTGAAAATATTTTGTTGTATTTTTTTTTTTTATGGCTTTCACTTTGAATGGAAAATAAAAATAATTACATAATCAGCAAGCAGCAAGCTTTCGAAATTCGCCAAACAACCAAATTAAATGAATCAAACAAAAAAACAAAATTCGCCCAAAAGGCACAAGAAACAAGCAGAAATGGCTAATGAAACATTTTAAGATTTACGTTTTCGACTAACTAAATAACTAAATAGATACATAGAAGAATCAAAGAATCTAAGACCTATAGAGAACAACAAGTTATTAGCAATTCGAAAATGAAATGCGTGGCATCCGTGAGATACGCGTCCCAAAATAAGTTGCCAAAATACAAGAAAGAAACATTTATTTTTTGTCTTTTGGCTTTTTTTTTGCCAGTGTGGTGTGCGTGTGTGTGTGTGTAGAAAATACAATTAATATACTTAGTCGCGTCGGTTCGTACAAAGCCAAAATGTGCATTTATTTATAAACATTCTTGTTTTCGATTGAAATATTTTCGTCATTTTTCTTTTTAAATTGGTTTAGTTTATGTTTATCTTTGACTTGTTCTTGTTTTGTTTATTTGTTAATAATCAAAATAATGCCGAACTAAATTAATGACTTTTGTGCTAAGCACGTGCCGTATTTATATATGTATATTTATAGAAATGCTTTTGCAATCTTATATAGATATGTATTTTCTTGATCGGCATGATTAGTCTTAACTAAACTGCGTCCTGGCGACTTCATCTAAAAAGTTTGCTTATGAGTTGAGTATTCCGATAGGATTATATTATTTTTCAAGTGGTCTGCAGAGAGATAAATAGGACAAAAGCGAAAACTAATGTTGGATCATATATTTCTCAACAAACTTAATCTTTTATCTGGGAATTATTTATATATCCGTAGCTGTATATCCCATTGGAATTGAAGCATATTTAAATCATTAATTGTTACATTTTTCTATAGCATTATATAATTAAAACAAATTACAATTCAGATTTATTAAGATTTGTTTTATTAGTGATTGTCCTCGAAGTTCCATAACTAATTTTTATTTTTTAAGATTACAAGAATGAATGCAAGAGCAAATCAAGCCACGGAAAAGGGTAATTAGGAATCGAGCATTCCCAACAAGATCTTACTGACTTATTTCTTTATTGTTTTACTTTTCAAACAATGGCAGATCAGCTGTTTATGTGTGTGTGCACGAATGTGTGTGTCTGTGTGTGTGTGTATGTAAATAGATTATAAATATTTAGAGTATAAACATTAGAACCTATCGAACATCATGGGCAACGGATGTTCGAAATGCTGTCGTTGCTGCTGCAACGAACACAAACAATTTCACGGCACGCTCTCCTCAGCCTCTGCCTCGTCAGTCTATAAGAAAAGGTAAAGGACGATTTGAAAGATTAATCAGCTTGCCTTAGCCTAGGCCCTGCCATGTGTATAACATAACGATTTGTGCGTTTACAGGACCCGTGGCGATATACCCATCGAGAACTCCGATCGCTTTCGCATCACACAGACCAGCAATGCCGTTCAGCTGGCCGTGGAGCATGTGCAGCGCGAGGATGCTGGACACTACACCCTCTTTGCCCGCACGAAAAGCAACGAAGTCGTCCGGAAGCACGTCGAGCTCATCGTCGAGGACAGATCGACGGGCGAGGATCCACCAGTTTTTCTGCGTCGTCTCGTCGATCTGTCCGTCAAAGTGGGAACACGAACGCGCCTTCTTTCCGAAATTCGCAGTTCAACAGATCTTAAGGTAAAGTTTCAACAGGATGTCGTAGTCTGTAAAGGAAAATACAAAGTACGGTCTGTGACCTTGAAGTGTTTTCAAATTCAAATGTAGGATCAAATTAAGATGTAGGATCTAGTGATAAACCTACTAGCAAATACGAATAACTTTCGAGTAATGGCTCGGTTTTGACAAAGTCAAAATAGTTGACTTTTTCTTATAGGTTTTTATAAATTAAAATATTACGGCTATTTTCTTGGGTCTTGTTAAATATTTATATTCTTGCACAGAATCTTACATGTATTATCTTGATGTATATAATGCAATATTTGGCTATTATTATTAGTCACTTGGTATAACCAAGTCCGTCTTTCTTCCGTCTATCTGTCTGATTGCGTCTATGCAGGTGTCGCTCAGTTTTTAACTTATTTTAGTGAAACTTGGAAACTTGGAAGAACGAAGACGAAGGTGCGCATTAGATGTATAAATATATATATATGAAGAAGAGGATGTTACAAATTATTCACCTTAAGACATGCCGAACTATGGTTTCACTTCTAGATTAATATAAAATTTAATTGTTTCTTAATATGATTGAAATCTGTAGTTCTGCTTCACCCATTCCTACCTAATTATTCCATTAGCTGACCTGGTATCGAAACGATCGTAGGATATGCGAGAATGATCGCATCACAGAGACGAACGAGGGCACATTTCACTATCTGGAAGTGAGTCCCGTGATACTCGAGGATGGTGGCCAGTGGATGCTAATGGCCGAGAATATGGGTGGACGCAACTCGTGCTTGGCCACTCTAAATGTGCTCGTACCCAAGGCGTACAAGACGCCCGAGTTTGTGGAGGAGCTGCGTGCGGTGCTCACCGAACAGGGCACCGTATCGCTGGAGTGCAAGGTGGTGGGTGTGCCGACTCCGCATTTGCGCTGGTTCAAGGACTCCAAGGAGATCAAAGCTGGCGATATCTTTGCACTGACCGCCAACGCCGATGATCCCACTTCGTTGGGCACCTACACGTGCGAGGCGAAGAACTGCATGGGCGTCACCTATTCGAGCTCCAAGGTGCATGTTGTAGGCCGCGGGAGTCGCGAGGGATCCCTCAAGCCAGCCGACAAGTGGGTACCGGAAATGCTCTCGCTCTCTTGGCTCCATATTAAACTCTCTTTCTCACTCTGTCTCTCTTTCTCCCTCTCTCTCTCTCTTTATTTTCTTTGTTTTGTCAGTGTTAGCAATAATTTACCGCCACCGATTTTTACGAATGAGCTGCGGGACCAGAGCGTCCGCATTAGCGATACAATCATACTCGGCTGTCAAGGTGAGTCTATCTGGCAAATTGCCCACAAAAAAATAAGAGGAAAAAGAAAAAAGAAAAACAAAAAATACAAAACATCGAAGAAAAACAATTTTTCTTTTTTGTTTGTTTTGCTCAGATTCAAACACAGCATTTTCTCTTTTATACATATACATATATAAAAATATATGCGTATACATTTATCGTATATATATTTTTAGCTATATGTGTAGCAAAATTCAGGCCGACCGGCTAGCGGTGTTTCTTTTTTGTATTTTTTTCTTGTGTGCTCTAGAAACTTGAACTCAATGAAATTGTTGTTGGTGGAATGCTTGGACTTGGTTGTTGAGGTGGGTCAACAACTTGAGTCGAGCCGAATGAGACGACCAAAACAAAAAGCAAATAATTGTGAGAGAGAGAGAGAGAGAAGGAAATGCTGGCCATATTCTCCCACACTCTGTCAATCCCTCTCTCTCTCTCTCTTTTACTCTCATTGTACAACATGACGTATGCGTGATTTTCGCTTATTATTATTTCATATCTCACGTTGTACAACATGGCGTATGCGTAATTTTAATATACTTTATTAACGTCTTTTGCAGTTGTGGTGCCGCCTTGGCCCAAAAGCATTACCTGGTACAACAAGGACGGACGCGTGGAGAGTGGCGATCGCTATAAACTAATTGAGGATGGCCTGGGCGTTTATATGATTGAGATTAAGCCATCGGAGTCCTGCGATGCTGGCGATTGGAAGTGCGTCGTTACCAGCTTTGAGGGCTGTACGGGCATATCAGCTTGTGTGGTCAACATGGACAGTACGATAAGCTGTAGATAAACTTTTGAAAAACGATCAACTAATTATTTTCTATTCGCAGTTCCCAAAAACTATCGCAAACCCCGTTTCATGGAGAGCCTGCGCGCCGTGCTCACCGAGGAGGGCTTGGTCTCCTTCGAGTGCAAAGTTGTTGGCTTTCCAACGCCAGTGCTGAAGTGGTTCAAGGATGGGCACGAACTGAAGCCCGGCGATGTTTATCAGCTGACGGGCACCAATTCGCTGGGCACCTATTGCTGCATCGCTCGCAATTGCATGGGCGAGACGAGCAGCACCGCTGTCCTGACCGTCGAGGATATACAGAACCAACTAACGGATGAGGAACGTTTGGTTTTCGCAAATCAGAATCAGGCACCACAATTTCTGACCGGCCTCAAGAGCACCGATGCCAAGATTAACGAACCGTTTCAATTTAAAGTTGTGGTCAAGGCCACACCCGATCCTATTCTGACCTGGTTCCGGGATGAGCTGCCCATCGATCCGAATGACCGTTATAATCACTATCGCGGCGAGAATGAGGAGTGGCTGCTCGACATCAAATCCGCTGAGTTTATCGATCAGGCCGAGTGGAAGTGTCTGGCGGTCAATGATTTTGGTACCAGCATCACCTCATGCTTCCTCAAGCTGCAGATACCCAGGCACTACAAGAAGCCCCGTTTTCTAGAGTGTCTGCGTGCCGTGCTCACCGAGGAGGGTGCCGTCAATCTGGAGTGCAAAGTGATTGGTGTGCCGCAGCCAGTGCTGAAGTGGTACAAGGATGGCGTTGAACTGAAACCGGGCGATATACATCGCATTATCTCTGGGCAGGATGGCACCTGCTGCCTGGGCACCTACACGTGCGAAGCCAGAAACTGTATGGGCGTCGTCGCCAGCTCGGCTTCCCTGCTGGGCTTCGAGGATGCCCAACGTAATCAGAAGCCAGAGCCACCGCAGGAGAACGAGCTGCAGAGAAACTATTCGTTGTCCACCATACAGGAGGAGCGCACCTCGCAGCTATATGAGACGCCTGTGGGTGATATAACCATCGATGACAAAGGCGATGTCTCCTTTTCATTTGATGGCAAAGAGGTATCCGTTTCACTTTACGAGACGCCCGACTTAACGGAGGAGGAGGCACTCAAGATTGTCGAAATGTATGCGGATCAGATATCCGAACATGTGACGGAGCATAATATTGTAGAGTTGCCACCGTTGCGATTCGTCAAGGAGACTTCTCAGTCCGGTAAGCTACTCATGGAAGCGGTGGTCATTGATATTGCTCCCGAGTATTTTACACACGATGATGATTTGCGTACCGAGGCGGATTTGGATGATATCTCCATCACTGAGATCACAGTGCATGGCTCATCGGGCAGGGAAGGTGTCTTCGACAAAGACACGGAGAAGTTCGCACAGCAATCCTTTGAGAAAATGGAGGAGGAACTCTCACTCTCAGCGCCCATACGTAAGCGCAAGAAGTCACGACCCACCGAAACTGAGGAATTCTTTAGCTTGTCGAAGGCATCCGGTTCGGGCGGGGAAGAGGAGACATCGGATTTGCAGACCTTTGCCAGTGCGCAGATGTCTACATCACAGAAGGTAGCCACAGCAGCAACAACCGCCGAGGGTGAGCCAACTGCACCACCAAAGCGCAAAAAGTCCAAAAAGCCAACGGACAGCGATTCGTCAAAGACAACCGATGACGATGCCAAGCTGCAGGACATTTCTGGTGCTGTGGGCGATGGCTTATTGGTGACGCCAGCTTCGCATATCAAAGCAGTTACCGATGAGATCGAGATCAATAAGAATTTGATTGCATTGGTGCCATTGGCCAAGTTGCTGCGAGTGATTGAGAATCATTTGACTGTGGTCGAGTCGGAGGTGTTGGATCAATCGGCGATGATGATGACACCGGCTGCTGCCGACCAGAGCATTGCCATCATACGTAATATTATCGAACCTATCAAACAGATCGAATCCAAGCTGCGCGTCTATTCCGGCGAAACGCAGATCGATGCACTCATCCAATCCATGGACGATGATATACGCAAGCTGCACATGGGCCTGCAGGTGATTGAGAAGTGTGTCGAGATCGATGAGATGGGTGCCACGCTCATCCAGAGAACCAGTGTCTGCATTATTGACAGCGTTGCGGAGCATATGAAACGCGCATTGGAGGAGCTGAAGATTGTCAGCGAGAGATTCGAGTCGGAGAGTCTGCGTGCCCAAATCACATTAACTGCCGATGATATACATCAGGGTCTGGATATAACACAGGGCACAATCAGATCTCAAGCTCTGTTGCAGGAGGCACAGGAGCTGGAGGCAGCCAAGCATTTTACAGAGGCAGTTGAAAAGATGCAGGATGTCCAGGAGAGCATCTCCTTTGCATCAATATCGGAGGCCAACTTGCCCAGCGAAGCGAGCGCCTTAAAGCAGATTTGCCAGCCTGTGGCAAAGATCCAGGAAGCTCTGGAACGTGTTGAAATGGAACTATCGCTAGAGGAGAGTGAGGAGCAAATCTACAAGAAGGTACACAAAAAGGTACTTGATAGCATTGTGGAGCCAATTAAGGACTTGCAGAGCACTCTACAATCGATTGAAGATAAGACCGAATCTTTAGTGGGATCAGAGTCCATGGAACAAAAGATAAACATGGCCATTTTGGATATTGTCACACCGCCACTCTTTGAACTTAACAAGGGATTGGAGTTGATTCTGAATGAGAAATCAGACAGCGTTGAGGCTGGCATGTTTACGGTGAGCACCGTGGAATCGATGGTGCCACCTCTACAAGAAATCCAGAATGGTCTCGCCCAATTGGGTCAGGATCTGGAGTCGGGTGGTAAGAGAGCCAGCGAGGAGGCCTCATTGGATTTGGCAGATACCCAGAAGTTATTGCAGTCCATTGCCCAAGCCGTACTGCACTTCGAGACAAATATCGATCGAATTTCGGAACGTCTCAGTGAAAATGTGAAAATACGCTTACATAATCTCAAGGATGAGCTGTCGGCGCTGATTGGCACCATTTTGGATCGGGATATAACGCGTCACCATGTGGCGCTCCTCGACCAGCTGAAGCGTCCCATTGATGAGCTCAACTATTGCATACGCCAGACCGAGGTGAAGTCCACCTCTGGCTCCTTGGCAGATCTAATAGAACCACTCACCCTGCTGCAGGAGAATACACAGAAGGCACATGGATTGCTGTTGACGGCAAGGGAACGCGAACCCGATCAGCAGGCACTGCAATCCCTTGATAACATCCGCAACATAATACGCAATGCCATCATTGATATTGAGGAGCATGAGTTTAAGATATTACAGCAGGAGATCCAACAGGACGAGCAACTGCATCCGTCACAACAGGATAAATCCTTTAGTGCATTGCGCAAAGTGCTGGAGACGAAAGTTTCCCTCGAGGAGGCAGTTGGGAACATTGAAACCCTGCAGGTGGCTCTCAATCGCATCAATGAGAATGCAAAAATGCCGTCAAAGATGAAGTTGTGCGCGAATGAAGCTCAAGTTGCACTCTTACGGATATTACAGATCGCCAAGGGATTGGCTACGTTCAGTGAAACGGAGACGACACTCAATCCCAACGAGGCCAACACAACTCGCATTTTATTTGAGATGGGCAAAAGTTTTGCTGATTTGGCTAGAACATTGGATAATCCCGTCGCTGATGGCAATGAATTCAACGATGTGCTAAATAATTTCAATGATATTGTTGCCCAGCAGAGAGAAGCCTTAGATGAGCACTTGACTTGGAATACTCTAGCCATATCCAGTCCACTCTCGAGTTTTGTACATGCTCTCGAAAATCTACAACCACTTAAATTATCCGTTGAGGATCTGTCCACGCTGGATGATGTTTCAGTGCTCAAGTCATTGGCTGAATCGTTGCCAACGGAACCAGAAGCCAACTCTGAGGAGGAGGAAAAGCATAAGAAACCAGAAGCTGCTGAGCTGGAAGGCATTAAGAAACCAGCTGAGGTCCTGCTCTCTGATCTTAACCATGGCATCGCATCGGTTCTATCGCACTGCGAAGAATTGGATGTGGCTTCCTTGCGTGTCGAAACAGTTGAACAACTCCAAGCGGCCATTACCAAAATGCAGGAACTACAGAACAGCATTGCGCTGGTGCATGAAACACACGCGGATGAGGCTGCGAAGTCCATGTCGGAGGGCACGGATCCCGGCACTTTTGCCGCAGCGATCTGCAGTCTGGAGCGTTGTGTGCTCGAGGTGGAGGAGTGCATTGCGCACAGTGGTGCCGAAAGTCTGGAGGATCTGGAACTATCCAAGCTTAAGACACTGGCGACCCCACTGCACGATCTCCGGCATTGTTGTGAACAGATTGATATCCAGGCGCTGGAGCATGTACAGGATATGTCCATGCACGAGATATCTGAACTGAAGACCAGTGGCCAGCAGCAGATGGTGGAAGATATTCTCCAGGAGCCAGCTAAAATTGCTGACGAGCCAAAAGTGGAGATCTTCGATGTGCAACAGGGCGTTGTAAGTGGCATAAAGCAGCTGGAAGCTTGCCTCGAAGTAACCAAAAATGACGATAGCGAAGAATTGCGCCAGGTGGGCGAAATAATGCAGCAGCTGAACTCGGACTTGAAAAGAATCCAAGAAACACTCGCTTCAAACAGCGATCAACAGGAGACTGTGCTGGCTCAGGCGAAAATTGCAAAGACCATGTTCAAACTGAAGGAGTGTTTGGTGCACACTTACGAATCGGGTTTGGTTGACTCCTTGGAGAATATCGAAAGTGCTTTTGAAGATATTCTGCTTTCTTTGCCGGTGCTGGAGACCCAATTAGCTCAGGAGATGTATGCGAAAATTGAGGACACATTCAAAAATTTTATGACGTACTGCCAGCAGCAAAAGTCTCTAGTGAGTCTAAGCATAACATTTGAGAATCTGCTACAATCCATTCGAGCGGTAGCCGATTCACCAAATGTTGATATAGATAAGTCATCGACCACAATGGTTAATCTGCAAACAAGTCTAATGGCCACATTCAGGGCTCTGAATGAGGTTAGCGAAGTGGTCGATAATGATCTATTGGGCGGTCTACTTCGAAGCCAAAGCAGCCTGGTCGCCGTTTTTGATTTTATTGAGAATAATGACAATCCAATACGCATTATAGAACTGCTGCAAGAAATTGATGTAATATCGGCGGAATTGAAGAGTGTGTCTTTGGTTCCCATTGAATTCGGGGTGCCCATCGACATAAGCATGATCATTGAAAACGTGTCGTCAGGCAAAGCGTTCCTAATTGATATTGAACAGGGCCTGCAAAACGATAATCCACTCAGCGTTAAACTTGTCGATGAAAACACTGAAGAGATTAGACAACTGGAGGCAACACTTGTCCAAATAGAAAATGACATCCTATCACAAGCTCAGCTAACACAGATTACATCAGAGCAGATGGCACTGATTTGTCACTGTTCAGTTGCAAATTAACAGTCTCCAGGAGAAGCTTACTCAGTTAACTGTATCCCTTGCAGCACAACAGGAGCAGGAGCAGGACCAGGGACCGAAGCAATCAGAGCAACAACATACACAAGTAATAGATACACCAGAACAAATGGAAGTTCCTCAAGAGAAAACAGAAATAAAGGTGAAAAGAAAACTGGAAGAAGATGACAAACAAACTACAACGAAAAAACCCAAAGATGAAATCGATGCAAAATATATTGAATCGCCAGATACTTTAAAGAAAAAGGAATCTGAAACTGTTACCGATAAGCCTGAGAATTTGCAACAGATTTTGAATTTAAAATTCGACAATCTGCGCAGTGTTCTGGAATCCAAAACCGATAAATCTGAACTAAAGGCTATTTTAACCAACAGTAAAGAAATTATGGAAAACTTGAAAGACTCTGAGGAAGTAGTAAAGGGTATATTCAAACTTCGAGACCACATAGTTCATACATATGATGGGAAATCACCTGACGAACAAGCTGACAAGGAAATTGTTGAGGCCTTTATTGAATCATTTATTCAGGCCTGTCCAGATGCAGCAGAGAAAATAATTACGAGTTACATAAAAGAAATTAAGATGAATATTGTTTTAACTAAAGCAGCTATTCAACTTATTGGCGATTCTGAAATCGGAAATAAATCATCGTTGATTGTACCAAAATTAGTTAACCTCGAAAATATTTCAGAGAATATTAAGTCAGATTTGCATATTGAAAAGTCCTCTGTTAAGATGATACAACTTCAACAAAATCTGATGGACATGTTTGTTATACTTGATGACCTACTAGATGATAAAACAAATATTTTGAAACCAATAATTGAGGAAATGAAAACAGTTCTTCTAGCAGAGTACGATTATATTGAAAAAACACAAGGACAACTCCAGACTGCAACTGTAGAAGAGAAAATTCATAATATAACCAAGAAAATTTTAAATGTTTACGAACAATTACAGTTGCTCAAAAAGGATTCGACTGAAGGAGAGGCCAACAAAGAAGAAGTGCCACTTGAAAGACAGTCTATCGATGAGCAAAAACTGGAGACGAAGGAAAACAAACAAGCAGAAAAGGATGCTGAACAGAAGGCCCAGAAGGGAGAAGTATCTGAAGTTGTTGCTGAGAAAGTATCTGAGGAAAAGTCTCCAGAAAGTAAGAAGCCAGGTGTCAAGGAATCTGAAGCTGAAGCCCAAAACGCAAAGCTCCTAGAACAACAGTCTATTGAAGAGCAGAAGTTGGACACAAAGCAAATGAAAAAGTCTGAAAAGGATGCTGAAAAGAAGCCCCAGAAGGGTGAAGTATCTGAAGTTGTTGCTGAGAAAGTATCTGAAGAAAAGTCTCCAGCAAGTAAGAAGCCAGGTGTCAAGGAATCTGAAGCTGAAGCCCAAAAGGCAAAGATTCTGGAGCAACAATCTGTAGAAGAGCAGAAGGTGGATGAGACACTAAAGAAACAGACAGAAGAGGAAGCTCAACAGAAGGCCCAGAAGGGAGAGGTATCTGAAGTTGTTGCTGAGAAAGTATCTGAAGAAAAGACTCCGGAAAGTAAGAAGCCAGGTGTCAAGGAATCTGAAGCTGAAGCCCAAAACGCAAAGCTCCTAGAACAACAGTCTATTGAAGAGCAGAAGTTGGACACAAAGCAAAAGAAAAAGTCTGAAAAGGATGCTGAAAAGAAGGCCCAGAAGGGTGAAGTATCTGAAGTTGTTGCTGAGAAAGTATCTGAAGAAAAGTCTCCAGCAAGTAAGAAGCCAGGTGTCAAGGAATCTGAAGCTGAAGCCCAAAAGGCAAAGATTCTGGAGCAACAATCTGTAGAAGAGCAAAAGAAAAAATCGGAAAAAGATGCTGAAAAGAAGGCCCAGAAGGGAGAAGTATCGAAAGTTGTTGCTGAAAAAGTATCTGAAGAAAAGACTCCGGAAAGTAAGAAGCCAGGTGTCAAGGAATCTGAAGCAGAGGCTCAAAAGGCAAAGATTCTGGAGCAACAGTCTATTGAAGAGCAGAAGTTGGACACAAAGCAAAAGAAAATGTCTGAAAAGGATGCTGAAAAGAAAGCTCAGAAGGGAGAAGTATCTGAAGTTGTTGCTGAGAAAGTATCTGAAGAAAAGTCTCCAGCAAGTAAGAAGCCAGGTGTCAAGGAATCTGAAGCTGAAGCCCAAAAGGCAAAGATTCTGGAGCAACAATCTGTAGAAGAGCAGAAGGTGGATGAGACACTAAAGAAACAGACAGAAGAGGAAGCTCAACAGAAGGCCCAGAAGGGAGAAGTATCGAAAGTTGTTGCTGAAAAAGTATCTGAAGAAAACACTCCAGAAAGCAAGAAGCCGGATGTCAAGGAATCTGAAGCTGAAGTTCAAAAGACGAATATGCAAGCCAAATTCTTGGATATAGTCGAGGCATCTAAATCACAAACATCAAATACAGATTTATTACAGATCGTTACCAATTGCAAGGATATGATCGAGAATCTTGAGGACTCCGAAAAGGTCGCTAAGTCCATATTCAAACTAAGGGAGCATATTGTTCATACATATGATGGGAAATCACCTGAAGAACAAGCTGACAAGGAAATTGTTGAGGCCTTTATTGAATCACTTATTCAGGCCTGTCCAGATGCAGCAGAGAAAATAATTACGAGTTACATAAAAGAAATTAAGATGAATATTGTTTTAACTAAAGCAGCTATTCAACTTATTGGCGATTCTGAAATCGGAAATAAATCATCGTTGATTGTACCAAAATTAGTTAACCTCGAAAATATTTCAGAGAATATTAAGTCAGATTTGCATATTGAAAAGTCCTCTGTTAAGATGATACAACTTCAACAAAATCTGATGGACATGTTTGTTATACTTGATGACCTACTAGATGATAAAACAAATATTTTGAAACCAATAATTGAGGAAATGAAAACAGTTCTTCTAGCAGAGTACGATTATATTGAAAAAACACAAGGACAACTCCAGACTGCAACTGTAGAAGAGAAAATTCATAATATAACCAAGAAAATTTTAAATGTTTACGAACAATTACAGTTGCTCAAAAAGGATTCGACTGAAGGAGAGGCCAACAAAGAAGAAGTGCCATTTGAGAGACAATCTATCGATGAGCAAAAACTGGAGACGAAGAAAAACAAACAAGCAGAAAAGGATGCTGAACAGAAGGCCCAGAAGGGAGAAGTATCTGAAGTTGTTGCTGAGAAAGTATCTGAAGAAAAGACTCCGGAAAGTAAGAAGCCAGGTGTCAAGGAATCTGAAGCAGAGGCTCAAAAGGCAAAGATTCTGGAGCAACAATCTAAAGAAGAGCAGAAGTTGGATGAGACACTAAAGAAACGGACTGAAGCGGAAGCTCAACAGAAGGCCCAAAAGGGAGAAGTATCTGAAGTTGTTGCTGAGAAAGTATCTGAAGAAAAGACTCCGGAAAGTAAGAAGCCAGGTGTCAAGGAATCTGAAGCCCAAAAGGCACAGATCCTAGAACAACAGTCTATTGAAGAGCAGAAATTGGACACAAAGCAAAAGAAAAAATCTGAAAAGGATGCTGAAAAGAAGGCCCAGAAGGGTGAAGTATCTGAAGTTGTTGCTGAGAAAGTATCTGAAGAAAAGTCTCCAGAAAGTAAGAAGCCAGGTGTCAAGGAATCTGAAGCAGAGGCTCAAAAGGCAAAGATTCTGGAGCAACAATCTATAGAAGAGCAGAAGTTGGATGAGACACTAAAGAAACAGACTGAAGCGGAAGCTCAACAGAAGGCCCAGAAGGGAGAAGTATCTGAAGTTGTTGCTGAGAAAGTATCTGAAGAAAAGACTCCAGAAAGTAAGAAGCCAGGTGTCAAGGAATCTGAAGCTGAAGCCCAAAAGGCAAAGATCCTAGAACAACAGTCTCTTGAAGAGCAGAAGTTGGACACAAAGCAAAAGAAAAAGTCTGAAAAGGATGCTGAAAAGAAGCCCCAGAAGGGTGAAGTATCTGAAGTTGTTGCTGAGAAAGTATCTGAAGAAAAGTCTCCAGCAAGTAAGAAGCCAGGTGTCAAGGAATCTGACGCAGAGGCTCAAAAGGCAAAGATTCTGGAGCAACAATCTATAGAAGAGCAGAAGTTGGATGAGACACTAAAGAAACAGACTGAAGCGGAAGCTCAACAGAAGGCCCAGAAGGGAGAGGTATCTGAAGTTGTTGCTGAGAAAGTATCTGAAGAAAAGACTCCGGAAAGTAAGAAGCCAGGTGTCAAGGAATCTGAAGGTGAAGCCCAAAAGGCAAAGATTCTGGAGCAACAATCTAAAGAAGAGCAGAAGTTGGATGAGACACTAAAGAAACAGACAGAAGAGGAAGCTCAACAGAAGGCCCAGAAGGGAGAAGTATCTGAAGTTGTTGCTGAGAAAGTATCTGAAGAAAACACTCCAGAAAGTAAGAAGCCGGATGTCAAGGAATCTGAAGCTGAAGTTCAAAAGACGAATATGCAAGCCAAATTCTTGGATATAGTCGAGGCATCTAAATCACAAACATCAAATACAGATTTATTACAGATCGTTACCAATTGCAAGGATATGATCGAAAATCTTGAGGACTCCGAAAAGGTCGCTAAGTCCATATTCAAACTAAGGGAGCATATTGTTCATACATATGATGGGAAATCACCTGAAGAACAAGCTGACAAGGAAATTGTTGAGGCCTTTATTGAATCACTTATTCAGGCCTGTCCAGATGCAGCAGAGAAAATAATTACGAGTTACATAAAAGAAATTAAGATGAATATTGTTTTAACTAAAGCAGCTATTCAACTTATTGGCGATTCTGAAATCGGAAATAAATCATCGTTGATTGTACCAAAATTAGTTAACCTCGAAAATATTTCAGAGAATATTAAGTCAGATTTGCATATTGAAAAGTCCTCTGTTAAGATGATACAACTTCAACAAAACTTGATGGATATGTTTGTTATAATTGATGACCTACTAGATGATAAAACAAATATTTTGAAACCAATAATTGAGGAAATGAAAACAGTTCTTCTAGCAGAGTACGATTATATTGAAAAAACACAAGGACAACTCCAGACTGCAACTGTAGAAGAGAAAATTCATAATATAACCAAGAAAATTTTAAATGTTTACGAACAATTACAGTTGCTCAAAAAGGATTCGACTGAAGGAGAGGTCAACAAGGAAGAAGTGCCGCTTGAAAGACAATCTATCGATGAGCAAAAACTAGAGACGAAGAAAAACAAACAAGCAGAAAAGGATGCTGAACAGAAGGCCCAGAAGGGAGAAGTATCTGAAGTTGTTGCTGAGAAAATATCTGAAGAAAAGACTTCAGAAAGTAAGAAGCCAGGTGTCAAGGAATCTGAAGCAGAGGCTCAAAAGGCAAAGATTCTGGAGCAACAATCTATAGAAGAGCAGAAGGTGGATGAGACACTAAAGAAACAGACAGAAGAGAAAGCTCAACAGAAGGCCCAGAAGGGAGAAGTATCTGAAGTTGTTGCTGAGAAAGTATCTGAAGAAAAGACTTCAGAAAGTAAGAAGCCAGGTGTCAAGGAATCTGAAGCAGAGGCTCAAAAGGCAAAGATTCTGGAGCAACAATCTATAGAAGAGCAGAAGGTGGATGAGACACTAAAGAAACAGACAGAAGAGAAAGCTCAACAGAAGGCCCAGAAGGGAGAAGTATCTGAAGTTGTTGCTGAGAAAGTATCTGAAGAAAAGACTCCGGAAAGTAAGAAGCCAGGTGTCAAGGAATCTGAAGCAGAGGCTCAAAAGGCAAAGATTCTGGAGCAACAGTCTATTGAAGAGCAGAAGTTGGACACAAAGCAAAAGAAAAAGTCTGAAAAGGATGCTGAAAAGAAGGCCCAGAAGGGTGAAGTATCTGAAGTTGTTGCTGAGAAAGTATCTGAAGAAAAGACTCCAGAAAGTAAGAAGCCAGGTGTCAAGGAATCTGAAGCAGAGGCTCAAAAGGCAAAGATTCTGGAGCAACAATCTATAGAAGAGCAGAAGGTGGATGAGACACTAAAGAAACAGACAGAAGAGAAAGCTCAACAGAAGGCCCAGAAGGGAGAAGTATCTGAAGTTGTTGCTGAGAAAGTATCTGAAGAAAAGACTCCGGAAAGTAAGAAGCCAGGTGTCAAGGAATCTGAAGCAGAGGCTCAAAAGGCAAAGATTCTGGAGCAACAGTCTATTGAAGAGCAGAAGTTGGACACAAAGCAAAAGAAAATGTCTGAAAAGGATGCTCAACAGAAGGCCCAGAAGGGTGAAGTATCTGAAGTTGTTGCTGAGAAAGTATCTGAAGAAAAGACTTCAGAAAGTAAGAAGCCAGATGTCAAGGAATCTGAAGCAGAGGCTCAAAAGGCAAAGATTCTGGAGCAACAGTCTATTGAAGAGCAGAAGTTGGACACAAAGCAAAAGAAAAAGTCTGAAAAGGATGCTGAAAAGAAGGCCCAGAAGGGTGAAGTATCTGAAGTTGTTGCTGAGAAAGTATCTGAAGAAAAGACTCCAGAAAGTAAGAAGCCGGGTGTCAAGGAATCTGAAGCAGAGGCTCAAAAGGCAAAGATTCTGGAGCAACAATCTATAGAAGAGCAGAAGTTGGATGAGACACTAAAGAAACAGACAGAAGAGGAAGCTCAACAGAAGGCCCAAAAGGGAGAAGTATCTGAAGTTGTTGCTGAGAAAGTATCTGAAGAAAAGACTCCGGAAAGTAAGAAGCCAGGTGTCAAGGAATCTGACGTCGAGGCTCAAAAAGGCAAAGATTCTGGAGCAACAATCTATAGAACAGCAGAAGTTGGATGAGACACTAAAGAAACAGACTGAAGAGGAAGCTCAACAGAAGGCCCAGAAGGGAGAAGTATCTGAAGTTGTTGCTGAGAAAGTATCTGAAGAAAAGTCTTCAGAAAGTAAGAAGCCAGGTGTCAAGGAATCTGAAGCAGAGGCTCAAAAGGCAAAGATTCTGGAGCAACAATCTATAGAAGAGCAGAAATTAGACACAAAGCAAAAGAAAAAATCTGAAAAGGATGCTGAAAAGAAGCCCCAGAAGGGTGAAGTATCTGAAGTTGTTGCTGAGAAAGTATCTGAAGAAAAGTCTCCAGCAAGTAAGAAGCCAGGTGTCAAGGAATCTGACGCAGAGGCTCAAAAGGCAAAGATTCTGGAGCAACAATCTATAGAAGAGCAGAAATTAGACACAAAGCAAAAGAAAAAATCTGAAAAGGATGCTGAAAAGAAGGCCCAGAAGGGTGAAGTATCTGAAGTTGTTGCTGAGAAAGTATCTGAAGAAAAGACTCCAGAAAGTAAGAAGCCGGATGTCAAGGAATCTGAAGCTGAAGTTCAAAAGACGAATATGCAAGCCAAATTCTTGGATATAGTCGAGGCATCTAAATCACAAACATCAAATACAGATTTATTACAGATCGTTACCAATTGCAAGGATATGATCGAAAATCTTGAGGACTCCGAAAAGGTCGCTAAGTCCATATTCAAACTAAGGGGGCATATTGTTCATACATATGATGGGAAATCACCTGAAGAACAAGCTGACAAGGAAATTGTTGAAGCATTTATCGAATCACTTCTTGAGGCTTTTCCAGTTACTGCGAGTAATTTAATAAGCCATTACGTTAAAGAAATTGAATCCAATGTTATTTTAACTAAGGCTGCTGTTAGACTTATTGACGAAACTGCAATGTTTCCCAAACCTTCACTACTAATACCAAAGCTAGTTAATCTGGAGAAGATTTCCAAGAATATTTGTTCTGTTCTGCGTTTAGACAATTCCTCCGAAAACATGATCCATCTTCAGCAAAATTTAATGGACAGCTTTTTAATACTTGATGACCTACTGGATGAGGAAACAGATATAATGAAACCTTCGATTGAAGAAATGAAAATAGTTCTTCTAGCAGAGTACGATTATATTGAAAAAACACAAGGACAACTCCAGACTGCAACTGTAGAAGAGAAAATTCATAATATAACCAAGAAAATTTTAAATGTTTACGAACAATTACAGTTGCTCAAAAAGGATTCGACTGAAGGAGAGGCCAACAAAGAAGAAGTGCCATTTGAGAGACAATCTATCGATGAGCAAAAACTGGAGACGAAGAAAAACAAACAAGCAGAAAAGGATGCTGAACAGAAGGCCCAGAAGGGAGAGGTATCTGAAGTTGTTGCTGAGAAAGTATCTGAAGAAAAGACTCCGGAAAGTAAGAAGCCAGGTGTCAAGGAATCTGAAGCAGAGGCTCAAAAGGCAAAGATTCTGGAGCAACAATCTATAGAAGAGCAGAAGTTGGAATCAAAGCAAAAGAAAAAATCGGAAAAAGATGCTGAAAAGAAGGCCCAGAAGGGTGAAGTATCTGAAGTTGTTGCTGAGAAAGTATCTGAAGAAAAGTCTTCAGAAAGTAAGAAGCCAGGTGTCAAGGAATCTGAAGCCCAAAAGGCACAGATCTTAGAACAACAGTCTATTGAAGAGCAGAAGTTGGACACAAAGCAAAAGAAAATGTCTGAAAAGGATGCTGAAAAGAAGGCCCAGAAGGGTGAAGTATCTGAAGTTGTTGCTGAGAAAGTATCTGAAGAAAAGACTTCAGAAAGTAAGAAGCCAGATGTCAAGGAATCTGAAGCAGAGGCTCAAAAGGCAAAGATTCTGGAGCAACAATCTATAGAAGAGCAGAAGTTGGACACAAAGCAAAAGAAAAAATCTGAAAAGAAGGCCGAGAAGGGTGAAGTATCGGAAGTTGTTGCTGAGAAAGTATCTGAAGAAAAGACTCCGGAAAGTAAGAAGCCAGGTGTCAAGGAATCTGAAGCAGAGGCTCAAAAGGCAAAGATTCTGGAGCAACAGTCTATTGAAGAGCAGAAGTTGGACACAAAGCAAAAGAAAATGTCTGAAAAGGATGCTCAACAGAAGGCCCAGAAGGGTGAAGTATCTGAAGTTGTTGCTGAGAAAGTATCTGAAGAAAAGTCTCCAGCAAGTAAGAAGCCAGGTGTCAAGGAATCTGAAGCCCAAAAGGCACAGATCTTAGAACAACAGTCTATTGAAGAGCAGAAATTGGACACAAAGCAAAAGAAAATGTCTGAAAAGGATGCTCAACAGAAGGCTCAGAAGGGAGAAGTATCTGAAGTTGTTGCTGAGAAAGTATCTGAAGAAAAGACTCCGGAAAGTAAGAAGCCAGGTGTCAAGGAATCTGAAGCAGAGGCTCAAAAGGCAAAGATTCTGGAGCAACAATCTATAGAAGAGCAGAAGTTGGACACAAAGCAAAAGAAAAAATCTGAAAAGAAGGCCGAGAAGGGTGAAGTATCGGAAGTTGTTGCTGAGAAAGTATCTGAAGAAAAGACTCCGGAAAGTAAGAAGCCAGGTGTCAAGGAATCTGAAGCAGAGGCTCAAAAGGCAAAGATTCTGGAGCAACAGTCTATTGAAGAGCAGAAGTTGGACACAAAGCAAAAGAAAATGTCTGAAAAGGATGCTCAACAGAAGGCCCAGAAGGGTGAAGTATCTGAAGTTGTTGCTGAGAAAGTATCTGAAGAAAAGTCTCCAGCAAGTAAGAAGCCAGGTGTCAAGGAATCTGAAGCCCAAAAGGCACAGATCCTAGAACAACAGTCTATTGAAGAGCAGAAGTTGGACACAAAGCAAAAGAAAATGTCTGAAAAGGATGCTCAACAGAAGGCTCAGAAGGGAGAAGTATCTGAAGTTGTTGCTGAGAAAGTATCTGAAGAAAAGACTCCGGAAAGTAAGAAGCCAGGTGTCAAGGAATCTGAAGCAGAGGCTCAAAAGGCGAAGATTCTGGAGCAACAATCTATAGAAGAGCAGAAGATGGACACAAAGCAAAAGAAAAAATCTGAAAAGAAGGCCGAGAAGGGTGAAGTATCGGAAGTTGTTGCTGAGAAAGTATCTGAAGAAAAGACTCCGGAAAGTAAGAAGCCAGGTGTCAAGGAATCTGAAGCAGAGGCTCAAAAGGCAAAGATTCTGGAGCAACAGTCTATTGAAGAGCAGAAGTTGGACACAAAGCAAAAGAAAATGTCTGAAAAGGATGCTCAACAGAAGGCCCAGAAGGGTGAAGTATCTGAAGTTGTTGCTGAGAAAGTATCTGAAGAAAAGTCTCCAGCAAGTAAGAAGCCAGGTGTCAAGGAATCTGAAGCAGAGGCTCAAAAGGCACAGATCCTAGAACAACAGTCTATTGAAGAGCAGAAGTTGGACACAAAGCAAAAGAAAATGTCTGAAAAGGATGCTCAACAGAAGGCCCAGAAGGGTGAAGTATCTGAAGTTGTTGCTGAGAAAGTATCTGAAGAAAAGACTCCGGAAAGTAAGAAGCCAGGTGTCAAGGAATCTGAAGCAGAGGCTCAAAAGGCAAAGATTCTGGAGCAACAATCTATAGAAGAGCAGAAGTTGGACACAAAGCAAAAGAAAAAATCTGAAAAGAAGGCCCAGAAGGGTGAAGTATCTGAAGTTGTTGCTGAGAAAGTATCTGAAGAAAAGACTGCGGATAGTAAGAAGCGAGATGTTAAGGAAGCTGAAGCTGAGGTGCAAGAGGTAACGATTTTAGAACAACAAGCTTCAGAAGAGCAGAAACTGCAGAAGAAAAAACCAGTTGTAGACGATGTTGACATGATTTTGTCAAAGAGAGAGGGAGCTCATGTTGTTGATGTTAATGTTAACGAGAAGGCTGATGTTCGTGAGCGCAAACAAGTTCGAAGCAGAGAGGCTATTGGGGATGCAGTCGAAAGTATTAGTCCTCAAGCAAGCAAATACCAATCCTTAGAGTCTGAGTATAAAGAACGGAAGGAATCGCGCAGTGCTAAGCGTAAGCCAACTGTTGATTTAATGCTCACTAATCGGAATTCGGCAACAGGCAGTGACCTGAAGCTAACATGTGGCATATCTGGTCACGATATGAAAGTGCAATGGTTCAAGCAGAATAACCCCATTGAGAACGATGCCAAGTACAAAATAACCTTGAACGATGGTCTATCCTGCCTTGAAATCAAATCAACAGAGATGAATGATTCTGGCATTTATCGATGCATAGCGTCCAATCGAAATGGAGAGGTCGAAACGAGCTGTCTTGTGACTATATACGAAGCACCTTCAACCAAATTTGGCACACCGCCAATATTTACACGCAACATACGAGGTAAGTGCCTGTTCTACCTATGCAACACATTGATTTAATGCCACAAATGTAAATTAAATTAATGTCAGATTACAACTACATCAATTGAATTTGACGTTAAGCCCGCTAGCACCTTAGTTGTAAATAGGAAATAAATACATTAGTTATACAATGTGCTATAATATACTAAGTATCTAATGATTAAGTACATTCGTTTTACTTATTTAGTTTACTAATATAATATACTAAGTATGTAATGATTAAGTACATTCGTTTTACTTATTTAGTTTGGCTAAGTTTTTACATTTTCAGTTTGTGTTAATTGACTTGCCCTTTGGTATTATGATCGATTCGAGATCATAAGTGCATTAATTTATTTTTTTACGTTAAATCGACGCCTTTATTTATAGACTATCGAAATTCGAATGACATTTATATAATTGAATTTACTGAGTGCATTAATTAAAAGTCTTCAGCATTTAAATAGATTTCTTTGAAATTATTTTTTACTTTTTTTTTTGGCAACAATTGCAATGCAGGTATATAAATAAGTGTACATATATATGTATATATGTACATATAAACAACGAAATTCGTGCAAATGTTTTTATTTAGCATAACAATCGATTGGCAATTAGGATATTTTCACACATTTCACATTCACCACATGCGAACAGTCGTGAATCTTCTTTTGCATCGAACGGACGTCTGACGTCCTAAAAAACAAACAAACAAATTCGATCGAACCGTTTCGGGTACATATTTATACATATATAAACTAATTTATACGTATACGACTCGTACGGATATCATATTTTTATCGGTTTATTTTTCCCAAAACGAATTCTCATTCCCACGTTATCCTGTGAAAAGACAAAACGCAACAAACGAAGACAATGGGAGCGACGGACGGCGACATCGAGCCACGGGCATCTGCTGAGCCGGAGGGGGCACCCGCGCAGGATACGCTGCAGGTGCCAACGCAGAAGAGGCGCAAACTTAAATCACCCACTCCTGGCAGTTTACGCGGACGTAGTGCCACGCCCATCCATGGCCGGAGCCAGACTCCGTTCAATCTGTATATGACACGTCGCAGTGCCACGCCCTCAACATGGCGCAGCATAACCCCCTTCCTGAAACGCGAGGATAAAGAGAAAACTCCCTTCGAACTGGGCCGTGACATGAAGTCGCAGACAACGTGCAATATTGCCGTCTTTGATCGTGCCCTGGTCATGGATATTTCTGAAGATATGGATGTGCAGAAGCCCGTGCGTTACATAACATCCGATCTATCGGTTATCGATCGCGCTGCTGTTATGGACGTGTCCAACGTTGAGGTTATCTACGTTGTGGAGGAGTACGAAGAGTATGAAGAGGAGGAGGAAATCATCGAAGAAGTTAAGCCCAAGAAAAAAGAAAAGAAACCAAGAAAGCCACGCGCGGCTAGAAAGTCCGCCGAGCCATCTCCTGATGGTGATGGTACTGGCGATGATATTGGCGATTTGGGAGACGATCGGGAGGATAGTGTCGATTTCGATGAGGATGAGCCCGCTAAGAAGGGCAAAAAGAAGGCGCCGCCAAAGAAGAAGGAGAAGAAAGAGAAATCGCCCAGTCCAAAATTGACCTTGAAACTGGAGATTGGCGGCGGCCAAAAGGCCAGCAAGAAGATGTTCGATCAGCAGCCGCCTGCACCTAAGCCGCCACCAAAGAAGAGCAAGATGGTCTTGCAAATGGAGGAGCAGGCCAAGGCTCAGGCTAAGGCAGCCGAGGAAGCCGCCAATCGTGCCAAGCCCAAGGGCGAAACGTACGAGGAACGTCAGAAGCGCTTGAAGGAGGAAAAAGAGGAGCAGGAACGACTTGAAGCCGAACAGCGTGCGATTGAGGAGGCTGAAGCTGAAGCGGAAGCTGAAGCGGAAGCTGAAGCCTATGATAGTGAGGAGGACCGATCCATGATGGATGACGAGGGCACCGAGGCAGCCGAAGGCGATTACAATGATGACGAGGATACCGAACTTGCCTATGAGGACGAAGAGGCCGAACCAGCGGTCATCGATCTGAAAGCGGCCAAACGTCGTGGCAGCGACTCCTCCGATGAATATACACGTCCCGATCCCCACGAGGACGAGCGCTGGCAGCGTATCGCCGCCACTGAAGGCGAGGAATTCATGCAGCAGCTGCGCAAATACAGCCAAGCCAAGCGCATCAGCGAGCGGGAACGGGATGCTGACTGGCAGCGTCGACGGGAGCAGGCTCGTCTGCCTAAGTTCATCAACTTCCTATCGGATCGCACCGTCGAAGCGGGTCAGAGTGTTCGGCTGGCCTGCGCTGTCGACGGGCCCGAGCTCTCTGTCAAATGGTTTAAGGATGGACGTCAGCTGGAGCGCGATGCCACCCATCGCATTATAAACAACAATAATATTTTGGTAATGGAAGTGGTTAATACGAGTATATTGGATTCGGGCGAGTATTCTTGCCAAATCCTGAATGCAAATGACGAGGTTACCTCATCCTGTATTGTAACAATTTACGAAGTGTTTAAGGATGAACCCAAACCTCCCACCATACAGTATATCAAAGGTAGCAGCAATTTTTCGTCTTTTGCTCAATGCATTTCTCTCAGGGTCTGTTTATTTGTGATCTTTTAGAATACTATCATTTGCGCGACGATGAGCTGACCATTGAAGGCCATGTGCACGGTGTTCCGCGTCCGGTTGTTACCTGGTGGCGCGGCGCCTTCCAAGTAAAGCCCAGCTACAAGTTCACCATGCTCGAGGAGGCGCACGGCGTTTGCAAGCTGCTGGTCTATAAACCGGGCAACAAGGATAGTGGCGTATATACCATGAAGGCAATCAATTCGATTGGCGAGGCACAAATCAATCACACCGTCGAGGTGGCCAAGAATCTGCACTATCATGTGCCCGGCATATTCCATGCACGCGACCGCATTCAACTGGACAGCTTGAAGCAGGCCCGTCGCTCCATTGATGAAGCGCTCAGATCGAAAGCCGAATCGGATTCGAAACGTGCCGAGGCAGAGGCTGAGCTACACCGTATCCAGGCAGCGCGTGCACCACCCGAACCACCCCTTGTGCCCGCCAAGCAGAAATTGCAGTTTGCCACCCAGTTACGCGATCGGATGTCACTGGAGGGCACAACCGCTAAGTTTGCGGTAACTGTAATTGGACCCGATCCGAACACACGCTGGATGAAGGACGACAAATGGGTGACGATTTCCGATAACATTAAGAACCTGTCCGAGGAGGGCAAGGCCATACTGCAAATTATCAATGTGACCTCAGCCGATACGGGTGTCTACAAGTGCGTGGCCAAGAACGATATGAGCGAAATCGAAACCTCATGCTACTTCAAAGTGTATGCGGCGCAAGCCGATGGCGACGAGTCCGAGCCCATTTTCGCCCTGCCCCTGCGAGGTATTTTTAATGTATCCGAGTGCAATCTGTGTGTGTGTCTGTGTGTGTGTAGCTGCATCTGCATCTGTTTTGTCTTCATTCTTGTAACGACGCCAACGCAAATCGAACATCAGCCAAAATTCGAATCGAAATTCGATTGAGTTGTTGTCCACCGATTGAGGTCGACCATGTACGAAAATAGTTTTTTTTATGTGTTTGAAGTGTTGTTTGGTCTTCTTCTACTTCTACTTCTACAACTGCATCTTCTTCTTCTTCTTGGTCATCTTCATCGATTTAGATGTGTATCATTCCTCGCAAAATGACTTGATTCTCGACACGAAGGTGCGCGGCAATCCCCGTCCACTTATCACGTGGACGAAAGATCAGTTACCCATTGTACTTGACGATCGTGTCGTGCAAATCGAACACTTAGATGGCGTCTGTGAGCTGATCGTTAATAAGCCAACGATAAATGACAACGGCATCTACGTTTGCACCGCCCAGAACAAGTTGGGCAGTCAGTCGACCACCCACACGGTTGTCGTCGACACACACTCGTCTCGCCGCTCGAGCATATTATCGGCAATGCAGGAGGAGGGTGCTACTGAAGGTGCCGCCAAGCCCAAGAAGTTGCCTAAGAAAAAGGATGAAGATGATGGCGGTGGCTACGAGCGACGCAGTCGTATGCCCGATCCATCGCCCAAGCAAATGCTCTATTTCACGGTCAATCTATCCAATCGTTATGTGGCCGAAGGATCTAAGGTCAAACTGCAGGCGGTCGTGGGCGGACCCCAACCGACAGTTAAATGGCAAAAGGATGACCAGAATGTCACCTACGGACCCCGTATACGCAACATGAATCGCGACAGTTTGGCCGTGCTGGAGTTCACCAGTGCACTTCCCGAAGATTCCGGAACCTATTCGATAGTTGCCCATAATGAATTCTGCAAGATTACCACCTCGGCACTGCTGCATGTCTATCAGCCGAAGGTCAACACCGATGTGGAGCCCGTGTTTATACGCTCCCTGAAAGGTAAGAAAGGCATCCAATTTGTTTGTGTCGTCCGCATTCGTAATGTCTTATCAGATCTATAAATAGATCAAAGTCATTGACGATTGTGCAATGTGCAATCATTTGTTGGGATTATGCAATGCCATCTTTGTTGTTGTTTTTGTTGGGTTCTTGTGTTGCTGCGTGTTTATGTAACAACTATCTGCTGAATGCCTGCCAATCTCCCATTCACGCAGAGAACTATCATCTAAATTCGAATGAACTTATATTGGAGACAGCTGTGAGGGGTCAGCCGACACCGCTGGTGCAGTGGTTCAAGGACAGCATTGAGGTTCAGAATGACGAACGTCATCAGTTGATTGAGCATCAGGATGGCACCTGTGAGCTGATCATTGATCGACCCGACAATAAGGATTCGGGCAAATATGTGGTCAAGGCGGAGAGTCGTGCCGGCAAAATGGAGATTTCCCATTATGTGCTGTTCGAGGGCAAGGCATCGCACATTGCGGAGAACATACACGGTGTGTTCCATGCGGACAAGAGTCTGCTGCGGCCCAAGGAGGTGGAGAAGCCAGCTGAGAAACCAGCAGCTCCAGCAGCCGAAGCCGAAGAGGTGGGCAAGAAGGGTCGCGGTCGCAAGAAGGCAGATCCCGAGGAAGAGGCAGTATCCTCGGCCACGGACTATGCCTCAGATTCGGCGAGCATGTCGAGCAAGCGACGCGAGAAGAACATTGGCATACACTTTAGCACCTCGATGAGGGATCGCGTTGTGGCCGAAGGTTCCAAGGTGAAGATCTCCTGCTTCCTGGAGGCCAAGGAACCACAAGTGAAATGGACCAAGAACGACGAGCCCCTCCAAAATTCACCCAAGATCCGTGGACGCTATAGCGAAGGCCTCTGTCTCTTGGAGATTGCGAGCGCGGCAGCGGAGGACAATGGTGTGTACAAGTGCACGGGACGTGACGAAACTGGCGAAGCGTCCACCTCGTGCCGTCTGGAGGTCTACGAAGATCCTGGCACTGGCGATGTGCCACCAACGTTCACGCGCAACATCAAGGACACGCTGCATGGCAAGATCAATGAGCTACAGCTGGACGTACATGTGCGTGGTCTGCCAACGCCGACGGTCACATGGTTCAAGGATAGCGTTAAGGTGGAGAACAATGATAAGTACCAACAGGTGGATCACGATGATGGTACCTGTGAGCTGTTCATCAGCCGGCCAAAGCCGGCGGACAGCGGCAAATACGTTTGCCAGGCCGAGAATCGCGAGGGTCAAACGGAAATCGTGCACATGGTCACTGTAGAACCACGCGTCCAAGTCCGACCCAGATCGCCACCCAGGGAGGGCCTGCCGCCACTAAAGCCCGGCGGTGAGGAGGAGGGTGATGAAGTTCACGAGGATGAGGAGGCTGAGGGAGGTGAGGGAGCCGAAGGTGTGGTTGTTAAGAAACGAGGGCGTAAACCAAAGAAGGCTGATGATGAGGAGGGTACAAGCTCGAGACGCGAGGTGCCACCACCACCCGATCTAAAGAAGCGACTCTACTTCCGCAACTTCCTATCTAATCGCACCGTTTTATCGGGCAGCAACGTCAAATGGATGGTCAACATCGATGGACCCGAGCCCACGGCCAAGTGGTTCCATAACGATCAACCGATTGCCTTCGGTCCCAAGAGCAAGTTGTCCATGCAGGATGGCATTGCCTGGCTCAATCTGGTTGGTGTCACCGAGGAAGAGGCCGGCGAATACACGCTGAGAGTAAAAGGTCCCGAAAATGAAATTGTTAGCACTTGCAACCTGTTCGTTTACAGCACGGGTCAAGTTGAGGTCATCTCACCCACTTTCACAGTGGGCATCAAAGGTAGGCGTTAATTAAGTGTTCCAAATAGATGTACGTCCACGTGAAACGTTAAGGTATGCCGTTTAGTTTATGTATTACATCGAGTTGTAGTTTTAAGCATTAATTTATATAAGCAGGTTCCTAGTCCATATTTATGTTGTCCTTGTCTCATTGTTGTCTTGTGTCTCTCTTTCTCTCTGTCTCTTTGTGTGTGCTCATTGCAGATGCATATCATTCCCAAGACAATCAATTAACACTTGAATGCAAGGTCTCGGGCAGCCCCAAGCCAAACATCTACTGGCAACGGGATAATAGCCTGTTGCCCGTCGATACCGCCAAGTATCAATATGCCGAGCAAAGCGATGGTGTCAAACAGCTGACCATAACATCCTTTGGCAGCGAGGACTCTGGACTGTACACATGCTATGCAGAAAGCGAAAATGGTCAAATGAAAATTAGTAAATTTGTGCAAGCATCCGATTATGTGCGACAGCGTGCTGTCGAAAAGAAACCAACAGATCTTGTCAAGCCAGATCTTAAGAGACCTGAGGCTAGCCAGGTTCAAACGGCTGAAAATTCCGCAGCGGATGCAAAGGCAAAGGCACGAGAAGCCAAGCTGCGATTGAGCCTGGAGACCAGCCTCAAGACCATGACCATCAGCAGCGGCAATAAGGCTCAGCTGATATGTTATGTGACTGGCTTCATCGAGGATGTTCATTGGTTAAGGGATGGCGAAAGGATTACAAAGGATGCACGCCACAAGATCTATAATATCAATGGTGCCATCAGTCTGGAAATCTACGATGCTCGTCCAGAGGATAGCGGTCACTACAGATGCGTGGTGAAGAACAGCAAACAATCAGTCCAGAGCGAAGGTCAACTAACGGTACTGGATGAATCAAGCGGCCGATTGCCGCAAAGCTTCCACGGGGGCATTAAAAGTAAGTTGAATATAAAGAAGAAACAATACACTCAGAAAAGGTCGCCATGAATTTTAGTATTTTGCCATAGTTTTGATGGTAATTGGAACTCACCTTAATGTTCATAAAATATATTTCTCAAAATCCTTGCTTTTGTTTTCATAGTTTAAGAATACATTTTCTAAAATTTAAAAAATACATTTGCATTTCATTCGTTATTTTTGTGCTCATATTAAAATTACACATAAACACTAGTATTTTATGATTTCACAAATATATACATATTAGATACTCGTAGGTAATACAAATTCATATAACTTAATTTGATGTCATTTAATTTAATTTATAAAAGAATTTCTTTAAAAATGGTGGTTTGCATTTCTACTTTTGAGAAATACATTTCTTAAAAATAGAAAATATTTCTGAAAATAAAAAGCGCTAAATTTTTTTGATAGACGATTCATTTTTAGAAATTGTTCTCTTATATTTAGAAAATAAATTCAAGTCGTTTTTTTATCTGAGTGTAATGGCAGGTGAAGGATTCCCCAATGTTCTTAGTCTATGATCTCCTTGATTAGCGATGTCTTACACATATCATTCTTCTGGGTTATAAACTACTACTTTTTCTACTAAGTAACTAACTTGTTAACTTACTTGCAGAATGCTATGATGCACATCGTAATGAGATTGTGCTGAGCTGTCAGGTGCATGGACGTCCCAATATTAGTTGGATGCGCGATGATCACACGATCTGCAACAACCGCTATAAGATTGTGGATGAGCCGGGCGGCGAACGGAAGTTCATCATACGTAATCCCATATCATCGGACTGTGGCATTTTTGCCTGCTATGCAGAGCATGAGGATCACATTGACTCGATTAGCTGCTGCATACGAGCAGCCGACCTGAAGCGTCTCATTCACTCCGAGCACGATAATGTATATGCACCACAAGCAACTCGCGATCTGGATGGCCAACAGCCATCTTCTGTTGCCTATGTGAATGGAAACGGTGATCTGAAGCAGGCTGGAAATCGGCTCTTACGCAGCGTCAGTCAGACGAAGCCGATGTTCCATAGCTATCTACATGATCGCACCATTTCGGAGGGTGCGAATGTGCGGATGCTATGCACAGTTTCTAGCGATGAGAACACACACATCGAGTGGCTGAAGAACCATAGGCCACTGCCTCGAGATACACGCTATCAAACGCTCTACGAGAACGGGGAGGCATCCCTGGAGATCTATGCCGCTGTGGCTGACGACAGTGGCAATTACACTTGCTCGGCCATCAACGATTTTGGCGAGAGTTTAACCCATGCGCAATTGCGCGTCTACAAGCAATTCAGGGAGGCATCCATGCCAAGTACTTTTGCGCAGCCGATTCGAGGTATTCCACCAAGGATGAGAGCCACGTGGAGCCACGTCTCCTACACTAAAATCATATACGCCTTGCATATAATGTTCTAACCGCGTTGTCAATATTGACTTGGGTTTCTTTTTTGATTAATCACATTCTATATTTTTAATGTTTTCCACAGACACGTATTCTCTGAATGAGAATGAGTTGGTTCTGGATTGTCGCGTGCGTGGCCAGCCTCGCCCAGAGATTCAATGGATGAAGGGCACCGAGCCCCTTAGTAATGATGATAAATATCAACAGGTCGATCAAGCCGATGGCTATTCCAAGCTGATCATACGCAATCCAGTCGAAAAGGACTCGGGCGTCTACTCCTGCGTAGCCACCAATGAAGGCGCTCAAAACAAAATTAGCCATCAGGTGGACTTTAAGGGTCGCGAACGGTTCACTCTGGAGAAGACTCATGGTTTCTTCCATCGCGATCCCAACAAGCCGCACTTCCTCACCCCACTGGGCAATCAGACCGTCTGCAATGGTGGCACCGTCGCCATCTCGGCCGAATTCATGCAGTCGACTACACCCATCGAGGTCAAGTGGTTACGCGATCATCGCCCAGTCGACGGACCCACTGTGAAGACCATGACCGAGCGCGGTATCTACACGCTGACCATCATGAATGCGGGTGCTGAACACGAGGGCACCTACACTTGCCTTGCCTCAAATGCGTTTGGACGTATCGAGTCGCATGTGAACATCGATGTCGCTGTCGGCGCCGAGAAGGACGTTCGTCCGCCGCTGTTCCTGTCCAGACCCGAAACCGAAATGAAGATTGCCGTCGGTGACCCATTCTCGGTGTCCTTCCGCATTGCGGGAGACCCGAAACCAAGGCGTAAGTTTAGCATAAAACCATATATAATAGATCTATTAGTATTCGTAAATATTTTGAATTAGATGCATTCTCAAATTACGATCACTTCTGAAATCAAAGAATATCATTTTGGGATCACCTATTATTAATCTAAACAATAGGTACAAATATAAAACGTCTTTTACTATATGAAAATTAAATACATTCTCATGAATCAATTCTTTAATTTAAGAATTCCCATCTTTGAGCAATCACTTTTTAATCTATATATATTTGCCTTATGCCTTTTTAGTGATGTTCATGAAGGGCACCAAGGATGTTACCCAATCGGATCGCGTTAGCAAAGAGGTATCCGATGATTATACCAGATTCACAGTGCAAAAGTCGCAGATCTCCGACTCCGGCACCTATTTCGTAGTCGCACGCAATGACTTTGGAACGGACAGAATATTCGTCACCATTACAGTACGTACTGCCTATATGTGTTTAGCTCTTGATGTTATTAAGTACTGTAGCTGTTGCTGTCCCTGAATATTAAGCTATTTCTCTAACGCTTATGCTAACTAACCATTGCTATTCTCTCTCTCTCTCTCTCTCTCTCTTGTTACGCTTTTCTCTTTTTAGATTAAAACGCCCAAAAAGAAAGAATAAAGCTTATTTCAATTATCTTAATATATATAAATATTGTTTGCGCAAATTTAAACGCCTCCCCAAACGCACCAAAATACTTATGCTCTAAGTCAACTTGCCCGACTCTATGTGTTCATTCAAAGATCAAAAAAGAAAGAAGAAAAATAAACAATAATTTCGTTCTGACTACACTTACAAAACTTATATAGGTTAACCCTCGAGCTCGCTCTGAAACTCCATCGCAACCACGCTGGGGCCAACCCCTCGAAAGTTACAGTGAAACTTCGTATTTCAGAGGTAAGTCAACACACCAATCCACCATCTGTATCCATGTTGAACAGTTTCAATAGTGATTTGTAGTCCTTCCGAATTGTTCCATTAATGCTCCAAATGCTGTGCTCGAGATATATATTCTATGTATTCGTTTCATTCCTGTGGTCCTATTGTTGTTCCATTCCGTGTTCCACTTTACTGACTCGACAGTCTCTGAAAAATATTAACATATATTTTGCAGATCGCTTCAACTCCAACTTGTTTGCCTTCTGTGCCGTTAATCAAGAAACTTCTCAAAAGCAATTTCCTGTGAGATTCAATCCAAAAACAAACAAAAAATCCAAATACGTCAAGAAATTATCCGTGTATTTATCTTTTGTTAGTATTTCTGAACGATTGACTTATTTACTTATTTTATTATGGTATACAAATAGCGTATTATATAAAGCACAGCAATCCAGCTTATACATTTACGTAGTCGAAAAAAAAAACGAAAATAAAATATATATTTCTCCGGGGCGTATTGTGTTTGATTTGCCCACAATTATCCGAGTTCCATTTGATTTATGCCGCCTCCCACTTCACACTCTAGATCCACCTGCTGGCATATCCACCGAACCGCTGGTGGTCGACTCCGGACCCACCCACATCTCACTGTCGTGGGGCAAGCCCGTGAGCGTCAACTCTGCTCCGGTCATTGCCTACAAGGTGGAGGCATGGATAATGGGTCACGAGGGTGGCGCCTATTGGCGTGAATTGGGTCTGACGCCGATCAACTCCTTTGATGCCTTCAATCTGAAGCCCAATGTGGAGTACCATTTCCGGGTGACGCCCAAGAATCGCTATGGCTGGGGTCCGGCCGTGCAGACCAGCTCGCCCCTGCAGGTGGGCGGCGTCGAGTGTCTGCCGGAGTTTGTCAAGATTCTGCCGGGACAGGTGAAGGCGCTGCTCGGCTCCTCCTTCACACTGCAGTGCAACATGCGTGGCGCACCGCGTCCAAATATTACCTGGTACAGGGATGGCATCCAGCTGAGCAACAGCTCGGAGCGTGTCAAGATTCGTCAGATTGGCTCCACCTGTGCTCTGACCATTGCCACCGTTAGTGAGCTCGATTCCGGTCGTTACACCTGCGAGGCAACCAATTCCAAGGGACGCGTCTCGACCTTTGCCCGCTTGCAGGTCGTCTCGGATGCCAGGATCTATGAAGCGGACTCCCGGCTGAAGGAAATTGTCCATGGACGCCATCCGGCTGAACTGGGCGATTCGCTGCCGATCTTCACAATGCGTCTGCGCGATCGCCGTGTACAGGTCACCTATCCAGTGCGTCTCACCTGCCAGATCGTGGGCTATCCCACGCCGGAGATTCTATGGTACAAGGATGGGCAGCTGATCAGCAGCGATAGGCGCCATTTGATTTCGACCGAGGGCCAGTTCTTTACGCTTGAGATTGCGGCCACAACGCTGGACGATAGCGGCAACTACACGTGCACGGCCAAGAATGAGCTGGGCTCCGTATCCTGTCACAGCTGCCTGGTGGTGGACAAAGGCATACGCGCGTATATATCACCGGACTTTTATGTGCCCCTCGATCCGTTCTATGTATTCAGCGAGGGCAGCGAAATCCGTCTATCCACCAAGGTGGAGGCATATCCCTCAGTGGGCGTTACCTGGCATCGCAACGGGATGCGCCTGCGTCCCAGTCGACGCATTTCCGCCACCCTCGACTCCACGGGCTATGTGGAACTGATCATTGCCGAGGCGACGCCACGCGATGCGGGCATTTACGTTTGCGTCGCCTCCAATGTAGTCGGCAAGGTGGAGACCATCTGTCGCGTGGCCATCGAGGAGAACGAAGCGGCAGCAGCTGGAGGCACACCACAGCGCGCTCTAGACATACCCAGCATCAAGACAAGCGATATGCCGTGAGTAGTCTGCTTAAATACTAACCAGAATTAACAGAAATATATAACAGAGAACTCAGAGTCCTCTATTTCTCACATTAAGAACTCAATTTGTGGGCATCTTAACTAGTTCATTACAAATATTTTTTTCAATCAGATTGACTTTTTTCTGTGTTTCCCTCAGTCCATGCAATAAATGTTGGACCACTTTGCATTTAAATACCCCAAGAAGTTCAATAAGCATTTCTTATTTTATTTTAAATTTCAATTTATAAATTATCTTTTATTTTTAATTTTATTAAAATTATTTATTACTTATGATATTAGTTGACATTAAAAAATAAACCATTCATTTCATACATATTTTAATGTGTAACCTCTACAATAGAATCCATTAGACCCATTCCGTCATCACATCGAATCGAACCAATTTGTCATATAGTCTCCATAAAAACTACCCTAACGAATATAATAAATTCAGTTTTCCAAGGTGGAGAGCTTTATCGAGAAGAGCGTTAACTTGCCTGCTAACTTGTTTTAGTGCACAATTTTATTATTGTTATATAATTATAAAATGTAGACAAACTAGTCTTTGTTTGCTACGATTTTTGAAAATATCTGAAATTTGTAAACTTTTTCTTCAAATTTAAATTCTATGATTAATGTTGCTTAAATATTTCTGCTGCAGTTACTCCAAAGAGCCGCTATTTGTAGTGAAGCCGCGTTCCAGTGAGGCCTACGAAGGCGACAACGTCATCATATTTTGCGAAGTGGTCGGCGATCCCAAGCCCGATGTTGTCTGGCTGCGCGATTTTCTCAATGTAAGTACACAATGCAAACATATACATATATACATACAAATGTATCTTTGGGCCATGTGACGTCAACAGTGGCAACGGCAGCGGCAGCGCTTGCGCAGCAACGCCGTGTTTCCAAGTCAGTTGCATTCACAGCGCCAACAAATGTGGGTCGTAGTCGTCGTCGTTGTTGTTGTTGCTGTTACTGTTGTTGTCGTCGATCGCATTATCGCGTTGCAATATCAAAAATTCAAGTGCAACTGCGCCAACGCCAAACTGAAATCTACTGTACAGTTAGTTAGCTAGTTCTGTGGGCCCTACTCCTATCCAGGAAACGCAAAAAACTATATATATATATATATATAATTTCCACATTGATTTCCGCACTATTTGCATAAATATATAAAAAGTGTGAACTATTAAAGCAGTTGCCTCAGTTCAATCTAATTTCGAATTTGCGACAGTTGCTCGTGCGGATAAATTTAAAATACGTTTAACGCAATCCTAATTGATCCGCTTAAGCGAACAAAGTGTTACCCCAAAAATAAAAGGAAGGCAATCAAAATTGAAGGTATAGAAATCAATCAACCATATTGTGCCTGTGGGATGAGCTCCATCCATTTTAATTCAATCTTAATAAAAAAATCTATATATAAACTACGTGTAGTTATTAGCTGATATAAATTAAAACACAAAAAAATAAATAACTAAAATTTACAGTTTAACTTATTTTGAGCCTATAAAAAATTCCAACATCAAGACATAAATTATATTTATTTGAACCAAAAAATATAATAGAAGTGCTAAAAGTAAATATTTTCTAATTAACAGCATATTTTTAAAAAATTAAAAAAAAAAACAATCAAAAGCGACGGTGTTGAAATCAATTAAATAATTCCAATTCATTTAATGCGATCACATATAAATCAATGTATAGTTATTAACTGTTATAAATTAAAACACAAACTAGTTAAACAACTTAAACTACCCAAAGCAGTTTTGTACCCATTTGACTTATTTTGAGTCTGCGCAAAGTTTCATCATCAAGATGATCATAAAGATGAAAAACAGCACTTTTACTAGGAAAATGTTTTTATTTCGCACTTCTATGAAAATTTTTAATTAAATAATAAATAAATAATATATAATATAGTGCTTAAAAACACATTTTTTTCACATTAAAAAATCTGTTTTATAAGTTAGTCTGCTTCCAGTAATCAAATATATCATTTTAATAGACACATATTACAATTTAATATATGTTTACTAAGTAAACAAGCACTGATTTAATAAGTAAAAATGCATTTCAACAATATATAACTATTCGCCAATTCAAGTATACAAAAGTGACATTTACTCAAAAGAACTGTAAAAAGATTTCTTATCGAGTACATGTGCAAATAGTCGCTCTCCTCTGCAGTGCGTGACAAAATTGTAATAGCTTTCACTCCCTTGGGGGAGGGGGCCCCAAGGGTATAACAATACCGTGTTTGAGCTGCAGCTGTCTCTTACTCGGATTACCAGACACCTGCGTCACACGTAGCACACTCAATCGTAATTGTTATACAATTAACACACACACACACACACAGACATATATACAAAACATGGGCAGTTTAGTTCTTATAAAGCCGATCTGCTGTCAAACGCTAATTCAAGTTCAACCCATATCAAATAACATGCTTGTATTTTTTTTACTTTTTTTTTTTTTTTTTTGTTGCATGTATTGCAAGCAATTACGACTGTTGGTCAGAGCCAAAAAGGCAGCAACAACAAAAACTAGCAAAATTATTAGCCACAATCGTGCCACTGTTTGTCGTACCAAGGAAGCAGGAGGTCAGGGTGGGCAACACACACACACAAATGCACACATGCATATATATAACACACATACATACATACATATAGCACACACGAGCTGCATTATACCAGTTTATCTCTTGACAGTCGCGAAATTCAATTTTGTGCTTATATGGCCATAAGTTGAGCACAACAACAATCAGAAAGAAAAAAAATATATGCGACTCATATGATTCATAAATACAACGAGTGATTCTGTGACGATCCTTATGTCTGCTTCTGCTGCTGCTGCTGCATTCCAAGTGTCAAATATTAAAAACTATTGATTTTTGTTCTCTGATACCGAAGGTAAGAGTATATTGGTTTTGTGCAATGTCCGTCATGCTGTATGTCCGTTCGTATTGTCGCCTTAAAGCTCGTATCTTCAAACTTGGCACATATACCCGCGTCAACACTAGTGGGTTAGAAAATCGATAAAAATCGATAGTAGCAAAACGATAAAGGCACATATCTCCCACAATTTTTAAAGCTAGTCACCAATTTTGAAAGGTATATTGCTAATGCGGAAAAAAATTGAAGACCAAAATTCATAAATTCTTCTGCAGTGTAAGAGCTAAAGTTGCCAAACATGAAAGGTAAATTAGATGTAATATACTTTATCATTTTTTTTTCGGCCACGCTCACTCCCGCATCCAAAATTCTGTAAAGTCTATATATTCCGCTTCTCACTTGTTTTTCGTTTGTTTAATTGCAGCCGGAGTACTACAAGGACGCCCCACACTTTAGACGGATTGGCGAGGGTCCCGAGTATCGCTTGGAGATACCCAGTGCCAAATTGGACTTTACCGGCACCTATTCAGTTATAGCCAGCAATTGTCATGGCGAGGCCAAGGCTGTAATATCGCTACAAATTTACGCCAAAGGTAAGTTTTTGATTGACTAGCAGTTTTATTAACTATACGGTGTGGGGATAAATGCTGATGAGTCGCGGATAGACGACATCCTTCCAGAACTCATCGGCCATGGCCAGCAGACTGGCCACGAACTCGGGATCAGCCTGAACCCAAACGTAGTGCAGAGCTCCATTCGTCTCGAAGGTGGGACTTAGCACACAATACAAAGCCTTCTTCACATTGGCCAAAAACATTTGCATTTGGATTTGTGCCATGTATTTGGGTGCAATCGATTCGCGTGCCTCGAGGTATTTCTCAAAGTCCTCCTCAGTCTTTGGCGATTTGATTTCGACAATATGATCATCGGTGATGCCATCGGGTGCACCACATAAATAGGGATAGTTTTCGTGGAGCAGCAGGCCACATTCGAGATACTCCTTGTTCTCCAGCTTCTCAGTCTGTTTCAATATGAAACGTTTGTGCTGCTTCTGTTGGACACGATCCTCAATGTTCTCGTCGCGCCCCTTGCAGAACAGCATATTGAAGATCTGATCGTCTTCCTCGTGAGTTTTCCTTGTGGCAATCATATGCATCATGGAGCAACGTATACGCATATATTGTGCCTCAATCCATAGCTTCGATTTGTACTGTTGCTTGGTCACCTCGCCAAGGTTCTCAAATAGTCCGCCCTGCGCCTGCAGCTCCATGTGCTGCAGGAAACTCTGCATATCGTAGATATTGTAGTCCGCTGCCTTCAGCAACACATGATGCACAAGGATGGATTCGAACTCATCGCTGGTGTCCACACACTGACGATACAGTGCCGAGTCTCGTCCACATATGGCCAGCTCCTCCAGCACAGAGTCGAGAAAGCTGCGTTCTTCATCAGCGCTGGGACTGGGCGCATCCTCGTCCGTTTCCTGGCTGGGTGGCAGCATATCGCTTATGCGTATGGCTTTTGTTGGCTCGGGTTGGACGAGCGCCTCCAGCTCAGTGCCCCAGAATTCGAGAACAACGGCGGGTCTTTTATCCGTGCTCTTGTTATGCAGCCAAAATACAAAAGCCACAACATGTGGACATATTCCTGCAAAAATAAACAAGCTCAATTTGTTGTGCACCAAATTAATTGTATTAGCTTACCAACACTGGCGCACAGGCTGCATTGGGAATCGGCGATCAAAGACGCCTCTTCGACGACCTTAACAGCCACATTTGCATGTGTTTCCGTGTTGGAAAAGTCACCGGCTGAGAAAACCAATGCTTTTAATTCACATATCTCCGCCTGTCGCCGCAAATGCACATAATCAATAAGCAAATCGTTGTTTTCCGAGCAGCTGCAAAGAAAATAGAATATTTATATGTAAAAGTTTGTTTATGTAAAAATGCGGCATTTACAGTTTGTTGTCTGTGGCTGCTGCGAAGAAGTTGAAAATCATTCCGCTGCTCACTGTGGGTAGGCTGTGTATGTCGGCTTTGCGGAAACCAGGTTCCAAGTCCATGGGCACAATTATCAAGCCACGCATTTAAATGAATTACATAAAATTGCGTTGAAAACAGAATACAAAAACAAACCACACACACAACACAGACTGCTATTATTAGCTGCTATAAATAGTTGTGCGCCAGGGCTGCAACAATTTGCGCAACGCAGCGCTTATTCACCACGTTCAGAGTTGCTCAGCAGTTGTGTAACGGCAGTTTTAAAGTGTTAAATGGCGCGAAAAATTATGTATTATTTTATTTTACAGATATACTTAAAGAAAATCGCATGGACAAAGTGCACACACGACATGGGTGAGTGTTGCTAATAACTAATAATAATTTATATAAAATGTGAGTAAATTTGTTCTGTTTGCTTTTAGCAACATTGAAACACTGCCGCGCTTCATACGCAATTTGCGAAATCTTCGCTGCTGCGATGGCGACGCAATTTCGCTGGAGTGCCATGTGGAGGCGATGCCAGAACCGTATATAATATGGGAAAAGGATGGCCATGTTATACCCAGCGACAGAGACTACATAATGTCGTACGACGGCATGAAAGCAACGCTCAGCATACCCCGCATTTATCCCGAGGACGAAGGCGAATACACATGTGTGGCCAAGAATTCGGTGGGCAGATCTCTCTCCTCCGCCTGCATTGTGGTCGATGTGCCCGAGGAGAAAGAGAATATGCTCAGCCGACAGCTGGCGAGACCAAGTGCTCTGCTCTCGGCACACTCGACACCACGTTCGACGCCTCGATCGACACCAAATAGGAGCTTTTCACCCATGAGACTTTCCTATCGCAACAGCAGCATTGATTTGCGGATGGGTTCCGTGGAACGGCGACGCAGCGATGCACGCTGCATCTCGGCACCGAAATTCCTGGCCATTCCCTACAATCGTGTCGTTGAGGTGGGCGACAGTGTGCGCTTCCAGTGCGCCATTGGTGGCCATCCAACGCCCTGGGCCACCTGGGACAAGGATGGTTTGATAGTGACGCCAACCGCACGGATTGCGGTCAAGGAAGTGGACGATTTGCGTTTCATAGAAATCGATGAGGTTGACTTCGACGATGCCGGCCTGTATCGCATCACGTTGGAAAATGATTTTGGACGCATTGAGGCCACCGCTCGCCTAGATGTGATCAGTAGTTCCCGATACTCAAAGTCACCATCGACGCGCAGCGTTCGCGCCTCCTCCTCCCGACGCAACGCCTATTTATATCGACGCATCATGGGCCCATCTACAGGTTAAACATATATACATATATCCGTAGTTTACCAGCTGCTCTAATCCTAATCTCTTGATATACTACAGCTATTGGCGGTCGCATGGCGCTGGCGAGCGGTTTTCGTGGCTCCTCGGTGCCCTCGGTGAGATTCTATCACAATAACCTTGAGCTGGAGCCATCGGAACGGGTGCACATTGTGCTACAGCAGGATGAGGCTATATTGTTCGTAGACAATGTTACGTTGGACGATGAGGGTGTCTATACCTGCATCATAAGCGGCGAACACGATCCTCTTGTCAGCTCAATCGACGTCAAATTCTATGCCTCAAGTGCGGATATTGAAAGACGCCCAGCTGCGATTGCTGAACCTTTGCCGGAGCTAACGAGATCCGTTGAGGGTGAAGTGATCGATCTCTGTTGTGCCATCGATAGCATCGAGCCCTACACCTACGTCTGGTTGCGCAACGGACAAATTCTGCCCGACAGCGAGGAGTTCAAGTGAGTGACTGGCTGTCAACTGCTTTCAAGTGTCCATTATTCAAATATTAAAACTGACTGTCTTATTTGATGCTCTTTTACTGAATCTACAAGAAAAAGTATATTGGTTTTGTGCACAGTCCACCATGCTATCTGTCCGTAAAGTCTATCATTAAAACTAGAGCTTTGAAACTTGGCACATATTTACTGGTCTGTGCCCGTGCCTAAGAGGCTAGGAAATCGATTAAAATGAATAAAGCCACAGATCTCCAGCAATATAAAAGCTAAAGTTACCAAACTTGAAAAGTAGATTACTGGGAACGTTTTAAAATTTAAATCTTCGTCCACTACGAAGCTAGGAAATCGATTAAAGTCGATAATCGCACATCGATAAAGCCACTATCTTCAGCAATTTAAAACCTATAATTGCCAAACTTGGAGGCTAGATTACCAGAAATACCCTCCAACATTTTTTTGCCCACTGAAGCCCCCAAAATGCACAAAAGCCTTTATCTATCCCAATTTGAAATTCTGGAGGTTCTTCAAAGATAAATCTGTTCTCAGTTGGTATTACTTATTGATATCAGAGTATTTCGTAGTCGATTATGCCCGATTGCAACACGTTCTCACTTGTTTTTTTTTTTTTGGTTCACAGTTACATTGATCACGGCAATGGATGTCTTTGTCTGCGCATCAACGACGCCTTCGACATTGACTCCGGCATCTACAGCTGTCAGGTGTACACAATCCATGCCGACTGCAATGCCGACACCGACTGCGACGCCGACTGTGACTGCGATTGTCGCAGCAGCGGAGAGCTGTGCGTGCTGGAGCGCGATCTCTCGCAGTGTGATGAGAGCATACAGCTGCTGAAGAGCCCGCTGCCGGTGGTGTGTGCCTCTGGAGCGGAAGCGATCTTCTTTGCCCGTGTTTACCCCATCCAAGCGGACGCCGAATGGTATCTCAATGGACAACGCATCGAGGATGACTCACCAAACACATCGGTGCGTAAGACATGATCACGAAATATGTAAAATCAAAATCTTATCTATGCACATCGACCTCTGGGTACTCTTACGGTTTATGGCTTATTCGTAAGCATCTTAAGCTTACTGATATTTCCGATATACCCACTATGCTTGTGGCATTAAATGAGGCAATTTGTTTGCGCGCCTTTTTAGTCCCAAAGTTTTAAAAGGTAAAAAACAGGTAAAAAGGGTATACTGGTTTTGTGCAAATGTATGTAACAGGCAATGAAGGAAGCAACTTAGACTCCTTAAAATATATATCTGTCTGTCTATATGAAAAAAAGGAATTCAGAGACAATAAGAGCTAGATTTGGAATATAGGTTCTTGCATACCCCGTCCCGATCAATTTAATTTAATTGTATAGTATTAAAATTCGGGTTGCTAAAGCAACAAAAGCTACAATTTATATATGATAGTGTATTTACTTATATCGCTATATATCGATACTGCGATAGCAATAACCGCCACAATTTTAAAGGCAGTGGCTTCTATTGATAAATAAAATAGTGAAAAGTAATAAAATAATAGTGAGAAATTCCACACAAACTTCGTTAACGGAAATTTGGCAAAAAAAATTTAAATATATTGGACAGCTTTAGGCTTTAGGATATATCGTAGCAGGCTCACTCGATTACAGCATTCTTACTTTTCTGTCTCTTAATGCGCTGTCTTTGCTGGTTGTGCAGCCTGGCACTTTAAACTGCCTTGCCGCTGGTTATTTAGGTCAAAAAGGGAAAGCTGTCCTTATCAAGCCGAAGAGTATATACCCTAACCGATCAAATGTAAGCAAAGCTAGGAAATTAAACCGTTTGAGTTGAACATTTAATGACAGTATTAAAAAAGCCCCTCTTCCAGGGTATAGAAACAAAGGCACTTCGTTCGCACCTTGTCAACGAAAAGTGTTTATGTGTGGTGAAAACAACAACAATAACAAAGCACACATACACATGCACGCACACACACACACACACACACGCACGTAGCCACGTAAACACTATTGTATATGTCGTATGAGAAATTGAAAACAGAGACACCAAAAATATTATTGAAATACCGCGGCATGCGCAACGCATGCAAACGATGTTTGTAACGCGTCTGTCGACGACGTCGCGGTCGCCGTCGCCGTGGCCGTTGCTGTTGCTGTTGGCGTCGAGAAGCGTCCAATTGCAAATTGGTTGCTCGATGCTCGATTGGAGAGCAAAGCACTCGTTGAATAGCTTCCAAGCCGAGCTGTTCGCCTTCACAAATAATTGAAATAGTGCATTCACAAGAGGGCGTGACAAGATGTCACAGGTATGCAAGAGTTAACAATTTACATACGATTCGATCCGGTCCGATATCTATATCATGCAGTTACCATATCAATTTGCGAGCGGCTCCTGATAAGCGTATTTGTTTTGCTTTGCACGCGGCAAATGAAATTGAGAGCGAAGCGTGAAAGTCTCATTACGTGCCTACAACGACAACGGCAAACGACATCGATCCCGATACCCATTCCCGAGTGCTCTGAATTGCGGCTCGGCTTTTTTTTTTTGCTATGTTCTCAATAATTGATTGGTGCCGCGTCATTCTCAGTTTAACGCTGCCCGTTGGCGCCTCGCATTCCGGCCACTCAGTGAATTCAGTTCTCCAGTTGCATATTTATAGATATTCATGTTTATATTTGTGCTCGTGGATATATTCATGCTTACTTAACTAGGTGTATATTTCATTGTCATTGAGTCGTAGTCTGCTCTATGTGCATGACAGATGTTCCCACACTTAAGGCACACAGTGACAGAGACACGTATACTAAAAACCACTTTGTTTTCATTACAGTTGGAGTCTTATCCGGAGAATGGCATTCGCTTGTTGCGTCTGCAAAACGTCCAATTGGCCCAGAGCGGTGAAATTCGTTTGCAAGTGAAGCATCATCCATGCGAGGATCGACGCACACCAGCCACACGCAGCTATACCAGTCTGCTGGTGCTGCCCATTAACAGCAGCAATCATAACAATCGCAATATTAATAACAACAACAACAATAAGGAGTGCAACAACTTATCGCTGGCTGCCAGCAGCTGCATTTTGAGGGGCCCGGAAGATTGCACGGCACTCATTGGCGGCCATGTCCAGCTGAGCGTGCACTATGAGCCATTCCCCAATACCAAAGTCATCTGGTACAAGGCGGTGTGTATTCAAAATTTTATGTTTCGTTCTGTTCAATTTATCACTTTATTTTATGCATCTAATTTGACGATATACCCTTTTTAAATTGTCTTAAAGATGATTGTAGTTTTTTTTTTTAATTTTGATTATACTCAACCATAACTTTGCTTAATTTTTATGGATTTTTTTTTGCAAATATTTGGAGAAAAGAAAAAAATATTTGATTGACGTCTGTTAAGTGTTTCAATACCAACAATAATTTCTTATTTAGTATATTAAATACAAACAATAGCTTCGCTTAATATTTCTACATTTTGATCACAAATATTTATAGAAGAAAAATAAAAATATTTGATTGGCATCTCTGAAGCTTTTCTATGCCAACAACAATTTCTTAAATAGGTTATTAACTAGTTACAAGAACTGATAAATTCTACTGACTTACGCGCAATTGATTGTTCAGATAGATGTTATGTTTATTTTCAATTTATTTATACTGTGAACAGAGTAGTGCGCAGTCGGTGAACTGTTTCTTGATTGTTCGGCAAGGTTACAATTTGATCGACTTGTCTGCCTGCAGGCATGCTTAGCTGACGATCCTAGATCATATAGAGATCGCTATGCAAATTATTTCGTATTTTTTTTTTTACCAAATTGGGTAAAGCTGGCTGGGGACGTCAATTGCGCAATGATTTTGATATGTGACCTAATTAGGTAAAATGCCGTCAACAGCTCAAAGATTAGCCGACTTGTTATGCCCATGATCCCATATCATGCTTTTATCTACACACATAGATTGCTGCTGCTGTCTATCTCATTTCGCTTCGTATGGACATTGGGCGGATTTCCAAGTCATCTGTCTCTAGTCTGTAGTCAGTAGTAGTCTAGTCTCTGGTCTCTCGCTAGGTATACGCAGTTAGTTAGGGTCTATGACTGTGTCACGATCAGTTTGCGGTATTGACATATGGCTGAATGCGCGTACGTAATTATTGCAAACCGCAACAGCTAAAAAAAAAAACCACAACAATAAACGTGTTTTATTTGTTCGCAGTGCTCATCGAAGGTTGGGCAGCAGCCGCAATACTAAATACTAATCCGCTTTTATACCCTTACCCTTTCATATTTACAGTGCCACGCCATTGTTGAGGGCGCCAATGTGACAATCCGGACAACGGCGCAGCAATCGACGCTTTACATAACGCACATCTCGGCTGATGACAGCGGCAAGTACACCGCTGAAATAATGAACGATTACGGCGTAGAGGCAGCCGCTGCCTCGGTAGCAGTTGAGGGACCACCGGAACCGCCCAGCGGACAGCCAAGCGTCTCACTGGGACCCGATCGGGTGGCAGTCGCCTGGTGTGGTCCGCCCTACGATGGCGGCTGCATGATAACGGGCTTTATGTAAGTGCTTGATTAAAGAATTATATTTTTATTCCCTATAAAAATACTTATTAATAATAATTATTTGCATTTCCAACAGCATTGAGATGGAAAGCCGCGAAACATCGGACTGTGATAGCGTTAAGGATCTAGCTGAGTGGCAGCAGGTGGCACGTGTTGTGGATACGCTGGCCTATACCATCAAGGATGTGCTGCCGCAGCTACAGTACAGATTTCGTGTGCGCGCCGAAAACATACATGGACGCAGTGCACCCAGTCAGGTCAGCGAATGGGTGCAAACAACACGAACTGCAGAAACAGCAGGCACTACGGTTGCTGCAGCAACAGAAACAGATCTGCAGAGCTCAGTGTGTGTACAGTCTGGCGGGGATTTCAAGTCACGCTTCGACATCATTGAGGAGCTGGGCAAAGGACGCTTTGGTGTCGTCTATAAGGTGCAGGAACGCTCACAGCCAGAACAATTGCTGGCTGCCAAGGTGATCAAGTGCATTAAGGCGCGCGATCGCCAAAAAGTGCTTGAGGAGATTTCCATAATGCGCTCACTGCAGCATCCCAAGCTGCTGCAGCTGGCCGCATCCTTTGAGGGACAACGCGAAATTGTCATGGTCATGGAATAGTAAGTGGCCTGCAGTAAGCGTTCCCAATTGCTCTATAACGATTTATATTTAATTCACAGCATTACGGGCGGCGAGCTATTTGAGCGAGTTGTTGCCGATGATTTTACGCTGACTGAGTTGGACTGCATTTTATTTCTGCGACAGGTATGTGAGGGTGTTGCCTATATGCACAGCCAAAGCGTCGTCCATTTGGATCTGAAGCCGGAGAACATCATGTGCCACACACGTACCAGCCATCAGATCAAAATCATTGACTTCGGACTGGCCCAACGACTGGACACAAATGCGCCAGTTCGTGTCCTCTTCGGCACACCGGAGTTTATACCGCCAGAGATCATCAGTTACGAGCCCATCGACTTCAAATCGGACATGTGGAGCGTGGGCGTTATTTGCTACGTGCTGTAAGTTGTACCTAAACGAGTTCCTTAATAATTTGTGGACTTGAGGGAGTACCAGATAAAATGAGGCAGCTGTCAACTCATAAAGTATATATATACGTATATATATATGTATATTCCCATATGGAATATTTATATTTTGTGTATAAATACTCGTATATTATATATTTAATATGGTTATCTCCCGAAGTATATACAGATGAAATATACTTCATTTTATAGATACAGATACAACTCAACCCATTAATAGTATATTAGGTATATTATTAAGTTATTATTATTATTATGTCAATTCTTTGCATAATACTCTGGTCAGACTGTGCAACTTATTTAAAAGACAAGTATATATTTATTTAGTTTTTGTATTTATTTATATATGTATATATATTTATTTGTACATTTATTTATTGATTTATATTTATATAATTTAATATTTATTTTTTGAATTTGAATGCAATCCTTATGCATTGAAAATGATTAAACAGTCAGCCAATAAGCACAGAATTGATGTGTACTTACTGGCTATCTTCTGCATAAGCATTTTCAACTTATATAAATATATATATATTTTTTTTTTTCATTTCTTGTGCTGCAGTCTATCGGGCCTGTCACCTTTTATGGGCGACACTGATGTGGAAACTTTTTCGAATATAACGCGTGCGGATTACGACTATGATGATGAGGCCTTCGATTGTGTGTAAGTAGCTAACAGACAAGCAATTGTTTTATGTTTTATGATACTCATTCTAAATATGTATTATTCACAGCTCACAAGAGGCCAAGGACTTTATATCACAGCTGCTCGTGCATCGCAAGGAGGCACGTCTGACCGCACAGCAGTGTCTGGAATCCAAGTGGCTATGCCAGCGCCACGACGAGAATCTCAGCAATAATAAAATATGCACGGACAAGCTCAAGAAGTTCATCATAAGACGCAAGTGGCAGGTTAGTTAAACTACTTGCCGCCATTCCTCACAGCTGCTCTAAACTAACTACCGCTTCTATTCCACATTGTATATGTTTAATCTTGTCCTTGCTTGTGCCTGCTTTGCTTTGCTAAACTCCGGCTAAATAGAAAACTGGCAATGCTATACGGGCACTGGGTCGCATGGCAACGCTGTCCGCTTCGCGTCGCAACTCGGCCATTGCGATGGGTGCCTGCAACAGTCCGCGTCCCTCGATCTCCGGTTTGGGCATGCTGAGTGCTGCCGCCACTGCGAGTGCGAGCACCGGCGGTACACAAATGGCCTCCCTGAACGAGGAGGAGGATGATTTCAGTGTCGATATGCCGCATGTGGACAAGCGGAAGACAACTGCTGGCGTTCTCAAACTGCGCGACAAGTCGCAGTGCAGTGAACGCAGCGATTCTGGGTACAGTGAGTGCTCCAACGGCAGCCAGGGTATACAGGAGACGCTGCTGCTAACGCTTGCCAAGAATAAGCTAGAGCAGATTGCCAAGGCAAGCGGCCAGGCTGAAATTGCCGAGAGTGCAACAACGTCTGCCACATTCGTAAGCAGCATGCCGGCACTGGAGTTGTTGTCTGCCAAAAGTGAACCCATAATGCTGTCCGATTTTACCAATACGGTTAAGATGCGCAAGAAATCTCTCGAGGATAGCTGCACACGCGAAAAACTGAAGCCGCACGCCAGCAAGCCCATCTGTGACTCCAAGTCCAAGGTGTCCCAATTGAAGCACAAGTTCCAGCAATCGAATGCTGCTCCTGCTGACTCAGCTGCTACCGCTGATGCTGCTGCTCCTGCTGTTGCTCCTGCTGCTGCTACTGCACATAACCATCCTGCAAAAAAGTCGCCTGCAATAAAGATTCCTGCGCCAGCTCCTGCTCCAGAGCCCAGCAAAATCGCCAAGGTCGCGAGCATGGGTCGCATCAGTAAATGTAACCATTAAGCACACAACAACTTGCATAATGCACATGCTAAGCTTTATTTTCTCTCTCGCACTCCGTCTCTATTTAGCCACCGCGGAGCCAGTTCGATCAACTGTTAGCAGTGGGAACATCGGCGCCAGTAAAGCGAGACCAATGCAAACCCAATCGATGCCCAGTTCACCGCTGCCACAACGTGCAGCAACGCCAACGCGGCTGAGCAGTCGGGTCCGTGAGACGACGGAGCGTCTTGCCCAACAGCACACGGTGGCTAGCGCACAGCGGCAAGGAAATGGCAACGGAAACGGAAATGGGCACTTGCTGGGGAATGGGAACGGGCACGAGTCACGTGCGCGCAGTCTCATCAATAGATTCAACGAAACGAAACATATCACGCCCTAGCTTTTTTATTATGTGTCGCTCGAAGCTGATTTACTTATTCACACTTTATTTTTGCAAATATCATTAATTACTTTTTATATGTTTTTTTTTGTGTATGTGTTAAAAAAAAACAAACCCAAGGACGAAACACTCGAATATACAAACTACATATACATATATATGGATGCGAACGCGAACTAATTATAATCCAAATCCGAATCCAAAAATGCACCCAACAAACTTATTAGGCACTGGCACAGGCACATCGCACACTGCACTTAGGCTAGACAAAGGCTAAATATTTAAATTATTTTATCGATTTATATACATATCTATTTACCATACTAATTAAAGTTAAATTGTACCGAAGCCAACGCTGTCTAAATTTATGGGCAAGAATCCGCTAAGACCCTCGACTAATTAATTCAAGAATCAGCAAGTTTAAGGCGAAGTAGTGCAAGAAACTAAGCTGTACAAATTTGAACTTAATTTTGCCTTTCTTTTAATAGAAATGGAAGCGAGAAGAGTTGAGAGAAGCGCAGTCTTTTATAAGGAATGCTAAGAAACGTGGAGCTCAATTAAATATTGCTAAGTCAAAAATAATAATAATTAATTATAAATTATAAGCAAATGATAAAGTAGTTGCTCAACCTTCCTGTTTATGAGGCTCATCCCCTAAGCTTCTTTAAATCCCAAATTAACTTCTTAATTTGCTTTTCTATTGAGAATTTCTCTAGGGTGTCAAAGTTTAACAAGTCTTCAACTTAAATAAAGTAGCTAAGCTAAGCTAATTGTGGAATAGGTAATTCTTCATTATCTAGTTTGAGCTTCATGATTCTCGCTTCCATTACTAAGCTTCTGTTACATTTTAAAAACAAATCCCGGATTTCTCAGCCCTTACCTGGCTTGGCCGTGTTTTCTAGACTAATTTCCAAGCACTAAACTGCATCATGGTGCTGCTGGCGCGGCTTGAGTCGCACCCAGAGTCCACCCGAAGCGCGCAGAGTGATGCGAAATGTGGCCTCAAACGTGGTCTTGCCGGGCACGGAGAGCAACTGATAGCTACGCAGCAAGCGGGACACAATTGTCTTGATCTCCAATATGGCAAATCGATTGCCGATGCAGTAGCGCGGTCCGGCGCTGAATGGTATAAATGCATACGGATGACGTTGCTCCACATTCGCGGTCGCGAAACGTTCCGGCTTGAATTTCTCCGGTTCGGGGTAGATGTGTGCCAAGCGATGTGTGGCATAGGGACAGATGAAGATGTTGCTGCCCGTGGGCAATGTGTAGGCGCCCAGTTGTACCTCCTCGCCCAGTTTGCGGGCGATGAGCGGCACGCTGGGATACAGACGCAGTGCCTCCTTGATGCACATCTCCAGATAACGCATCTCGCGCAGATCACTCATCGTCGGCGCCCGATTGCTGTAATCAAAGATGCGCTCGAGCTCCTCGTGGCACTGCTCCTGGGCATCCGCATTCTGGGCCAGCAGAAAAATGGTAAAGGCAACAGCGGCACCCACCGAATCCTGGCCAGCCAACATAAATGTGCACGCCTCATTAACAATGTCCTCCTCACTAAAGTCCGGATTATTCTCGGAGATTTCAATCATATAGTCCAGCAGGCACTTGCGCTCCACATTGTTGTTGGCCATAATCTCGCGACGACGTTTAATCATCTGGCGCGTGAAATCATTGAGACGCTTCTTCTGGTTGAGCTCATCGTTGGCCAGCGATGTCAGCTGATATATGGCGTCCAGCAGCAGCCAGGGCTGTGCGAAACGTGCGGGCATCATCAGTTTGCCCTTGCGAAACGGCGAGTCCTCCATCAGGTCCACACCTGTTTTTTTAATGGGCACACCCAGAACAGCCTCTGCAATGAATCACTTAATTAAGATTGGATTTGTGAGATCTCTTTCAAGTTAAGCACGCACCATTTAAAACATCGATGACACAGTTGTTCACATATTTGGCTATGTTCACCTCAATGTCCAGGGCCGAGGCATCCAAGTGCTCATTCAATGACTGCGACGCATCCACAAATGTGTCAATGAACTTCTCCAGCAAGCTCAGATGAAACGCCGGTTGAATGAGCTTGCGATGGTTGCTCCACTTGGCCCCACTGCTGGTGATGAGGCCGTCACCCAGAAAGTTATGCATTAACCGATAGAAGAACACCTTGTTCGTGTGCTTCTTGGAGGAGAGTATGACCTGCAGATCTTCTGGCTGCAGCACCACAAAGAACGGAAACAATAGCACCCAAATGCGCACCAGCGATCCATAAAGATCAAAGGCTTTCGCGGCGCGTTTTCTCATAACTAAAAAACGAATACAGAGCGTATACGTAATGGATTTTTAAAATTGGTTAAAATTGATGTTGTTTATGTTTAGCATTTTTATAAATATTAATTGTCATTAATTCATTCTGTTTAAATATGAATTTTTTTGTTTTGTATTGAAAAAATGCTATAAGCAAATTGATATTAATTTTAAAAAAAAAAAGACTTTTTATTTAATTCTTTTTACAAATGACATTGTGAGTTGTCATATCTGTTTTAAATTGTAATTTATAAATATATATAATGAATTTTTAATATAGTTCATAGTTGGGATTACTATGCTTATGTTTATAATTTCAAAAAATTAATTGGCATAATTGAACTTTAATAATTTGTTTACTTTTACTTTTCATTCAATTTTTTGAAAATAGGAATGTGATTTTTAATTGTTTTAAATTTAAATTTATATATATTATCTTATAGATTTTGTATTGATATTAAAAATATGATTTAATAATTGATTCTAAGTCGATAAATAAATGAAAAGCCAGCCAAAATACTTACGATCCTTTTCATTGATCAGCAGGCAGTTTCCCAGAAAGGGCAACGATGGTGGTCCGGAGAGGCGCAGGGAGAGCAGCACCGATCTCAGATACGCTTGCAGATGTGAGTAGAATGTGTAGATGCTCAGCGAAAGCACCACCAAGGCAAGAGCGCTGCACAGCTCCGACTTCGTGGCACGCTCCAGCTAAGTGTGAGTAGTAGTTTGTGGGGAGGTGAAGAAGGAGGGATGGTGTTTGAGTAAGTGTTGGAGTTACGTTTTTTCAAAGTGGCTACTCGCAATAATTTGTTTGCCATTTGAGCAATTTAATCAAGTGCGTAAAATATATTTACCCAAGCCCCCGTGCAAAATAACCCTCGAACTCACTTCAGTTTAATAGCGCTTAGATACATATCTCAGTCAGATGTGTTCATGTGCAACTGTTTACACATACATACAGATATATATATATACATATCTATGTAAACATATTCAGCATATACGAATATAATTATCTGGGTACGTCATTTGCGTGTGTATTGATGAGGGCTTGAACATCGTTACTCGTAGGGCATGTCGTAAGTTTTTGTAAACACTCTCATAATCCATAAACTGAAAATCATCATCGAAAGTGCCTGCCAAAAAAACGGTGTGAATTGCTTGGGACAACACGTCGTATGCTCATTGATACACACACGTATTTATTTCGGTGATTTTATATGCTCAACTCTCAAAAGATTTCGACAATTGTTGCTAACAATCAACTGCAGCAATGCAAGGACGCAACAACTTACTATTGCAGATACATTTGTATCTTCTCTGTCTACTCTCTCTCTCTCTCTCTCTCTCTCTCTCTCTCTGTTTGCCTTTGTGTCCGCTCAGGGCTTTAGCTGTAGCTGTTGACAAGAACGCACAGCGCCCCATTCATAAAAAATCACAAACAAAATACGATTGATTAATGATGATCACCATCTGCCAAGATTTCAATGGGCGCACGTTTTGTTTTGGCCTTTTTCCCAGACATGCCTTTGTTCCATTTTCTTGGCCAAGTAAAAGTGTGTGGTGACCCAGAAAATAAAAAGCCAATACTTAATATATCACTAAATCGCATCAGGTGAAAGGAGCTTAATATTTAAGCAACTAGTTTCCAGCTTGCTAGCAACTGAGCAACATTATAACAAGTCTAACTTGGGATATCCTTGTAAGCAAAAATGTTTTTTCTTATACAAGAATGAAGCTTTCAGCCAGTAGTTTAAAATAAAGAGTAAACGTTAAATTTATTATCATCCTAAAAGATATTTATATTTATCAATACATCGCTTACACGAAAATCGCATAATAATTGGAATTTTAAATAGTCTAAATTTCGAATCTATAAGAAAGCATTTTCAAATAATAGTTTAAGAAGAAACATTGAGCGTCAATTTATTATTATCCTATCTTAGAGAAAAACCTCTCAAAAATTCCAAATATACAGAGTCTGTATGTAGTAGCATATAGTGAGAAGGAAAATACGTGAGATAGAAATTGGGAGAGCTATCACTGTTTGTAAAGATACATCACAAAAATCATTAAGATCTACCGGCCCAATAAAAGCACGTTGTAAATATATAAAACAAAATAACAAAGCACGCTCACAAACACAAGTACACACGCGCCCCAAGATTCAGGGTCAATTGCGCATTGTGGTCGTAAAATTATTTATGACACATTTTTGACTATGACAACAACAAAAATATTATGCATTAATATTTAGGGGAAACAAACTGAAAACAATTGTAAGTGAAGAAGTACAGGTGCAGCATTGCAAATTAGATATTAATATTATCAAATGTTTAGCGAGTGCGTAACTTTCAGAAAGCGAAAGTTAAATTGGCCACGCCCCAAAAACACAAGTAACTGTTGTTAACGCCAACAGCTGCGTGCGTATATGTTTGTATCTGTGCGCGATTGGTTCGGTTTTATTTTGACATATGTAAACAAATATGTATCTTTCATCTTGAATGCATATTAAGATAGTTACTTTATGCTGCGGTTGAAAACGGGCAAACGAACCTAAGAATGGGAGTCTATTAACCTGATCGTTTAAGAGAAGTGGATCTCTGCTTACCAACAATGAACACAAAATGGATATCTTCAGTCTAGTAAGACAACAAGTTAGACTTCGTAGCCATCTGTAAGCGCATTTTTATTCGAATTATGGAAAAGGCTGCGTTCCCCATTGCCCCATGGGAAGCGTTTGTTGCGACGACGCAGATGCTCATATTTGACAAAGGGCTCGCGTGCCTTCTCCCCATCCTGCTTAGTGTTATAGGCATTGATCATGCATAGGGCAACAGCTGGTGTCGCCACCAGAAAGGTGACACGCTTCCACACTAGTGAGCCAGTTGTCTTGCCACCAATTAGGTTTAGACTGCGGCGAATCTGATTGAAGCACGGACGTAAATATCGTTCCCAAACCAGCGACATGTTGTATATTCTTTAGAATTTATCGAATTTACTTTTTAAAATAAATAATATAGATTGATTTTTGGCTCACAGCAAATAATGATTATGGGAACAGATATATTCAATCATGACAGATCAGAAGGAAATTCATAAGGCCACTCTAGAAACACAGAGAACAACTAGAAACTATCTACTCTTTGTATAAAGTACAAAGCATTTCGCAATTAGGAAGTTTCAAGGGGAAACTGTGCCTAGTCCAACAACCCGTACGGAGATGTCCATAGACGCATCAATAGCAGCCGCTGAAGCGCGCCTTCTGCTCCAGCGTGGATACAAACCAACTATCTATCTATCTATCTATCTGTCTCTCTATATACATCGATCATAATCATGTATCATAATCATTTATGTACAATGTATATAGAATTCGCAGCTAACTCGTGTATTTACATAAGCAATTCACACTTGCCCACTAATAATTGTACATGATTATTTCTCGTTAAGTCTATAAATTATCATTAACATCTTTTCCGTACTCATACGGCTTAAAGGCCCAACCAGTCCAAAAATATAAGAAAAAAATTACCGGACCCTCATTCCCCCCACACAGTTTGTGCAATGAAGCAGTGTACGTGCCACAAACCAACAACAATAAAAAAAAAAGCAAAAAGAGTTTAAAATAATCCGATATTTATCAAGTAGTTTCAATATCAACATCACAGAGCAAACACTTTTGATATTACGGTTCCTAACTAAATAAATAAATTCCAACTTCCGTTTCAATTGCAATAAACTGTTAATGTTGCATAATTGATGACGACTCACAATTGAAAGTTATTTGATTTCCGAATTATTTTTCAATATTTTTTTGTTTTGCCCATAGCTCATAATTAATAATTCTATTTTCAAATGCATTCATAGAAATTCTAAGAAATGTTAGCCTTTAAGAAATGCTTGTTTTTACATAAAAATGTTTCAAAAATATGTTTAAAATTGTCTACTAATTAAATATTTCCAAAAGAATACTATTATTTTTTTAATTGGAATTTTGTGAGGGTCCCTAATTTATTATTATTAGTTATATTGCGCATACAAATATATTGCTTTATTTTTTATAGTTTCCACTTCACTTTCTGCTCATTATAAATATAAAAATTTACTTAATATTCCATATTGAATTTCCTTGCATTCACTTAAAGTTCACTTATAAATCCATATTTGATACTTCTAATCTCACTTTTACTCACCACTTTTTCCACAATCATTTTGTTGCCCCAATTTGTTCTTTCTTCCAATGTCACTCTCCACTCTCACAGATATCTTACGCAGTATATATTTATATAAATTTAAATTGTTTAGCAAGTATCTTTCAGATTGAATGTCCTTCACTGTCACCTCATAGACCACAGCGATAATCAAAGACGCTCTCGTTCAATTGTACAATTGTTCAATTCACACACGCCGACAGTTGAGTTTCAAATGGTGGATATCCAACCTGGTAACGTCTATTTATAAGCAAAATGTCCGATTTAACGTTGAGCCCGACAAACAAACATCGAAAACAAAAAACCGAATATCGCTTCAATGGCGCGTACGTGAGACGTTGCCTTTGGAGATGAAAAGATGAAAAGAAAGAGCAGCCGAGTGTACTTAAGTGGCATTTTGGGAGACAACACATCCATAACCACACACCCAAGAATAATACAATGTGCTAAGTAACCAGAACTAGGAGTTAAAACTTGACGTGGGATAAACGTTCAACAAGATCGGCAGCCATTTGTAAATTGATGTTTAATATTTAATAATATATAAGTATTTGGCAACTGCTTTTAACTTTATTGCTGAAAATATAAGCACGTGCTGTGTTTTTAATATATGCTCTAGATGCGAGTACTAATTTTAAATTTTAAGTGCATCTATCTAGGGTAGGCAATCCAGTGTTCCACTCGACTGAAGCTTACTCAAATGCATAAGGTATTTTATGTTTTTCCTGACAGTCAATTAATTGCATACGAATCATTTGTTAATGTTCAAACATAGAACTGACTTAACAGCACGAAAACTGACGTCAAAGTATTCGGGAAGAAGTGCCTAAATATTTGCATCCACCATTTCCGTAAAATTGAAATCTGTTGACTCAATAAACCACGTTTATTTGACCATTCAAATTAGGCATTAAGTGCAAAAGGCCTGCGTACTTTTAGGCTGCCAGGAAAATAGCAAACTTGTATTCGTCTTTGCGGCGCATATGTAATTTATTAAATTAATACAATTATTTGCGCTTGGAGCATTTAACAGCAGAGTTTTTAAACGATATTTTTATCTTAGGTGTGGGATCTTAAGTCTAATTATAATAAGGAAACACAAAGCTCTTCTTTCTCGGTGAATTCTTCATATATCTCTCAAAGAAATCTTCAACAAAAATGTGGATTCTTAAATCTAATTATAATACGGAAACTACAAATTCTTCGCGCAGTCCCTTGGTTAACTGTTTCCCTGTGAATTATTCATATACCTCTCAAAGCTATTTTAGTTATATTGTAAGAGAAGCTAGACGAATCTGTATTTCAAATATTTATAGATATTATCAAATGCCAGCGGACTGTTCTTTATATTACACAAATCTTAATAAAAAAAATCAATAAATGACAATTCTTCGGTAATAATTTATTTCCCTTAAAAAAACTCAACAAATGAAACAATATATATTCGTATATAATAATGAAACTTTAATGATAAATGCATATTCATAAAAACTAAAAATTGTAGCTTCAAGCTTTGACAAGCAAATGTAAAAAATGTTGAGGTGCATATGTAAGTATAAAGATAAGCCAAGTTATGGATTGTTTTAATTCGAGTACTCTCATGTCTGTCAACGTTTGCCGACTGCCTCAATGCCATGGCTCACTAGATCAATCAGTCCCAAGCTCTTGGCGGCCCAATAGATAAAGCCACCAGTTATGAGCGTCTTGCAGACGCGATCCAACACATACATGCTATAAGAAGAAGAGATACATAAACATTATTTCAATTGAAGAATTTGGCTTAGACACATACAATCTTAGCTGTATGCGAGACTTGGGCAATGAAGTTAGGGGCTCCTTCAAAACATACTGACGTCCGCCCAGAATGCTGATCTTCATATATTCATAATCGTCCACATCGTTTGTGTTGATTTTGAAGCTATTGCGAGAAGATAAATAACATTGGTGAATCACCAGCAATGATTTAAATGTTCATTTCATAAATATCTCAGCAAGATGAGCGTAATTTTAATTTAATCCCAATTTGAAACCTGTTGCATCTAGACTCAAGCTAGTATATCCAATATACATAGACTACACATGCAGGCAGTATCAGCGATTGTCGTACATTTTGCGATCTTCCTCGGTTATGTCATTGTATATTTGCTCAAAATGAGTTGATTTAAAGTCCCAGTTGCGTGTGGTAAAGAACTGCAGCACCTCGAGGCCCACGGATATCTTTGTTTGTACACGAACCATGCTGTAAAAGAAAGCAAAGATTAGCTTTCATTTCTAGGCTGTATGCAAATGTAAACCTCACAAGCGACGCTGTCCAAAGATGGCCAGAAGAAAGTCAATAATATAAGCAGGTAACCACATGAACATAATGGAACAGAAGGTATGATACACTTTGCTAGATGTCATATTCCCATCCGGATACCAGAGGCCCACCTCAAATGGATATTTGATGCCCAGCTCACGGCCCACGTCCATTATCCATTTCCAGGTGCGCTTCTTAGCATCGTCGATGGTCAGATTATAGACGGGTATAAGAGCGGGTCTGAAATATCATCAGATATAGTTAGAACTTAGACAGAATATTGGGTACTGGAAAGCACTTACTTCTGCTTTACTCGACTATTGTGATAGGGTATCAAAATCAATCCATTGATCGCAATGTCCACCGGAATAACCTCTGACTTGAGCTCACCGTTGCATATCATGGAGCGAATGACACCTTTGCCAGCGCCAATTAAAACACCTGTCGGTCCATTCATATTGTCCACCCAACCAGGCACCGGTTCCGCCACAGCGGGCGTCACTGCGCAGGCGGAATAAACGTTAATAGAGCTTTAATAATACGACTAATAAATATTATTTAAAAAAAAAACTATGGCATAGAAGAAAGTAAACAAATAGTTTGAGATGTGTACAAAAAACCTAAATGCATGTATTTATTTGGGTAAACCACTTAAACTAAATGTAATTACAACTAAACGTTAATTGACTACATAAATTCCTGTGACCAAAATATCGAAAGAATCTAAAAATGAGATTCAAAACAATGCCAACAATCCGGTCCATTTCAGCAGGTAGTAGGCAAAAAGACCAACAATGAGTGTCTTGCAAACGACATCAACGACCCATTGACTGGAAAAGATCGGATTGAAGTTATTATAAGTAAAATTATAAATAGGTTGTTCCCTCGTGGATAAGATTTGTAGGTTTGTAGCTTACATGCGCATGTGCAGTCTCGCCTTGGGTATATCCTCATCCTTCTCCTTGAGTATAAATTTGCGTGCACCCAGTGCACAATTCACCATGTACTCCTCTTCAGTTTCCTTGACGTCCATGTTCATGTTGAATCTGTCGATTAAATAAACAACTAATCAAGTGGCTGATGAACCTTTGTTGTTTACTTTGTTGCTTACATAGCCTTATCCTGTTCGTTCAGATTATTCCAGAGTGAGGCATAATGATCAGACTTAAAGGTCCAGGCATTGAGTGTGAAGAACTGTAGCACACCCAGACCAATGGAAATCTTCTCCTGCACGCGCAGCATGCTGAATAGAACAAAATAACTTGTTAGATGATATATATTAAAACGTATTGTAATTGAAAACTCACAATCGCTTCTGGCCCAGAATAAGCATTAGGAAGTCCAGAAGATACGCAGGCAGCCAGTGGAACATGGCAACATTGAATTTATGATACGTTTCGTTGGTTGTGACACAGGCATCCGGATACCAGAGACCCGCATTTAAGGGCACCTGTTTATTGATGCGCTTGCTCATCTCAATTACGTCGCCCATGGGCATCTTTCTGTGTTCCGCATTGGTGATGTTATAGACGGGCACATCGATGGGTCGCTTGGCTTGTTTATTAAATTCGTAGGGTATCACAATGAGCCCATTGATGGCATAATCCACAGGGATAACTTCAGACTTGTTCTTCTTATTGACCAGTACAGAGCGAATAACTCCTTTGCCACAGCCAATCATCAGGCCAGTGGGCCCATTCAGATTGTCCACCCAGCCAGGCACTGGCTCATAGGCAGCTGGCGACACTGATTAGGGTAAACGACAGGAAGAGTATTAAACAATGCATAGACTCTAGCACAAAATTATTGGCTGTCTACATACCAAGAAGCCCATGATGATTGTTGTTGCTGGATGTTAACCGAAAGCCAATTAGGTGTGTGTGTGTGAGTGTGTGTGTGTGTGTGAGTGTGAGTGTTGTGAGTAGTAAGTGTAAATGTGAGTGTGAGTGCATGTAAGTGATCTTAAATGTATTCATGTTGAATGCGAATAGGGTAAAACATTGATAGCTTGAAATTTGGAAAGTGTTTCTTTGTGTGTGTGTGTGTTTGTTGTGTTTTGTTGTACATTGCTTTGGCCGTTGTCGTTGTTGTTGTTCTTGTTGTTGTTGTCCTTTAAACACTTTTGCAAACACTCGTAACACGTACACATTGAAGTTTTCAAACCGTTTTTTATTTCGTTTGATAGAACTCTTAGAAATAAAGTTAAAGCCAAAATGAAAAACAAAAACGTTTTGTACCCCAATAAAAAAGCGAACCTAAGCAAAAAACGATTGCCGAATGTTTTTCTTTGTATAAAGTAAAAACAAACTTGCCGTTATAAAAATAGCAATATCTATATATAAAGCGCGGAAATGTTTTGGTTATATTTTCTCAGCATCGTTCGCTGCACGATTTAGACGCCCACAAGGCGTGCCACAAAGCCGTACGTCCAGTAAGTCAGGAAACCAACGATGATCGTTTTGCACGCACGATCCAAAATATACATCCTATAAAGGGTAAATGGATAAATGGTATGATAGATATTGGATGGGGATTTTGATGTGGGTTTCTTTACAGCATGAGCTGGCGACGAGCGCGTGGCAACGATTCAGGTGATTCCTTCATTAGATACTGACGACCGCCTTGTACACAGGACTCAATGTACATGGGTATAGTCTCCTCCGGATCCATGTCCATGTTAAAGCTGTTTTTTGTTTACGTGTTACGTGTTAGTCGATCGGCAAACTAGACAAATACGTGCTTGTGCCTTACTTTTTTCGGTCCGACTCCGTCAACATGTCCCAGAGCGAGGCATAGGCATCCGACTTGAAGTACCAGGCGCGCATGGTGAAGAACTGCAGCACCTCCAAGCCGACGGAAATGCGATTCTGCACACGTATCATACTAAGCAGTTATTTTTTTTGGGGGGATTGCATTTGGACAGGAGAAGGAGGAGGAGTAGCAAAACTGTAGTCGTCTATGCATTGGCATTTGGAAAGCGGCAACAAACAAAACTTACAAACGCTTCTGGCCCAAAACGAAGAGCATAAAATCGATGATGTAGGCGGGTAGCCAATGGAAGAGCAACACATTGATGTTGTGATGGAATTTATTTGTCGTTATGCAGCCATCCGGATACCAGAGACCTGCCTCCATCGGATACTGATAGCCAATCTTTTTGCTCATCTCAATGACCTCTCCCCATTGCATCTTGCGATGATCGGCGCACGTGATATTATAAACGGGGACATCCACCGGTTTCTGTTGTGTCTTTACAAACTGATAGGGTATGACGCAGAGGCCATTGATGGCATAGTCCACCGGTATGACCTCCGATTTGAAGCGTGTATCGATCAGCATGGATCGAATGACACCCTTGCCGGCGCCAACCATCAGACCGGTGGGTCCATTCAGATTATCCACCCAGCCGGGCACCGGTTCATAGGCCGATGGCGAAACTGCAGGAGATTCGTTCAATACAAAGTTCCAAGGTGCTCCAGTAGCAGCAGCAGCAGGGGAAATAAGGCGGAGGCGTGGGCGTTGGTGTAGGCGTGAGCGTAGTTTTTTTTATTTGTTGTGCATGTGTAAATTTCCAGCAGCTGGACAAAAGGCAGAGGATATTTTTTTGGTTTTTGGCGGGTGAGCTATCAACTCGCTTATTGCAGATAAAGGCGGGTTTGCTTGGACTGGGCGTGTTTTGTTTTTAGTTGCAGTTTCAATTTCAATTGGTTTTTCTTATTTTTATCATCTCATGCTCATTGAACTTGTTGAACTTTCAATTTGAGTATGTGTGTGTGTTTTTGCATTGTTTGCGTGCTGTGAGTTTACAAGCGGCTCCAAATTTGCTGTGTAGTTTTCTTTGTCTTACACATTTGCCTTAAGCGTCGTAGTGTTTATGATTATAACTAGCATTTTTTGTTGTTGTTTGCTTGTTTGTCTATCTGTTTGTTGGTGTTGTTTGTATGGTCAGGTTTACACACAATTTGTCGGCGTGTCGAGTATGCAAAGGGCTGAGCTGTCTGGCAAGCCTTTCGCCCCGCCATTGAGCCATCAATCATCACACAGTTTTGTATCGAAAACAAAACTTTAGCACACATTACAGTTACACTGTGTGTAAACCCCACAAAAGGTGTAATTTGGCACACTTTTTAGGCATTGTTGCTGTGTGTGTTTTTGTGTTGTTTTGATTTGTTTTGTTTTGGTCTGATTCGAGTGTCAACAAGAAAGCGCGCTCGCAAAGGGTTTACAGCAATGACATACAAACAAGTACACAATGCAAGCATGTCTACAAAAGATAAACAATTTGCAGATGAGCACTTCAAACACACTTAAATGGCATCCCAAAGCAATCAATTAATAAGCAACAAAGTAGGCACTTTAACGAAAAACTTCGGCCACACCTACCACATCTGGCTGTCAGTTGGGCAACTTAACCAGCCAGTTGCCAATCCCATTTAAAGAGTCTTGCTAAACATTTTGAATTTTGCGAACGTTTCGAACTGCAACAAAGTCGCCTGAATATCAATATTGATGCAGACAAATTGTCTCACTGTTTGTCTGTTCGTTTGCTTAAATATTAAGGATTTGAGTTCAATTAGCAATTTTAACTATTTACTGTTTACTATTTGCTTGAAGCAAACTATTGAGAATTAAAATTGTTGACACGTTTCTTCCATTATTGTAGTAGTCTTTATATCTTACACCTATTAATTATAAAATCTCGGCAGTCAATAATTTTTTTTAACAATACTTTCTAGTATTTTAGGGCTGACTGTACTTGAATGTGGTATTTATGGTAATTGTATAATAACAAACGTTGGTCAAAATGCTAATCAATTAACAACATACCCCTCCCAATGTTGTTCACAAATTATTTTTACAAGCAGCTGTAGCCTTAGGTTCATTTGCTTGGGTCAATAGAAAGATCATATATCTTTAATTTACAGCTTGCACAATTACAAAACCCACCCCCAGCATCCATGTAGAAATAACCGGGTATATACCATTTTCATTTTCAATTTCAATTGCTTTTGGTCACAAATACTAGTGACTTGCCACTTAAACCTTGCAAGCTGGTTGGGTTGGTTGAAAGGAAAAGCTAAGCTGAAATTAATTGTATGGCGAAGCGAAAATGCGAAAGATTAGACAAAAGACGGCCACGACTTGAATGGCCGGCAGCAGTGGATAAATAAAAAAAAACATTAATAACTGAAGGAAAAATTAAAATAAAATGCATAAAATATGGCTATAAAAAAGACATATGATTTGGGAAGCAAGCAACCAAGCAAAACAGAGACAAGCCTTGAGGCATCCCGGCCCCCAGCAGCCCCAAAGTTATTATGCATTTATATGTATATATATATATATATTTATATATAAAGGTATACATGGAAGATGGCATTTAAGCAGGCTTAAGGCTAATGATATCCAATTAATAAACTTACCAATACTCGGACGGGCAATAATGACCGGCATCGTTTCGTAATGATCACGAACCAGCAATTCGGCGAGTCGCTTCGAATAGGTATAGGTATTGGGATGGGGCTTCAGCAGATCGGGTGTAACTGCATCCAATGTCTTGACATCCATCCATTCGGCCAGACGCATCAAATCCTCGGGCTTGTGTGGAAACTCATAGACCTTCTCGTACATCACTTCCTGATCGCAATTGCAAAATGCCGTCGACAGATGCACAAATGCCTCCAACTGCTTCATATCCTTGGCCACGTTCAGAGCACGCTGTGTGCCCTGCAGATTCATATCGATAGCATCATGCAGATTACCCTCCAGCTTCAGTGTGGCAGCCATATGGAACACAATATTCGTCTGCTCCACGACATGCTTCAAACTTTCGCCACTCAGGCCCAGCACTGTCAAAAGAATAAAGTCCGATTATTTTAGCAAATTTAAGAAATTTGGATAGCTGGCAGCGAATTGGACTTACAATCGTAGGTGACATCGCCCTGATAGATGGTCACTTTCTTCATCATATGGGGACGCTCATCGCGGAGACGTTGAAAGATGGGCAGCTTGAACATCTCCTCGAGACGCGATTCGGGCGTCTTGCCGCGCTTGGGTCGGCAAATGATGATCACCTCTTTGAGCGAGTGGCATGAATAGAGCAGCTTCTCCAGCAGCACCTTGCCCATGAAACCAGACGCGCCCGTTATGAACACGGTCTTGTCCTTATAGTATTCTTGTACCGGCGATAAATCATTCATGTTGAGGGCTGCAAGTTGTTCAAAAAAGAAAAAAAAGCGAAAGAAAAAACGTTAGCTTACTTTTTCTTTTTGTGGTTTTGTACACTGGCCACATTCCGGGCAAGCAGTCAATTGAAAACGGCAAGTGTCGCAAGCACCTGGCCAACTGGGCTAATTCTGAAACAGCTGCAACAAACGGGTTTCTATCGGATTCAAATACAAATTGGATTGCGCCGGCGTCGATTTCGCATTTCTTTGCATTTGCAGTTGGCTAAATGATTGCGCAATGCGACGGAGCGAGTGTCTGGATACCTGACTGAATGGCTTAATAATAGTAATAATAGTACATTGGTAGCAGCAGCAGCAACAAAAACGATTGGCGACCATTTGACAGTAGTCTATGCAATAATACTAGTGCGCCAGGAGAGCGGACCACCAGCTCGTCTAACTGGTGTCTGCTGTTTGTTTTATTATGATAGTGTGTTGCAAGATGCAAGCTGCAAGCTGCAAGCTGCAATATCATAAGCAACAACAACAACAGCAACACACGCAGCATGCAGCATGCCACCAACGTTTGATAGCCGTCTGCAATCGCCTGCAAATAAATTGCAAAATCATAGACTGGAGCTGGCGCTTGTCTTTTTTGGATTTTCAGTTTGAGTTTGGTTTTGGTTTTGGTTTGGGTTTGGGTCTGCACTGCCGGCCACGTTACACTTGGCCAAATCTTATTCATGTACACATTGCCGTTACTCGTGTCTCTCTCTCTCTCTCTCTCTCTCTCTCTCTCTCTCTCTATCTATAAGTATGTAAAAGTGCCTTGCTCTTTGGCCACAGTTGCCGTCGCAACCGTCGAAGCCGCAGCGTGACATTTTCAGCCGGCCCCAATTTTGAAATCGGCTTGGTTTTGCTTTCAGTTCAATACCCTGTAAGCAACACTTGGTTAAAGGGCTATGCTTACCTGATGCCGGCTAGCATTTGTTGTCTCAAATCAAAATACATGAGTTTTAATATCATTACTCATTAAATTTAAGTAATGATTCGAAAGAGCGTTCTTAATCTGATATGCAAAATGGATTTTAAAATAGTATTTGAACAGACACAGTCTGACTTTGAAATATTAGACTGATTTAATGATTTTCATCAAATATATATATATATTTGGAGTGTAGATATCTGTTTACGACCAATGAGGTATATAAATACTTACGACCAATGAGGTATATAAATACTCGTATAAATACTCGTATTCCGTAATATTTGATATATCGCACATTTCATGCAATACTGAACGAGTTTATTGCTTGTCAGCTGGCCCACAAATGTGGCATATACTTGTCTGGCCCACAAATGTGGCATATACTTGCCTGAACTATGGCTTATTCAGTTGAGCGGTTTGGCAGAGTCTCCTAACTGGCTGGGGAAGTACTCAGCATGACAAGGCGAAACTACAACACTTGGAAAAATTACACAACTTTCCATATTTTTTAGAAATAATTTTTATCATAAAGAAATTCATTTAAAATCCCCGCAAATCGAAGGTTTTTTTAGATTAACTTATATGACTTTATTATAAACTATGTAAAATGTTCTGTAATATGTGAAATCTTAAAACATAAATGTTTAATAATAATATAATAATAATAATAAAATAAATAATAATAATAATAATATTAATAGCAAATGTAACAAAAGTAACAATGTTCACACATAGAAACGACACTCTTAATATTAGAAATATTTTTCTATACTTTATAAAAATCAACCCTGAAATGCTAGCACAGCGTTTTAGAAAGCTATAATCTTAAATTTAAGACATTTATTTTCTGAATAATGTGGAGCTAATAATACTAAAATTAATGGCGATTTTTTTCTGAGTGTAGTTACAAAGTCGCAGGTACCTTGAACTATAAATCGTGATAATTGTTGTGTTCCAACTACTGTTTGACTGCTCATCGTGAACTTGAGTGAAACTAAAGCTGCGGTCTACAATATAGAAGATGAGAATTATCGCAGTGGGATACCATTTGACGGTAGTCTCTTAATTTGTTAGGGTTGCCTCATTTCCATATTTATAGCCAATACAAACTCTTCTGCTAATACAGCAGCTCGTCGATACAATAAAACAACAATAAAACAGCAATAAAACAACAATAAAACAACAATAAAACAACAATAATACGACAAAAGAAACTAGCATGCAACTTATGCAAGTTAAAATGACAACCGGGGCCAAATATGAAATAGCCCCAAGTCAGCAAAGTCTGCCCCAAGCCAAAACCCAAAATCATCAGCATAAAACACACACACACATATATACTGTGGAAAATTCCAAAAAAGCCAAAAACCAAGCTGAAGCTGATATTGAAACCAAAAAAATAAAAAAAATAAGCTGAAACAGAAACAGAAGTAGCCAAACGAAAGACTTAGGCAACAAACTTGCGCACTGTGGCATGCAATATAAATTTTGTTGTTAAAGAGCTACACGCTCAAGTATTTTCAAACTTGACAACCATAATGTGCACTTATATACGTACATTATTAGCAACGATTAGGCCATCATTTACAAGAGCTAGTTATGGCAAGGCCTTCAATAGAATTTACATGCATTTATTGCACTGCACAATAAATTCAAAATGAAATAAAACTTATTATTGTTATAAACTGTTAATTATCACATTCAACAATATAATTATTCAAGCAATAAATAATAATATAATTAATATAAATACTCACTGAATTAATGTTAACTGAGATTCGAAAAAGCGTTCTTAATTTGATATATAAAATAGTATTTAAAGGGGGATAATTGTATTTTAATTAAATATTGGACTTTTAAAACAGTTTTGAGTATCGAATAATTGCGTTCTCTATTTTAATGTTACCCATAAGTTATTTAAATATTACACTGCATAGAATATTGAAATCTAACTGACATTTCTTACTGATCAGTAAGTATCTTTTTGAGAATTTTTCAACCGTCTGACTAAATAGTCACATTCAAGGGTATTTCGAACTTATTCAAATATTTACATGCAACAGCACAGCTCACTTGCCGGTGCTTCTAATCAAATTTGCATAGTTAAGCATTTGTGAACTGACCGAGAGATTTGTTGTCCATAACCAAGTTCCCCACATGGATGAAGAGTTCAAAATCGCTGTTTGTCCAACTGGCACTATTTAATGCAAATATAAATACAAACAAAAAAGAAGACAAGTTTCTAAACGTGTGTTTAACCGGTTTGATTAGTTAGTTACTTTTAACATTTCTGAAACAGAAATGCTGCGAAATATTGGAAGAAGGTGTTTTTATATTTTGCAATAATGACATGCTTTTGCTTCTCGCTTTTAATTGTTATTATTGCTTCTGTTGTTGTTGTTGTTATCACGACCTGACAACAAGGAAATTAGAAATTTCTTCAATGAAAAAACTAAGGCAAAATCAAACGCAAATTGCAGTTTATGAAATGATTACTGCTTCAAATGCATTTGACCCCATAAAGCTGATCATCATCTCATCTATCAGCTCGTTTTATAAGCTACATTAGTTAAAACAACCTCTTGCCAAATGAGTGCGATCGTTAAGCAACAAAAAAAAAAACCATTCATCAACCTTAAGCCATGAAATCGAACAAAATTCAAAACATAATAGTCGCTGTTGCGGCCACTCATTCCATAAGTATCAATCTTATAAGTATACATATGTGTGTGAGTGTTTAGCTGGTATCCCTTAGGGGGTCTTATGCCATTTCATGTGAGATGTGATAGAGTGAAATAAATAACTAATATTCGAAAACCTTCAATATGTAAATGCGCTTGTAGCGATTGCCATTGACACAGAAGCGAAGAGAAACGAATTTTAATTAAAATCGACATACGATGAATTGGCCAAAATGGGTCACAAAAAACCAAAAAATATAAAGAAAAACAGAAAACAAGTCTTTGCATCACTGAGCTAAAATATACTCGGACAGCTCTAATAAAATAATACCGAGAACATTTTCTTATATATAAGTTGTTATATGTGTAAAAATTATTGTTATCATAAAGAAAGTTTTGCGTAAAAAAACTGGTTTCAAATAATAACAGCTTGTTTCAATTTCCTTAATTTACAAGTATAGACTATAAACAGACACTTTAAGAGATTCAAAATGTATACTATATAATTGCTAAATAATAGAAGGATAATTTAGTGATTATATTGGAAAAGTTCTGCCCCATTAAAAGTATATTACAAAATTCCTTAGCAAAGCTGTAAAAATAGACAATGTTTTAGTCGATTGTAACCGACTGTATAATACTCTATTTAAAGTTTCCAAATTGTCCATAACATTGCCAGGAAATTTGAATAAATAATTTAAATTATTATTAGTTAGCCGCAGCAAATTGTTCGAGCTGTGATTTAATGATGCCCTTATTTATTCTTCTCCAAGTCTTCTTCAGCGAAGATGACACAAAAAGAAGCTTTAATAACCTATGCATAAATCATAAATTAATTCAAGGCCTTTCGGAACGGAATATTTTAAGTCCACAAAGAAACCAGCTAAATGTCGAAGCCTGTAACATCTCCCAGATCAAGCCATCAAGGCTTGACACGACCCTGACACGGCCCGTGACCCAAGTCGGAACAGTTTTAAGCGAGAGCGACTCTTTACGCAATATTTAATAATAGACATTTGGCGTGTTTTCAATTAAACGCTTCGCTGGCCAGCTAATAGCGCCTAAAATGTTTCAAATTATTTTCTGGCATCTTTGTTTATTTTTTAGCTAATTACTCGAATGCAAGACAATAAAAGACAATTATTATATTTTACTAGAGGTCGTAAGGCAATTGTATTAAAAATTGCAATATAAAACAATATACACTTAACTTGGCCAAAAATAATTATAACTTTTGCACAAAAATTTTGGTGCATGTAAGTGTTTTAATTACCTTTTGCGTGCGCCTTGTTTATTTAATAAAAAGCCAAAAAATATTTAACACGTTGCACACACGAAGCGAACGCGCCGTCAAATCGAATATATTATAAATGTTTATATATGAATAGTATCAAAATTGAGCTGAAAGCGTTGTACGCTGTGCGACGTTCAAGCGAAGACTGAGTAGCGTTTGGCTGTGCGCCTGTCAATATGAATGAATTGGCTGTGCTTCAGGCGCGCATTGAAAGTGAGTCTGTTTTGTTAACTGGTTGGTTGTGGGAGCACTTTAGCCGGGATCGCTTGAGTATGGGATGTGGCAAGTGGCTGTGAAATCTGCAAGCCAAACTGCAGTAATAATAATAAATCTATTCGACTCTCACAATTAGCTTAGCAAACTCAGCGGAACTTATTTATGGATTGCGCCTCTTTTGCAACGAGAAGGAAGTTTTGTGTAGCGGCCTTTAAGTTTTTCTGTTGACACCAAGTCAAGCCATTAAAATAGTTCACAAACAATAACAACAATATTTTCCAAAGTAATTTGCAAACATTTATTATTTGAGAGCAGTACATAAAAACAGACACTTTATGTATATGGTTATGCACATTCATATTTGTATTTGGATAATTAATAATTGAATATGCATATTGAGCTCATTAATATTTTGCAAATCCAATACAAAAGTGATGTTTTTGCAGTTGTTACATAACTTTGGCATCCATTTGCCATTTTTTGTTATTTTCCATTGTTACGCAATTATCAATACCTCATGCAAATTATTAAACTTTGTTGCCAAATATTGCGAATTATTCAAAAAAAAAAATCCCCATAAGCTTAATTATGTTAAAATTATGTTAATAACGTAAAAGTTGTTTGCCGTACGATTAATTATCGAATCAAGCAGTTTAAATTAGACCGCCCGTCTACTAACTGTCGATAACATAAACAATTGTTCAATTGAACAGTGCTGCCACATATTTTCTTCAACATTCAGATTTGTATATTTCTCACATCGATATGTCAAAATTTCGTAACAAATAAATCCATTATACTGAACGAATATTTTCATGTTTTCTTAACTCTTCTTTAGATATACTTTAACGCGAAAATGCACATATAAACTTAAATTTTTTGTGACTATCGGAAATCATCGTTGCACAGTCTGATTGAATTCAATGGCCAAAAAAAGCGAAACACAATCAAGATATAAACAAGAAAAAATATGCAGACAATTAAATGACAAATAAATGCTTTTGTTAGGCAGCAAAAACAAGTTAAGCGTATGTGTAGCTAACTTTGACCACGTGTGGCTCAAACATCGATAGATACACTACCGATAACAATTTATTTTTACATCCCACCTCACGCGAGTGCGATTGGATTTCATTATAATTTGGAATTGGGGAATTGCGAAAATTAAATTGCAATCATGGCCGAATTAGACGATTTCTTTGCGAAAAAGGACAAGAAGAAGTCCAAGACCAAAAGCAAATTTGTGACGGCCGACGAACTGGTGAAGAACTTGGAAGAATGCACCAAACGTGAGGTGGCGGCCAACGCTGCCAAACCAAAAAAACCTGATGTCGCGACGGCAGCAGCAACACTCACTGGCGGCGTGGCAGAAGGCGGCGAAAATGAGACCACCATCAAAGCACCGGAGCCCGTTATTGAGGTGAGAGTTTAATATAAAAAAAGGTCAAAAATTTGACAATATTTAATTGTTAATTGTTTGTTGCAGCAGCCCGTGGAGGAGGAGTGGAAAGAGTTTGAACAGGAGCAGCGCAAGGATTACAGCGGCCTCAAAATCGGTCAGCTGACCATCAATGAGAAGCAACATCAGCAGCAGCAGCAGCAGAACCAGCAGCAACAACAGCATCATCATCAACACTCGGACGATATTTATGACGAGGATGAGGAGGATAGCGATGGTTTTGTCAATGCCGATCCAAATGGCAAGCGGCAAGGTCATGGTCCATGGAAGAAATTGATACCCGCCGAGGAGGTGACTCAGATACCGGTGCCGGTTGAGACTGAAAAGTCATCGTCGTCGTCGTCGAAACCGTACATTTCACCCGCGTTACGTTATAGCGTGAGTAGATCGTATGTCGATCTTTCGTTCGTTGTCTGATATTCAGTTTTGGACTTTGCGCCCGATTTCTTTTCGTTTCTTTTTTTTTTTTGTAGCAAGCTGGCAGCGGCATTGGTGGCAGCGGCGGTGGTGGTTTGCGTGCGCGTCGTGCCGCACCCGATATAACGAACACGGAGTTCTTCCCAACGCTGAACGCAGCCCGGCCGGAGGAACAGCGCAAGAAGAAAAACGAACCCGCCTTCGAAGAAGTCCGCCACGGCGGTCGCTTCCAGCGTGTCCAAGAGACAACGGCGGCGCCCGTCGCGGCCACCAATCGATTCCAGTCGCTCGACGATGAGGCAGATAGCTAGGCAATGCCCCCCCCACACTGCCTCATCCAATTTGCCACCGACGATGCCGACGCCACAATACAAACAAACAGAAAACGGAAAGCGAAACGAAACAAAAGCAAGATTGGATCGTTTTCATCTTACAGTTGCCACACACACTGCTAGTAGCGTTCCAGGGAGCGACGATGGCTTGAAGCGCGTGCCGAGACCTGGACGCAAAATTTGAGCTAAAAACAATAACATTTCTATTATTGATTTTTTTATCTCTATATATATCTATATATATACGCATAATGTAAACAATTTTCTAGGCTTTTCGAGCTAGCTTTCAAACCAGCCAACCAATCAACCCCCGCAAGAAAACCGAAATCATATTTTGTTCATTTTCGTTTTGCAAATTTTTTTTATGGAATTTTATGGATTCAATGTAATCGAGTATGAATAATAGCCATGCGTTGAAATCCGTTTATAAATGTTATACCATTTCTTTTTTTATAATTGTCTATATAATTGTTTCCACACTCTCAGCTATTATTCATCCGTGAAGAGATCTTGGGGCCTGCTTTCCGCGTAGCTGCGAACAAAGTTTGTTTAAATTAATTTCAGTTTTTAATACGACAAATCATCTTTTGCTGCAATTTTTGGATCTCGCACTGACTTTTCACTGTACGCCTGCTGTGGACTATTGTGATAGGAGCTGAGGAAGGGCTTGGACAGCATCCTGTCGGGATAATTACGTATCAAATACAGCCAGCAATCCAATTTCCTAGCACAAAATAGGGAATCATAAAATTTAAATTGTGGTTATTTTTCGTAAAACTTACTCATTTTGGTCTGTTATTATTGTCTGCAGTTCGCGATCATAATATCTAGGGTATTCTTCTAGTTCATCCAGCTTTTGAAACATTGTCGCGTCCACTTCATAAATCTCACCCTGTATATTATTGCCTACACCCTGTTTATTTAGCAGAAAGGGTATATTATAACGTGTGCCGATCACCAAGGGAAACTTTGTACTCGTTGCGCCTTTGGCCAGAAAACGAGAAAATCCATTCGCCTTTGTCGTCAGCCAGTGGTGATTCGGCTCGCCGCTCTTCAAAGTGCCATAAACGAAAACCTTTTGCAGCGTTTGCAACATTCTCAACATTTGTAAAATATATTACAGCGATGTTATTATCATAGAATTGCAGTTAAAGTTGGACAGTTGCTTGCTCACGCTAGGCTAATCTTAATTTATTAAATATTAAAATTTGCACCAACGACCTTGTAAGCTTACAGCAAACAACAATCGGCGCAGGCAGCGCTTTGAGCAGACAGTCTGCTTATCACTTTTTGGCATTCTCTGGAAAAGGCGACAGCGCTATGTTATGTTAACAGCGTTGCTCCACAACTAGCAGCAGCGCTGTGTTACACTCGAAACAAAATTTACGATTTGTTTATATAATCAAATTAAGTCACCTGTTGCAACTCGGCGAATATGTAAAATATTTTCTATGTTTATTAAGTTTGGTCACATTTTCAAAGTGTAAACTCGAATTGATTTTATTTAGTCGAAACTTATAAAATTACAAGCAGTTCGCTACGATCTATACTATGCATATACATATATATATAATATATCATTAGGCAATATGTAACGAGTACATATTAATATTGTTTTAAGTCTGTGTATATACGTGCTACAAATGCAAATATCGGTAATATTAATAATTGGCTACGCCTTTTTTCTTTCTTTTTTTGTATGTTGAACACATTTTTTGCTTCGTTATTAGTTCTTCACCTCGTAGCTGAGATCATCCTGGGCAGGATGCTTGTGCGTGCGACGATGGCGCATTATATAGGGTTGTGCGGTGGTATTCTCATAGCCGGACAAGTAGGGCAAGGACAACAGCTTCTCGGGATACTTTTGCAGCAGATAAACCCAGCAGGGAACGGTGCTGCAAGCAAAACAAAACATATTTTTTTATGATTTTGAATATGACGTAATCAGCATCATAATCAATTTACCCCTCGCCGATGCCAATGTTCATGTCCTGCTGCTCTCGCTTGTAAATATCCTGGCAATCCTCGATGCTGTCCAGCGATTTGAGCATGCGATCATCAACCTAAATAGAAATTAAAGAAATTAGTTCAGCTGATCTATATATTTGATGAGTTACTGTACTTGCCTCATAGATCTCACCGGTTACATAATAACCGATGCCCGGTTTGTTCAGCAGGAAGGGAATGTTGTAGCGCGTGGCAATCACCAGCGGCAACTTTTGTGTGGTTGTTGCGCGACACCAAAATTTGGCATAGCCATTGCCGGTGCTGGCCAATATAGAATTTCCCGGCTGGCCGTATTTCAAGGCTCCGTACACAAACAATTTGCTCAGAGCGGATGAAGCTTTCTGCATTGCAATATAAATACAGAATATATATCAATAAATAAGTTTTGGGTTTCTATTGATCGCTGATAAGCTAGATTAAGTTCTCCACATGCATTTATTAATAAGACCACTCGCAAATTATTATTTTATACCTGCGCTTATCACAAGTTAAAAGAATTTTTCCATATACACAGCGGCCCCCACAGACGGGAAGTCTTTTTGATAAGGCCTACAAACACCGAAAAAAAAACACAGTGATATCTCTCTGACACGAACTTTCATTAACAAAAATCAGCATTTTAAATATTATTTGTCTCTTTATTTTCAATTATAAAAAAAATGTAAAATAATTATTTACATTAAGGACTCTTAAAGTGAAGCGTTCTTTTTAGGTAGTGATCACTGTAATCAGATACGAGACGTCATTTGCACAACCCACTTTAACATTTCCCCCACGCCCTCATTCTAACAGCACCACCCACGCATTAACAGTATTCGTGTTTATTTTTAACATTTCGCTGCCAAAATGCGATAAATAAATCGCTTATTTTTATTTAATTTTTTATATTTTTGTGGAGGGGGGCACTAACCTGTTTGTTGCATTTGACACCTTTTGTTTTGTTATATCAACGCTAAGAAATACAAACTGTGTTTACGCTTGCAGGTTTTTTTTGGCTGACGTGCGTGCAAACTGCGCAGCAGCTTTATACACACACACACACATACATACATACATACTTTAAGATACGATAAAAAAAATACCTGTATTTGAATGTGTATTTAATAATTACTTAAATTGTTCTAATCACTCAAACAAATAGAAATAGACACGCTATAAGTTCTAACACGAAAATGCTCCCTTCAATTTAATGGTCACTTTCAATAGTCTGTTGCATTTTAGCGGCAATTTGTCTGTCGTTTCCTGCTTGCTTGCATAACAACTTCAAGTACAAAAGCACGCACACATACGCACAGAAGCATACGCTTATAATCATTTATGTATTTATTTTAAATAAATAATTTCCTCACGCCCAAAAGCTTTGAGAGCAACATGACAAAGGATAATAGGTAGCTTAAGACCTATCTACATCTGTACACACCTTCATAATTACATTAATATGTAACCACGTTTGTCCATTCACAATAACATTACATTAACAGCGTTCTTTTGTTTGTTTTTGTATTTACCTTAACTTGGCCCATCTTTCCTTATTTGGTGTTATTAAAATTGCAAATGATTTTAAATGCTCAGCAGAGCAGACAAATGAACAAAATATACAATGGAAAAGAGAGCTATATTAAATTCCAGCAAAAGCTGTTTGGTTGGTAGCAAATCGTACCGTACAAGTGGAAAGCAAAACTCCAACTGAATGCTGTCGACGCCGATGCAGCCGGCAGAGGCCCAAACATTGGAGAACATGTCTCTGTGTGTGTGTGTTTGTATGTATTTATGTATGTGTATATTCGAATGTTCATTGCTGCTGCTGTTGTCGGTATCGTGACGTCTAAAAAAAAAAAAGCTGAGCAGCAGCATGCCCACAACAAGAATGAAAAAAAAAACACGCCACACGCGCTTGTCAAATCGGCTGCCCGCGTCGCTGCTCGCTCTTTCTTTATTTAGCGTTAGCAAGAGCAATTATTCAAATTCAAAATGCTCTGCGCCAAGCTTAAGACACATATTAGAGCACATCTACATACACACATCGTGTGTGTGTGTGTGTGAATGTATGTGAAACTATAGCTTATCAGGCCTTTCTTTTTTTGGTAAAAGGGGTGTTGGTCGCCATAAACTGGTTGGTTGCGTTAATGTTGAGCCCCTTTGCAAACTAAAGAACGTTTCGCTTATAGCGACGCCACTGGAGCCCACGTACGCAATTGTTTATTGAATGTGTATTGAATGGCCAACTGATTAAATAACTTATTACCCCTAATGTATATTTTTGGACTGCAACATTTTAAAAGTAAACACCACTTATAAACAATAACAAATTCGCAATTAAGTTTTTGTTACACAGCCACCAAAACAGAAAAACGTGTTCGCTCAAGCGCTCTCTCTCTCTCTCGCGCTCTCTCTTGCGTTTGAAGCGCTGTAAAATAAAGATGCGGCATTTGTGTTTATTGGGCTTTATCCTATATGGGCATGTAAAGAGAAATTTCATGATGGTACATACATATATGTTTATGTGCATATAATAAAAACTTGTTGCTTTTGTTACATAATTGAACTATTTGCATTCTGATAGCCATAAGTAAATTTAACACTCGTGCCTTTGAGATCATAAAAAAGGTATATCCTAATTTCTAAAATCAAGTTCAATAATCCTTAATACACTTTCCGTTCCAGGCGTAGTGGAAGTGCTTGTGCCGGCAAGCGCACATGTTGGGTGCAAAGCAATACGCTCTACGGCCACAATCGCTGTAGAACATACAAATATACATAGGGATGTAGATACACTGTTAAGTCAATGTTAAGTGGCTTAAACACTCACTGATCGCAGATGGGCACACACTTGGCGCCGTGGAGCAGAGTGCTGCGCATCTCGTAGCCCTGTGCACAAATGCAGCGACCATCGTACGAGCAGCGGCCGTGAATGCAGCGCCTGGAAAAAGATTTTAGATGGAACTATTACATTTTATTTTAACAGTGACTCTAAACGGAATCGGTTGGTAGATATAAATTTTTTAAAATTATATTAGAATAAAAAATATGATGATTTTTTTAAATTAAAAAATTATGTTAAGCTATGTTATATTTTTTTAAAATTAAAATATTACAATAAATAATTTTAAATTTACCCGTGACACGGATCCAGGAGTCCTGGTCCTCGATGTCGACAGAGTCGTGCAACCGCATCGAAGTAGTAGTGTTTGCCCTTGCGACAGATGCACAGCTCGGGGCCCGCACAATAGCCGCCCGCCTCTTGGCAGCCCGGCAGGCACTTTGCAGCACAGACAACACTATCCCTTGTGGTACTCTGATACTGATCGTCACAGGGACACGGACCATCCTCGAAGCAAACTCCGCGCACGCAAACAATATTGCAACGGCGCACACATTTACGGGTATTCACAATCAGCATTTCGTATTCCGAGCAAATTGGAGGCGGTTCATTTATTTCCCAGTAACGGTACTCGTGGTAATAGGAGTGAGCATGAACCAGCATCAGGAGCAGCATCAGCAACAGCAACAGAATTCTTAACATGTCGAAGTGAATTGCAAGTTGGTAAATGATTGGAAATTAAGAGCACTCTTCCAAGTAGTTCGCCAAGTGAGAGTGAAAGTGTTTGTTTGCTTGTATGTGTGCGCAATCCATTTTACCCGGTCACGATCATCGTCGACAATAATTGCCTTAAGTACACACACACATTGGCGGATGATGCAATGGCCGCCCATAAAAATCACTTGGGGGTGCTAACTGATAAGCCGCTCGCTGCTATTACAAAACATCATTTGCATACACAAACAAAAACAAAAATTCGAACAGACGCCGCTTATTACTCATCACAGTTTGTGGGGGAGGGAGTTTCAGAGGGAGAGGCGGTAGTGGGGTCACACAGATCCAACTCCAACATGTGTGCATGCTAAGCACAAAGAGAGCAAACTGCAGAGAGCAATCCACAAATGAGAGAGACGCGATTGAGAGAGAATCAAATACACTGAGTAAAAAAATAAGATTGGCATTGATACCATTATTTATTTATATGATTTATAATAATTGACATGTCAAATTAATGAATTATTAAATAATTATATATATATTCTGTTATATTGTTATATTATGTGTTACAATATGTTATTGTTGCTTTTAATTGAAAAATCGTATTAAATTTATTCTCGAGCATGTCAAAAGTTTTTATATTAAGCTTCTAGTCAGGCTCTGCAAAAGTGCAGTGTATCAATACTATTTTTATTCAGTGTAATGTGCATGGGAGAACATTTTGCTGCGCTAGGCTGGAATGTCTGGATTTCCATTGCCGCCGCCGCCGTTGCTGCTGCTGTTGCTCTCCTCCCCTGCCCTTCCACCCTCTCCGCAACCGACTTACTCCCCTTGCGCACATCTGGCCTGGGCATGCGCTTCGGCTGCTTTCAATGCGCGCCATTCATTCACTTTTTTTTAGTCTTTTCGCTGCTGTGAACGCCTGCGCAACGAAAATGTTGCAAAATTAAAAAACAGCGCACAAAGAAAACTGCTCGACTGCAGTTCAAGCTTCAATTGCAACAATAAATAAGTTTCGACTATTTTCATTAGCGGTCTGACGTTGGCTCTTTTTTTTTGGAGTGAGTGCTTGTGTGTGTGCGTATGCGTGTGAGTGTGTGTGTGTGAGTGTGTGTGTGAGTGTGTGAGTGTGTGTGTGTGTGTTGGGTTGAATGAATAACATACAACAGACAAAACAGACAACGGCGAGTGGAAAGCATATAAAATAAACAATACCATTTCGGGCTGGTCAGCTGGGAGGAAGTGGCACTCTGTTGGTGGCACTGGTGGTGCGTGTGGTGGGTGTGGCAGCTGTGGGCAAATGCCTGAAACAAAGCCAGCCCTCTCGCATTAACAATTATGTACGCGGCAAGTGCGGACACGTTTTAATTGCATACCAATCGAAATCGTACTAAAAAAAATAAAAATAAGAAAAACTGCTTACAACCAGCAAACAATTGTTTTTGAACCAGCAAACAATTGTTTTTGAATTGAAAAATGTGCTACGTTATCATCACAAGTGTGAGTCTAGTCTGGTTTCTGTGCACCCTTGTCGCCGATATGCTCGTCGCCATCGCACTGGTCACGCCCAAATGGCTTATTGCTGGTGCACCCACCACGGTGAATGCCACAGGTCAACGTTATCCCTCTGTGGGCATTTATACGCGTTGCAAGCAGATGTATAAGCTGGGCTATCATTGTGGTCGCTTCGATTTGGATGGCTTTGCTACCGATGGCAGCGTCTATCCCTGGGAATGGAAGGCAGCCATGTTCTGCATGACCACGGGTTGTCTGCTGCTCTCCGCGACTGTTGCTGCCACGCTGTTAACCTGCTGCCGGCAGTCTGCGTTTGGCAAGAGCATACACAATATGACAGCTTGTGCACAGGTGCTGGCAGGTGAGTCCCATTCCGACTCCTTTTGCACCTGCTCCTCCCGTTTCTTAATATTTCTTTCCTGCTCAGGCATAGCTGTAATGCTAGCTTTGTTTCTGCATCCCTTGGGCTGGCGTGCGCAGCGCGTTCAGCTCCTTTGCGGCGCGGAGGCGGAGCCCTTTTATCCCGCCGACTGCAGCATTGGTAAGACTCACGCACACCTTCAATCTTTGACAACAACTACAACTATTACTATTTCTTTGATAGGCATCTCATTTTACTGCGGCCTGGCTGCCATATTACTGACATTTGCCGCTGCCGGCATCAGTCTCAAGGCGGAGTCCTCCAACATGCGTAGTCGGGTGCGCCGGCGTGTGGAGTCCGGCAGCAAGCTCATCTGCATTCCGTAGTCGGATAGATTAAAAAACATTTGCATTTAGAGATTGTCCTAACTGAATTTGGTATCGTTTAGAGAGACTTATTTTTATTGTAGATCTTTTTACAACTCATTTAAATATTTTGGTTTAAACTCCGTTTGTAAATTGAAAATACAATTATTAATTGGTTGTCTCTTACTGATTATAACTATTTGACAATTTGCATTTCTGAAGTAGCGTTTTGAGAGTCATTTTTATAGTAGATCTTTTAATGATTGTTTAAACTTTATGTGTAAATTGAAAATACAATTATTAATTGGTCGAATTGCATGCTGCAAATTAAAATTTATTATTTATAGTACACGGTAATTTAGGTATCGTTAAGTTTTTCTTATTTTTGAGACTCATTTTTATTGTAGTTATTTTCCTCAAGACATTTAAATATGATATTTGTTTAAACTCCTTCTGTCTTTTACTAATTGAATCTATTGGCAAATTAGAAACATTTATGAATACTGCAAATTAAAATGTATTATTTACACAGTACTCTGTATTTTAAGTATCATTTTTTTTTTTGTTTTTGATAGTCATTCTTATTGTAGTTCAAGCTCGGTCTGTAAAATGAAAATACAAGTAATAATTGCTTGTCTTTTACTAACAAAAACTATTTACAAATTAAAAGCATTTACAATTTAAGATACTGCAAACTCAAATTTATTATTTATAGTACTGTGCATTTTAAGTATAGTGTTTTTTAAGCCAACCATCTTTTAAATAACGATTCTAATTTCTGGACAATTTCTATATTTGTAGAAATATATACACTTAATTTAAGTTCACAATTAAGCTGTAACATTAGAATAAATAAACAACTAGAGTTTTATACAGCAACTTGGATGGTCTGAGGCAGCTGTATAGACAAGGAGAGAGCAAGGGGGGCAGATCATTATTTGCGCTTGCCCTTGGCTTTGCCAGGCGGTTTCCCTTCCACTTCCGGCTTGGCTTTGGGCAGGTAGACCCCGTGATTCGTTTTCTTGAGATGCGCAAACAGTTTGTTTTTGGAGTCGAAGACCAGTTTGCATGTGACGCAAGTGTGTTGCACATCTGCGAGTGGTGCGGTCTCGTTGCTCCTCGGTGGAGCTGCTGTTGGCTTGGATTTCGGCTTTGATTCCGTTGTTAACTTTTCCTTTTCCGTTTCGGCTTTTTGTTTGCTGCTCGTTGATTTTTTGCTTTTGCTCTTTTTGGCTGATTTTTTGCTGCGACTCCAATCGTCGTCGTCTGCATCGTCGCTGTTGCTCACTGGCGCGGATAAATCCACAGCTTGATCAGGAGCAGCAGCTGCGGCAGCATCCGCTTCATCATCCTCATCGCTCTCAACAATTGCTTTTGGCGCCGGTTTTTTCGATTTTTTGCCTTTTTTATTGCGTTTACTTTGTGTCTGCTGAACTTCTTCGTCGCTGGACAGCTCTGCCTGATCACTGCTTTGATCTGTCTTTTGGGCGCCACTGATTTTTAACTGTTCCACACCATCCTCTGCCGCATTGAGATCCTCGCTGTGCTCATTGTATTCCTGCTCCTCGTCTGCCATTTGCTGGCACAGGCGTTCCACATTCTCGCGATGTTTCTTGCTCTCCTCGTGATTGGAGCGCGCCCTGGTATTCTTGAACGACTTGTTGCATGCCACACAATAGAGATCGTCCACATACTCCACTTCCTGCTCGCTCACATCATTATCGCTTTCAACAGCCGCATCAGAGTCCAGTTCATCCTCCTCCGCCTCCTCGTCCGTGTAGTCATCGGATTCGCTGCCGTATTCTTGTTCAAGCTGTCTGAGCTGCTCCTCGTAGCCATCGTTGTCCACTTTGTTGGCACGCACCGCGGCAAGTTGTTCCTGCCGCTGGCGCAGCTGCTCCTTGCGTTTCTCCTCCTGCTTTAAGCGATTCGCCTCGGCGCGCTCTTCCAGCACAAGCCGGTAGGCTTGGACACGACGATCTCGCTTCCGCACAAACGAGACCAAGTTGCGAACCTGCCAAGACAAATATCTCTTGTACTTATTTCTCTAACTAATTTGACAGCTGCTTACCTCTTCGTTGCGATCCTTGCGTGCATTTTGCACAATCTTCTTCATTTGCTTTTCCACCTTGCGCAAGATGAAACGCTCCTTGATCTCCCGCACATCATACGGACAGAGCCATTCGTATGTCTTCTTTGTGCTGTAGGATAACCAATAGGCGTAGAATGGAGCCACAACATCCTCGTAGCTGCTGTCGGCGTTGCCAAACTGTGGTGGCCCCATCTCATCGTCGCTGTCCATGAACTCCAGATCCTCGGATGCAATGTTATTGAAGACATCACGATAAACACCATAAAATCCCTGGGCATCATTTCCGTATCCCTTGTAGCATGATCCGGTGAAGTATTGGAAGACGTCTAAGCAGTTCTCGGAATACTCGGAATTCTTGCCTCGCAAAATTTGCTCTCGATGATTGTCGTACCAGGCACGTTCCTGGGCATCGGAGAGCACTTCGTAGGCCTGTTGGATCAGCTGAAAGCGTTCCTTTGCCTCTGCCAAGCAGTCGGGATTCTTATCGGGATGCCAGCGCAATGCCAGTTTTCTGTATGCCGTTTTGATATCACCTTCGTTGGAGTCACGGGCTAAGCCTAGCTCCTCGTAGTAGCAGCGCATATTTGGTGCTTAGTTAGTTAGAAAATAAATTACATCAATTGTGTTAACAAACGAAATATTGAGCTTTTGATCTTCTTCTTTTTTTGGGGTCCCACGCCACACATAAACATCTGTTCGCTGCTACAGACTTTAACATTTGTTGAAATGTTATGCGCGCCATAATTTCGTTTTTGCAAAATCAGCATGCCCATTTTTCAGTTTATTCATGCTTCCAAAACGAGTTTCTAATTCTTGTGAAATGCAAGTCTTAGTCTTAGCAGTGGCTTTATACAACAATTTTTTTTATGCTTCATCTAGTTGAAAAGAAAAATAATGAAATTTAATTACATCATAACAGAGCAGCTGTTGCTTAACATTACCTATCGATACCCGCTCCAATTGAGAATTTAAATTTGATGCTATCGGCAGTCGATAGCATTAATAAAAGCATGTTAATGCTTTTAAATTATATTGCATACTTCTGCTTGCACTAATTTTTAAAATATTGTACTTCATTTTTTAATTGGTTGCATTTCTTATTGTTCTTGTCAAATTAGTTAATTCTTAATACATATTTAATGCCTCACTTTAACGCGTCACATTGCAATTTGGTGGTTGCGCATTCCGTTAGTCGCTTTTTTCACTTCAGCGGCGGCGGTCGCTCTCCTTTTTCTCGCCGCGCATCATTCGTTATTATAGCCGCACACTTTATTGCTACCACCAAAAATAAAAAATAAAATAAATCTAAGGCCGACACATGCACATACCAATAGATCATTCATATAGACAGTGTAAATTGTGAAAAAGCTTTAACGGTTGCAGCCTAAAAGTAGGCAACACTTCTGCTTTTTAACTTATACGTTGCCGGACCTAATTACAATTAATTTGCATATCAAATAAACTAAAAATAAAACAAACCATAAATTAAAACTAAAGCATTACATACAAACATATATTTTATGTACGTAACAACGATACAACAAGAAAATATATATGCGAATACACACGTCGCATACAAAAGTCGTTAGGGCCAATGCTATAAAGAAATCAAATCAAATAAAATATTCACGCTGCAGTTTAACGTAACAACAATTGAAAATAGCTTGACATAAAAATTTACAGTTACGTTTGGATTTACAACCCAGCTACGTTCATTTCCGTAAAAGGGGAGGGTTACACAGACAACCCACACACACACACATACACACCCACACACATATAACATTGAGTAACTTCAGCACACAGCATGAGGCGGATGAGTCCTTGAAGCCTCAATAGGCGTGCAACAACCCCCAAGCAAAGGCAAACACACTAACACACACACAGTCGTCGTCATCGCCATCGGTGTTAGTGCATGTACGCGTATTTGTGTGCACCCAAAAAACGTCAACAAAAAATAAACAAGCACACACACAAACACAGAGAGAGTTGCCAGACGTCGTGCTGTCTACGTAATCACTCACACAAACACACACACACATGGATACATTACGTACATGTATTTGTAGCGGCCCTTTCATCTCATCGCATGTCGCACAATAAAAACAGGCGTAAAGGATATTATGAGGCAACAGACATTTGCGAATAAGGTAATTTCGCATCAAATACCAACACACACACACACACACACGCACGCACTCTTTGATACACAGTTACTGCTGAAAACTATTCAAAATATGGGCGCTTGCTGTTACAGTGGTTAAAAATCAATTATTAAATTTATAATTTGAAAATAAGTGCAAATACAACAAATTCTTAATCAGCACTAAAAGCCAAGTACTTAATAATTGAGTTAAAATTAAATATACTTATTATATTATATTTCTTATATTAATTATTTTATAAATTAAGTACTGCACTTACATATATTTTTTTTTATATAGTAAAGATATATATAGAACAAATTTTTGATTGCATTTGATAAGTACTGAATCTATATTTCAACATTGATTTTTATAGTACAAATGTATTTAGTATAAATAATTCGACTGCATTTCATGAACATTACAAAAGTCCCTTACAAACCAGGGTTTGCATGCAAATATTGTACAACACCACATATTTAAGCCACTGTGCAGCGGCGTCTTTTGTGCTGTCATAAATGGATTTTCTTATCAACGTAAAGTGGCCCCAGGAGTCAGTTTTGGATGCGAGCGCCAGCCTATTGTCCTAGACATTATGGGATTGCATTCGGCAGCTAAGCAAATACTTTAATGGCAAACTCTTCCCCTCTTCTTCTTCTTATCTTTTTTTTGGGTCCACAACAGCAACAACAATCCGTCCATTTAAGCTACGTTAAGGATTTCTTTTGAGACAGACAGATAGAAAAACGCTCCAGTTTCCACAATGTTCGGATCCAAGTTGCGCTCCTGGATGGAAACGCACATTGTGCGTCCACGCAAGAACAAGGGCAACAAGAACAAACAGGCGGAGAATGCGGCAGGTGGCAGCAGTGGGAACAGCAGCAGCAGCAAGAAGGCGGGCACCTTGCCACCGAACAGTAATCTAAAGTCAGCGACAAGTCCGGTGCTGACCAGCAGTGGCAGCCACAGCATCGCAAGTCCAGTGCGAAGACGCGAAGTGTCGCCCATCCAATGTCATGTGAGTGAGCCTCAAGCTATAATACTCACAATAATAATAAGTAATAAATAACAAATAACAAATATTAAGTAACAAATAATAAATAATTAATATTTAATAATATTAATAATACTGATAATAATAATAAGCTTAAAATAATGAAATTAATAATGCAAATAATAATAATAATAATAATATTAACAATAATAATAATAATCTTCGCCTTGTCCATCCTGCCTGTAGACGCCCAGTCGCTATGGCTGGCAATCGCCGGATCAGGATAACTCCATCACATCGCCCAAGTCGGATAATCTACTATATGCGCCACATCGCTATCAACGCCATCAGACGTTGCCGCCACTCCAGCAGCAGCAACAGCAGCTGCAGCAGCCACAGCTGAGCGTGCCCAGCAAGGATAGCTGCAGTTCGAGTGCGGACAAGTCGCCAATGCGCGTCAATTGCTCCTCCTCGTCGATATCGTCACTGTCGTGGTCCACCGGCTCCAAGGAGCCCTCCTCGGCCAAGCAGCAGCTCAACTACAAGTTAGAACCCGCCGAGGATGAGGTGGACTATGAGGAAGTGGGCGCACTGCTATTGCGTCCACAGCCACCGTTGCCGTTGTTGCAGGATTATCAGCGACCCAACTCGGAGAATCTCCTTAGTCTGCAGCTGGTCTACGAGGAGGATCAACAGCAACAGCAGCAGCATCCCAAAAAGAACTCCAACCATGTGCACTATGGCCGCCTGTTGCCCTCCAAGCTGGCCACCGTGCAGCTGGTCGAGTCCTTGGAGAGTCTAACGATGACACCACCCCAACCACCACCGCCACCATCTGTGACCAATCAGCTGAGTCGCATGCGTGCCCCACGCGCTGGCCTGCCGCGTGGCAACTTTATGCCTGGTCCGAGGCCACACAGTTTATCGTCGCCGGAGAGCGCCTATTCCACGGGTTACTCTACCGATGGCACCTCGCCATGTGCCGCCAGCAGCGCGAATCCGCCAGCCCCCGAATATTATATTAATATGCGCACAGGCACCCATTATTTTCCCAGTCGGTCCGTCAACTCGGAACGCTATAAATTTGGCCTCAATCGCATCGAGGAGATGTCGCCCATGGATCCGTTGCCAAAGAGTAATTTTGGCAACACCCTGGAGCCCAATCCCAGTCCATTGGTATTGCAGCACAAGCTCTTTGAATGTGAGTAGCCTTATATGGAACACATCTCGAATTTAATTTATGGAGCTTATTTTGGACTTTATTTAAGTTTAAATGTTGTATAAATCTTATAAATACTTCTTATTTCTTTTTAATTAAAATCTAAATATTACATTATATTTTTGGTTATTTTTTTTCTTTTATATTTTTTATTTTTATGTGTCGAATGATTTTGGTTGACATTAAATAAATTTATAAAATAAATATCCATTTTCATTTTCTTAAGTTGTGGTCGAAAACTGTACTGAAAATAATATTTTCAAGTGCTTTAAGAACTTTTTAGCTTATTCAGCAAATATCTCTGTGAAAAAAGACTTTAATTAATTAATTTATTTATAAGACTTTTTATTTTATTCACAGAACTTTTAGTATACAAATATAAAAAAATATATAAAGGTATAATTAATTAATTTAAAACTTTATTCTTCTTCACGAATTTTAACAGTAAATCACACAGTCAGGAAAAAATAGAAAAAATTTATTATGATTCACTAAATACGAAATTACTCTAATCAAGTTTCGCAATTAAGCTTAAATAAAAATAAATTGGTATAAGAACAGAACAAGTTCGAATCAATTTTTCAAGACTTAAAGACATAAATATTTATATTGCAAACATGATTTTTAATGCATAAATTAGAAATTTGTTAACTTATTAGAATTTTAAAAATTTCCGATTTTAAACACCTAACTTATGCTTGCCATTTTGTTCTACTGTGCAAGAAATGAGCAATTAAAGTACTTAACCCCAGCCATCTCCATCTTCCTTGCAGCCCCCTCGCCCCGCCAGCGTTCTCGCATACGCACGAATCCCTGGTATAATACGGCTGAGCATATGCCTGCTATGCCGGGCAGCAGTCGCTCGGAGCCGGATGCCACCAGCACCACATCCACAACATCCTCGGGCATTAAGTCAAGCAATGAGCTGGAAATGCGCTCAGCTAAAATAACAACAACAATAGCAACAACAACACCAGCAGCAAAAGCTTTAGCAAAAACAACAGGAATTGCAACCCCCACCAAACTGAGGATTGGGGGCGCCGAGTCCTCGGAGGGCTCGTCGTCGTCCTCGACTGAAGTGGAAAATCTGCATGCACCGCACACCATCAAGCGACGCCACTTGGAGCAGCAACAGCAGCAGCAACAGCAACAGCAGCAGGCGGACTCCTTTCTGTTGAGTGACGATGAGGCGACACTCAACGAGATGATTGGCAAGTTTGACGAGAGCTATGTCTACGAGAAGGAGACCGACATACTCAGGTGAGTCCCAGCCACAACTCAAAGTGCTCCCCACTCAAGACAGTTGAATGTTGTAGAACCGTTGGTAGAAGAAGTTTAGCTTCGTTGAATTATTTGTATTTCTTAGTATCACCAAACTTGTTTGCCTGGGAATCAGCCTGAAGCGAAAAGAAAGAATTATCCATAATCGATTAATCGAACTGAATAGGTAAACTGGAACGAAAAGTGCAGAAAAGTTGGAGATTTTTCTACTCGCATCAAGTTTGGAACAGTACCTGAAAGACGTCTAACTTTGCCTGAAAATCCACCTCGAGTTGGAGTTGAAGAATTTTCTGCTCGAATTAAGTGCGGAGCAATAGTAGACAGAAGTTTAGCTTAGCTAAATTCTTCGTACTTATTATTATCACTAAACTTGGTTGCTTGATATCAGCTATCAAAAGAAAAGAATGAAGGTTTATCGATTTATCAAACGATAAACGCACTTAGAATCAAATTCGAAGCCAGAAAACACATTTCTTAATTTCAAGAAGGGTTTTGAAATCCCATAGTTCCTTAATATCATACACTTTCAGAATAGATTAGTAGCTTTGTTGTTGAATAATATTTTTAGATCTTAGTTAAAGTACTCCTGTTCCAGAATATATACCCAAGTTGCAATATTTTTAGATCTTAGTTAAAGTACTCCTGTTCCAGAATAGATATCCTGATAAAGTCATTCTTTCATTCCATTAATTAAGTCTACGACTTAGTTTTTAAAGTTTCCCTTTGTCCACTTGCAGCAGCGACTCGGATCCCACGGATTGCGCTTCGGAACTGGATACGGGGCAGGATGCGGGCGATGAATGCGATACGGATGAGCTGCTGGACATTGATTTTATAGACACATCCTCCATGCAGGAGGTGGTGGTGCTGCAGGAGCGTCAGGATCAGCAGCGTAATCTGGGCAGCTGCCACTATTATCCTACGCCCAGTCCACTGATCCTGCGACGCAGCTCAACACGTTCGCGTCGCCGCAGCGGCCAAGATCTGCCGGATTGCAGCCAGCAGCGTCGCCGCAAACGCTTCCTGAAGACGCGTAAGAAGAGTTGCGAGAATCGGGAGAAGGTGCAGGAATCGCCATTGCGTGAACCGCGGGGATCCAGAAGCGTGGGCGGAACTCCAGTCTGCCTGCGTCGCCAGCTGCTGAGCAATAAGGAGCGGTAAGCTATAACTACCTCTAACCCCCAAAGCTATTGCTTGCTCAACCTTGAGTTTGTCCTGACAGCATTTACAAGACTTCACCATTATCCAATCGCTCGAATTCGTTAATCTTTGGCCGTGCTAATGAGCCGCATTTCATGACTATTGCGGAGAGCGAGAAGGCGCTGCTCAAGGCTGATCTGGAGGCGGACATGAAGTACAAGCAGCTCATCATGGAGGCCGAATCGCTGCTCGAATCCATGAAGAACAGTCTGCAAAGGTGCAGTAACCAAATCCTCTCTAAAATAGCTCACTAATCTGACTCTATCTCTCTCTCTCTCTCTCTCTCCCTCTCTCTCTCTCTCTGTTTAGCATACCACGCGACACTCCGGTAGCCAGTCCGAGACGTCTCAATCCGCTGGCCAACAAGCGCGTGGAGATGCTCAAGCACAGCGAGGTCGACTCCAAGAAGCAGATGGCGCCACCCACACCGCCGCTGGAGCACGAGCTGGCGGCGGCGATTAACAAGCGAATTGAGCTGCTCAAATTTGAGACAACGGCTACGGCATCGCCACCCAACAGCCCCAAGCCGGGTCGGTGTAGTCCTCGCAAGACGCACTTAACCAACTTTATCAATCAGAATGCGCCGCCCGAGTTGCCGCCACGCAAGCTGAATACGGCTGGAGCACCTCCATCCCCACAGCTACAGCTCAACGGGCGTCGTCTGCAATCCGGCTGCAGTCCAAGAGCGGAACGACGAGCCATGCACGCGCTGCAGTGCATCAATGGCAGCGACTCGGAGCAGGAGTGCATTGCCGTGGTGCGTCAGAGCATCGAGGATGTCACCAATCACAACTACTTGCAACAACAGCAGGAGCAACAGCAGCAGCCGAACTACAATCAGCTGGACTACAACAATCGCAATGTGGCCGAGCTGCTGCAGCAACAGGATAACTTCTATTGTCCACACAGTGAGCCGCTCAAACGTAAGGTCTACAAGGGCAGCAGCTCCTTTGAGCGTATCAAGAAAACATTCGACTTGGAGCTGGGTGAGTGAGGCGATTGATAATTGACTATAAAATACAGTGGTTGCTCGCCAATTAGAACGGGAATTTTCGCTTGCGTACAGTGGACAAAATCTGAAATATAAATGTCTGTTTAAATCTGAAAACCATAAAAATTTCCTTCAAATTTAATAACACCAATGTTGAATAATATATTTGATATTTTGCAAAATCTAAAAAAAAAGAAAACAAAAAAAAAGACTATAAAAACTCGCTTCAATTTTTTTAATACAAAGTTTGTCTAATTTATTTCTGACTTAATTAGTTAACGCGTTTATTTAAACTTTTCTAATATGTGTAAACAATTTATCTTTTGTTTTTTTTTTTAATCCGATATGTGTTGTTTTTGAATTGTCTTGAATTTGTGGAAGTTCTAGAAAGCAAACCACCACAAAATAAGATACTTAACTGTTATCAGCCACCTGGCATATCAATTAATTAATTAACTTACCGGTAGCAGATATGAGCGAACGTCCAAAGACGCAAGTGAAACGTCAGCAATCGAAGCTATCGGCTTCCGTTTCGGCCAAGAGCTCCATGCAGGATGTAACTGTGGAGGGGGGCAGCAAGGAGCAGCACCAGCAACTCATCCTGAGCACCATTGTGGATTTGAAGCGGAGTCTGGAGCATCAGAGCTATGAGCTAAGTGGTCTCACTGAAGAATAGTTAAGACTAATTATCCAACTGATCCTTGAGATCCTTGCAAAACTATCGATAACGGTTTGATGAAAATAGAATATAAATATATATTAATTTATAAACCATTTTCTGGTTGTAAATTCTATCAAAAAATGGATAATTTATATAGTTAACCTATCGATAGTTTTGTGAGACGATAACTAACATAATCATCAACTAGTTTAAAATAAGTACTCCGAGTAACAAGTCCAACAGATATAATATCCCTCAGACTAAGCAGAAATTGAGTGCAATAACTATCTAAAGGAGCATAGTAAAGCGTATCCATATATAAAATGTAATGTAAGGCATGCAAATGATGGACTGGTACAGCAGGTTATACATATATAGGTATAGAAAGGGTATATCTACATACAATATACACTATAATATACACTCTTTACCCTTATGGCAGATGCCGCGAGTATATTGTTTTTGATAGCATTTATTTAAGCGTAGTTGTTAATCATTTGTGTTAATCATCATCATCAGCAGCTGCAGCAGCAGAAAGTTATTCTAGTTTTAATCGTATTTCAGTTTCTCACAATCACGTACAGTTTCTATTTGAATTCCCAGTCGAAAAGGTGCAACTTTACAAATATATTATAACTATTGATATACTATTTGATACTAGCCCAAATACTTAGCTGATAATACTCCTTAGTTACATATATTCATCCTTAACCTTACACTTATTTAAATGTGTGTTTTGTTTCCATACTTCTCAAAACAAAGCATATCTCACATCAAATACACTTATACTAACCGAATTCTACGATTATCGATCATGAAAGCTGGCACAGCCAACTTAACAAGCCAAATTGCTTATTTTGCGAACTTTCATGGCATAAACGTAGTAAGCGGAACTAAACTTGAGCTCATTACTAGACTTTGGTAGTATATTTCAATTAATCTACGCATATTTAGAGACGTACCCACATAAATTATATAACAATTATTGAAAACTGTAGCACTTTAAGTAAATTCAATTATTATATCCATCCAACAAGAAATTGATCGTTTAGCTAAATTGTTTGTAGAATATAAATCGTTTAACTGTTCCGTTTTCCTTAGTTATTGCAATTGATTAGCATTAAAAACAAAAACAAAAAAGAAAAACATAAATAACAAGAACTCCAAGTGGTTTATCATGAATTTCAATTTTCAATTGGCAATTCTAATTTTTGAAATCGATGTGAAGGGCCAAATCGGTTGTATTTCAACGATTAATTAATTAATTATGTAATTGCGTTGTGTGCTCATTTTTTTGAATAGCGTATAGAGGCTATATAGAACATACCAAGCATACCACATAGCATACACAATGTATATGAATAATGTAACGTGATAATAAACTTAATGAAAACCAATTGACTTACGCACATTAAGTAACTGCATATCAAGTAAGTATAATCATAATTACATAGTCAACTTCATTAATTTACATTCCTTATTTTGTTGATTTTGTAGACGTAATCGTAGTCGTAAAATCTGATCCCCAGTTCACACCTGTAGTTGTTGTATACAATTTAAATAGCAACTAGTTGCGTAGTCGATTGTCATTTACTTAATGAGGTTTTGAGAAATGCGCGACACTTGACTGCGAACCGATAAACCAAAGTGTAGTTCAATTCCCCCACCATATCCCGCACCCATCTCTGATTGGAAATTAATGCGAATCCCACAAAATGCTAAGCTGTAGTTCATCGACTGATGCGCATTTCCACAGTTTTGTGCAGGGACTTTAGCAGTCGTCCCAATTAATTAATTATACCACACAAATAAATTGTTATTCAGCTATTGTGTTTTTCCAAGCGACCTTAAGACAATCCAACGAGCTTTTTGATAAGAGATTTACACAGAACTAACTATATAGAAACATATTCAAGATTGGAGTAAATCGTTTACCCAAATACTAGATAAGACTGCCAACTATTTTTTGGTGCGCTAACCCTACTCTAACAAACAGTTGATAATAGTTGTCCTATTTCATCTGAGCCAAATACAGATCCTATAACATAATGTGCTATTTTCAATTATAAAAACATCGTCTATATAACTACAAAATTAAGTCCCCATGGAATTGTTTCCTTTTGTGTACATAAATATATAAATATACTTCCTTATATACAAACGTATCTGTAATTAATAAAGGACCAATTTATTGATATGGAGATAACTCTTCCTGGTCATTGCTGTTGCTGTCACTTTCCTGACTGACAGCCCCGTCGTTGCCGCCAATTGGAACTGCAACTGGAAATTCCAGAGCTCAACGGCGCCAGCTTTAGCCCGGCTCGCGATCATTATTATGCCTGACGGGAGTTTTGTCTTGTCTCAAATTGTTCTAAAATCCCCAGAAAAGCAGCGCATTGGAAAATAAGTAAGCATCGACTTGTTTCTTGTTGTCTTCTCGTTGATAATTATGCAAATGGACGGTGGCAACGGCGGCGGCGGCGGCGGTGGGAATGTGCGAGAGATATGCGCCGACTTGAATATAAATTATATTGATACACGCTTAAAACATAAAAACTATATACAACAATGTTTTTTTTTTTAATTGGAGTGTCAACGAGGAGGCCCGACCGATTCGTAGAGTTGCTATTAAAGAGAATGGAGGATGCGAAACTGGTTCGAAAATGTGCGGCTGAAGAATAGGTGGACCAGTGCAACGATCTCAGTGTGCAGGGGGTGTGCTCTAAAGACCTTTGCAAGCAAAAATCCCAAAGTCGCACATTACAAGCGAGAAAGAGTATATCAGGCCCATGGAAAGGTTTGCAAGATATTGCTAATTGTACTCTGTTATAACTCGGTTATAAGTGCATAAGCTTGATAAATTCTGTTAGATTAACATACTTACATTTTAACTGTAACAGTGCGATTGATGTTATGTTAAGACTTGCGTTGTGTTTTAATATTATAGCGTAATTTGACGTCGGCTTGATACAACTGCAGCTGAGCTGCTTATTTATTCGCATTGTTTGCCGCCTGCACTGGGTGAACGGCAAACTGACGCAGCAGCTTTCGATTTTAAGCTGCGAGTACATTAAATAGTATGCGCATTTCGGCTTGAAAGCTTTCTGTCTGTCGACGCGACAGGTTGTCTCTCTGTTGTGATTTTATGGTTGTGGCTATTGCTTTTTAGCGTCTTTCTGCTTCTGTTGTTGTTGTTGTTGTTTGCTTGTTTTTTTTGCCATAAACTGATACTTAAGCAGTTGCTGCCGCTGTCGCCGTCGTTGCTGATGATCGCGACGCAGCCAGCTCTGCTGTTTTTTTGTTATTTTCTTGTTGTTGTTGTTGTAGCAGTGAAGGTCACACATACCCAACGCTTGGCATTCAGAGACAAAACCGTGCTGCTGCTGCTGCCTCTGCTGCTGCTGCCTCTGCTGCTGCTGCCTCTGCTGCTTCGGTTGCGTTTGCGCGTTGTAGCTAGCGCTCAGCAGGTGCGGCGGACAGAGGCGTGTACAAGGGGCGTGGAGTGTTGGGGCCGGAGGGGGGTCAGCGGCGTTGTTGTTTTGGCAGTTATGAAACTAGTCCAATGACTCGCAATGCTGTTGTTGTTGATGTTGCGCTGCGAGCTTTGACGCCTCTTCTAGTGAGCATGTAAATCTATGTATGTATGCATTTGCACCTACGCGATTTACATATGTACACACACACACACACACACATACATACAGATACACATACATACATCCACATACATGTCTTCATTTTTTAGACCACAGCAATGAGTAAACATCAGTAAACAAATACTTTGTCCGATGTCCAATGCAATGAAGCGACCCCCATTTGCCCAAATGTGTCTATGAGTATGTGTGTGTGTGTGTGTATGTGACTGACTGACAGCGACGGTTCTCAAAATTTCGTCAGCCACTCTTTTGTCGAGGTAAAATGAATAATGTACGCATTAGAAATATCTAATTAATTTTAAGCACTCTGTCTTGCTTCCAAAAACATTTGGATTTTTTATCTTTTATTTATTATATTTTTGCGAAACGCCCAAATGAGGTTAAGCTCAAGTTTTGAACTGCTTGGAAGAGAGCACTAAGCGAAGAACCTATAGAAAAAATAGTCGAGTCATGCGAATATGTGTAAAATTTTAAACTGCGTATTTTAAATTCCAATTCTGGGTCGCAAAAAAATATAATGATCTATATAAGAACTGGTTTGTCGATAGCTTTGTACACGCCACAAAGTTCATATTCCTATTTTTTTTGGTGGGGTTTTCTGATGCTTCATGCTGATTGAGCTGGTCTAGAACCGGCCAGCCCTGAAGATGTGTAAGGCCAGATGGAGAGAGTAAGATACAGAGAGAGATTGATACGCAGAGAAGTTATCGATATCGATATCTGTGCTATTGCGTCAGGTGTCGGCTGAATCAGTTGCCATTGCTGGGAAACCTACCGAAGCCACAACTGACGTCACATGTTTTGGTTTTTTTGTTTTTAACTCTTTTTTTGTTTTTGTTTTTTTTTTTTTTGTTTTAGAGCTAATTAAGTTTGGAGTGCTTAATTCGCGTTTATTTCGCACTGGCTTGAAGGAGTCGACTTCGATATTCCGGCTTTAAGCACTTGAGTGTGTATAATAATAGTAAAAGAGCGAAATACATAAATAAGGAAATCTCTAGCTGTTGTTATTGTTGTGTTTATTATTATTGTTTGTTGATATGGTTGTTGGATAGTGTCGCAGAATGTTCGTGAATGAAATTATCGGCATCTGCGTCGCCGTCATGATTTAGCGATTTGTAAAAGCAAATGCAGGTGTGTGTGTGTGTGTATGTGTGTGTGTGTGTGTGTGTTTGTGTGTAGGTTGGCTTATGTGTGGAATTTCGAGTTTTCGGACTCTGTACTAGTGGCTAGCCATGAACCAACACTTGGCCGCCAACCCATCTGAAACACAGAGACAGGAGACCAGAGAGACTTCGACTGAAACTGAGACTGAAACCAGAGAGACTGAAACTCAGACCGGAGACCAAGCTCGCATTGTTAAGATTGTTAATGTGAAATATCGTGTGTATGTGAGTAGTGTGTTAGCTATTCATCCGCATATACAATACGTACATATCTGTCCATCAACTCCCCCCTTCATCATCTGTGTCGGCAATCATTGCGCACTTGTGCTTAGGCTCTAATTATACAACAAATGTTGTGAGGGGGGCGGTGCCTGGTCCGGGCATACCTCATGACAGCATAATGCGGAATTCTAATATCGCTTATGGCCAGAACCAAATTCAAATCAGCTAACACACCTACAGAATACGCATATCGTACTGTAGTATTGTCCCCAGAATTAGGAATCATCATCATCAATGAATGACAGCTGTGAATTTGGCAAACAGGAAGCTGATTATTGATGCATATATTTAATTTTTTACTAAGGCATTGGATCAGTTGGCTAAACGGTATAACGGAAATGATTAGTTTCTAATCATTTCTAATAATAGTTAAATACATTTTGTTTTTGTTTGATTCATCTGGCACACTTCCGCCATACGACTTGGGTCACGCTTAATGCCTGGGGTCAAATACAACGGCGGAAGTATTTACCATATGGCAAAGCCAAAGACTCGAAAATATTCAATATATAATTTATAATAACAAATTCCGTTATTAATGTGTTTAAAATACTGCGTGTTTTAATTTTGCTACGGGCATATTATTATTTAAAACAAAGCGTTTGAATATATTTCCCTGTCAGTCATAACGGTAAATAAGTTCCTGAAAAATCGGCATGAGAATATCAATTAACATTAAATTAATCGATCATTCTGTTATCGTTAATTTGTTACCCATCGCTGTTAAATAACATTTTCGTTACCAGTTACCATAATGCAGATAACATAATGTTTATTTTCAATTGGCAACAGGGTATTTACTATGTCGCGAATTTACGTAATTTAATTATTTTGGGCGCTGATAAGCGATCTGCCAGCTTCTCACATGCACATTCATAATCGCATTTCGCACGTGATAATATTAAATTCCGAGTAGATACTGGGATTCTCCAACAGCAGCAGCAGTTCATGAATGTGGCACAAGAATTCGCTGGACCTTGGCTAAATGCTGCGGCAAGTGCTTTTAACCTTGAAGCGATCGTGACATGTGTACCGCTACCTCCCCCCGCGCCCAACCCTTTGTTAACACAACCCCTCGCCCATTCCTTTCCCCCCCTCTCGTTGTGCTTCAAATTGAGGGCATAACAATTACACGGTTACATTAAACTCAAAAGCGACCGAAAAAATGCTGAGTCTCACACACACAGACGGAGTACAGCTTTCTTCTGTTGCCAAGAAACAGGTTGAAACTGAAGATGTGCAAAGCGTTTTACACTTAAATAAATCAACCATTTTATTTGGGGTTATCCGATTTCAACGATCCATTTCCGTTTAATGAACTCGGCGACGAACTCGGATGATCTGATGATGAACCCTGAGCAGGACAAATGATTTGGCTGCCTTAAAATCCTGTCAGCTTATCAGTCGCCGGGTTCAATAAACGGCAATGGATCACTGAAATTGTTAACCAATATAAATTATATAGCGCTATGCGCCTATGCAAATCGTAATGTAGTGCGTACCGTTTCCGTCTTTATTTGTTGGCCACGGCGATGGTTAACGGTTGTGCTGTGAGGTTTTGGGCTAAAACGGAGGCTGGCCACTAAGCCATAAAGCGTTTTCAAATTCGATTTCCGCCTAGCTAGAATCGTATTTAAAACAAGTTTAGTTTCAGAGCAAACGCGACAAATTAAAGCATTATCTCAAAAATCAAACAAAAAAAAACAAGAAAATTTATCTACAATGTGCCGAATGTCAAATACCCTTAAAGACCGATGATCAACTGCTCTAAGCTCCATACCCTTACCATAATTCTGAAACAAAATTTATAATATTGATTAAAAAAACACTTTCAGGTTTTGATTTATAATGAATACCTAAAATCTAAAATTTAAAAGGTGTGCTTAAGGTTGAATATAAAAAGGCAAGAAACTGGATTCGGAACAAACATACTCAATTAAAGAATATATTTCTAGTTTAATAGGCTTGCCCTCTCAAGAATATATTTATTTGACTTATTGATCAATTTTCTTTGTGTCTCATAGCTTGTCAAACAGTTGACCCAACTGCTTATAGACTATTAACACGTGTCGTCTGTCTATGCTATATTTTATTCGAACTGTCGCAATTTGCAAATGGTTTTAGTAGCGTCCCCGTCCCCGACCCCGACCCCGACCCCATCGCCATAGCCATCGCCAGTCTAAATAATAATATCATCAACTAATGAAATCAGCATCAGCTTTGATTTGGCCTTTTCCAATACGGAAGCCATTTAATGGAATTCATTTCGAGAGCGAGGCGTTAATTGAATGTTGCCAGAGAACTCTTACGAATATGCCGCCCAGAAGTCTTGGCTAGAACATTGATGAAATATTGTCAACATTCTGTTCGATATCAATTCGCATTAGTGCGACTCAATGATTCAATGGCACCACTCGAAACTACTCAAGTACACTTGCCTGATAATCAGCATAAAAACAAGTTCATGGTTTAATAAATTGTCGTGGTTCTTATGCATATCAAAAGATGTTTATATATTGTCCGACCATGTCCGAAGCGAAAGCAAAGCAAAACTCAAGTTTTAAATTACTTGGCCTAGATAAGCTATAGAATCGCCTGAGCTTGCAATAAGCAGTAATCTCAAGCATAATCGGAAATTCGTACCGCTAACTGATCTAGATAAGGCTCATGGCAATAGGAGACCTGAGGGCGTGTCCATTGTTTATATCTTTAAATAGTTACTGTTTTGGTCAAAGTCTTATCATCTGTTGTTGGGGCTTTCTATTTTTTACTTTGACTGTGGCATGATTCAGTTCCTTGATTAGAAGTCTCATTAATTTTGAAGTCTTATCGGAATATCGATTTCGGCATAAATCATTATTCTTATGGACATTATGGACTGAGCGAGCTGACAGCGAAAATTATTTGTTTTCCGTTTCGGCAATTAACAAAATAATATACAATCATAAAAATCGATCTTTTTACTATTCCTAACAGTGTTATCTGTATAAATATATTAGTTTTTCATGGTCAAAATTACTATAAAAGTGTATTTTTAATTTTGGTCTTGGTAAGGTCTTTAAATGAATATAAAAATACAAGAAAATACAATACTTCGTGTTAATATTCTACCTAAAAATTCACACATTCCAATTCGAACAAAACTTTCCACGGTCATGTTATTATATTAAATAATTATTATCAACGAATTTATCAAGCGATATTTTTCTACTAATCATACACTTAAGATTACAAGTATTATTTAACTGCAGACGGCTTGCCAACAATTATCTGTTATCTGTGAATGTGAATATGCAATTACTCAATTTTTATAATATATGCAGTTTGAGCCGCTAGAAAAGCGAGTCAGTTGAGTCAAACTATAGGGTCTAAATAAGGGTTAAATTGTAAGAATAATTATATGTTATTTTTCAGATAAACAATGCAGCTTTACATATAGCATTAACGCTCGAAATATAGAAATTTTTCATTAATTTCACTTGCTAAGTAATAAAAAAAACTAAAATTTCCCCATTCTTAGGGATACTAAAACATTGACGTACATCATAATAAAAGTTATAAAGCGGCATTTAATAAACAATTACTTGTCGCCATAGTCAATGTGAACTGTATTTGGTAATCTATACGTGGCTTGACGATGGTCATTGCCATCGCCAACTCAGCTGGTCTAATTGGAATTTGCACCTAACATGCGATCGAAGCAACAAATTTACCTTTAGCTTCATCGGCAGTTTTATCGTTGAATTAATATTTAAAAGAAAAGAGAAAATTTGAGTGTATTTTTTGTTTTTATTTGTATTTTGTTTTATTTTTTGTTTTTCTCTAAATAAAATGTATTTTATTTATTAGTTTATGGATTTATCATATTACATAATTCTCATTTTACTCATTAACAGCATAAAGACCCAGCATGCAAATTGTTCATATTTTGTGTATATTTACATAAAGCATTAAATATTGCTTTTATTTTTACTGTTCGACTTGCAGTTGCCGAGAGAACAAACAATTACAATAACATTAACGGAATTAATTGCTGAGTGTTTGTTTCTTGTTTGTTGTTGTTGTTGCTTGTTTCGAAATTATATTTCTTGTAGTTGAACAATTTTTAACATTTTAAATTTTACATTTCGAATAGTGTGTGTTATCAATTATTTGCTTTTTACACATAACTAAAAAGCATTCATTATCAATATTTGATGTATAAGAAACTATGGCTAAAATATAGTGTAACATATGAATAAATCAAATGACAGACATAGGCAGATTATATAATGAAAGATATAATAGGATAACATTTTTGACTTGTTTTTGCAGTATCAATCTCGACCCGCGAAGAGGCCGGGGGTCGAGGGGTCAACCGCTTGAGTATACAATACATACATCTTTCTCGTTCTTCATTCTATATGTGTGGGTGGGGCCAGGCCACACCCAATTCTTAATATGTGTGTGTGGGGGTGTGTGTGTGTGTGTGTGCGGGTGCGTCTACGTATGATGCGGTATGTGAGTGTTTGTGTGTGTGTGTATGGGGGCAGCGTGTGTACTAAAGGAATGCTCTTGTTCAAATCATATGAAACTAGCTGCCTCCAAGCCAACAAAAAAAAAAAAAAAAAACACACAAATACACACACATCCACACACACACTCAGTCACACACTCAAACAATTTGTTTTGTGTGTTTTGTTGTTGTACCCGTCAACCCAAAATACAAATACAAATATAATAATTTTGAAAAGTGGCTTAATTGCAAAACATTTATGTATATATATATATATATATATGTGTGTGTGTATATATATAAATATACATATATATAGATGTGTATGTATGTATATATCATTATCATCATTATCAGTTACGACAACCTATATACAATCATCATATATAATTATTATTATTATTACATGTCATACTTAGCACCCCCCCAGTTGAATATTAAACACATCATCACTTAACCGAAAATACCTCACATAAAAACCAAAAAAACAAAAAAAATACCGTTGCACTATTTCCTTTTTTGTTTTCCTCCTCCATAATTGTGTTATATTTTTTATTTTGGTTTTTATGTTATGATGTTTTTAGAGCCCGCCCACGAAAGTAATAAAGAAGAAGAAACACATTTCGAGTTGAATCCATCCATCCCATTTTTTGTTTCCCTTTTGATTTTTTTGTTGTATTTTTCGTACATGTTTTGGTTTAGACGGATCCAATATCACTTTGGTATCTGGCGGTCAAGTAGTTGGCCGCCTCTGTCATTTGTTCCAGGCACTGGTACAGTCCATTCAAATGTCTTTTGCAGCGCTTGGCCAACTCGGTTGCCTTATCGCTGGACTTTTGGCATGCATCGACAATATCGCTGCCATCGGTGCTCTGCGCATTATCGCTCTTGTTGCCATCCGATTCCAGACCCGAATCGATTTCATTCGACATATCCGAATCTGAATCGCTCATGTTGCTCACCGATGTCGTCGACATCATCGATGCCGTCGATGTCCTCCTCACATGTCCCTTGCCACCGTTGCTGGTGGTTGTGTTGCTGCTGCTGCGACTGCTGCTGTTGCTTGTATTGGACTCAGTCTTGGTCTCCACTTGGCTGAGCTGCTGCTGCTGCTGTTGTTGCTGTTGTTGTGACTGTTCCTCCGTCGCCTCCAGATCATCATCCTGATTGGCTGTCCACAGCAAGTCCTTCTTGAGCGAATTGAGCATGGTGTACAGATTGAACAGCTCGGAGGCATTGAGGAAATCGTGCACATTCTTTGATCGTTCACTTCTATGCACGCCAGAGCATTTTGTCAGCTGATTGGCGGTTGTGTCCTTGCCAGACGCTGGTATTATATCAGTGCTATCACCAATCTGTAATGGCAAAAATGCAAAACAATTGGGCAAAAAAACATTAGCACTGCTTTTGTTGTTAGACTAAGTATATAGGGTATTTAATATTCCCTCATCGCTTTTCTTTCGTTTTATTTTTATTTATTTATTCTGTAAACTGTTACCCACCTGCCGATCCATGAGCCTGCATGGCACCAGTATGGTATCGTCCATGGTGTTGACAGTTTTCACAAACTTCTCCATCACATTGACAATGCTGTCTTTGGAGAACTGCTGCTCATCGTGACGCGCAATGCGACGCAGGCAGTTCCTGCAACAACAACAACAAAAAAAGAGGTTGATTAAAAAAAAGTGCCGGAAACAAGTAAAACGACTGCTGCTATAAGTTAGCAGCCGTTAACCATTTGGGATAGACTAGACCAGAAAAAAATAAATACAAACAAAACCAGTCACTGTGCGGCGTGGCTTAGACGCTTAGACAATAGATTGGCCAATTGGGTAATTCAAGAAATACCCAAATGATCAAATGATCAAGCAGGCAAGTCCAAAACGTGTCGTCGTTAAGTCTGCCACTTGTTCTTTTAACATTTCCGACATCATCAGCTTCTCCAAACACACATAATAAAGAAATAGGAATTGGTTTCGAACTATGCAAATAAGACACCTTCTTCCAAAACGTCGCCAAATACAAATTTAATTTGTATGAATATACATATATAAATAGAAGACCAAACAACAACAAAAATAAAACCTGTCCGCTTCGATCCGCTGATTTCTATTTCTGAAACACACACCTATTGTATTTGTATGGATTTCACCCCTCAACAAAACGCCTGATTGTCTACCTGTATTCTTTCCATCTCTGTCGTTTCGGGTCAAGCCTTCCTAAGCAGCCACGTGGCTGAGAAAGCTAAACAAAAAAAAGCTGGCTTGCAAGTACACTTTAGCGTTTGGGCACTCAAACTCATTAACTTATCATAGTCGCCGTCAAGTCTCTGCTTTCCAAAGATCTTGCTCAAAGTTCACAAGTACTTATCATGCAATTGCGTAGCGTCGTCTGGGTGTGATAAGTGTAGCCAGACGCCGCTTTACAGCGATTACGTCTACAAGCGTCTATCGTCTGTCGTCTGACTTGAGTTTACAGCGCGATTACGTAGCGCGTCTGGCGGCTGATGGGCGCGTGATCGTTTGGGGCCGCCCTTGTCTATGGCGTTGATAAATTTAGTTGAACTAGCTGCGCAGCACTCGGAACACTCAAATCTAGTAAAATGTTCTTCGGCAACCCAAATCTTCGACCCAACAACCACCACCCGCTGTCTAGACTATTGATAGCTACAAAGTTGTAACGACGGCGACAACTTGTGTTACAAACACGCGAGCGCCGCGTGCAACCAGCCTGCTGTCCAATCGAATTGCTTCGAGTGCTGCCTGATATATCATCGGTGCACACACAATACACAACACATATAGAAGCAAACATAGACGTGTTCACGTCGCGTGTGTCAAGGTTTTTTTCCACTGGCCATGCCACAGTTGAAGTCTCTATGCATACCGCATACCGCATACCGAGAAACTTTCCCACCGCCCCAATGACTAATTGAGTTAATTGAATAAGGCATTTGAATAAGCGTCATAAGAAAATACTATTAGCAAAGATCGCAAAGTTCCACAGAAATACCCTGTAAAAATGCTCATTTATTAAACTCATATATTAAAGAACAAACATTATGTTGATATAATTTGTATAGTCTCTCGCAGACAAATAAAATAGACTCGCAGTAAAACATTTTTTGTTTGCAGAGCTTTTTTGCACTTTGTATATAACTTCTATTAGATATTTTTTTCTCAGCAACAAAATTATAGATAAATGAGTATACAATTGAATATTTCAAATTTAACGATTTCAACAAACTAATTGCAATTTCAGATCAATTCCAATATTAGATATAAAAATACTTAAATGAAATATCTAAAAAGCAGCCCACGCTCAATATGCAAATATGTGTTAATACAGGGTATTAAATGAGTTTGTACCCGAAACACTAAATCGCGCAATTATCTTATCAATAGAAATATGTTGCCTTGTCCAGGCTTGAGTACCCAAGTCTGAATGAATCCACTTTATTTATAATGTATTCGAATGAAAAGTCCGTTTTATTTTTACTATTTTTGCCAATTGCCGCTGCGCATTTTTCACGCAAAACAGGCGATTGAGTCAAGTGAAGTGATGTGTTTTTTTTTAGTTGGCCATACGCCAGCAAGTAAACGGGAGTGGTGGGATAGGGGGAGAGTGGGGAGGTAATCAGCGTTATTGACCTTTTATGTAGGTGCCCCCCAATAGGAAGTGAGTACAGTGCAGCTGAGCGCTATCCAATTGTGCCGGCAACAGAGGCAGAGGCAGTGGCAGAGACAGAGTCATCAGCAGTGCTTTGAAAACACGCCATCTGAACGACCAATTGCAGAGCAGCACGGCAAAGGCGACGTTATTATCTCAGCGAGAATATCTCTTCTCTGTGTGTGTTGTGTTGTTGTTGTGTGTGAGGTGTATCCATTCATTCTGGTTAAATTGTTTCGATTCTCTCTCTCTCTCTCCCTCTCTCACTCTCTCTCTTTCGCTATTTTTCCTAATGTCGCGTGTCGCTTTAGGGCGCCAAAAGCCAAAGCTTAGTCTCAGGCATGCACACACACCTGGTCACACCTGCCCAGCTCTATCTGGCTGTGTGTGAAGTGGGCCAAGACAGGCACGCGACACACGCGTCCGTTCGAAAGACATGCGCAGCAGCAGCGCCGCATACAACACAGAAAACAGCCGATGTTTTCTTACGTGTGGCAGGCAAGAGAGCGCCGCTAAGCTTACGCTCTTTAGCTGCTCTCTTTGCAAGAAGGAGAGAGAGAGAGAGTGCGATGCGAGCTGTAAAACTGTACGATTGTTAGATGAAGAGACGACAACAGTCATGATTTATGTTTTGTTGTTGTTATTGCTGCTGCTGTTTTGCCAGCAATATTTGCAAATGTTGGGCAACACTTATTTTGAATTGACCAACACAACATATTTATTTTGCAGTGTGGCTGCCCTCTGCTTGGGGCTCCGTCTGACCTCCAACACAACAGGTTAATCGATAAGCGCACAAATCGATATTAGTTTAGCGACAAATTCACATTCTAATGAAACATTATCAAGGCAAAAGCGCCCAATAAGAAATACAAATGTGCACAGCAATCGTCATCAATTAATAATGTATGAATCTATGAATGTACTTATGGTTATATTTATATGCCTACGTCAATCAGTCAAGTTTAAGGGGGCTTGTGTGAATCACGGTGTTTTTACTATGATTTTTTTTCATTTTTTTTGACATTTTTCGCATAGCGATAGAGATAATGGCAATGAAAGGGGATGAGTAATAATTGTTCGTATTATCGATAAGTGACAGGCAAACGCCAAATGCACTGATTACAGCCAGTGCGATAAATATGAGGAAAGTGGCCAGAGGTATGCGATTTTATTAGTTTAAGCAAACACACACAAACACTCACACAGAGCTGTACAAATCGAGCTCAGGTTGTATGCTCACACATATATATACATTTGTATATATTATGTACAGCTATAGCACGATTGTGTTATATTAGGCAGCGTTGCCTTTGCTTTGCTTTTGCTTTTTTTCTTTCGTGTTTGAATGGCGCTGTCCGCACATCATACGATAAAATTTTTGTATCTTGCTGCTGACTTTTTTTTCTTCAAAACGAAAGAGAAAATGCCGTGTGGCCAGCCAAGGGGTGCGGCGTTGCTTGTGAGCGAAAGAGAGCAAGGGAGAGCAAGTAATGTGAGCGAAATTTTGTGTCCCACACACCTCCCTCCTTCTTGCTTCCCCCTCTCACCCACAACCTTCTTTAATTTACCAACTGCTTTAAATGAAATTTATACACATATTTAACATTTAACTAGAAACTTTGAGCTTGCCCAGCCCAAAACTGGACATGTACAAATACATATGCATATATATATATAATTATGTATATGTATGATTATATTCCCCACACATCATTCGCACAGATCTTTGACACTTACCGACTGGTCTCCAGCTTGGTGAGGTCTGTGTATCCACTCATTCTGCTGACTTTATTTTAATATAGCTTCTTGTAGTGTCTGCTTTACCAAAACTGTTTACATACGTTTTTTTTTTGTTAGATGCTGATACAACAATTTTTCTTTATTGCTAGCTTATATACACGCATACACGCGCACTTTCACTGTCTCTCTCTTTTGGGTGTTTGTATGTATGAGTATGTGTGCGGGCCTTCAGCTGATGTTTCTTGTATTTGCGTTTATTGTTGTTGTTGTATTCTATGCGTGACGACAAACGGTGACCGACTAGCAAGCAAATGTTTGTTGCTATTACGAAATCTGCAGACTTTTTTTTTATTTAATTACATTTATAATTTTAGTTAGTTGGTGGCAAAAGAGTTGCTGCCGGACACGTTTGCCTTTTGTTGAACTCGAAAACGTTTTGCGTTGATTTCGCAGAGACTCTGCCGTTTTATGGTCACGGTGACGGTGACTACTGACGGGCTCCTCGGATCTACTGTAATTATTTTATTTATATATCAAAATTCTAATCAGCTTTTTTTCTATTTTTTTGCTTCGCACACCGCTGCTGCAACACGACGAACGACCGCTACGAACGAGTTTTGATTTGAAAATGAGATGAGCGGCGAATGTGGTGTGACCTCAACCATTTTGCGCGAAAATGACAAATGTAAACGATATCACATCGAGTAGGTTGTGTGCGTGCACAAATCGATAAGAAACATCGATAGCTACGTAGAAACTTTTTATTTATCGTTACGAAACAACTTTATATTGTAAAGCTAATCGCGCAATAATTTAAAACATGGAATACTGGTTATTGTATTGGCTTAATTAGGTTTAAAACCATTTGCATAATTTTCACAATAGGCTGAAATGCGGATTTCCCGTTGGGGAGAAATAAGAAGCAATTGAAACGTTTCCACGTTTGTACAAAATCATTTCGGCCAAACTAAAATGACAATTTTTATTATTTCAGTTGAAAAACAATTACAATTATTATTGCCTTGTCTAGCAAGTAAAAGTTCAGTTAATGGGCCGCCGTCGCCGCCGCGTTGGCTGCGATCTCATCCTCCCTGGCATGCAGTGCGATGAGCTCCTGTTTCTTGGTGGCGATGCGCTCCTCGCGACGCTTCCTCGCCTCACGCACCTTCTGGCGCCTGGCCTCGGCCTGATCGGCGAGCATCTTGCTGCGCTGCTTCTCGGCCTTCTTCTTGTGGATGTACTCCATGAGGACGCGCTTGTTCTTGAACACATTACCCTTGCACTTCATGTACAGATCATGATACAAATGCCTATCGATCTTCTTGCTATCCCTGTACTTCTTCAGCAGGCGACGCAGGACACGCTGCCGTTGCATCCACACCAGTTTGGTGGGCATGCGGGCATTGGCTGTACCCTTGCGCTTGCCAAAGCCACAGTGGCGACCCTTGCGACGGGCCTCGGTATTCTTGCGCACACGATAGCGGGAATGCACCACAACCGGCTTCTTGATGATCAAACCATCCTTGATCAGTTTGCGTATGTTTTGACCTGCAAAATTGAAAATCCAAATTTTTACTCAACTTTTAGAAGAGCTTTTTTTTTTTGTTACTTACGCGAGTTTGTGTTGGCGATTTCGTTGATTTCATTGGGATCCAACCAAACTTTTTTCTTGCCGCAACGCAAGACGGAGGCTGCAAGCCTCTTTTGGAGCTTTAAAGAACTGCAAAATGGAGAAAGAGGGAGAATAGACACCGTTAGCTCTAATCAAAAACCAGCATGGAATACAAATGCATGTATTTGTATATGTGCATGTGTGTGTGTGCGTGCATGTATATTTGTGCACGCGTTCAGGTTATTTCACAATTAACGCAATCAAATTGAATTGCATTTATTTGGTGCATTATTATGTATAATACACGAACACAATTGAGCACTTTTCACATATTTTAACTTAACAAATTCAACCAAAACACGCAGATTTATGAAATTGAAGAATACCTCATGCTGTCGACCCTTGCTAGTCGTGGCTGGGAAAGAAAGAAAAATTTGACAGACGGAAGTGACTGCCATTTTATTCGTGCTGCTAACGCGACACAATGCTCGCTGCTACGTAAAGTGTGACCGTTCACATCGTCAAAATGTTCACAATAGCCAGATAAAAGTGTGTTTACAGCGCTTGCATAACATCGAAATGTTAAATCGTAATAAAGCTGTTCGTTCAGCCCTGGCAGAACAGCTGATTGTACAGAAAAACCCAATCATAAATAAAAGTTTATTTTTTGTGTCCAAAACTTCGATTTATTAAGATGCAACACACTTTGAGGCGCTGCCTCACAATGGCAACCCCGCGAACAAGAGCGTTACGCTGCTTTTCCACGCTGCCGCATGCACCCGAACAGAACAAGAATCAGGCTAGCCGGAATCAATTGCCGCGTCTGATGGATTTCCCAGAGATAATTTGGCCATCGGCATTGAATACGATTAAAAATTGGATAACGGTACAATTTATAATACGACCCTATTTCGATAGCGAATTTCAAATTAAGGATTTCATATTTGGCGCCAAGCAGGCGCTGCAGGTGAGCAGAAAACAGATCAGCGACGAAACGAATAAATATTATATATTTAGGTGGTGTCCAGCAAATTGGTGGGCGGTGATCTGAATCAACTGCAGGATCTGGTCACACCGGATGCTATTGCCGAGCTAAAGCCCGTTATTCAGAAGCTGTCGATGACACAGCGCAAGCAGCTGGAGATCAACGAGAGCGACATCTATTTGTCGTTTCCCTACCAGATCGGCATCATGTTCGACGATGCCAACGATAAGCTGCAAAAGCGCTGGGTCGAAATCACAATGGTCTTCCATGTTATGCGCGGTCTGACGGAGATGCGCGCGCGCGGCGAGGAGATACCCTGGAATATGGGGTGAGTGCAGCTAGCTGATAACCGATTGGAAAACTTGCATTCCATTCCAGTTTTTGCTTAACTGCGAATTTATTGGAAATTATGGAAGTTTCTTTATATCGATGCATTAAGTAAGAGCTTTGCATAAATATATATAATATAATATTTTTGATATCTTTGGGAATCCAATGGAAATTCCGAGTTTCTTTTATCTTGCACACATAAATTCTATATACACTTGCAATCAAAAATTTGTAGTAGTAGTAAAAAACATAGGCTTCTTCCATAAGCCCTTCGATTCTACTCTTCGATATATCTTCTAATACTCCTTTATTGTATTTAAGCTATTGATGTGTCAACTGAAGTCAGTCGACACAAATAAGCACAATTTTAAATATAAATGAAAAAAATGCAAATTTAAATTAAATAAGTAGCAAATATTTAATGAAATAGATATTAAATATTTATAAATGATTGCTACAGCGATTACTATATTTTCTCTTTTAGCAAGCAACTAAAGCATCTCTTTTGATTTTTATTTTAGAACTATGCCCGAGTATCAGGATAAGGTGTTCATATGCAACTATCGGTTCAAGAAGGAATTCACCGCTGGACAGCAATCGGACTGGACGATCAATGTGGCCAATCACTTTAGGGCCATCGATCTCATCAACGAATCGAAATAACATATAGTTTGTTACGGCGGCCGTTGCATGCCACACTCTACTGTAAGCCATATGAAACAAGAATTGCTTTTCATTTTGGCAACTTTTTTGCAATAAAATTTGCGCTGCAAGTGTATAGGTAAAAAACAAAAAAATTCAATTATTTGTAATATTTATTTTATTATTTTTTAATTTAAATAACGCGTGTGATTAGTTGCATATCCAACTAGTAGCCAATAGTGCTGATGATGATATTGTTATTGTTATTGTTGTTGTTTTTGTTGGCTTAAGTTAAAGATGCTTCTCGTATTTGGCCCGGTAGATGCCCTTCGAGTCGTACTTGTCGAGGAGCAGCTTCCACTCGCCGGGCTTGTTGGTGCGCAGATAGTTGATCACCTTGTTGGAGTTGCGACGCTGCACCTCGGTGCACTTGGAGCACTCCGATTCGAGGGCATCGGGCAGCAGTCGCTTCAGTTCACGACCCTCCGGCGTACACGGACCCTTCTCCATCAGGCACTTAATATAGTTGTTCAATATGCGATTGTTGCCCAGCACATCGTCCACATTGACGCTGTCGAATTTGTTCGTGTATTTCTGATCGGGCCTTGCCGCCGCCAAGCCGCACACAATACACAGCAATATGGCCAATGAAGCTTTCATCTTGTTCAGAGCTGTACGCAAACAAAGACCACAACAAAAAAATAAAATAAAAAAAAGGCCAACAAATAAAATAAATACTTGAAAAATATCTTCAATTCTCAGAAAAAATTTCAAGTGACAATTCAAAGTTCACTCTCCGAAATCTGCCCCATCAACAACAACAACTACAATAAAAAACAAATTGATTATTCAATTTTGGCGTCTGCAAGTCTAAAATTTCTACGGTTTTCTCGACAACTTGGCAACTTGGCTTTTGAGTGACATTGGCCATTGGATTCTCGCCTGATTTCTGGGCTAAGCCCCTTTCATGCATTATTAATGCCCCTCGGCATATATGGCATATGCATACTAATTAATTGTTTAAGTGTTTTTTTTTTTTCCTTTTATTTAGTAACAGAGATTTCACAATTTGTCTTGACCACGTCACTTAGCCGAGTTTTCGACTAATGTTCAAAATTAGTTGCCAGTGCAAACGGAGCATTTTATTTATATAATTAAAAAAGAAAAAACAAGTCGCTGTTACTTGATTACCGTTGTGTGGCGCACGCAAGCGTTGCCAGCCAATCCGTTTACGCAATAGCACTCAAATATCGATATTGATTTAGCGCTGCAAGCAGAGCGCAAGCAGAGCGCAAGCGCAGCTTGAGTTTTAATATTATTATTGTTGTTGCTGTTGTTGTTGTTGTTGTCTTGCTTCTCTTTGGTCTGTGTTATGTTGTGTGTCAGCTCACCTGTGGTTGTTCTTGTTGTTGTCGCTTGAGTGTTTTTTGCTGTGTGCGCTGCGTACGACAGCACAGTTTTGATTGCCAAGCAGTTAGCCTGTTTAGCCGACTTTTATACTAAGGAGCTTTGCCGAGCAAAGCTTTCGCATTCGCTTGGCCACAAGTGGCGGCTGACCACTTGTCGGCCGAGTCAAAGGTCTACCAAAAGGTGCACTCAAAACTACAAAAAAAAAAAAATGTAAAAAATATGTTTAACCGGATTTTTTTATTTTTCACCCGAATTTTGGTTCGTACTTGGGATGGTCGCTTAAGCTTTTATTTTTTTGTTTTGCTCTTTTTTTTCTGGATCGCGTCGTTGGCCGTCGCTTTAAAATGTAAATGTGACTTAATCGCCCCCAAATCCCCCCTTTTGGCACTCTCTTCTGACACAGCTGTTTGTTTAGGTTGTTAGTGGTTTTGCACCTTCGTCGCGACCTCCGCTCGCCATAGCCAAAATTCGTAGGAAAAACGTTGCCGGACTTGCGTGAAAATTAAAAACTGTTGCTGTTGTTGTTGCTGTTGTTGTTGCTGTTGTAAAGAGACCAATGACAGCTGTAATGTGTTTTTTTTTGTGAGCATGTTTATTGTGTCGTAATGATTTTTATTCATTTCCTTTTTTAATTCATATCGAGTGTTGGCTGGCGTTGCTGTGCTTTGGGCAGTACACTTGGACGCTTCCCACCCATATATGCACTCAAAAACTCTAGGCCCAACCCAATTTCAAAAGCTCCGTTTGAACTGGTCTCAAAATCGCGTCGCTTCGACTTTGTTTACGCAGACTTCAGTTGGGATTTACCCCATTGGCGAATTATTCATGCTCAGTTTGTAAGTAATATAACTAATTTAATATACTAGATTTTTCCATTGTCGTAAGGGATTTAAAGTCGGTGCTTTTTAAGTGCTGCCTTTTGGTTGGGTACCATAAAATTTACATTTTCATAATCGTATTTTGCGTTTACTTGGTTTGGGCTTTAAGTTTCTGAATTATTTACTTGGCTGCTCAGTTCAATGGGTCAGTTCTACTGAAACACACACACACAGGAATTTCCCCCTTTGGGGTCTAATCAAACATAATAAATTACTCGACTCACAGGTGATATAACTTTTATGCTAATTTGAGTATAATTATGCAAAACTCTGTTGAATTAATCGCATCATCAAAACTAACAATCTGCGTTTTTTTTCTATCTTGTTTTGACGTTTGTTACAACATTTAAGCTTGTTAAACTTAAGACACATTTCTTGCTGTTGTTTTTGTTGTTCGTGTTTTGTTCAGGAATACAATATACACAAAACAATATCTGTTATTACCATCAATTTTTGCTAAACTGTTGAAATTCATTAGATTATAAATTTTATTATTATTTCTTTTTTTTTGAGTAAAAAATTATGATTAATTTATTTTGAAAATAATTCTCATGTTCTAGTTTCTGGTTGTCCCTTGATATATATATTTACACATACATATTTAATGTCGGTATGGATAGATTAAATTTTTATCCAATTGATTTCTTGTTTTATGAGTGAGTACAAAACAATTATTTATTTACTATAGGAAATAATTGTCACATTCTACACATTTCTGGTTTTCCCTTTCATCGGTTGCAAATTTTATTAATTACTTAGTATTGGCGTTGCCAAATTGCCACCTGGGTGTTATTGTTACAATGCTACAGTCATCAGCATTTGGCTTATGCAAATGGAAAGCACGAGAGACGTGAACAGACGGACCAACAGATCAGGTAACAGAGACGGACACAAAGAGGCCATGGAGAAGACGGTGCTGGTGGGGCGCGAAAAGGGCTGCTTGCCTTGAAGAGGCAACAACATGTGCAAAAGTTCAGGTTCAGGAAGGCAAGTGGCGATATACGCGAAACAGAAAATAAACAAAACCGACAAAAAGCTGACACGCCACAATAAAACACCAAAAAACACACAAAAGAGAAACAGATTCAATAAACTCAAATAAATCTGTGGACAGAGATCTTAAGTGTATATATACAGGTATATATATATGCCTATGTATTAGCTTGGCAATGAAAACCTGTGCACGTAACTACACTTAAGATCTCTGTCCCCAGATTTAATTTAGTTTATTGAATCTGCTTAATTTTTGTGTATATATATATATATATATATATATATATGTATACCTATATATATACATATATATATTTATAATTACTATCTGTACTTTGTGGCAAATGTTAGTGAAATGGCGCAACCTCAAACCAAGTCGCCGGTCTTGAACCCCTGAGCTTGGCTTTGAGACAGTGGATGGGGATGGGGATTGGGATGGGGAAATACAGCGGTCTGCCTTTCTCCCCCTCCAACTTGTCTCCATCCCTTGTGGCGCTTGACAGTTGACAGTTGACAGTGCGACAGATAAGGTGAAATGAGGGGCAAATGCGATGTGCAACCAAGCGGTAATTACGTATATTTTGATTATTATTATTAATATTCACTAACAGAGATAAGCAGAGCCCAACGAATTGATGTGTATGTGTATGTGTGTGTGTGCTTGTGTGTGTTTAAATCTAAATACTATAACTATATTAAAAAAGAATTTTATGAGATATAAGAAAGTCTATTTGACAGCCTGCTCAGTGGTGCACTTGAAATCATGCTGTGGCTTCGAATTCAGTACCGTCTCCAGCTGTACATTGGCAGTGCCACAAATCTTTCGATACAGCTGAGCATAGCTGCAGAAGCCGCAGAGACGCCGTACCACGCTCAGCAGGCACCACGTGGCAGCGATCAGCTGGAGTGCCATCAGGATTGGCTGCAACGTGGGCACCACTTTCACAATGAAGCGTATCATGCCGCTCACAAAGCCAGGCAACTGATCCATGTCCTATGGATGAAGTAAGCGATGCGTTCAATTTGAATACTCGACGTTTTTTTCAGTGTATAGCAGTGGTGGAGTTACTTACAAATTCATACCAAAAGCCGGGCACAAACATATGGCTCAGTTTGCGCAGTTTCGGACTGAAGGACAGGTCGGGCAAGGCTGTACAGGTTTGAAAGCGATATTTCTCCTTGATGGGTATGCCTGTTGTTGGCTCCAGCAGTATGAAGGGCTCATGCTCCTCCGCATTGGGACTGAACCCCTCGAAGTGCTGGCTCCAATTGTAGCTGGTCCCATAGAAATGTGGCATCGAAAACGCCGATGAAGCCTTATCTAAATTGCAAAACAAAAATAAAAAAAGAAGAAGAAGTAAAATCATGATTCGTAGAACAAATACGAAGTTTGATTGTGGCTTGACTCACTTATCACACAATGGGACACATCGAACATGCCGTCATGCAATGGGACATTATAGCTCCTGGCCAAGCAGGCGGGCGGCGTCTGATTGACCTTGAGCAATGAGAAGCGATAGGTTTGGAAGCCCTCATACTCCTCATCCCGTTGATAGTTTAAGGGGAGGACGCGACAGGATTCGACGGCCGCTATACTCAACGGAGTGTCCCTCTTCACAAGGGGTGAATACAAAGAGTTATCGAAAGATCCCGCCACTCTAGTGGGACAACTCTCGTCCTCACTGTACTCCTCGAGCTCCTCAACGTGCTGCTTATCATTGAGGGTTTGGATGCGGAAGAAGTTGTCGATGCCATGCTCCGTTCCTATATTCACCTTATAAACCTCCTTCCTCTTCTTGAGCGCCTGTTAAAATGAATTTTGTGTTTTGTTTAGGCAACCCAACCAAGCGAATCAGTTCGATTTACTCACATTGAAGAGCAGGCCACAGTTGGTGTCTAGCGGCATCACACTGCTGAGCAACTTGAGCGAGGGACGCGTATATTCCCAAAGAAAATAGTTAACGCTATTTGACAAAAACACCGGCTCCCCAATGGTTAGGGCATTGAAAACCCTCAAGGCAAAGGGATAATTGTGGACAACCTGTATGGCGGAGCCCAATAGAACGCTATTGAACTGGATTATCGTCTTATTGAGAATATCGGGCGAGACGCTCTCCTCGGGCAGAAACTTCATTTGCCGATAGCGTTCCTTGCTATATGTTACACTACTCCCTGTCCTATTGAGGATGTCGTTGTAGCCCAACATGCCGTAGGTAATGGGTCCGACCTCTTGCAGCTTGATCTTCGAATCGCGTCCATCGAGGAACGCCTCCGCATTGGTCACATTGAATAGATAGGATTTCAGCTTGCCAAACGGCGAGTTCACCCAGCTGTCCATCGTGGGCATCTGTTGGCGAAAGCGGGTGTGCTCCTGGGTCATGGCATGCTGGTAGCTGATGCGGCACGAGATCACAAACAAAACGATGTTCAAGACGCAGAACAGCGAAAGTATCGCGATTTTAAACCAGCAACAACAATTTGCCATGATGCACTGCGTCCGGGAACTCTACAGACTCTACAGACACTACAGTTTCCACAGAGAGCTGGATGATTGTGCGTCCGCGTTGGTGAAATCACGCGATTCGTTTGATTTCAATAGCTAATCGCTTTCGAATATTCGTGTTATTTTAAATCAAAAAAATTATATGTTTTTTATTTTTATTTTCAGATTAACTTATCGCAGGGTCCCTTCCTCTTCTTAGGCCTCTGCTTGAAAACTATACAGCAGCTCAAAATAATGAATTCAATAATTAGCAATGCCAGCAGATACCCTGCATAAAGTAGCTTTAATTAGGCACCATTATAGCTTAATAATTATTTTTAATTTTTATTTTATTTCTTATTTAAACTCAAATTGAAATGTTTCTTTCTATTTTGGCTATAATTTAAAAATATAGTATAGATAAACATACAACTTATGATAGCGCTAGTTCTCATAAGTATCTTAACAAATTGTCCGTTTTAGTACAAAACTAATTACTTTGTCGAGCCTAGCTCTCAAATTGTCTAAGACAGACGCAGAGACTGCTGTGCAGATGAATAGATTCTGGCCTTATTCTGGAAAGTCTTAGCCTTGAATTTATACTGTAGCAGTTTGGCTAATAGTAATATACCCGATTGGGACACTCTCGCTACTGCATTGTATATTTATTATTTATTTATTTTTTGTGTTTAATGTCGAGTAATATACACAGGCTATCAGCAAACTGAGGCCAAACGACGCCACCAGCAGGTTCAATATTAGCGATAGCGATAACGACTTAACTCCTGACCCGAGCATAGAATTTACGCAAATCGTACTTCAAATGAATGTACACAGATTAATTTAATGGGTCTGCTCTGAATCCCCCCCATGTGGCATCTGCATCCAGTCCGTGCACCTGGCACATGGCAAGCACCAAGCAACAGAATTGCATTTTTTATGGCTAAGCCGAATTTACTATAGAAACGTGAATGCTTTGATGATTAAGAAATTTAGCTGGTTGTCGGGCGTGGATCGTGGATGTGGCGTTATCAGTCACAGACAGTAGTTGTTTATCAGCACGGGACAAGTGAATTGCACTTGCCCCATGCTATATGCTCTGTCTGGCCCATAATTCAGCACAGTGAACTTTACTTAAGATGATGCCTCGAGAATAGGTGTCTAAATTGGCACAGATCCGGTCTGGCATCTGAAAGTGATTCTACGCAGAAATACGTAGGCAAAATCTTGCTCTTGCATATTAACCTAGCATTAAATTGAAATTATCAATTAATAAAAAAAAAGTCTATGCATTCTGAACTAGCCGATACTCTGTACGATCTTTAAGAAAACTGCGTGAAACTTAACGAAAAAATAAAAGCAGGCATTTTCAAAAGTTATGTCTGCAAATGGAATATTCGTTTAGCGTAAAAGTCACAATCTTAAAATAATGTTGCTTGAGTTACAATAGTAGAAAAGAAGTCATCCATTCCCAGGGTACAATATTCACATGGTTCAGTACTAATTTGAAATCCAATCCAACAGCATAATTAAAGAGGCAATATAATTTTGAAAAGTGTCTCAATATTGATAAAGGCAAGGGCAATTTGAACCTCAAATCGGCTTTCCCAATTTGAACTCAATTTTAATATAGAATTTAAGCTCAATGTGACTAACGAACAGAGAATTCGATCAATGAATTAGACCCTGAATAATGTTCTATCGATCACCTTGATAAAGTTTTTTAACCCTGCACAACCAACGCAAGTTAAAATTAATTGCAGAACTTAATTTATGCTTGTCATAATAAAAAGCAATTAAATATATTTCAAAGTACTTGCGTTCCATTTATTGCTAGCAAATATTATTAAAAACCCAACTGGATAATAGAAAAGATGAGCTTATATAGCATAGAGAAAATAAAATCAATCAATAATTGATTTTTGGCAGAACATTAAGATGCCCATTAATCGAATTGAGAAATGCGTTTTATGTGTTTGTATGTGGCTAATTAAAATAATAGCGTAATTTATTGTACACATTAAAGTCATATACATTATAAAGATATTGATACGATACATACAAATAAGTATACACATATATATTATGTATAGATATTATTAATTATTAATTGTTGTAGTTCGTTTAAAACGCATCGGAGAAGTTGCCAGTCCATTCAAATTTTGGTCTAATCAAGCACATTTATATGAGGGACGGAACTTGAGAGAGCTTTTGTGAACATATATACATACATATATATATATATATATATATAGATATATAGTTTTTTTTTTGAGCGTATTATATTTTTGTTGGTTGCTTGTGACTTATTTGGTCTGGTGCCGTAATACCGGACAATTTAATTTGTTTTTGTTGATCTTTAGTGACATAGAATAATAACAAGAAATTTGAGACTTAAAGCGATCACGACCGTTTGCCAGAGTATCATATCTAGATACTCTTGCAATTTGCATAACTTTTACATACATACATATTAAGTACTTACAAGACGAGGACCTACCATACACATACGATACATTCAATACATAATATAAGTACATACACATAAGTCTTCCCAGCTCCATTTTGTTCTAGACTAAACGCTAACACACCCGCAACACCCACAACAGCCGCATGCGTTATGCGTTATGCGTTTTTCTAGCTAAAACACATATCTAACACTAAATCGCCTATAATCAAGAAACAACACACAGAACAATAATATGTCATCAATATCGCACATTGCTGGGATTGGCATCCTTGTTCTGCTTCTTGTTCATGTCCACCTGTGCAGTGGCCAAGTAATTGGAGCCCTCCAGGTGGAGCGTACTCTGCCTGTGCGAGTTGCGTATCAAGCAGAATGTCGAGAGCAGGAGCAGGGCCACGCCCAATGCGAACAGCGCCACAATGAGACCCACACGGATTTTGGGTGGCACCGTTTCGGCGAAACGCATCAGACCCGTCACCTCGTCGGGCAGACGATCAATGCCCTCCTCGAACCACAGTATGGGGAAGATGATGTCCGGGAAATTGGCCACCTGCTTGATGTCAAACACCTGACTGACGGCCAAGTTGATCTGGATGCGAGCCCGCACACGCAGTGTGGTGCCCATTTTCTAAAAGATAAACAGAATAAAGGATTAACCATTAATCGAAATCGAAACAGAAAATTGTCCTCTAAATTGACATAATTAAGATATTTTGTAATTTCCCAATTTAATAATAGAAATAGAAAAGTGTTCCTGGATAAATATTTATCTTGTGATTTACTAATTTTATGGATCTAGATATAAGTCGAAATAGAATGGATACAATGGATATAATTAAGATATATATACATATTTGTTCTGTACACCTATAAACATATTTGTATATAGATTTGACAATCAGATTTGAGTACTTTGACTGATGACTATACGAGTATATGGTAAATATAGACACAAAAGAAGTACAAAGAAGTTCAAAATCAAATGTGATGTTAATATATAATGCGATAAGCCGATTGCAAATCCATATAGAAAATATTATGAGCATTTTCTGAGTCTAATCTCTGCCAGCGAGTCGCCGTACAATTTTACGGATAGTCTACTTACGGGCTGCACATCAAAGAAGAACTGATGCTTCTCCTTTTGTGGCGGCGAAATGCCCTCAACTTGAGTTCTCAGACTTTCGTCAGCCAAATAGAAATGCGGGAAGCTTAGCATGATGGGAGAATCTTAAATAGGAAATATTAAGAGCAAATTAATGAACAACTAAATTCAGGTAGAGAGTCGCTGATCACGTACCGTATTGGCACAGCGATACATTGAAGAGGCCGTTGGGGGAACAGGACGGCTTGCCAGCTGGGCAATAGCACATGTTATCAGGATGACTGTCGACATCGGCGAAGACCCATTCGGGTGGGGTGAAACGATAGCCGGGCACCTCGTTCGAGGTTATCACCTCCTGTTCGAAGACCAGTGGCATCAGACGGCACAGATCCTTGTCGTAGACCTCCAGCACACGGCTCTTCTCGATGTGGGGTGGAAAGATGGAGCCATCGGTGCCATCGAGACGATTGCAGTTGTCCGTTGCCCAGTGCGGCAAATGGGTGCGCCCATTGTACTTATCAATGATGCCATAATTGTGAATATCATCGACGCCCGTGTGCACGGTAATGCGATCCGATGAGGTGCCATTCTTGCCGTAGAGCAGACCGAACTCCTCATAGGGCAACTTCTGCTCCTTGGGCACCACATCCTTAGCCAGTTTCAGCAGCGGATCCTCATAGCCCCAAAGCAGCTGTCCGACGGACACTTGCACGAACGGCTTAATCTTCAAGATATCCATAATGCTGGCCATGGCCAAGCGCAGAAATCTATCCGAAGAATAAAGTTCAAGATTCAAGAACGAAACCAGGTAAAAGCATTTAGCAATTATAGGTGCTCACCTGGCCGCATGTTTACTCTGTGATGTCGCACTTAGCATGGGTATATTGGGCACAATCACAACATCGTCTTCGGGCCCAGCGGAGAGATCTTCGCGGAACGTGTAGATCTTGCGCAGATTGTAACTCAATGTGCCATTGTCATTCTCCACAATGTTCACCTTTTCCCACGTTTCGCTGTATGTTTTGCAAAATTGATCCATTACATTCGAGTGGGGCAGGGGCGAGGGGTAGGGTTTACTACTCACGTGTAGACATAGGGTCCCACCTCGTCGACAATGGCCTTGGAGCCATTGCTGAGGAAGTCGTCGGCATTTGTCACATTGTACACGTACAAGCTGATGCGGGGCTCTACGGGTGGCTTGGCCCACCATCCGTAGGTCTTGGCGCCGGGTCGGAGTGCTATCATCCGATTAACGATCAAATTGATCAACACCGAGAATTCGCAGGCCACCAAAATGCCGCCAATTATCAAAATGGCCGCAATTACAATTGTGATCCCTGAAATTAAATACAAAACACATAATTGCAATGAAAATTCCACATGCTTGAAAACAGTATCAAACAATTTGCTGCAGTGGATTACTCAATCGATTGCTATGTCAAATCCAATGAGTCAGTCGGGAAACTCAGTGCACATTCTGCACCCATTGCACGTACTCCTCTTGAAATATACTCAATGGGCGGGGGCTCAAAAGATTAAAACCTACTGATTTGATTGAAAGCTGCATTATGGTAATATAGCTAAGTGAGTCATCCTATACAGATATGTTTGCCATGAGAATATGATTATTATTTTTGAATCAAGATCCTGCAACCTGCATTATTTAAGAAGTAGTCTACTTTTAAACAAAAAACTAGTTTGCTTGTTTCATGAACAACATTCCCATTCAACCTTGAGTACATTTTTACATACATTTTTTTATTTTATTTATTTTAATTGAAAAGTGTCGAATTTAGTATTCTGTTGATTGAATCAATACTCGTCTCAAGTCGCGCTTTCAGCTTCTTCTTCTTGGTAATATATTTCAGTAAATTACGGATGGGTTTGTTGGATTGGATATTGAATCACCTAATTATAGTTAGCTAATGGCTTAGACTTAATTATCGGTACAGATTTAATAAGTTTTTGTTTCTCGCTATTGCCAATCCATTTTATAAGATCTTTAAGTGCATCTTAGCCTTCAACCTTTATCCGCTAATTTTTTATATTATTGTAATTAATTCTATTGCCATGCTTAAGTCAGTTGAAACGAATTCCTGAAAAACACAGGCTGCAATTATATATTAATCATTTAATTGAATAATCACATAAATTAAAGTCGGACTACGTTAGTTAGAACAACCAGTTATCCTACATAACACTTGATGCCAATCGAACCTACTAGTTTGCCATCGGATCATTCCAGCTCTCAAAATAATCATGCGCATTAAATTACATATTTACGTAATTTCAGAACGGAATAATATTTGATTTGGGTGAATCATGAAGAATGTGTGAAAACAAAAGTTGACGCTGGGTAAACATCGGCTATAGCTGACTGGCTAAATAGCTCCCCAGAAATGTGTGTAAAAGACCTTGACAGAACCAAGCAATGTCGTCTAAGCGAACCGAGCAACGCCATCCTCAAACTATAATATATATATATATATATATATATATATAGATATATGTATATGTATGTATGTATAGTATTTGCTTTGAAATCAATTAGAATTTGAAATTTCAATACCTGTATAACCAGTCACAGGAAACAACAAACCCAAAGATGCATGAGTTCCGCAAGTTTCTGATTAGCTCCATTGACTAGCATTTATATAAATAATACCTGTGTTTAGTAAAAACACTAAACACTGCAGCTTTGTGATAATAAAGTACCGTTTAGTACTATCACTCAGCGGTAGTTAATGATATGTGCATGAATTGGCACATGCTGGAATTTCTAAAAAATGTTTAACAATTGCAATCGCAGTTATAGAGCTGGTTGTCTTTAAATAAATATTGAATTTAACTTCAATGGTGAAGGGAAATATTGTTATTTCTTTTATAAAGAATATGTGTATTGGGGTATTTATAGGAATCTAAATTATATAAGCTTTTTTTTTTTGTTATCTTTGCATTATTTAAATCGTAACTTTCACTATCTGGCAACGTCAGAACAGTTATAAGTTTATTCAGTTCGATGCGTCTGAATATTTGATTACATTAAGCGCAGTATCTGATCTTCTCTGAATACCTTAGTATAAACGATGTAACTTAATCGCCTAATGAGCTACTTACACCATTTGCGCAGATATGTGCTGGATAGTTTAGTGCAGAGTTTGGGTCCGTTCATTTTAGTGCTGTCGTCGTTGTGCGGATGTCAAATGCTATAAACACCTTCTGGTTTCTGAACTGAAATAGCAAAAATAGCAAGCGATTAAAAAAAATCTGGTTTTGAAAGCAAGAAAAAAAATAAATACAAATAACGCTGAGAATCGTAAAAACGGCTTGTTTATGAAAGTCAAGCCGAGAATGCATTGCCATCTGATACGATATGATATGACAGCCAGTTGATTGCCGGGCAAAGTTCTACAACTTGGACTTTGATGATAATGAAGATTGCTATAATATAATTATGATTATAGATGCCTCAACATTTCTGCGTATGCTTTAAGGCTAAAGTGTAGCAGCAGTCAAGTTTAACTTGTTAAGAGCATTCTTCGCTCTGAACCCCAGTTCCAAAACACACAGACACGTTCCGGGCGGGCTGGCCTTGTGCTGTTGCTATTGTTGCTCTTTTCTTCTTTTTGTTTTGTCTTTAGGTTGATTTATCAGAGACGATTCTTTTTGCGACGCTTTTTTGAATACTCTCTTTTGTGCTATGCAAAAATGTTTTGTAAAGAACCTTGCCCAGTCAGCAATAGTTGTGGAAACTTTGCGGGTCTCTGCTTAAAGTGCCTTCAATACGTATTTCTTTCTAGAGTTGTTTTCTGTCAGTTTGTTATAGGGCTTTGTTTTAAGCGCTTTGTTATTGTTGATGTTGTTAATGGCAATGAGCTGTCTGAGCCCTTACAGGCAGTACAAGCACTGTGCTGTCTGTACATAGCCAGACCTTATATAAATGAGCCTAACCTCCTAACCTAGCCTGACCTAACAACAGCAAAAACAATAAGCCAACAACAACAACAACAACAGGCTAGCAATTAAATAAAAAATTTACGTTTGTTTTTTTTGCCAAAACGCTGAACGTCTTAATGACACAGACTCGAGAGTTTATCGTATACACGCATGTATTTAAAAATATTTAAAAAATTATATTTTAATTTTGGCAAACACCTTGACCGAGGCCAGGGCTTTATAGTCTTGGTTGTGTTTTGCTGTGTTGCTGCCGCTGCTGCTGTTGCTGTTGCTGTTGAAGCCCTCATTTCTATAAAGCATTGCTGTTTGCGTTTTTTGCTTTTAAAATACTTTATTATTGACAATTGCAGGCATAGGCGCCATAAAACATTCAAAAAAATTGACTTTGATTAGCCCGACCAATTTGCACGTCTCGCACGGGAACAATAAGCAAACAGCAAACAGCAAACAGAAAACAGAAAAAAAAATGTTTTTAATTGCTTGTGCGTCAATTGATCAGTTGATCTGCCTGTTTACAATGCAAGTCTTTTCACCATCGCCGAAATGTAGTTAAGATTTCGATTCCGAATTCAAGGTGGCACCCATAGGCCAGATAACATGCCAAACCTGAGATACACCCAATAACGCATTTCAGATATGCAGGTACTTGACTACATGTGTGATTGTCGCATTTGGCTGTTTGAGTTATGGGCACGTTTCAGATACGCTTTAACAAACGCATATCTTCGTGTCGGCCAGTTTGTGTTTATTTGCGGTTAAACAGCACTTGACCATGTCACGGAAATGCTCAGTTACTCGCACCAAACCACAATTGTATGTTTTTCTTTTAATTGCGATATTTTTCTTTATTTCTTTCTTTCTTCTTCTTTTGCATACCATGTACCCATTAAATTACAATAACAACAATCATTTAGAGATTAAGCGAGTATGAACTGAGCTGGAGTCAAGCAAAGTTGTTAGAGAATATCTTAGAATCTAGAATGACGAATAATTTAATAAGTAATGCCAAGGTAAATCTGATGTAGTTCAACGTACAGTTGAATCAGCTGAAGCAATTACAGATCGCTCACGAGTAGTTCGCTTAGCTAACAATATCTCCGGGAAAGTTCTGATTTATTTTATAATAAATAAATATTGTTTATTTAATAGAGCTGATGCCTGAGAAATTGATGAACAACAGCTTACAGCTTATTCCATAGCAATGGCAATAAAAGGGTATCCAAAGATCTAGCAGGTTTTAAATACAGTATGAAGCTGGTGTAGAGACTGACAATCAATTATTATTATACAAATTATAGGGTATCTTTTTGATCAATATGATCGAGTGCCGCTGCTAGTTCAAAGTTTGCACTTTGAGCCAGACACACACACACACACATACGCACACACACACGCACACACACTGAGATGATTTTACTGGCTTATTTCACGCTCTGAAGGTCAGTCGTCAGTCCGCTGTTTCATACAAAACCGATCAGATAGAAATATACATACAGCTATTGACGCCAATAAACCAAAGTTTGGACCATGTCCCGCCCTCCACTCCACTTGGCTTCACTCCACTTGTCCAGTTGTTTGCGCACAATCGACAGAATGCGCGTTGAATAGTAATTAACTAATAATTATTATTTTGTGCGCTTTTTGGCGACATTCTGCTCATAATCATTTGGGGGCCCCATCATTGAGTCGAGCTTTGTATGGGGCCATAAATCAGCTAAACAAATTGTTTTGGCCACTGAATGCCAAGCTGAATGTACGCAAATCGTCTGCCTTTTGGCTCTAACAGCGAGTCCATTGAATGCCAATTTAGCGAAAAGTATTCATAACTATAATATATGATTTGCAATTCACAATTGTTGTTTTTGTATTTTTATTTTTATTTTTTTTTGCTATCCCCATTGATTAGAAATTTAGGCAGAATGTGGCATTAAGTGGATGTCCAACCAGGCGTTACAAATGATATATTCTATGGAAATGCATTCGATGTTTACACAGTTAATCTGAGCAATTTCTCAGGGGCAGCTCGACAGCTTGAAATGCATTGTGAAAGCATATGCATACTTATAATCTTGTGATATAAACAACAAATAAATGTATAAATATATATATGTCGCTATTCACCGGTGCCAGGTATTCAAGCAGCGGCAATTCTTATCATCATAAATAAGCACAGATCGAACAACATAAATAAACTATGTCGGAAATATTGAATAAACAAACTTGCGCAAAGATTTCTCAGCTGCGCCCTAAGCTAGGCAATGGAAATGCCATGGAAAAGCGAAAAACTCTTATCGACAACGTTTGAGGCATTTAGAATTGGGCACAGAAAGCAACAAATTACATTCCATTAAATTTATAGTTTAATAAGTGCCACAGCAGCTTATCGGCAATCAGAGTTGAGGCATTCGAGCATAATTGTGTTGTTTCGCAGCTTTTCATTTGGGTTCTAGTAACTGTTGTTGTTGTTGTTGTTGCTGTTGCTGTTGTTGCTGTTGTTGGCTGCTTTTTAATTAGCAGCTGTTGGGCGGGCGCTTAGCGTGAAATAGCTGTGTGCTTAGCCAGAATTAAACTTCAATAGAAACTTTCTTTCTAAATATAGTGCTGAGTGGGCAACAAGTCAACTGGCTGACAACTTGGCTAATAGCTGGCTTTTGCTGATATGAGAATCGAGCTGAAAGCTGAAAGCGATGTACACGAATACATACATATGTACACAAGTACACACACACACGTAGCCGCGACAGCAGCATGAGCTTGAAGCAGAGCACACTTGCAGCCGATTGAGACGCCGCATAATTTCACTGCGTTTAAATGTTGCACAAACACAGCAACAGCAACAGCAGCAGCAACAGAAACAGAAACTGTAGCAGTAGCAACTACTTAGTGTAAACAATTACCCTGACCCAATTTTTATAAGCAACGTTGTTGTTGCTGTTGTTGTGGTTGTGGTTGCTGCTGCTGCTGCGCTTGCCGACACTGGCCGGGCCAAAAAGTGAGCGACGAGCCAACAAACGTAGCTGTTGACAATTTTTGTTTTTTTTTTTTTGGGTTTTGCCTGCTTAATAATGTTTTTGCTGTTTTTGTTTTGCTGTATTTGATAATATGTACAATAAAGTGATTCAAAATTGTTACTGCCTTTTTTTTTTGCTAACAATGGCGTGTCAATGGCACGTCTCAGTAACAACTCCAGTTCCATCTTGGCAGTAGGTCAGTTTTCTGTTGAGGCAACATGGCCATGCAAAGGGGAGTAGTGGGGGGGGGGGGGGGGATGTAGTTGTAATGCTTTTTAGAGACAATGAGCGACAATTGTCGCGCCTCACGCAATTTTCGTAAATCAAACGTGAATCATTTCAACAGCTTTGCAAAAAGGGACTTTTACTTGCGCCCCTCTCTCTTTCTCTTTCTCTTTCTCTCTTTCTCTGAGTGAAAAAGTGTGTAATAGAGAGTCAGGGAGAGAGTGTGTGCGTCTGTGTGTGTGTGTGTGTGTGTAATTTGTCGCTCAGTTCAAAACGGATATATAGCAAAGCTGCTGTTTGGCTATTTGGCTATGTGGTCAGTTCAAGTATTTATATATACTTATATATATTTGTTGTATTTTTTTTGAGCGTTGTATTTTTGTTGTGCGCGCTTCACTTTGATTTTGATGTTTAGCTTTTATTTCGTTTTGAGTGGCTGCTTCTTCGTGTGGCGTCAACAGCGAAATTTCACTTTTTCCACATAAGTAATCATAAAAACTATGCACGTACATGTGCACACACACACACACACACACAAACACACACACACACACACACACACACACACACATAGTCACTCAATTTTGATGTATGCATGCATGTACATCATGTATGTATGTATGCATATATGCATATATGTAGATACTCATGTATCTTAACGATTTTCCGCTTTGGCAGCGCCGTTAAAGTCAATAGGCATGTTCATTTGGTTTCATTTGGCTGGGCCGACTCCGGCAAGGTCTTGCACCACTCAATTTCTGAGATATCTATATATCTATAGCATATATATAAAGATATATATATATATATACATATCGATGTGGCACATTACGAATCTTATGCAGAGCTTGCAACTTTTACTGGAATGCGCCTACTGCTGTGCACAAGGGTAAAAGTACACTTGTTGCCTGTTGCCTGTTGCCTGCTTTGACTGCTTTGATTTAGTGAAAGAGCTAAAAGACAAGCCGCTAACAGCAGCAGCAGCAGCAGCAGCAGCAGCAGCAAGAGCAGCAACAGGCGACCGCAGGCATTTCAAAATAGTAAAATTAACACATAGACAAATACACACACAAACACACTCGCACACACATACAGCAAGTCAGAGCGAGCACGAGTCAGCGGCTTGAACACTATTTTCTATGCAATCAAGATTCTTGGCTTTAAACAGCAAAATGTGTTTTAACGCACCCGGCAAACGGCAGACGGCAAAACGACTTGAACGCTAGCAAAGTCGCTGAGTAACTGAAGACTTGAAATGCGCGCACAGCGAAAGATGTTTAGCCAGCGCAGGCAAAAGCTCAAGCTCAGCTTGAACAGTACCACTACTATTGCGACAAACAGAAACAAAACACAAAAAAGCAAAAAAAAAACCCGATAAACAGGTAGCAACAACGTGAACGGTCAGCGACGTCGGCAACATCGGCGTCAAAAGCGAGAGTAAGCTTCACTGCTCCGACTGCTCCGAGTGCTCCGAGTGCTCCAAGTGCTCAGAGTGCTCAGTGCTCAGTGCTCTGTGTGCTCAATGTTTGCTTGGGTGGAGTGCAGCGTGGAAGCTTTTTTTGCGCTCTCGCTGCCTTGCAATGCATTGTATGATAAAAGCTCGATTGAATGCCGTTGTCATGCATGATTGTTGTTGCTGCTGTTGCTGTTGCTGTTGCTTTGTTGTGTTGCTCGCAGCTTTTGTGTGTGCTGATAAAAACAAGTTTGTTGCTTGCATTGAAGTCTTTCGTTTCGTTTCGTATCGTTTTATTTTTATGCTGTCGATTCCAAAACGTGCAGCGCCAACAAACATATCTATGATTTCCACATAGACGCAAATGATTATGCCCAAAATCAAGTAAATGACTCACATTTCTTGTAGTTTTTGCGAAACCAGACAAAAGCAACAGCAACAACAACAACAACAATAACAGCGGACAACTTGCAAGAATTTATGCGGCAGTTACAAATTACAAAAAGAAACTTAGTTTTTGTATATTTTTGTTGTTGACACAAGCCTCGCCATTGCGCAAGGTTGTTATTTTTGCAACATATTTGCACTAGAATCGGAATCTCTTCAAGCTCGTTTTTGTTTTCTGTTTTTTGCTTTGTTTCTATTTATCTTAGTGTTTACTTAACATAAATAGAATCTAGTTATATGCAAATTTGCTGTGGAAATAACACGCAGTCAACTTCAATTTGCATTCACTATGAAAACTAGTTGCAGCCGCTCTGGAAATAACTATAGGAAATTGCAAATGCAAATGCAACACATACGGGTACTGTACTTGCAACTGAAGTGTTTGCCCGACTGGCCCCATGGGAATTTTCATATTAACTCATAGACTTCAGCGAAGCGAGATTTTAGAGTATTACGCAGAATTCGCATTACAGATTAGAGTGGAAACCCTACTGTCGAGTGTCTATTTTCCCCAAGCTCGCACTCTGTCTTGGGAAACTCGAAAAATAATACTTGCTATATTTGAGGATTGTTTGAAAATCAGCCAACACTTTTGGACAAGCCGACCTTGAACCAAATCTATGTCGCCCGGCTCACAAACACACACAGGCAGATTCGTGTGTGAACATACAGTTAATAGGCCCAGTCAAACCCAAAATGCCCAACACTGCACGCGTTTTATTGCTTTGTATGCCAATAAGGCTAACCGGGTTGCATGCGACCTTTCTGTTTATGTAAACTGCCACACACAATATTTCACATTTGTTTTAATGATCCCATAAATATTGTAAGCAAGCCACACATAAGTTGTATGTCTAGAAAGAGGCCATATACACACATAAAACACTCAAGTGTATTGCGCAAATATTATTAATTAAATAATATAATTATTTCATTTTTTAAATTGCTTTCAAGCTTATTAGTTTTCTCGTTGTGAAATTGCATCGTCAAAGATAAACAACGTTTGTAATAAATTGCATTCGCAATAAGGAATTTATATGAGTTTAAATTTAAATATGACTTTTCACCGATCTTATCAATATACAATTATGTTTTACTTGTATACATAAATGAACTGACTTAAATCAGAAAACACCAAGAGATCCGCTGGCGATATCAAAATTCTTCACAATATTATTATACCCTTCGTCGAGTGTATAATAACTAATATCGCAAATAGGCTTGCGTGCTATCAATTGCCCATGTAAAGTTCCATGTTCAATTAGAGTTTTAGAGTTTTATTTTGAACTTACGATGCAGAAGGTTATCAATTTGCATTACGAATCACAAGCATACCAGGCGTTTATTTCTTATATAAGTAGCACAATACAATTTTGAACTTCAATGATATTGAATGAAAAAGTCATTTGTGTTTTTGATAAGATTCTGTAACTATTTTTGGCACTTGCTGCTTGGCTAACTGTGCACCATAATCAATGTATACAGAATATATATATTTTATTGAAGCATATGGAAATTGTTTTAATTGCCTTAGCACTAAGTGTATTGCGACTGATAAGCTCTGCCACAGTAATACTTGTCAATGAAAAATATAGGAAATAAATGCTATATTTAAGCCAGCGATAAGGCGATGCGACCACAATTGACGTAGATTCCACAGCTGTGATAACAGCTTGACGAAACTCTACACTCCACACAAGCCGATTCGCATTATCTCTTCTTTAACGTGATTAAACCCAAACCCAACCCCAATTTAAGCTGTGTGCACAACTTACATATTTGTAAGCTCAACAATTTGCATTTCATTTGGGCAAAATGTCAGCTTAAAGTATCACTTCAAACTCAAACCTACGACAAGTTTGAGCAGATAACAATATTATTTCGTTGGTTTTTTCCTTTTATTGGAGAGTTGTTGGATTTGTGAAAGATCCGTAGCTATTGAGAAGCCATTAAGCGCACGCAAAGCATTTCATTGCTGGAAATATTCATCAGGCTAGTCGTCAACTTAATCACTTCAGTGCTGTGAGCAAAGTTCAAAGAGGCTATCAATTCGCTATATGGCAAATAAGAAATTATTCCAAGCAGCAAATTGATGCGACAGTTAAATGCTCTTTGAACCGATTTTGATATTGGATATTAGTAAAGTTAGACGCGATTTCTTAAGACTTGATCTTCAACTTGTAAAGCATTGGCACTGAAACGCCTAAGAATGTGGCAAAAATCTGAAGCGTAATATGCTCTGTCTCTCCATAGAGAGAGAGAGGGAGAGAGAGATAGTTTTGATATTTGCAGGGTATGTGAATATCGCACGTGTCATATTTGATTGACAAATTAAATAGCACGCTTTCAAGCTGACGACTCAGTTGGTAAGAAGTAAGGTTGCGGGATGAAATAAACAAACGAACAATTTCACACACACACACACACACACAGACAGACAGGCACACACACACACACGCACACGAATACTTTTTTTAATGCGCGATTAATATTAACTCATGAATATACTGATAAATGCAGAATTCACTTGAATCGGGTTCAATAACTCGACACGTACTTTTATCAGCAGTATACCATAATAATTAATATACGTTCTAAGTACATATGTATACCCTGGCGAAGCAAATTAATATTTTCTTTATATGTTTGTACTTTTATCTGTGTGCTCGCTAATACATATACACACACATATATATATATATATATATAGGAAACTGGAAGACAAAGAGGGCTCCAACAAGACAGCAACTGGGATATTTGTCAAGTGTACTGCACCTTTTGTACACAAAGAGAAATTGTGCTATAACTTAACAACAAAAACTGCTAATTGATTGAGATAACAAAATAAGTCGCAATTTCACTTTAAACGATACTTATCTCTTGATATTTCTAATTAGATGATGGCTATGCCCGTTAATAGAAAATATGAATTTATTTGTTTATTTTATTTTACAAAATTGAACTCAGCAATTAGTACTAGTCATAATGACTTATTAACGAATACCAACTAAGGCCTTCGATCTTGAAAATCGGAATTGGACTTCAAATTAGATTTCTGCCCGGGTGATAAACATCGACTGCCTTCCATCCACTGTGAGATGATTTCCAACGAAAGAGACTTTCCAAAGCACAGCTTTCCAAAATCCACTTACAAGGCAAATTCTCACAGTGCACATCTGCTTTGAGTTCGACTTCGAACGACGAGTTGAGAAAATAGAGCACACGCTCTCAACACAATAACAAATATGATGCGATAATAATGGAGGAGATGCGGCAGTGCCCAGTCCATTCCTACATAGACATAGATACTCGTCTTAAGTACTACATAAATCGTTTAGACTCTGTGGACTCTTTGTTTTGCAACGATTATATTTGCACTTTGTGTCCATTGTTCATATATATGCGCAATATGTATGTATGTGTGTGTGCGCTAGTTGCTACGTCAAAAAAAAAAAAACGAGAGAGATCCCGATACGTAAACAAGAACGTCGTTAAGCGAATACATCCCGTAATCAGTAATCATTGCTGTGAGTCGCTGTTGCCCGCTGATTTCGTTTCGCATCGTCTTCATTCCGCTTATCAGTCGCAGCACAGTCGAATGCAGCGACGCCGCGGCGCAGGCAGTGGCAGCGACAGCAACAGCGACAGCGACGGATGGCAAGAGGCAAGGCGGCATCCATTCGACAGCCAGGCAGGCAGTCAGGCAGTCAGGCAGGCAGGCAAGCAGTGAATGCGTTGCGCGCGTCGTAGTAATAACTTGTTTCGTGTGCAGAACGCAACGCGCAGCACTCGATTTCCAGTGCGTGAGTGTGTAACTGTAACTGTATCTGATCGAATTCGAATGTCTAACAATAATAATAACACGCCGAAATCTAATCGCGCTCGCATGGAAAGTGCGTGGAGTATTTTCAACGCAAATCGCTAATCCATTGTAGATTGCTTGTTGTATGCATGTGTATTTATATATTTCCTGATGTTGTTGTGCCAGGCTGGCAGCTTAATTGTGGTCCACCTGAAGCTGATGGAAAAAACGAGTGATAAGCCAGCTGGGAGTGAAGTGAAATAAAGAGACAAAGGCCAACAACAACAACAAGAACAGCAACAATTTTGTAAAGAACAAGTCGGAAAACCAGCTTGTCATACAAAACATAATAATAAAAACAAGAGCAGCAACAACAAAAACAACAACAAGAGCAGCCACAGTAGCAACGAGCGGTCAGCAGTCAGAGTGAAACAGCGAGAAAACAAAGAATCAAGTGGAAAACAAAGAACGCGAACACAAGGCAAAAGCAACAGTAACCGCAGCAGGCAAAGATTGGAACAACAACAGCAAGACTAATAGCAACAACAACAATAAGGAACTGAATCAGAACAACCATAACTGACAACAACAAGAGACACAAGCGAGTGTCGCACATCGCATTAAAAAGCACAGCCATTTCGAGTTCCATTCCAACATTAATAAGCTAATAATTTTTTTGAATAAGTGTTTTGTGCGCTAAATGCGTAAATAACGACAAAATACTTATTAGACGTTAAATGTTTGGCAGGCGTCTTGGAAAGTGCATGCCAAAGTGAGAGAGCAAGAGCGCCAGCACATAAACAAGCACAAAGAGAGAACGATCGAGTGAGAGAGCGAGAGAGAGTGGCAAAGTGAATGTGATTGTGTGTGTGTGTGTTTGTGCGCGTGTTTCATTTCCAATTCGTTTCAACGTAAACAACAGGGGCGAATTGTTCGTGAATAGCTCTCCTGTGAGTTTTTTCAAGTGCATGCCCAACACAACAGCTGAGTAAAAGATCTCTCCCGCTCACAGCGACGCGCACTCTCGTACAGGTGAAGGCATCTTCCGCAGCAGTGTCACTGTGTTATCAGTCAACGGCACTAAGAGAGCGCAGCAGTGCCAACTAAATTTCGTAGTTGTCAGTCAACAGCAGCAGCAGTAGGAGCAACAACAACAACAACAATAATAACAGCATAAGTGCAAATTTCACCCACACGGGCTGCTAGCACATGTACGTATATAATTATGCCTGTATGCATGTATGTGTGCGTGTGTGGCTGAGTGTATTTACTTATCAGCTGTTTTCGGTTAGAGCAAAAGTTAACTTTTGAAAAAAAAACATGTTTTGAACTACTTCCAAAGTAAATATATGTACGTATGTAATGTGCGTGCATGTGTATTGGGAATACGCTTGGAAATTTTAATTCACAACTAATTTGTGTTTCAATAACAACTGAAAACAACTTACATTTGTAAATATTTATTATTATGATTTCAACGATTCACATTGTTTAAGTTTAATACCCAGAAAAAATGTATAATAAAGAAATGGCAGAAAGGAGCATATATCTGACCCCTTTAAGTTTATATATATTATATGTATAAATTCTTGAAGCATCAATAGCCGAGTTGATCTAGCCTGGTACATCTGTACGGCCTGCTCTCTGTAAGAGGAAGTCTTTAAATTTGGAATATAATTTCTTGTATATCAAGTATTTCACAGTTTGTGCTTAAATGTGAAAAACAACATTAACTTATTTAATAGAATTATATATTTTCATATACTGTATTTTATGGATTTTAAATTGACACCTTTAGATTAAGTGACACTTGTGCACCTATTATTCAACTCACTCAAGATTGCTGCCCATATTGAAATATATATTTGCAAACTTTTATATTTTGTAGTTAATTTAATATCTTGGACAATTTCCCACAGATTCAAATGTATTGATAGCACCCGAATATCGACACAGAACCATAAAAAGATAAAACATTCCCAAGTTCGGATAAGAAGCACAGATTTTGTTAGCCAAAACTTAATTTCATATTGCAAACTAAATTTCTAAATTGTTTTCTTTTACATTTTTCTATATTATATTAATTAAAAGAAACACAATCTGAAATTCTTCGCACCGATAAGCTACATTTCAGAAATGTACCTTTCCTGCTCGCATTATTAGTAATTATGCTTTAAGTTGAGATGCGAGGCGGCTTATCAGATGCCGTTGACCCGTTTTTCAATTGACATTAACGCAAAATATGAAATACTCGTACATATGTATCCCCATTTGTACCTCAACTGTGCAAAGTATGCCAAACTCAGCACATAATCAACTGTCACTTACATAAATATATATACACATTATTTATTTCAATAGTCTCGTTGAATAATTGCTATACAAAGTGTAGCCTTCTCGCACATATACTGCGTACCGCCTGATAAGAGCAATTCATAATGCCATGTATGATTAAACGACGAGTTTGCCTGTGAATTTACCAAATCCGAGATTAGTTGTTATATACGCCGTCAAACGATCGGCTCGTCAAGTGCTACTTAAGCGGCAGATAGCTCAGGAACTAAATATATATACTCGTATATATAAAATAGACTGACCCATACACGTATAGAACGTAGGTACTGCCATCAATCATCAATCCATAGAGCACGCTTATGAATGGCAAACCCATTTTGTAGCCTTCGTAGGTGTTACTGCTGAACCCAGACGAGTCAAGTCGAGCATGTGTTCAATGAACCTGCAATAAAAGTCTTTCCATCTCAAAGTTTTGTGATAAGCATTTGCCACGTGTACGAATTTATATAGCGAGATCGGTTGACCTATTTTAAATGAGTACTCAAATATATTCTTGTTTTTTTCATCAACTTGCAAAAGAGAGTTTAACATTGATTTGAGGATATAGGAAGCTTGAAATATCAATTAAATGAATTGTATAAACTGAACTATACACAAATTAATTGGATTACATAATCTTTTAATTTAGAAACTTGACATTGATATATGAAGCTATTTTCAATTTTCAATTTTGCAGTGACTTACAAACACACACTGTCTCACACACACCATGTCACAGGCTACAAGCGACGTTGTGGCACAGCTTCGGCAACAGAAGCATCGCCCAGTACCAGAGGATTTCACAGTACAAAACAAATCAAAGTCCAATACGTTGAGCTCGCAACGCAATGGCAACGTGGGGGGCGACTACATCGGCGGCGGCGGCGGTGGCGGCGGCGGGGGGTACAGCAACAACAGCCCCGAGAAGCTGACCGTGCTGGACATGATTCTCGACTCGATGGGTCTGCGCAATCTAACGTCCAAGGATATTGGAGCACTGATATGTGAGTGGCATTATTATATTTATATTCGTATTTAGATACTCTACTCGCACAGTGCTTTGATTAACCGTTCCACATCTCGACCTTAACAGTGCTGGGCTTCATGTTCTTGCTGTTTGTGATAAGCGTGACCGGGTTCTTTGTAATGTGGTTCACCGAATACTATAATAACACCATGCTCAAGGTGATTACACCCTCTATTTTTGGCTTTTTAACTCGCTCTTCATAATAATATCACTCGCTACACGCAGCAATTAATACTTGCCGAGGATTCGGAGACTGCGAAGAGCTGGCTGCAGCCAGACACCAAATTTGATACGCTGCTGAAGGCGCACATATTCAACTATACAAACATCGAGGACGTTCTGGCGGGACGAGCGGACAAGATTGATGTGGTCGATTTGGGTCCGTTGACCTATCAGGAGCACACCGTCAAGGATCAAGTGTCCTTTAACAAAAATCACACTGTTACCTTTCGGGTAAGTCGAAATAGAAATATTTTGCTAATCACATTGGAACAATTTAAATATTCAACTTCAATTTGCAATTGGTAATTTGCAGGATAAGAAATCCTACATATTTCTGCCGGATAAGTCGACGTTGCGGGAGGACGATGTGATAATGGTGCCAAATGTGCCACTACTCTCGGCTGCTGTGCACGAGAAGAAATTGCCGCCATATGCCGTGATTGGCGCCCGCACATTAATTAATTTTGTATTTAGGGAGCCATTGTTCAAGCGGTTAACGGTCCACGAGTATCTCTGGGGCTATGAGGATAACATCGTTTCCCTGAAAAGCTTCGGCAGAGTCGGCGACAAACACTTTGGTTTACTCAGAAGTGTAAGAATGAAATACCACTCTGCTAAAGAGTAGCACCTGTCTAATCCTCCATTTCCCATTTCTCTCCATCTGCAGCGCAATGGAACGAGCGTGGATTTAGTGCAGCTCAACACTGGCGAGGACGACATCTCCAAGTACAGCATCATTACGCAGTTTAACGGCATGCCACAATTGGATTTCTGGCAGGATGACGAATGCAATCGCATCGATGGCAGTGACCCGTCCATGTTCTCCCCGACCGTGCTGCAGAATCGGAGCACCGTCCAAGTCTTCCTGCAGGTGCTGTGCCGCAAGGTGCCGTTGAATTTCGAGAAGGAGGCGACCATCTACAATAACATCGATGTGCTGCGCTATCGCACACCGCTCGATGTCTTTGCGCATCCATCGGAGAAGCCGGCGAATGAATGCTATTGCCGGAACACGGATCTCTGTCTGCCCGGTGGTGTCATCAATGCCACCAGGTGCTACGGCGATCTGCCTATTTTTCCCTCATTTCCGCACTTCTTCTCCGGTGATAAGGTGCTGTATGAGAACTTTACGGGCATTAATCCGGATGCTGAACTGCATCAGACATATGCAGACATCCATCCGCGATTCGGCTTTCCCGTTAATGGCGCCTCCCGCGTACAAATCAACATAATGTTGGACAATACGGGACTACTGCGTAGTAAGTGATGTGGATCTCCTCGATTAGAAGGTGCCATTAATCCTAGTCTCTCTCTCTCCTTCAGTGAAAGCAAAGCATTTGAAGAATAACGCCATCTTGCCATTGATTTGGATTGAGATCACCGCTGGTGATTTCAATAAGGATGTACTCGACACACTCCATTTCAGCACATTTGGCCTAGATGCCATACAGGTGGTACTGAAGTACGGCACCCTGCTCATCTCCGTGACCACCTTCAGCCTGATAGTGGCCAGTGTTTACTACTTGAACAACAGGCGGGACGAGCAGCAGTTGGAGCATAGCAAATCCTCTGCCGAGCTGGAGGCACTTGCCGGTCCAAGCATCTTCAATGGCAGCATTCTTGTTGTACAAGTCTTGCCACAAAGCGTTCTTAGCCATGCGCCGCATCGAGATGAATTGTAGCGTCTGCCATTTAGCAATTAATTTAATTATACTCAGCTAAGGACAGGGGTGGGAACAGTACAATATGTAAATGGGGACGTATATGTGCTTCTAAGTGCCTTACAAACAAAAAAAACCGAATTAAGAGATTTTCGAATTTATCACGACTTAGATATATAAATATTATTAGCCTAGAACAAAAGCTGTAGTTAACAAATTGTATAATTGTATATATGTAATATATATGTATAAATAATTAAAGAATTTATTTTCAAATTGTAAAAATCGTTCGTTTAATTTATTATCCGAATATCAGAAATCCCATGGTATCTCGAAACGAATATGTAGATATAATATACTCACTCAAAAAAGATATCATTGTACATTTTTGTAATTAACAATATTATCAATAAAATCTACTATTTGAATTGGTTTAATTCAAACACAAAACTTTGAAAAATGTAGGAACTATGTGAAAAAATAACGTTTTTATTTGAATTTTGTACGCTGACAAAAGCTAAAAGGTGCAATCGTAGCAACTAGCAAGATGTACGGTCATACTGAGAGCGTTGCCAGCAAAATTGAATATCTCTTTTTGTCACCCGCAACAATTCAAACAGGCATTGGGAATTTTTAATTGTTATAGCAAATATTTATTGTTTCTAAACAAAACGAAATTCGAATATTAGTTGCTTGTTCAACATTTGATTGTTTCATAAACCTTTAGTTTAGTTAAATGCATGTATTTATTAATGTACTGCGATTGTGAAATCGGTTGTGTATATTGCTTGTTGAGTTTTGGGTTTGTAGTGTGAGGTTGTTTGGAAAGTTAATACGCGTATTTGTTGTAGTTGGTTTTATGTTGTATAATTATTTTTTGTTTTGCGTTTGTTGTTTTTACGTTTTTAATTAAGTATAATAGTTTATATAAAAAATAACAGAGAAATTATATAAAAGAAACATTATAATATAATCGTTTATTTCCTTGCTTTTTTTGCTGATTTTTTTTAATTTTTTTTTTTTTGTATTTTTATTTTGTATTAATAATTAACGCGTCAATTTCCTGAATCCTCGCCATCTAATGATTCATCCTGCACCGATGAGCTGTCGTCGCCGCCGCCTCCACCTCCCCCTCCCACACGCTTGGACGACGGTGTGCCCGTGAGCCGGCTGGAACTGAGGCCGATGCCGCCGGTACGTCTATAAAATGCAAGAAACATAATTGATTACAAATGATGGAAGCCACAAGTGGATAAGATAAACGTGCGGCGATATAACAAAAGGTGGAAGAAAAACATGGGCAACATAAACATTATCAGAATCAAAACAGTGACGAGGTGGGTAAAAATCACTATGCACTATTATCTAAATTGGTTGCTTTTCGTTGGGAAGGGAGAAGATCGGAACGAACATTGAACATGTACTAAGAAAAACGCACGAGATGATTTGATATCCATGTGTGTGGATGTGTGTGTGTGTGTGTGTGTGTGTGTGTGTGTGGGTGTGTATTCTTTTGTGTGTATAACATGCTCAGTAGTCGTAGGATGAGAGTTCAGTTTTGGGTTCATTCAGTGGGGGAAGAATCTTTGTTTTGGTTTGGTTTTGATGAGAAGATGTCGTTGCCAGCACTTACAAAGCCTATCAAGAGGAAGCGAAGCGGAAAACGAAACCTAATGCAGACCCTCACAATTCATAATGAGCGCAGCATCCTTTTTGGGCGAATATGCCTTGGCCTTTTCAGTCTCGGCCACCTGTATCGATCTATATATATATATATATAACAAAATATGCACAGCATCAAAAGCCAAAAATTACAAAATAAATACAAACAAAAAATAAGATGTACATTTGACCAGCAACCATTGCCCGGCTTTGACCAGGGCCCAGTGATTTACATTAGATCCCATTATCCTTTTGCCGATTTATAAAATTGGTTTGCAATTAATTTCAATAGACAGAAAATTGAGTATAATTATGATTAACCCCCAAAACTTCACAACGATCGGATGGAAATAAAGAAGTTCATTGATTTTTGTAGCAAACCGTTTTCCACATACAGTGGTCCCTCGGTAATTAGAACAGGTCGTAGTTATTGAATTGAATGGCATCCATCTCACATTCACTTACCGCAATTTCGTTTTGAGTGAGTTAATCTCACGGTTCATGGCCTCCTGCGATTCGATCATATCCTCGCATTCGCGCTGATATTTGCGCTTCTGCGTCTTCTCCTTCTGCAGCTCCTCCTCGGTCTCGTCCAGATTGCGCTTGAGCAGTTTAATGCGGCTATTCAGCTGTGTGGCAAGCCAAACATAATAATTATAATTTGGTTTCAAATGAGAGATATTTAATGAGGGGGAAAACATACCTTATCCATTTGCTCCTTATGCTGATCGACGTGTCTTCGCTCGTCCTCGATGTTCATGGTGAGCTCCTTGATCTTTTTGTCCATTTTGCGATTGGCCTTCTGTTGCAGCAGCCGCTCCTTGCCCTCATTCTCCAGCTGCTCCTCCAGATTAGCGATCTTCGCCTCGAGCGTGGCGATCGTTGCCTTCACCTTGGTGCGTTGCGCCGTCTCAATCTCGGCCAGCTTCGCTTTCAGCTCCTTGTTCTGGCGTTCGAGCAGCGCCCGACCATTCTCGTTCTTTTGCGAATTGGACTTCTCGTTGGCCAGCTCCGTGGTCAGCTGTTCGATCTGCAATTGGGCCTTGCGGCTGCGATCGAGCAGCACCTCCGAATTGGACTGCTCCTCCTCGAGCTCCTCCTCGAGGGTGGCAATGCGCGCCTCCAAGCGACGCTTCTCATCGATCATTAGCGAACCCTTGTTGGCATTATTGTTTATCTCCTCGGCGAGTTCGTCGCGTTCCGTTTCGGCGGCGCGTCTGGCACGCTCTGAGCTGGCCAAATCCTCGCTGAGCTGTAATACTTCGGCCTCGAGTGCCTTCACCTTGCGCTCGGATTCCTTGCTCAGCGCCTGGAGCTCCTCCTTGGCGGCCTTTGCCTCCTCGGCATCGCGCAGCGCATCCTTGACTTGTGCTTGCAGCTTCTTAGCGTGCTTCAGCGCATCCTCTTTCACCTTGTTATGCATCTCCATTGTGGTCTCGATCTCCTTGAGATCACCCTCCAATTTCTTTTTGGCCGCCACAGCGGCCGTCCGCTGTTTACGCTCCTCATCCAGCTCGGCCTCTAAATCGCGCAGCTGCTTGACCAAACCGCGGCGCTTCTCCTCGGCACCCTCCTCCTTGGCGAGCAGGTCACGTTCGAATTGGGAGCGCAACGCTTGCATATTGACCTCTAGCCGCAATTTGGCATCCTCGGTCAGCTGCAGATCATCCTCGAGCTCCTCGTTTTGTGCTTTCAGCTCGGCCAGCTGCGATTCGAGGGCACGTTTCGCCTTCTCCAGCTCGTGCACGTTCTTGTCGGCGGTGCCCTGTGTGTTGGCCACATCGTCCAATTCGTTCTGCAGCTGCTTGCGTTTCGTTTCCAGATCCTCAATTTTGTCGTAGGCCTCGTCCAGTTCGCGGGACACGGACAGCACCTTCGTTTCCTTTTCGCGCGCCTCACGCTCCGCCGTGTCGCGCTCCTGGGCGATCTGTTCTGATATGGCTTTCTCTTCGGCTAATATCTTGTCGAAGTTCTTCTGCTTCTTCTCCAAATCGAGCACCTAGTAGATTAGTGGATGGGGAAACAAATGAATGAATCGATTGTTCGATTTTGTTGGATTCAGCGATTCGACTTACCTTGGTGCGTTGCGACTCCAATTCGATGGAGGCATCCTCGAGCTCCGATTGAATCTTCTTTTTGCTCTTGTCCAGGCGATCGTTTTGGGCCATCAGCTCGGTGACCTGGCGCTGCAGTGCTTCGATGTCCTTGTTGAGGCGCTTCTTGCCCTCCTCGAGCTCCTTGGCCAGATCGGCATCTTCCTGGGCCTTCTTCTTAATATCCTGCATTTGACCAGTGACCTCGGCCAATTTGCGCTCAAAATTGCGCTTGGCCTCCTCATCCTCCTCGAGCTGTTCCTGCAGCGCCTCCTTCTCCGATTCGATTTGACGCAGCTTCGAGCTGAGGCCGAGCTTCTGGCGGGTCTCCTCCTCAAGCAGCTGTTGCGCCTCCGTCAGCTGTGATTCCATATTGCTGGCGGATTTGACAGCAGCGGATGCCTTCAGTTCGGCCTCCTCCAGCTGATTGGTAATATTTTCGGCCTCCTGCTGCAGCTTTGTACACTTCTCCTGCAGTTCGGAACGCGCACGCTCGATCTCCGCTAGCTTCACCTGCAGCTCGGCTATTTGGGACTCGGCCTGTTTGCGCCGGCGATCGTTCTCCTGCCTCGAGCTATTCACGCTGCGCAATTCTGTTGCCAGATCGGCATTCTCCGCTTCCAGAGTACCCTTGGCCTTCTCCAGGACGGTCTTGGCCTTGCGCAGATTCTCCAGCTGATCGTTGATGCCGTTCAGCTCCTGGGCATGCTTGTGTCGCATTTCGGTGAGCACGCTCTCATGACTGACGCCCTCCTCCTCGAGCGACTTCTTCAGCATGGCCAGCTCCTGTTCGCGCTTCGAGCGCAACTCCTGTTGGGCTGTTGTTTAGGGAAAACAAGAAAAAAATATATAAAAACATATTTAAACATTCTCGAAACTTATAACCGGCATTGCTCGGGGTGTCCGCTTACCGGCTGTGGTGTCCAGGGAGTCGAGCAGCTCGTTTTTCAGCGCTTCCAGTTCCTCGCTGAGATCGCGACGCAACTTTTCGGCCTTGCTGCGCGCCACCTTCTCGGCCTCGAGATCCTCTTGGATTTCGGCCAGCTGGGACTCCAGTTCGCGCTGTGCCTTCTGTGCGGTGGCCTTTGTGGCGGACTCCTCATCGATGCGCATCAGTGTTTGGGTCAGTTCCTCCTCGCGTTTGGCCATCTGCGCCTGCATCTCCTCGACCTGGGTGCGTCGCTCGTTCAGCTGCTCCTTGAGATCGGCCACCTCGGTTTCGATCTTGCGCTTGGAGCGATCGGACTCCTGACGCTGCTGCTGATCCTTGTGCATGCGCTCCTCCAGCTCAGCAATGGTCGCCTCGTGCTTGGCTTTCAATTTGGACAGATGCTTGGCCTTCTCCTCCTCCTCGGCGAGCGTTTGGGACAGATCGTTGGCGCGCTCCTCGAGCAGTTTCTTCTCCTTGACCAGCTTCTGGTTTTGGTCGTCGGTGAGGGCCAGATCCTCCTCATACTTCTTGATCTTGGCATCTAGCTGCACCTTTTCGAGTTGTAATTTCTGGCGTGCTGCCTCCTCCTCTTCAAGCTG